GTTTAATTTTTACCCTACCCAGCGCTTTCCTGTGGATTACACCCCCATGGTGTCTGAAAGGTTAAGGCACGGCTCAGACTTACCAGAGTCTCAGCTTAGCACAGTGATTATCACCTTCGCTCCCAGATTCCATGACACACAGGACGAGTATCCGTACCATCATTTGGTACACTACCATGTTGCACGGCAGTAATGAGTTCGGTTTAAGCCTCCATCTAGTAAACACCTGGTGGATGTCTAGCCAGTCAATTCATCCTCCCGCAAAGAGCAAGACTTCGATAATGGCCGCGACCAATGGAGGGTCTGCACCGCATGGACATGCCGCATATGGCTTTGGGCCACCCGAAGAGAAGACGGGATCTCCAAATCATGGGAGAAAACGACGGGTGATGAGCACTCGACTCGATAGTCGGATGCTTGGTACCCCGCCATCCCACCACCCACCCGTGCCAGCCAGGCCAAGAGGACGGCCTCTACCCCGCCATCGTCACCACGTATCTGTCACTGGATGAATCTCTGACCACGTCAAGGAGACGGTTATCGGGAAACCTGTACTCGTCTCCGAGGTTGTGACCAAGCGACCGAGCTGCGCGTCCATGGTCATCTGTCGAGCTATTAGTCAATGGACCATCTGCACTGTTGGATGAATAGTTCCTATCATCAGACTACTGCAAGATCCCCGCACCGCGTCTTAGCCGCCCGTTGAAAGTCTAGATAAGCCCGACGTCAGCCACTACTACCGAGAAAGTGCTGTTTCCAAAGTTGTCCATTTCACTGTAGCTATACACCTCGCTATCTCGAGTAGATAGCTGGATCCCGCGCACAATGGCCCCTCATCCCTTGACCGCATTATCTGAAGACGAGTTTAAGGCGGCAAGAGACATCATCGCCAACCTCTTTGACAAAGACGTCTCGCTCTTCTTCAGGTGTATCTTTCTTCAAGAGCCAAAGAAGGAGGAGCTCGTGCCGTATCTTCAGGCAGAGCATGCGGGAAAACTCACAGATGAGACATCTCGCCCGCCGCGCCGGGCAAGGGTTCAATACGATGTTATCAGAAGCGGCAAGACGCCCGAGTATACCCAATCCGTGGTAGAACTCAAGACCGGTCGCGAGCTTGATAGAACCGTGGCTGCACCGCACTTCCAGACCAGCTATACTCCGTAAGTCATGTCTGCCGTAGGCTGTGAGAGTGAGAACCACACGGTTAACATACTTCACAGAGATGAGTTTGCAATTTTCCAAGACGCTTGCGTAGCATCTCCAATGTTCAAAGACGCAATGTCCGAGTTCTCTCTCCCAGAGAACTTCACCGTCACAATCGACCCCTGGCCCTACGGCGGCCCGGACGCCGACAAGGAGGACATTGCCCGCCTAATGCAAGGCCTCGTCTTCGCGCGCGACGCCTCCAAGAACAACATCGACTCGAACCACTACGGCTACCCGATCCCCATCATCCCCGTCATGGACGTTACCACCCGCAAGATCCTCCGCATCGACCGTCTCGCCACCGGCGGCGCAGGCGACGGCCTCGCTCCGCACCCGCGCGCCGCGGAGCCAAAGTCCCTCTTCGCCAGCAACGTCTCCTCCGAGTACGTCCCCGAGCTCCTCGAGGTCCCGCAGCGCGAGGACCTGAAGCCCATTAACATCACCCAGCCCGAGGGCGCGTCCTTTACCATCCAACCGGATAACCTCGTCGAGTGGCAAAAGTGGCGGTTCCGCCTCGGCTTCACCCCCCGCGAGGGTGCCGTGCTGCATGATCTCTGCTACGATAACCGCCCCGTGTTGTATCGTTTAAGCTATAGCGAGCTGACGGTGCCTTACGGCGACCCTCGGCCGCCCTATCAACGCAAGCAGGCCTTTGATCTCGGCGATGGAGGCTTCGGCCGCGTGGCGAATAACCTCGAGCTCGGCTGCGACTGTCTCGGCGCGATTCACTACTTTGACGCCCTGATGGCTGATACGGAGGGGAACCCGACAGTGGCGAAGGCCGTGGTCTGTCTCCACGAGCAGGACAACGGGATTGGATGGAAACACACCAACTTCCGCACGAACCGGGCCGTGGTAACGAGGCTGCGGGAGCTCGTTGTGCAGTGCGTCGTCACGCTGGCTAATTACGAGTATGTGTTTGCGTATAAGCTCGACACTGCGGGCGGGATTACGCTCGAGACGCGGGCGACGGGTATTATGAGCGTCGTGGCGGTGGACGAGGGCAAGACAGAGTCTGCGTACGGCGCTGTCGTCGCGCCGGGCGTGCTGGCGCAGAATCATCAGCATATTTTTGCTGTAAGGATTGATCCTGCCGTGGACTCGTATGCCGAGGGAGATACACGTGTTGTTGTAGAGGAGAGCGTGCCTGTGCCGTTGAACAAGGAGACGAATCCGTACGGGAACTATTATGAGATTCAGAAAAGGATTATCGAGAGGGCTAGTTGGCTTGACGCAGAGCCCAAACTCAACAGGGTCATCAAGTTTGAGAATCGAACCAAGAAGAATGCCATGTCGGGCCGGAACGTCGGGTTCAAGCTCACGCCGTCTGCGTCGCAGTTGTTGCTGGCGGACGAGACGAGCCAGGTGTCGAAGCGGGCCAAGTATGCGAGGCATCATGTCTGGGTTACAGGACATCGTGATGACGAGCTGTGGGCGGCTGGGGAGTATACGAACCAGAGTCGGGAGGAGGTTGGTGGGGTGTGGGATATGGTTCAGCGGGGGGATTGGTTTGGTGATGAGCGGGAGGTGAATAGGGATGGTGGGAGGGGTGGTGAGGGTAGGAAGAGTAGTCCTGTTGTTTGGAGTGTGTTTGGGTTGACGCACAATCCTAGGGTGGAGGATTGGCCTGTGATGTGAGTTGTTTTCCGAGTTGATCCCGTCCTTCTTCCCTTGGTTGGACCTCCATCACTTTCTTTCGTCCACGATTTCATGGCAAGACTACTGGCTAACTTATACGTTCACCAACAGGCCCGTTGAAATCCATCACCTCACTATCCGGCCAGCAGACTTCTTCACTTCGAACCCGGCGCTCGATATGCCCACCAACAAGAACAAGACTAGTGTCATTGTTCCGTGTTGCGGCGCACAGGAGACGACCGGGGTGAATGGGGGGAGCGGAGTGAACGGGGAACAGACGGTGCAAAACGCTGCCCTGACGCATCTTCAGGGGCCTGGCCCGGATGTTTCTGCTGAGGAGGCCGGGGCGCATACGGAGAGGAGGGAGTAAGTTGGCTGGTTGCTTGGGTTGAGTTCGGAGGCGAGCTCCTCATCAAGTAGGATATGCCCTTGGCTGACATAATACTGCTCTCATCGTATAAGTCGAGGACTGGGTATCGACTTTGTCTAATATTTTCATTCCTTGCATCACGAAGACCTGGAACTGCAAGTATTCGAGGGAATACTTTATTGATCTCTAATAACATCGAATTATTTGACTCAGTTGATGTATTTTTCGGTGTTGCCAATGGCATAACGTGCTCGATTCTGTACGCAAGTGATCATCTTAACGACTTAAGATCAGAATGAAGAACAGGACACTGTGGCTGAGCTTCACATAATCCATCTCTTAGTGACTCTGCTAAGTCTACTATTCAATATGCGGTCATAATCCGATGAGGCTCAGTTCATATGGAATGGGGCCGCAAGTTGAGCATATGTTGAGCCGGTGGGATGACTCAACGACATCCGGTCAGGTCACAGGTATTTTCGAAGAATGCCAAGAGGAATTCTCCATATCACTGAGCACACGACATTCGGAGGCTGAATAGTTCCTCTGATAAGAGTGTCACCATACTACTACGCTACGTTCTCTTTGCTTGAATTTAGAATGTCGTCTCCAGGGAAAACGCAGCATCTTCACTTCCATGTAAGGTAGTCAGGTGCTAACCAATATTCAACATCCTCTGGTTCAGACTACAAGATTCAGATCAGGGTATCAAGTATCCGCAGCGGCTACCATATTCTACTTATATAATCTTGGTAGAAATTCCATGCTTGTAGTCACATATTAGTCTCTTTGCGCTTTACCTGCCCGGTTCTGGAGACGTCCCGAAATGGCGGGCCGGCTGTTGAACATTGCCATTATCATTCGGTCTTACCAAAGCTCACGTCTTGTACCATTCACCGCTTCAACATGGTTTCTCGCTTCTGAACAAGCAATCAGTTGTAAAGTCGTCAACCGAAGATTAGAATGAGCTTTGACGTACGGATACGTTTAGTATCTATGCTGTGTGATGGAAACTTAATATGGCGCTCGGTCCTATGGGATTATCACGCAGTGAAAAACATTCTGTCATATGGACTTAAAGTTGATATAAGCCATCAGCCTACTCGTCATTCAAGATGAAACGATTTCCTCTTAGAACAAGGTAGTAGACATCGAAGCTCGAGTATCATTCATTTCGAGATCTATGTAATCTGAACTAATTGGACGTCTGACTTGCGAAGTAACGGCAGGCGATCGGATCGAGCCGAATTCACTTGACTGACATGACTCTTTTCGCTCCTCAACTTTGTGGATCATCCTTGTGACATGTCAAAAAGCGAGCTGTAGGATCGACAACAGCAATAATGTCTTTCATTTGGACTAGGTTCAGGAGGTTCGGTGTAAGTGGGGAACCGTTATAGGATGCGGGAAATGTTCGTGATCGTGACTCGCGACTGGGAAGGTATACCGTTTGGTAATACGGCGGTGACATGTATTCCCAACCGAGATGCATACCCAACCTGCGCATCGGACAAGCCGATGATGGATAATGAGAGCGCCCGTTTGGATTGAAAGCAATATGGCTATGGGAATGGAAACAAGGGCATTGTTATGGGGTTTGATATCGGTTATCGAGGAAAATATTCTGTAGACTTTCAACAGACGGGGAAAATCACGCCTCACCCGTCTTCCCAGCAGTATAAAGACATCGCATAGTCCTTACCAAACTTCAAAAGCTATCTTATCACTATCACAGCAACCCTCAAACCACATCTTCAGCTCTTTCAAGCAGACCAACCTATCCAAAATGTTCTCCTTCAAAGCCATCATCGCCCTCATGTTCGTCTTCCTCTCCTATATCTCGTCACACTATCACTAACAAAAAACCAACCTAGGGGCCTCGCCGCACTCGTCAACGGCGCACCCACTGATAACACCCTCATCAAGCGCCTAGACGACATCAAGAACTGCTACTGCGGCAGGGACACCGGGTCCGCGCTCGTCAGCGACCCGGCCTCCACCAAGAACGCTTGCCCTGATTACGGCACAGTCGGTACGTACACACAAGACATATTCACTCCTCAAGCTTTCCCTGAGCTCGCCCGGGAATTGGCGCATGAATCAAAGTTGAAGATACTGATCATGGGACTGTATTTCCTTTTTGTGTGTAGGCGGACCGTACCCTACCAAGTGCCAGATCATGATTGACATCAACGAGCCTTTGTTCGTTGCCAAGTGCAAGGCTCTCGGTCAGCCTACTGGATGGTGCGAGAAATAATCGGGATGGCGAAAGGGGGAAAAGGGAGGAGAATGGTGGTTGGAATTTGCTGATGTTGCTGCTCATGTAAACGATCAACGTCTTGCTGTTCTGCGCCTAGACGGTGTGCGCGTATATTAAAAGTAGTCAACTTGAAAGAGCTTCATATCGGACTCAACATGCAAGACTCATAAAGAATCAAGCTCAGTTTAACCAGGAGTCCCTTCTCTGATTTGCCAGAGTACCCAAGTGGTGGCTCAACCCCGACAACTCAAGCACAAATGAGAAGATAGGTTAGAAACGCTCGTTTGCGTGGTGCTAATGGATTGGCACATGGGAGAAGTCCCGCCTGAGGGAACCCAGCTTTTGAGACACTCGACTCTATCGTCGCCACATTCGACATACCCTTCTTGAACCCAAGGTAACACCAAACGCATAGCATTGTCATAATCGGGGTATCTATTCTACAGCGACTGACTGACTGATTGCTGACCTGACTGAATCTCGCCTAACCGCCGCCACTGTCTCGTCTCGTCTGCGCAACCTTGCCCTTTCCCTCCAACATACACCGACTGAGGGCAAGATACACACTCTCGTTAGTCGCTTTCCTTCGTGGCCAATGTCCATCAGACATAGTCAACTCCCTCTTTCAAATTCGACAACCCTCCACTGAAAAGACCAATTGGGTATAATTTAACCGCTTGGCCAAGTTCGAAATCAACTTCGGCCCCGGGTATGCCCGTCGTCCCCCACTGTCGCTCGACATCAACACACTCACGAGCCGCCGCGGGGGCTGCCATTGGCAGGTTGTTTGCGATTCATCAAACCGCTGAAGAAAGCCTGGAGCTTGTCGTTATCCATCTCATCAGGATTCTCCTCGGCGGTGTCAGCCGGTGGCGTGGTGGGATCCTGTATAGCACTGTATGCCTGCCGGTCCTGCATTTCGTGTTAGTCCCTCTTGTCGTTCCCAAAACGACACTCGTGGGTAACTCACCTTAAGCCGCTGCACCATGTCGTCGGCATCCACCTGAATGCCTCCCATGTTAAACTGCACAGGCCCAATGTGCTGGCTGACCTTGCCGTCGTCGGCGCCGTGCCGCAGGGCACTGGAATCCAACTCATCGGTCCGCTGTCCCGTTCTCGACTTTGAGGCGTCTGCCTTCTTGTCATCGTTGCTCCGGCTGCGGTGCGTGTCCAGAGTTTGTAGACTAGAACCGAGGAACTCTTGTGTATCAGTTGATGACATCTCCAGCTGCGACAGGTCACCATCCCGGCCTGCGAATGAGACGGCGCTGCCGGCCTGGCTGAGATCACGGATCCAGTCTTCAAACGGCGCCACTGCTGAGGACGAAACTTCGCCGTTGTAGTCTCCGTCCGCCTTGGCCTTGGCCAAAATGCTCAGGCCATCCGTCGTCATCGCGGGCGAGGGGAAAGTGGACTGCAGATCATGCGACCAGCCCTGACTGGTGTCCTCAACATTGAACCCGTCCCTCAGCACGCGAATCTTGCCCCAAGAGTCCCAGTTTGGCGGAACCAGGATCTTATCTCTGTCAATCGTGTTGTGCTTCAACGGTTGTCGTTTTAGTAGGGAGGTGATGCCTAGACTCGAGTGCACTAGACTCGGTAATGATGAAGGGACGTTTGGTGTGGTATAAATGAGCGATGCGCCGTCTGGGACAATAGTGTTAACATAACCTTCGGGCCCGGGGAAAGCGTAAACGTACGTCTCAGCAGCACTGTCCTGAGATACTGCAGAACCTGGTCAAAGTCACCCTCCTTCCACCCTTGCGTCTTCTCAAGACCCTCCATCTTCTCCGCCTGCGAGTTCGTTAGCATCCACACGATCAACCTTTCGGCGTGGCACTTTATCTCACGTTCTGGCAGACCACGCAGAGCGGCAGACCTATGCCCTCTTCCCATTCACCGGGTCCAAGAGGCAATGCGACATCGCCTTCGCTGGCGATCGCTCCCGTGCCGTCGAGGTTTGTCGTGCCACCTCCCCTGCCCCTATCCCGCCAACCGACCATCACCTCCTCCATCGTCGCCTGGCACTCGTTGCCCGAGCTCTCGAGGATGCTGCGCATGAATAAGATCCATTCCCTAAGTTGGCGCATCCACAAGTGTGGTGTAGACCAGTCAAGGAGCACGACCATTAGGGTATTCGGTATCGTCTCGGGTTTAATTAGGGGTTGAATAAGTTTCGGGAATGATTCTGAAGGGTTCGAAAGCATGTAGAGGGAGATCCGCGCAAGTATGTCTGGAGACCGAGTCAGCATAAGGAAAAGAAGCCAAGTCGAGCTGCCAACAAACCTTCTTGGTCGGCATCCAGGACGTCGTAGTAGGTATACCCAAGAGCGAAGCTGTTTGCGATGGGGGGCGTCTTTGAGCTGTTGCGATCGAGGCTTCGTTTCTCGCTGCTGTGCGACAGGGACTCAACAAACTCCTTCTGTGAATCTGGCGAACCCCCAAGGACGATCATGTTCTTCTCCGGTAGCCGTTTGCTGCTGGCTACGTTGTCGAGCATGGAGCTCCAGAGGTCCTTTTTCTCTCCATTGCGGCCGTCTGACCCCGCGGAAGCCGAGGTGTACGTCGACACCCGATTTGCGCTTGCCGTCATGTTTGTGTTTGTCGCTGAGGAGCACGCATGAGGGGAGTGGTGGAAATCGTGGGTCTCTCGGGACGTGGTGTTTTGGCCCAGGAACTTGAGTCGGTGGGTTAACAGTGGACAGCTTTATGCGTATGCAAATAGACGCGTCGAGTCGCGGTGTAGGTTAGGTCGACAAGTACGCTGGATTATGGGAGTTTGGTTTGGCGGTAAGTCTAGAAAATACAGGAAAGTAGACTCCTCGGACTGAAGCAAAGATGGCGTTTCTAGGAGCTGGGAGTCCTGACTTGAATGGCCGGCCGCATTTCCCACAAAGCTATTGGCACTTCACCAGCGCTTTCTCATGCCCCTTCCTCAAAGTGTCGGGGGATTTGAGCTCCGGACCGGCTGTTTTCCCGACGGGAGCTAAATTGCAAAGGTGCAGTGACATTGCACAGTGAGCTGCGCTAGCGAAGTGTCATTTTAGGGGTTGTCTCGGGGGCTGGGGCGCATATTGGGGGAGATGACGCACTGACAGTGCTACACGGCTACCCGAAGCATCGGCGTTTTTTTTTCTTTTGGAGCCGACAAGCTCCAAGAAACCTACCTAAGCTTAGGTCGCTGTTTCTTTCAGCCTGGAAGAGTTGAAGCTTGAGTACACCAGTCGTCTACCACGAAATTGACGATTGTCGAAAGCCTCAGAGGACCTTGGATTTCTCGTCGCAACCATGAACAAAATACGCGCCATCCAGGAGCTCAACAAGAAGGAGATTGAACATGGAATGTAAGTTACACCATCATGTCTTCCATGCATAGTGAGGACCATGCGCTGACACACAACAGCTCCCCCGAAGGCTCCTGGCACGTCGACTACCGCGATACGGCGTACATCTACTTTGGCGGTCTCCCCTACGAAATGTCCGAAGGCGATGTCATCACCATCTTCTCCCAGTTCGGCGAACCCGTCTGGCTCAAGCTCGCCCGTGACAAGGAGACGGGCAAGTCAAAGGGCTTCGGCTGGCTCAAGTACGAGGACCAGCGCAGTACTGACTTAGCTGTCGACAATCTCGGCGGCGCGACGATCGGTGGCAGCCGCATGATTAGCGTAGACCACGCGCGCTACAAGTTCCGCGACGACGAGGACCCGGACGAGGGTAAAGTGGACTGGGCGACTGTTGTAAAGCAGGAAGGGGGCGACAAGACGGACGAGGGGTCCGATGAAGATGAGGAGGAGGAGCAGCGGCCGATGCTGCCTGAAGAGAGGGAGCTTGCGCTGTTGATTCGGGACCACGACGAGGACGACCCCATGAAGGCTTTCTTGATTGAGGAAAAGAAGGAGGAGATCAAGGAGGCGCTGCGGCGGCGGGATGATAAGTCTGAGAGGCGGAAGAAGCACAAGCATCGTCATCGGTCACACAGGTCGCGCAGGCATGATAGCGATGAGGAGATGAGGGATGCGGATCGCGACGAGGATAGGCATCGCAGCCGGAGGTCTCGTCGCGCTGAAACGCCTGATGACAGAGGTCGCAGAGACGACGAGGGGAATTCACGCCGCCACGGACATCGAGGCGAGGACCGGGATAGAGGATCAAAAAGGGATGAAGGGGGTCGGAGAGAGAGGGATCGATCGAGAGACAGACGAGATCGAGATCGGGACCGTGATCGAGGCGAGGACGGCGAGAGGAGGAAAGAGCGCCGGCATCGTGATCGCGATGGTTCGGAAGAGCGCCAGCATAGAAGGCTTAGAGATCGTGATGATGAGCGAAGGCACACACGGCGGAGTAGAACCAGAAGCAAGTCGCCTTAGTCTCGAAGATGATATGAATACTTAATACCAAACTAAGCGATGCTATCGCTGATACCCCTGAATGCCCTGCTTGTCCGATGCCAACGCCGAACGTAATATACACTGTGCCGTAAACCAAATAGCCAGCATGGCTTGTAGGAGCCAGCCTGAGAAACATCACGTCATGAAGCACTACCCCAGTATCGCTTCCAGCCTTCTCGCACGACATATCGGCGTCCGTCCTCTCCCTTGGATATCACAAACTTCTCCCATCTAGCGTCGTGTCCAGCGCCAATAATGACCAGACTGTCCTCGGTGATCCATCCGATCACGCCCTTCTGCGGTCTCGTTGTCCCCAGTGTCGTCTGTTCTGACATGGGCAGGCCGCCGATGAGGGGATCGTCGCCTGCTTCGAATGGTGCAGATGCGAAGGAGTATACGTCCGAGAACATCCGCGGCATCAAGGGAATCTTGCCTAGGAATCCCCAGCGGCCCTTGCCATCGTCGGCCGGTCTGCCTGCAAGGATGCCGGATCCCGCCATCTGCGACGCCGACGGGCTGGTTGGTGCCGTTATGGGCTTCTTGGGGTGCGGGACGTCGAATACGTGCAGCGTCGACTTGTCTGATGTGCAGGCTAGTTTGGTGCCCTCGGGGCTGAAGCCGAGAGAGAAGATCGTGGCAGGATCAACGCCCCGCCGCAACTCGGCAAGCCGGGCACAATTGCTTGTGGCGAAGACTCTGATCAGAGTGCCCATCTCGCTTGCCGTGGCCAAAAGCTCGCCGTCTGGGCTTACTTGAATGGCCCGGAGGGCAGATGAGTGAGCGGGGATGATGCTGACGTTGCCGGTTCCGATGTCGACGAGCTGGATCTGCCCGACGGTTCTACCCGGGAATGCAATCGTTTTGTCTGACATAGTAACAAGTCCAAGGGGGTTGTTCGTGGTTTCGTACACTGACAGTAGGTCGGGAGGCTTCGCAAACGAGTATACGCGAACGCTGTTTTGGAGCGCAACGACAATACGGTTTCGACCGATCCGGACGCCCCGTACTGGTGTGAGAGAGGCGATCTCTATGGCCACTCTACCCTTCATGTCGTCCCAGATAATGGTCTGCGGCGTGGATAAGTCTGCGATCCTGAAGAGGGCTGAATGTTCACCTCATACCTTGGTGCTACTGAACTTGGGTTGTCTACCGCCACCGACGAGCGCCAGATAGTTTGTCGTCCCCATCATCTCGACCAGACCGATGCCGGCATTGAAGTCTATACTATGGTTAGCCACATTTTTGTGAAAGGTTACAGGGGGGAAGCGCAGACCTCTGGATGCCTTGAGAAGGCAAGACTTGGTGTGGAAGACTACCGGATGTTAGGGACCATGAATAGCTCCAGTGTTCACATCTCAGCTGCTACAACAACTTACTGCATATCCCTGAGTTGAGACCAACCGAAAAGCAGCTAGCATCACTATTGAACGATACAGAAAGCACCACTGTCGAGGGCGCCGTCTCTATAGGTGGACGAGTATTCATTGTGTGATATTGTGCCTGTAAGTCGCTGTCGCGGATAGGTGACGGCTTGGCCTGTGTGACGGTGAGGGGCTCGGTAATAAGGGATGAGCGCTGTGAATGCAAGGCCGGCAGGCCAGGCCAATATTCTGTTGTTCTTGGAATTCTTCGTTATGATATCATCCTTGACAAGTGCATCTCTCGAAAAGAGAGGTGTTCCGCTGGCGATATTGACGATGATGTTGACGGGCGACAACGGGTTGAAGCGCCTATTAACAACGGCAGTGAGTTGGGCGGGTCGAGGTCAGCTAAATTGCCGAGTCAGGAAGCTGGGGCAAGGCAAGTAAGTTGGCAGGGGAGATTGGCAAGTGTATGCAGTTGACAAACAGCCCCCAGCGATGATTCAAGAGAATCAAAGGCGATCGGTTTGCGGATATCAAAAGGGACGATGCTCAGAAACAGGACCTCGTGGACAGTGTCTCAGCAGACGGGAATTGAAGTCAGCCTGGAGACGTCCTCAAAGTAGGGAAAGGTACGTATCGTATCGTCCCGTCTCATGCGGCGCATCAACCAACCTGCCTGTCCTTGAATGCTCGGGTGGGAGTCGAGTGCGTGCCCGGGTACAAAGGTACCTAGTGGTATTAGGTAAGCAGGCAGGTAACGAAATGAGTGGTTGCTCATGCACCTGAGTTTCTGTTCCTGTTGCTACGATTATCGCTAGTACCAATAATATACTACGAAATCTTTACACTCTCTGTATCCCTTTAATCATGCATTCTCGGAAGTTTAGAGAGAGAATATTCCAAAAGGTAGATGCGATAGGAAAGGGGTTACTTTTGTGTTGGCTGGCATACTATCTTGTCACCCACTTGGTAAGGCAGGCATAGTGGTGAGACGATAGGAACTTGAGATGAAATGAGGGCCAGTGTGAATGAGGCACCTGCCACGTCTGCCCAGCTGGTGACCACCTGGCCTAAGGTAAGGCGCTCCCCCAGGAACGCGAAACATGTTTGGTCCCTTGGACACACGGTGCAAAACGCGCCAACATCCAACGTGCGTGCCGCAATTGCTGCAGCCAGGCGGGAAAGCTTCAGCACTGACCATGTGCCGGTCTCGTGACCTGTCATCCTCACTCTCTTCCAAAATTGCCCGAGGATACCCCGCTATTGGTGCCTTTCCTCTATGGGCTTAGCGCTAATCTTGGAGGAAAGGAGCGTGGGCCGGGGAGTTGCTGCCCCCTGAATTGGGCGTGCAGGAGGAAGCAATCAATTGGTTGGGGGGCACTTGGGGTCGTCCTGCCGCAACATTTTGTGTGAAATTGCATTTTCCAACACCTGTCGGTCAAGACCCTCCCGTCCCCTTTAGCACCTGCACCTCCCGTCCGACCCCCAGGTCCCAATCCAGAACAACGACATTTGGGATCCAGCAGTCCTTTTGCTCCGTTCATCTACGACACGACACGACGCTCGCTGTCCCTTGAAACGATATCGTCGCCAGTCTCTTCTCGTCAAGTCGTTGAATCCCTCAACGACTCCTTTACCGACCCTCATCTAGATTAAGCGTTACTTTCAACAACCGTCGTATGTTTGCCCGCCTCTCTCAGTCTCCCCCCTACTACACCAATCCGGCCCCCATTCACCAATTCCTCCCCCGACTCCACGAAGCCATCATGGCCCCAATGCATCTACACCCCCCGAGAAACCGCGTTGCTGACCACACTCTATACTACAGAAGATGATGCGCAGAAAGAAGAACGTGAAGAAGGGAATCCAGTTCTGTTTGATGGTCTGCGGAGCATCAGGCACTGGTACGTCTTCCCCTACATGGCCAAATGGCCAACCTCGTGCTCACTCAAATACGACCGAGTTCTGTCAACTGACCTTCGACCTTACAGGAAGAACCACCTTCGTCAACACTCTCTGCGGAAAGAGCGTGCTCGGCCACAAGGAGTCGGACGACCCCAATGGCGCCTCTGTTGAGGACGGTGTCAAGATTAAGCCTATCACTGTCGGTGCGTGACTATTGTGTCAAGCCTTTGAGCATCGCATCAGCAAACTGACCGCCCCATAGAGTTGGAGTTGGACGAGGAGGGCACCCGAATCTCCCTGACCATTGTCGATACCCCCGGCTTCGGTGACCAGATTGACAATGAGGCCAGGTATGGCGCCACGCCAGCGTTTTGATAATATTGTGGTTGCTAACGTGTACACAGCTTTTCTGAGATCGTCGGCTACCTCGAGAGACAATACGATGACATTCTTGCCGAGGAGTCTCGTATCAAGCGTAACCCTCGTTTCAGAGACAACCGTGTGCACGCCATGCTTTACTTCATCACACCCACCGGACACGGGTAAGCCCATTGTCTCTTGGCCTTTGTTGACCGCCACTAATTCAGTCAACAGCCTTCGCGAGTTGGATATCGAGCTCATGAAGCGCCTTGCTCCCCGTGTCAACGTCATTCCCGTTATTGGCCGTGCCGACTCCCTGACCCCTGCTGAGCTCGCCGAGTCGAAGAAGCTTGTGATGGAAGACATTGAGCACTACCGCATCCCTGTCTACAACTTCCCTTACGACATCGAGGAAGACGACGAGGACACTGTCGAGGAGAACGCCGAGCTGAGAGGTCTGATGCCATTCGCGATCGTCGGATCCGAGGAGATTGTTGAGATTGGCGGTCGCACCGTCCGCGCCCGCCAGTACCCCTGGGGTGTCGTCGAGGTTGACAACCCGCGCCACTCCGACTTCCTCGCCATCCGTTCTGCGCTTCTCCACAGCCACTTGGCTGACCTGAAGGAGATCACCCACGACTTCTTGTACGAGAACTACCGTACCGAGAAGCTCAGCAAGTCCGTTGAGGGTGGTGCTGGAGTGTATGTCTCGCAAACCCCTATTTACCCATGACGTTGCAATGCTGACCATGTTTTAGCGACTCGTCCATGAACCCCGAGGACCTCGCCTCGCAATCTGTGCGCCTCAAGGAGGAACAGCTCCGACGAGAGGAGGAGAAGCTCCGCGAGATCGAGATCAAGGTCCAGCGCGAGATCAACGAGAAGAGGCAAGAACTCTTGGCCCGCGAGTCCCAACTTCGCGAGATCGAGGCCCGTATGCAGAGGGAACAGTCTGCAGCAGCCGGCGGCCCCGCCGAGGCCAACGGCGACCACGAAGCCAACTAATTCAACAATTATGGCCCCTGCTTATGGTTACCCCAAACTGCGACGTTGGTCTTTTTCTATACTGGCGTTGGTTTCCGTGCTGTGTTGAAAGAGAAAGAACAATATTCCCCTATGCGAGTTCGTTTCTCTTGACACGAAGATAAAAACCCCAAAAAGGTCTACTACGAATGCGACGACTGGGAAGAGGCTACCGGCTCGGTAGATGTGTGGGAAGAAGCGGTGTACGTTCTCGGGGCGGAGGTTCAAAGGCTTCTGGGTCGAGGCCGAGGGGATCATAGAGGACACGGGGGACCTGTGGGCCACAAGCTACTCGTCAATCTGTTTCCATCATCCCTATCACGCCGCCAGCCCGCATTCTTCCGGCTGTACCTTTGTAGCCCTTTACTAACGCCCTCATTTTCTTTTTCTATTAGTCGACTTCTAATGCAGATATCACATTACTTTACCGCTTCACCAAATTCAAGTTTTGTTCCCCGCGTGATATCTCATTGATGCACTGTCCGTTTTGTGATCCAATTTGTATTATATCAATTGACTACGAAGGAGGCATGTCAAGAACACGTGGAAGAAGCACACTCTTTCTCGATCTTCCGCCTGCGCACCAAAAACTGATGGCATCCGTACTGCACAACGAAGACCAATAAGACAGCCTATTTTCTCCTCAAAAGCAACCGGTCTGAAGCCAAAACTGCCTGACGACGAATTCCAAGTTACGCTACTAATAGAACATCGGGGTATTGTGTGTGTGTTACGACCAGCTTTTAGTTGTTTTGCTGGCTGTTCAGGATGCGCAGAATCGCCAAGAACAGGTTGATAATGTCGAGGTACAAGCTGATGGCGGCGGCAATCTCCTCCTCGACGTGGTGGTGGCGCATAATTAGCTGCGTGTCGACGAGGATGTAGGCGCTAAAGATGAGGGCTGCGATGCCGCCGTAGACGAGCTCGCCGGTGGAACTGTAGGGAAAGAACATGTACATGAAGCCGAAGAGGACGAGACCCCAGAGGGCGCCGCCGAGGTAGGGCATCCAGGAGGTGAAGTCGTACTTTGTCTGGCAGGCGAAGGCGGTGAGGAAGATGAAGATGCCTGCTGTGAGGAAGACTGCGTTGAGGACGATGCCGGCCTTGTAGAAGGAGACGATGACGGAGATTGTGTAGGCTTCCATGAGGGTGAAGCCCGAGAGAAAGAGGAGGTTTGTCGGGTAGGATTTGCGTTTCCAGAAGGTAAGGAGCATCATGATGATGGAGCCGAAGAGCTGTGTCTCACATGGTTAGTCTTTGTCCATCTTTCACAGGAGACGCGTGGAAAGGGGGACGACGAAGAGGGAAGCGTACGGATGCGAAGACGAGGCCTGGGTGGGCCTGGATCCAGGTCTTGTAGCCATCGCTGAAGAAGCTGAGGGCGGAGACGGCGCCGGTGGCGATGAGTTGAACTGTGAGAATGGCGTAGACCTTGCGGATGAATTGGTTTCTGATATCGGTCGTGGCCTCTGCTACTGAGCCGCCGAACTGTGGGTTTGATGTGTTAGTTGAAGATGGTTCACAATGGGTACAGAGGCCACGGGATAGCCGGAGCTGGAGAGCCTTGCTTGGAGGGAGAGCTGCGCTATGCTGTGCTTACCTTGAAGTCATCGGGGAGGTCGTCGTCCTGGCTGCTACGAGGCGCGCCGCCGCCGAAGAGGCGGTCGGTATCGGAGGCGGCGGTGGGTTCGGCCTGGTAGGCGGGGGGCGCCTGGGCGTAGCTTGATGCTTCGTCCGGGTCCTGGGTCGGCGCCGGGGCGTACTTTGTCTTTGAGGCCATCGTTTACGCTTGGGTTTGATCGGTTCGTTGGTGGAAAGTGTTTTGAACTTGTCGCCGGTATAAACGTTTGTGAGGAGGGCGACGCGTAGGTAATAGGTGTATGACGAGCACTTTTGAACCTTTTTTTTTTGGTTGTTGGTTGCCTGCGGAAAGGTTGAAAGAAGGGCTGGGCGGAGGGTCGTTGTCGTCAGGAAGGGATCATGTGGGGAGGGCGTGATGCGAACGGTCACTGCTTACACAAGCTCCATGTGGCTGATGGGTCTGGGGTATGGTGTGGCATTGACAAGGTCATGTGATGTGAATGTGGCGTCGCAGAATACTCGGGTGAGATCTCCAAGGTTCCGTTCCTTTAATTGCATGAATCTGCTTACCTGCACACTAATAGAGCAAACGGTCTCATGCACGTAAAGGGCCCTCTCATGCAATTCCTGTCTTGCTCGGCATGTTCCCTGCACCTCTGACTGTGCCTGAAGACACGGCAGCAAGCGCGAACGCTAAACGGTGCAGACAGCAGGGTAATTGCAATATTGATTTGATGGATCTTTCATCTGGCATGTTTAACCTTGAGTGGCTGTGGCAGACTGGCAGCCAGTAGTCTTGATAACCGCGTGGCCTGATGTTCGCAGCTTTCTGTGAGCTGCAGCTGAAGCAAAAAAGGTTCGAACCTCTATAGATTTGTGGAAAGGCAAATGGTATACGGAGTAGGTATCCGTACTTCCATAGCCATTGTAGACGCCCCCCGTATCCGTACAACGACATCACATCACCGTCACATCCCAAAGTGGCGGTCTCGAAAAAGATCCGACCAGCCGATACTCGTCGAAAAAGACGGGATGAAACGCGGAGGCCGAAAGATTTCGATAGGTAGAGAGAGAGGAGATCTTGACAAGTTCTTCTGGATGCATGCACGGAACAAGTAGAGGACAGAGCTGGAGTCTTGGAGGACGGGAAGACGGGTAAAGACGAGGACGAGGCGGAAGGAAGTTTGGGGCCACCTGGACTGGTTTTGTCTGTGATGCGAGGTCCGACCGTATTCGTCTGTTCTTTTCTTTTGCGATTTGGTGGTGTTGCATCCAGGTGCTGGTGCGGATACATACGGGTAGCAATGGAATACGTGAATTTGCGTTTATGATACGGGAGGACGGGGTTGTCGGTTCTGTGTCTGTCCTCTGTACCGTTTCCCTAGACATCAACCTCAGTACATTGAAGAGTGGAGGCTCTCCATCGAGATGAGGCGTCACGGCCACGCGCGGAGTGCGGCTTGCGGCTCTCACGAAAGGTCATAATTGAGGATCACTAGCGTTCTGACGGCAGCTACACAAAATAGAAAAGCGACGGTCTCGTTCTGGATGCGAGGTGACGGAGCTGGCAATTGGCTGTTGCATGTCGCCATCGCACGGGGAGGGGTGGAAAGGGACGGGAGGATGGGCCAAGGTATTGCCGAGCTTTCAAGGTATGTATGCGTACCTCTACAGCACCTCAGGGTGAGGTGCAGTACAAGGTATCTACCTTACCGTAATCAGTACCTAAACGGATAGAGAAAGCATTTGCTCCGAAGTTTGAACAGCATCCTGCTTTACAGAGGGGTCCAGTGACAGTCAGATTTATTGGGTCAGGGCTTCGCGGGAGTCTAGGCGGTGTCAAGGACTGTGAACAGACATTGTTTGTTATCGAATGCATGACCCAAGTCTTGGAAAAGTCATTTGTTGTTGTTGGACGTTGCACAGATGAAAATAGGGGTATCTCACAGAATGTCTGTGAGACCTGGTTGGGTGAGCGAAAGAGAGATCAGAGGGGAAAGCCAAACTAATACTGCGTACTCCGTACAACAGGATACAAAGCGCCTAGAGACCTACCAAGAACCTGGAAAAAGCAAATGGCTTAGAACAAAAGAAGAATAGAGGCAATGAGGTAGTGTAGAAAAAAGTTGACATGATTGGCAGGGGCATGTATAGTAAACATTGATAAGGCTCTAGGGGGTGAAAATCACTTCATTTTAAACGCGGTGCAGGTCTCCAGGATGAAGATTGTCAATGCCCGTGCCATTTTTGCCATTGTTCCAACGTGCCGTCTGCTAAGATGGCGAGATCAGCAGTAAACACAGTGGCCAGGGAAAACAAGGAGAGAGGCAGGAAACCAGAGCAATCTAATTGGATCAATGGGTAAGTGTTGAAACTTGTTGAGGACGAGTAGACCCGCCCGTCCTTTCTCTCTCTCTCCATCTTCAACTCCCGTCTCCACGTCTGCGTTCGCTCGCGGCGTTGCGGTGTTGGTTCCCCTCCCTCCACTATGTTTCGGACAGCTCTGCCTTGGAATTGATTCCAGCTGGCCAGCATCTGCCGCTCGTACGGATACCCGAGTCCAATTATTCGTTTGAATAGACTTGATCTATTGGTGCCATGGTGGTCTTGGTGAAAGGCAGATGCCAGAGAGAGGGTGGACAAAAGAGAGAGGGGTCGGTTCACTCCCGACGGCGGCCCACGGGCGACAACAATCAAGCTTCCAATCATTTCTGACAATTTAAAGGGCACCACCTCTGTCCACCGCACCGTCCAATTCCATGTCCCACGTCCCACGTCCCACGTCTCAGCAGCCCAGCGCAGCATCAATCAATGATCAAGCTGCAGCCACTGGCCAGACTCGAATGGGATAAGGGGTCCCCCACCCCTTGGGCCCCTTCCTTCCCCCAATTCCCCCCCCGAAAAGTGTGGCAGGTACGTACCACTGTGCCGCACTCATTCTGGGAAAGAGAGAACCAGGGACCAAGAGAACCCTGGTGCTTCTATTGGCCGACGCCTCTTGCCCACATCCCTTTCCCATGTCGCGCCTACCGTCAACTTTCTCTCTCTTCCTCCCTCCAGGTTCTGTTCCATTTTCCAATGGCAAGCCGTCTTCACCGCCTTTGATGAACCTGTTCGGCTCACTAAGAATTGGCCGGCGATCTCTAAACAAGTACACGACGGTTACGGATACAAGATGTACTGTAGACGAGTTGTGCGAGAGAGAAAGAGACTGAAGACATCAACCTCCATCAAAACCTTTTCTCCCCCTCTCAGGCCTTGGTTTCTGTACCTCTAGGCCATTTCTGTCCAAAGTGAACTGGGCCTGGCTGCCGGTTGACTTAACCCTTTCTTCCCCGGGGCTATGAACAAGGGCAAGATGGAAGGCAAGAGCAACGGGTAGGTACACGAGTACCTCAGTGGAGCCTCTTTTTTTCTCGAGACGAAGCTGGGCTTTTGGGTGGAACGACGCGAGCCAGTAGTACCCAGTACCTTAATACACGTTTCCCTTGGCCGCTGTTTTTTCAGTCTTCACTGCGTAAGAAGGTAGTTTCTCGTCTCCTGACGAGTATCCGTGGGCAAGACTAGACAGAAAATTGTCGGATTAAAAGTATTCGTGACTTTAAGAAACTCTGTCCTAGCCACTGCTACCCTGTCTGCTTCCAGGCTTTGTCGAGTTTCTTGTCAGTCTCTTTCTCGCCCTGCCTCTGTGCAGTATCTCTTATCCCACCTACTTCTCCCCTCTCTACCAAAAGTACAGACAACTTCACCATAGGAGCACCCATCTCCGATCACTGCAGGTGAAGCAGCAGACAGAAAGAAGGACCACCGCAGCCCGCAGCCGGCAACCACGCACCCAAAGCACCACACCCACCACCACTTCCTACACCAAACGGGTGGGCACCATCTTGCTGCACTCCTGATCCCAGCAACTTTCTGGAGCAACCGAGCAGAACCTGACCTAGGCCTTGGCGTCGTGTATCCGTACCTTTGCCCTGTATTCGTACCGTCTAGCCTATCCTGCTACGGTCCCTTCGTCTACGGAGTACCTTACCTTAGGCTTGACCTGACCGCCGTCCAGTCCACCGTCCCGTCTTCGGTCTCCATAGTGTGCGACGTTGCCCTTTCGCTCACTTTCCCATCCTCTCGATCTTCAACCTCCCTAAAACCAACCAAGGACGTTCGTTTCCCCCCCTCCCCTCCCTTTCCTCGACCACGACACTACCAGAAGCGCCCGTGACGACCTCGTCGCGCTTTGCGGTACCAAGAATCCCGACAAGTGCTCCTTTGCGCAACCCAACCCGCCTCAACCGCGTGTCGATAACGATCTCTCTTCGTTATCGCGGCTCAGCATCAACCACAACCACCACAAAGGATCCTTGGGCACGACGGCTATCCGCGAAAACACCAACGCTAAACCACGAAGCAGCCGTCGCTGAGCATTGCAGCCCCTCCCACAACTCCGATCCCGGGTCGCCGCTCTCTTCGACACTTCAATTGAGTTCCAATTGGAGCTCTAGTCGCGCATCATGAGCGACACCACCAGCAACAACGAGGCCTCATCGCCAACCTTTGAGAAGCCCGTCAGGACCAGCTCTGCTGGCCCTCAAATTCAGCGGAATGCTAGCACGAAGCAACTCAAGCTTATGAACGGCCCCCTTTACCAGCAAGGACACAACAACGTCAACGTCGTGCTCATCCGACGGGTCAGGAGGACAGACGACAGCGCTTGGAAGATGTTGAGCCGGTGGATGGTCGAGAACCAAGTCGGTATGTCGTCTTTCTTGTGCTCTCTCTCTCTCCTTAACTCGATTTTTGCCCCACACCCACCTCTGTCAAGCCACAACTTGAAATACTCAATGTTACACGGCATACATGACAACGAGGCCATAACTCCTATTCGCAAGTCAGGCCTTGGACGCAGCTAACATGTGCCTGATCTAGGTCTCTCTTTCAACCTTCTGGCCCTCCTTTTCCTCGCCCACTTCTTCATCCCGAAGGCGCAACCTCACACGATCAAGTTCTTCACCCTCTCATACTACAACCAAGAAACCGGCCAGTATGGCGCCGGTCTCGGTGATTCCTGTCTCCTCGCTTTCTGCATCATTCTCTTCACCGGTCTGCGCGCCGCGACCATGGAATACGTTCTGGCACCCCTGGCCAAGGGATGGGGTATCAAGAAGCGCAAGGATCTCACACGCTTCAGCGAGCAGGCCTGGCTGTTGGTTTACTACATGGTCTTCTGGCCCCTGGGTATGGTAAGTTTTCGCTGGCCACTCTAGCTTCTTTCGCTCAGCAATGGCTAACGACCACCCAGTACATCTACAAGACTTCGCCCTACTGGTTGAATCTCAGAGAGCTCTGGACGAACTGGCCGCAGCGTGAGCTCTCCGGCCTCAACAAGTTCTACATCCTGGCGCAGTGGGCTTTCTGGCTCCAGCAGATTCTTGTCATCAACATCGAAGACCGCCGCAAGGACCACTGGCAGATGTTTACTCACCACATCATCACTTGCACTCTGATTTCCGCCTGCTACAGCTACCACCAGACTCGCGTCGGAAACCTGATCCTCGTCCTCATGGATGTTGTCGACCTCTTCTTCCCTGTATGTCACGGCTCTCGGCCTTTTACCATGCACAAGCTAACCAGACGCAGCTCGCCAAGTGTCTCAAGTACGTTGGACTGAACACCCTCTGCGACTTCATGTTCGGTGCCTTCGTTCTGTCATGGCTTATTGCCCGCCATGTCTTCTACCTGATGGTCTGCTGGTCTATCCACACCCACATCCCCGAAGAAATTCCCGACTCGTGCTACACCGGCCAGCAACCCAACCTGGTTGGCCCGCTGCCTGTTCCCGAGGGTAAGAGCTGGATGTTGGAGCCCTTTTACAAGTCGGATGGCATGGTTTGCTGGAACTCTACCATTCGCTGGTCGTTCCTGATCCCACTCCTCGCTCTGCAACTCATCACCATTGGATGGTTTTTTATGATCCTTCGCGTCGTCAACAAGGTCCTTCGCGGCGGAAACGCTGAGGATGTCCGCAGCGACGACGAACTCGAAGGCGAGGAGGAGGGCGATTACGTCTATGAGGAGGAGGTCGCTCTTGAGGAGGAGGTTGGCGTCGAAGATATCGACCTCAAGAGCTGGGAGCGGAGAACGGGCATCAAGAGACAAGCAAGTTCTTCAGGCGTGAGCCTACCCGGCCACAGCGACCGCAAGGAGCTGCTTGGTAGAATCGGCTGCGAAAAGCAGGTCGACTAAATCCGACGACTGAGTGTCGCCTACGAAGCCATGTAAAAGACCTCGGCGGCGCTAGTCTGGTGTATACAAACGAGTTGGTGGTATAGGAGGGCGCCAAAGGAGAGAGGAGTTTTCCAGAAATGGTTGGCATGGTCAGGGAAGACTTTTTTTTTGCCAACCTATACTAACGTACTACTTTGCTAGAGCATAGTGCAACGCCTGGATGGCGGGCACACACAGGCATAGATGAACATTTTGGCTTTGCTTTTTTCGCGACGTAAAGAAGAGAAAAAAAAGGGAGAGAAACGAAGAGGTTGAGAAAAGGGTTTATGTCTCGCCTCTCTGGGATCTTCACCGAGTTGGACTTATTCAAGAAATGAATCAAAAAGTATTTTGAGTTGATGAATATAATGGCTGCGCTATGCATAGTACTTATCTACCTTTTAATATGATGCAGTAATGATTCGTCGTGTTCCTGTGCCTGTGGTATTGAGCGCCTGTCTGTCTAAGTATAACGTTGCCCCTCGTTCGCGTTTGTATGTCGGTCATGGGACTTTTACATAGAAGCTAAAAGTTTCAAGCTCTTTGGTATCATAAGTCATATTCTCATCACTTCCAGCTATGCCATCACGCACTTGATGTCTTTCAAATCACAGTCACATCTCAGAAAGTCAAAGCTATTAGGTATTTTGGATAAATATCATCTGGTAATTGAGCATATCTAAAAGATTGGGGGTACTGACGCCAACCAGAAGAAAAAAGAAGAAAAAAAAGCTCCCATCAACCGTCATCCGACAGAAAGTTCGTCACATCACACTACACCCAAGGAACCTCCAAAAGGACCGTTCAGATCTCCCCTTTTTTCTACTTCTCAATTCGTGTCATTGAAATATCCCTTGTCTCATGCCACATCCGCCGGCGTGATGGGGCGGAAGGCCCCATTCTCGAGCAGATACGACCCCGGCTGCTGCGCCTGCACCAAAGCCTTCAACGCAGGGTTCCTCTGCGCCAACACATCTCCCTCGCTCTTGAGCAGCACAACGTTCCTCAGCCCGCCGCTCGCCTCGATGCTCAGCTTCCGCAGAAGCTGTGTGGTCAACTCGTCCTGTGCGCCATCGGGACCACGGACGACAACCCACGTCACGCCGCCGAGACGGGCCGTGACGACGCCCGAGAGAAGACCGGGGAAGAGCCAGGGGTACTGCAGGATCTCGGCCTCGAAGGCGTTGATGGACTCGCGGGCCGTGGTCGCGTAGGACTCGTTATTGAGCATGGTGCCGAGGCGGAAGAGGTTGGAGACGGAGACGGCGTTGGTGGAGGGGAGGGCGGTGTCCATGCCGTCCTTGAGGCGGAGGATCGTGTGGGGCGCGTTCTCGGGGGTGGTGTAGAAGGCGCCGCATGAGGTGCGGGAGGGTGTGGATTCCGTGGCCGGGGATGGGCTGTCGTAGAAGATGTGGATTTGGGCTTCTGTGGTGGTGTGTTAGTTGGTCTCGATGAGGGAGGCAGGGGAAGGAAGCATGCTTACTCTGAAGCTCATCGGCGAATTCAATCCACTTCTCGTCTGCAGTCACCTCGTAAAGGCCAATGAGACCTTCAATGAGATAGGCGTAGTCCTCAGCTAAGGCCTTTGTCTCGCCCACTCCCTCATGGTGTATCCTGTAAAGAGTCTTGGTGCCCTCATCCCAGAGGTTGGATCGAATAAACGCGGCGGCCTTGCTGGCAGCCTCTATCGCAACTTGGCTCTTGGACTCATCAACGGTCGACAAAGCCAGTCCAGCCCTTGTCAAGGAGGAAATCACCAGGCCGTTGCGTCCCACCACGATCTTGGTATCGGTCTCGGGTCTTGGACGCTCCTTCTCCCTGTGCGCCTTGAGTTTTTGTTTTGCTGAAGTGACCACCCTCTTCACCTCGTCAGTGGTAATGCCAGCTTGTCGTCCAATCTCTGAAATATCCTTGACAACACGCAGAATGTTCTCATTCATGAACTCATCGTTGGGATCCTGGTCTGGTTCGACGTTTCCATGCTCAAGCACATTCCAGTAGGATGCAGCCAGTGCTGCCTCGTGGTCATCTCCAATCACTGTGTCAAACTCCCTTCGTGTCCATAGGTTGTAAGCTCCCTCTCGCATGTGTCTGTCTCCCCGTCGGTAGTACGAGTCTGCAGCTTCACTCGAAACGAAACCACCCTCGGGCAGGCTGATGGGGGAACTCGTTAGATAATCCACCAATTCCACCACGACATCATAAAACTCCTCGTCCTTCTCGCCGCTACCTGCAATCAACCATGCATCCAGGTAGAGTCCAAGAAGCAAAGCATTCTGGGCAACGAGCTTCTCGAAACGCGGAACACTCCAGTCTGCAGTAACAGAGTATCGCGCAAAGCCGGAGCCTCCAACATGGTCGCGCAGACTGCTGTCCCGCATCTTGCGTAATGTAAAGAGGGCCATCTCCGTAGCGTGCGCACACTCCGTCTCGCCCACAACGTCTTGAGCAGGGGGGAGGTACCGCGGCAAGCGCAACAGGAAGGACAGCTTCGGTGGGGTCGGAAACTTGGGGGCCAAGCCGAACCCGCCATAGACGGGATCAAAAGTGCCGGCAATGTGCGTGTAAGCCTCCTCCAGCTGGTCGAGATCGAGCTCGCTCGACACGGCGGCCGCCGCTCTGCCGGATTCCGGAAGCTCCAGCCCCGTCTCTGATCTTCCAATGGCAGCGGTCTGCGAACCTGCGACACCCGGCTGGACCGTGGCGGATCCCAGTGTCCCCTCCGCCGCGAAGTCGTGCAGCTTCACCACGACCTCCTTTGCCTCCTGTCTGCATCGCGGCTCCTGCTCTCTCCACACCTTCTGCAGCTTGCGCAAGATGGCCAGGAAATCCAGACGCTCCTCGTCGTCGGAGCCTCCATTGTTCGAGCCAGGAGCGGGGTAGTAGGTGCCTCCAAAGACGGGCTCGAGATCCGGGGTCAGGAAAAGGTTCAAAGGCCAGCCGCCTGATCCGCTCACGGCCTGCACGTAGTTCATATATATCGTGTCCAGCTCTGGGCGCTCCTCGCGGTCGATGATGACGGGGATGAAGGATTCGTTCAGGATCGAGGCGCATTCGCGGTGGGTGAAGGACTCGGTGGATGTAAGTCGCGAGTCTGCGAGAAAAAAGAGGTCAGCGCACATTATCGGGCATCCGCAGGGTTCTGTCATGCGTGCACTTACAATGGCAGGCTTTGAAGCCAATGTGCAGAAAGATCAACTTGTTCTCCTTCCTGGCTCTCTCGATCGACTCGTCGTCGAGCAGTTGCCAGGCGACGCGGCCGTCCGCATGGCTTCGCACGTACGGGCTCTTGCTCTGCCCGACCCGGTTCACCAATGGCGGGGCAGATTCATGTACGTCGTTCGTCTGCTGGGCTGCAAGCTGCGACGCCTGGGGATCAGCCTTCTCAGCCCGCGCCGCTTGCGACAGTTCGGAAGCGACCATGACGGAATGTTGCAGCGAGTAACGGCCGGGGGTTGTGGGATGCTCAAAGCCAATAACGCCGATGGCTGTTAGCTATATATGCGTATGGGCGACGTCGAGCGTTGGCAATACCAAGACTTGTGTATGCTCTCTCCGCAGAAAACGAGTGCTTGCGACTTTGGAGTGAAAGATCACGAGATATTTCCGCAAGTGATAGCGGCGGGGACGTCGAAGCTGGTCGTCAGTCGGCCCGAGGCGAGGGGATCCAAAGCAGCAAAGTGCGGTAAGGTATCCGTAGTTAGTCGAGTCTGTTCGTCGTACAGATCGGAATAGAAGAGTCAAAGAGGGCGAGTCATGCAGCACAATGCGAGGTTTTTCCAGAAAAAGACTTGCCACGTTTGATCCTGCGGTGTGGAAACAAGCGACCCGTTGTTTATGTCTTCGAGCGGCAAGTCGAAAATACTCGAGAGGATCCCCAGGGTCGGTGTCTTTGGAGGACCAGACGTCACTGCGGGCTGCTGGCTGCTGGTGGTGGCAGCGCAGCGTAGCGACCAAACGGTCATTCGACACATAAAATGCGCTGCCCCACCATGCTTATCCCCGAATGAGGGGTATTTCTATTATGTAAGCAATTTTCTCGCGCTGTACCTTAATTCGCGCCTATCTACCTCACGTATCCATCTCGACCTCAAGGCTCAAAGGCGTCTAAACTTTTCTTTGGAACCTTGCGTGATATGAAACACTGCTTCATCAAAGACATACCGAAAGGCTGTGGAAGTTCACAATCTACAAAACCCCGTCTGCGTGAGGGGATTGCGCCCCCGCCCATCTCAACGCTACATGTCGCAATGCCTTCTCAAGCTTTGGCTTTGAACTCTCTTCCGATTCATGCGCCAGCTGGCGCTGCTTTTCGCTGGAGCAATCCGGTGCAGAATCGCGTTTACTCAGCCGTGACTCGCGGCTAAAGCATTTGGACAGGCCTAAGGTCTCGATCTGTAACCCGAGAGCCATGTATTGCATGGCGAACAGGAGGATGAACCTGCCATGAGTACAAGGGTCTGAGGCTTCTGGCTCCGAAGCGTCTGAGGGAGCGGAACGTCAATTAAATGTTTAATTCGTATCCCTGTCTTCAAAACAGCCACAAGCCATGCTCCAACGGGAGAACCTCGCTTACTCATTGTTTCGGCCGAGTATATTCGGACTCCATGATATGAAGACTGTAAGAAGCTAACTTAGATAAGACAGCCCCGCCTCCTTGAGCAGATTCATAGTCATTCGCACATGTCGTTCCCTTCTATGAACTTGAGGGGTGGTTGAGACTAATCAGTAACATGGTATGGGCCTAAGCACGAATATTCTACATCCATTCATTCTTAAGATATTGTTCAAGTCTCAGTCTCTCGATCCTGGATATCGCTTCCCGAAAGACATACAATTAACGAGGGTATAACGCAAGCCACAACTCCAACAACCTTCACCCCTTTTTAAAAACACCTCGTGATTCTTTCTAGTCCCCTCAGCTTTCACGAAATCAGGAAGGAATCGTCTCCTTCGTCTCGCCAGTCTTCTCTGGCGTAGCGGTGCCAGGGGTAGTCTTCTCGTTGCTGTCATCCTCGCCCTCGGTAACAATGGGCAGGCGCGTCGGCTTTTTGCCCGTGAGCATGGACTTGAAGGTGTGAACGAGGGTACCGCGGCCCTCATAGATGGGGAAGAGGCCGACGGCGAAGAAGGAGCAGAAGATCCACAGGATGCCAACGACGACCCAGCCGGTGAAGAAAGGCTTGCTGAAGATGTAGCCGGAGCCGTACATGGGCATCGGCCAGAGGATGAGCATGGCGATGGTCCTAGGTTTTCTTGTCAGTATCACTCTATAAAAAGGAAATACACCGGCAGGTATACTCACATGAATGCCGTCATGGAGACGGAAATCTTGAAAGCACGCGAGAGCATGACCTGCTCCCTCTCGAACTCGGGCTGCGAATCCGTGTTGCCCGGTACATCCTCGATATCGAGACCAGCAGCATTAGCCAGCTCGTGGTCGTCGCCTCTGCGGATCGCCATCATCGATTTCCAGTCATAGCTGTCCACGCCAAAGGCCAGAGTGAAGATAGGGATCAAGACGATGGGCGAAAGCAGGGCAATGACGTTGCCCGCCAGCATGGGGCTGTTGGAACCCGTGCAAGTGACGTCCAGAACGCCGCAGGTCTTCTTGGCCGTGACGAGCCAGCCGATGATGGCCATGGCGGTGCCGACGATGGGGGAGAGCGTCGCGGCCCACTTGTTCTGGCCCTTCCAGACCAGAGTCAGTGTTGCCGGGAGCACGGCCGCAGAGATGAGGACGCCCATCAGCACGTAGAGGTAGCCCATGGAGATACCATTGTAGAAGAGGCCGACGGAGATGGAGCTGATGATGATGGCGTACACGACAACGCACACGTGGGACATGTAGATGAGCCTCTTGCCGCTGGCGTCGGGCTTGAAGTACGTTCGGTAAATGTCGTAGGTGAAGATGGAGGAGACGGCGATGAGCTCGGCCGAGGAGGCGGAGGTGACGGCCATGAAGATCATGAGGAGGGTCGCGACGGCGCCGCCCTTGCCCAGGAGGGCGACGGCAGCGTAGGGGAGAGCGAGGCCGGCGGAGACCTCTGCCTCGGTCATGCGGGCCGGGAAGGTGGGGAATCGGGGGTTCGACTCGAGGGCGAGAGCGGAGAGACCCATGGTGGTTGCCGTCAGCCAAGGGATGGCGAACCAGGAGAGACCACCAAGGATGTAACCCGGGAGAGCGTGGACTGGCGACGCGGCGATGGCCTTGTTGTAGTAGCCATTGTCCAGGAAGACGGTTCCAAAGTTGCCGACTGTTTGGTCCACGTAAGACGGTGAAGTTCTCCGTGACATAGGAAGGATCACTTACCAATGTTGATAACAAAGAACTCGACACCACCTTGCGATCTCATCGTCAGGTAAGAGCCCTCAGCGTTACCAGAGACGGGGTGTCTCAGGGCAGCTTCAACGAGAAGATCGTAGACCTTGGAAGGGCTGCCGAGAACATCAGAGTTGGCGTAAGTCGTCAACGAGAAGAGGATGATGATGATGAGCAGGATGAACGTGTGAACCCAATCGGTGAGGAAGGTAGCCTTGAGACCTCCGACAAGGGTGTAAGCAACGACTCCGACGGGCAGCAGGTAGATAGCAGCAACGGTGTTCCTACATTTTCAATGTCAGTTTCGTTTCCGCACACAAAGCCGCTCGAGACTTATGACTTACATGCCAGTCAAGGCATTGACGGTCGCCGCACCACCCACAATCAGCATCAACGTAACCAAGATGTTCGTCATGAGACCAAAGACAATGAAGACGATGTGCGTAGCCGTGCCATATCTAGCCTTGATGACTTCGAGGAACGTATGGGCGTTGGGTGCTCTGCGCTTAAGCTCAATGGCGAGAGTCGCAAAGAGCAGGATCTGGACAGTCGCGCCCGATGCGTACCAGAATGGTCCCGAGACGCCGTACCGGTAGCACACGCCGGAAGACTGGAGCAGCGTGGCGGCCCATGTCCATGAAGAGACGACTGCGGAACCAACGAGACCGGATTTGACTGTTCTGCCGGCGGTCGTGAACATTTCGGAAGTCTGCAGCTCCCGGTTGTAGCGCTTGAGCACATAGGTCGTGGCAATCTACATCGTGTCAGTCAATCGCACGTGAACTTATTGGGCCATGTGTCATGGTCGCCGTACCATGCCAATGGCGAAGAGGAAGCCCACGCCGAGGACGATGCCGTAGCCGACGCCTTGGTTGAGAGCTGCTGTCACCATCTTGGGCCAATTCGTCTGAGAACTCAACTATGAACGTGGTGTGAAGCTCAGAGAGAAAAGCAACTGTACCCTTGAGTAAGACACTCCTTACATCCCGACAACTTGGGACTGGTCCTCCTGTATATGTATCTGCACCGGGGACAAGCTTCCCTTACAAGCAAGCACAGTTTGGCCGGCGGCAGCATCGATCCCGAACATTGTCCTACGGCTATCGGAGCTTAAACTACCGGACCTACCCTTGTCCCATGTGCCAGTCGACACAACGGTTTGACGTTCTGCCCCCACTCAGACATGAACAGATACAACTGCCAGGCAACTTTGGATCGCATCATGGCGTAGGCTGGCTGGGGATGGAGGGGGGCGCTAGTAGCGGGGGGGGGGGGGGGGGGGGGGGGGGGGCAGAAGAAAGAAAAGTCAGGGTCAGCAGAATTCTTCCAAGATTGTACCTCAACCTTGAGACTTGAGACGAAGTTTGAGTGTAAGAAAGATAGCGTGGACAGTATCCGTAAGGCACGTCGCTAAGAGGTCGCCCACCACATATGCACAGAGGCGTACTGGCCATGCAGGGCAGAGAGATAAGGCCGAAATTCAATCAGTCATAGAAATGGTGTTGCCGTCTTGCTGCCGTGTGCATGTCCCGAGCCAATGGTATGTCTTCATTACCTGACAGACGTTAGCCTCTGGTTAGATCTGCGGCCAGTCGGGTGCTAGGGGATTGCTTGTTTGGGGTAGCATCTGCGTTGGACGGGGTCGTGATACGGCAGGGCGATATCTTTCGGCGGGGGGGAGTTCATGGGTGGTTTGCAGATTGACAGAGTAGAAAGCGCGTGAATAGCTGCAGGCTTCTGCCGAGACCCATGTTTCTGATTTCATCCAGACCCAACGGCCGAAGATCGCTTGGAGACTGAGAAATCTCTCAATTTGAGATTGGGAGTGCGTAGCGTAGAGGGGAGGGGTGACAAAAGACAAAGGACCATAACAACATTTCAGCTTTGCGAAACGGCGGTGATTTCCAAGAGCCATATGGTCACTCTCAAAAAGAAGTTTGGTAGCCATTGGGCTCATCTTACTGACTTCAGCTGGAATGAGAACTAGCTCGTCGATTGGGCTGGTCGGTTTCGCGATGCGTGATTTGAATCCATTTTTGCTGACAGCTACGGAGCAGCGGCATGTCAGAACGACAGGATTCCAAGCTCGATCTCAGACACAATGATCTGCTTTGATACTCTGCAGAAGGATTTCTCAAAGCATCTCCTGGCTTGTCCTGCAGCAGTGATGGACAGACAGCCTGCCTGGTGGAGAGTGGCCGGCGGCCAAGAAACGATAAGAAGCTACGCTACGGCTCCCGCACCGTTCTTTCATATCGGCCCGCTAGCTCGAGGGCAGAAAGGCAGAACGGATAAGTAATAGGCGTCTCGTCGGGTGGTTGACATCAGAGTTCGAATCGTGGTTGCAAATCGTGCGCAGGTATCAGCGAGAGGTTGACAGGGAGAGAGATAAGAAAACGCGATGCGTGTGGATGGCGTGGAGAGCCACGGAGTTATTACCCCCCGGTCCATGCACGGACCACTGGCGAAAGAGATCTCCGCAGTTCTCACTTTCAAGAGCTTGAGCTTTGCATGTGGGAGGAGGGGTGGTCCCCATAACACCTACTTGGGTATATCTCTACATCACAATTGATAATACCACAGTAATCTGATGCCTGGTGTGAGATGGATTCACTTGCCATAGTGTGTTCCACTTCACTCAACAGTCATCTTCGGGGTATTTTCCATGGTGGTTGTTGACTTAACTCCGAGCTCATGGCTTGCACCTGTATTACTACAGCCAAGAGTGACATTTAGTGAAAGTTAAGTCAAGCTTTTGGCAAAGCATTTTTCCAAGAGAAACCAAGAAAATTGTGGCACCGCCGTGGATAACTTACATCTTGGCTCTTGGTCTCGATCCATCCTAATAGACTGCGATGACTTACACATCTCAACCTCCAGAGCTGATATGGAACTCCATTACGAGTAGTCTTAGTCAAAACAATCCTGAAATCGTTTTCTTCATAGGCTTGAAGTTGACTTACAGCTTGTATCTTGTCATCAGTATGTCCAATTGCATGGCCATCCCACGCATGTCTCTCAGGCACTGCATGCTAAGCAACAGGACGTCTACGCAGGAGATAGTATGCAGGCCAGTGACTTCGCAACTCCGAATACCTGACCAGCTGCCGGGATGGTGGATAAACATTCCAAAGTGAGTGCCCAGTACCTACACATACATCAGGGTTCGAAAGGCCTAGTCTCGACTCTCAAAGCAACACCCCCCCGTGCCCCCCGCCCCCGGAAGACCGCGTGTGAAGCTACTCCTGCCGCTGCAAGACAGCGACTTCACCCTGATCATGGACTAGCAGTGATCAAGCCGCCGGCCTGGTCTAGGTTGCATGAGCTCGCATGAGAGCATGTGCCCGTGGCCAGGCCTCCGGGCTCAAGTCCTGTGCGACAGTTCCCCAGATCTGCCCACACGTGCCTTTCCCCGATCCGGTGGACGTAGTAGCAATGGCGAGTAATGGCAGCTGAGTTGTGTTTTGGACTCTCCGTCTTCGGCCGTCAACATCTGCAGCATTCACTCCTGGCGGGAGCTCTAATGGAAGAGAGCATAACACCGATGTCGCCAACGGCAGGCAGGTTTGAGATGTACCATTATTGCTAGAGCAGTAGGTGACAGGTCAGGCGCCGACGGATCTTTGAGGTTCCTTTTGAGAGGCTCCACCAGGGTCTTGAGTTCCTATCGACTTCATAAGCTCATTCTCATCAACCTGGACTTGACGTCAGAAAAGCCCGATAGAAAAAAAGGTACGCAATCTTTACTTCAATTCTTCTACTTTCATACAAATGGTACTCAGCCAATTCGATAGACACTATCAACATGTCAGCAACGTAAACAACATCGTCCTTTTGAAGGACTTCTTACTCAACGACAAGCTCATCCCGATCCCACATCCCACTCCCAACCCACAGCCCCCTCACCTTCTCAACATACCGCTCATCCGCCGTACTCAAGTTGACAGTCATTCGGTAGTTATACCTCCTCGGATCGATCCTTGCCTCACTCTCCGACCGATGAGCAATACCGTCAAGAACATCAGTCGGGCCACACAAGAACCCCTTCGTTTCCATTTCGAGGCTACATTTGCATACAGCAAGGGGTCAGCTTCTGGACAAGTTTACCACATCACGAACGGCTGAATAATGCATTTAATCGTTTGCTGAAGCAAAGGAGTGCCTCTTACACGGCCGGTACTCGATCCTTGGTTCGTAACCTCGACTTGGTGACGATTTCGTGTAGACTCTTGTCTTTCAGTGTTGTCATGTCCAAGTCATGTCCGCCTGCCTTGTGCCGTCAATCTGTCAGTGACCAACTTCCAACGGACTCACATCAAACACAACAGTGATGGAACGCACGATGACGGCCCCCGACCCAAGCGAACCAGACCAGGAACCGCGAACTCCCTCGGCCATAGTATTCGTCTCCTGGGCGCCGAACCTCACCACCACACGGAAATCGAACTCGGCGAGAGGCGGTGGGAGAGAAATAGTAGGATAAGGAAAGTGGATTGAAGAAAAATCCACACCAGCCGCGACGCTGGACGCCGTCCTGGAAAAGTGGTTTCCGTCAGGAGATCATTGAAGATCTGCGAGGAGGAACGACTTACTCTGACCTCTTCCCTCCTTCATTCCCCACAACCTCCCCGACGTCATCCGCACACCCTTCATGCTGTCTCGCGAGATCCTTCCGGGGAATCTTACTCTTGAACGGCGGGACACTCGGCTCGCTGGCCCACGTCGTATCCCAATTCGGTGCGGGCAGTCCGCCGCACGTCATCTTCCAAAAGCCAGAGACATATCCCCTCGGCGTCAGCTGCTCGTAGACTTCGCCCATGTCATCGGCCATCTTCCTTGACAAAGGAAACTGGCTATGTTGTGAATGAAGCGTGACAAGGATGGTGGTACCGCCTTGATCAGTATTCTAAGCATCCCCGAGAGACATGCAAAATGATTTAAGGAGAACCCAACTCTTCCGGTGCGTTCCTCCCCTCACTTTCTTGTCCTTCGACGACCATCATCCCAAAAGCCACTGGATCGCGGAACGACTTTCCACCACCGGGAAAAGCCGCCGTCAAAGCGTGATCTTCCGTCGCCCCTCGGCGCGACTAAGTACCCCGCTTCCGCTCCCTCGTCCGCCCGGCCAGCGCCGCGTTCTCCGGGTTTAGATCCAAAAACCCGTCGGCGTTTGTTTACCCCCCCCCCCCCATGTGAGGAAGATCGCCGGCTTGGACTTTGATGAGAAGGATTCCGGATTCCTGCTCTCATTTCTCTTCGAAGCGGTGAGGTTTTGAGCTCCGTCGGGTGGGTGACAGCTGTACTATTCGGACGTGGTGTGCCAGGCTGGTTTTAAGGTTGAGTGTGGACGGAAGTACGGAAAACCACGGAGGGATGCTGCGAAGGATACCTGGCTTCGTCCCCCATCCAAAAGACCATCAAACATCATCATGCCCTGAGCGGTGTATGATATAGAATAAGGAATAAAGAGTCGTCAGCATGGACGTCCACATTTTCAAGGCTTACATCTAAACGAAACACCAGTCAGCAACAAGGAAACCTCGCAAGAGGGACACCCTTTACACGCACAAGATCTCATTAGCATCGATCAACACCTCCATATACCAGTCCAAAGAAAAACCAAGACCCAAATGCCTACAGCGCTCAAGAAAAATGACACAACCCTCTCATCGCCGCCTAATCCTCTCCAGCATCTCTTTCTCTCCAACATCCAAACCCCCATCGATAGCGAAGTATCCTCCCACATACCCGCAACCCCCGCTATCTTTGACGCTTCCCATAGTATACTCTGAACACAGCCATGTTGAGCCAACTAGTATTTTGCCCCTTTCTTAGAGGCACAGAGGCGCAGAAGTCGGCCATCTAGTATACACGCGGATAGTGCAAAGTCGCAGATTGAAAGAAACAACGTTGACGGTTGACCACCAGACCCCACACACCCACATACCCAACCGTCCCATCTCCAATCCCCATCCGAACCCACGCCGTCTTTACAGCCATCAGCCGCAGCAGCACGTTTCACAATGCCGTTGGACTCAGGGGCGGGCCACACTGCCACAGCACAGAGAACACACGCGCCGTCAGGTGGCGGTGCGCTTCAGGAGTACAAACTCGTCGAGAACTTGAAAAAGAAGAATCCATCCCCTTCTGCAAGTCGTCTAGCAGTCAGTGGTGTTCACTTTCCAAGTACTCACTCAGCTGAATACCAGGCCAAGGATGCTTGGGAGAAAATAGCCGACCTACTACAATCCCTTTGTGCGGCACCCTCGACCGTAATCACACATACCTCGAGTTCTGGAGTCCTCGCACATCGGAGCGGCCGATGTGTGCACGATCGAAATGTCACTTCACAACGGTGCACAGAATAACGACACACGACACAGTCAAGCTGACGAGCCAGCGAAATCCGGCAATATTGCATGGCGATCCTATCAAGTATCAAGGATACATGTGTATCAAGACGGAAAGAAAGAGAGACACCAAGCACACGAACATCGAACATCACTCAATACTTCAGTTCACCATTCGTCACGACCAGTTTGTGTCCTCGAGAACATATTTTGCGAAACCATAAAATTCATGGATCCCATTGCCTAGCCTCCCTAAACCCGAAATTCAAGTCGCAGAGAACCATAGGTACAAAGAACCAAAAGAGTCATAAACAGGGTGCCGTGGCTCGCCCATGCAGATTCATAACCCAGACGCCTGTCAAGTGACAGGCCGGGTAAATGACTGCAAGGGACCAATAACCAGGCCAAGAATCGAAAGACGAGAAAAAATGCAATGTTCCATGGTGGGTTGGTTCCCTTTCCCCAAAATGATTTTCTTTGTTCCACGCCAGATCCGTAAATGCATCATCATCAATGTCCAGTGGTCCTTGAATCATGGTCTCAGCCGGCGCAAAAAAGACGTTTTTCCCCATCACGCGAGTGCTTTGAGGACGTGTTCGTATGAAGAGAATAGTTGCCCATGCCATTCGTAGGCGACCAAAGCGCATGATTCAAAGGGTCCCAGGAGAGGGACAAGGAGATCGAAAAAAGGTCAAGCGATCTCCTGTTAAAGTACAGCGGTAGAAGAGAAGAAATGCCTCGCTAATGCGACGGAGCTCATCCGCAGTCGTACCCAGTGGCCGTGTCGCAAATAAAACCCAGTTATGCTTCAAGCGGGCAACACGAAGGGTGCAAATGCAGTTGCGTGTCACGACACTTAGGCGACGTTCACGGTGGCGGCGCTGCCGGGAGGCAGGACGTTCTTGTCGAAGCTGCCAATCACGTTGCCTGGATTCTCATTAGTATCTCAGATATGTAAGAGAGGGGAATGATCAACTTACCCTGGGACTTGTAGTTGCAGACGGTGTACCAGCTGCCAATGGAACTGAGGGTACCGGCGGCGCAGTAGTAGACACCGCAGCCAACCTTGGTAGTGTCAACCCAGACCAACTGGGAGAAGTGACCCCACTGGAGGAAGTTGGTCATGTCAGGGCTGGCCTGGCCGTAGCCGGTGTAGAGGTTGAGCTCGCCGTTGTACCACTGCTCGGTAATGGCGCGCTGGGCAGCCTTGGCCTCACCCAAGTTCTCGGAACCAGTGGCACCCCACATGGCGAGGTTCTGGCCGTAACCGCCACCACCAGTAGTCCTAGATTAAGGTTAGAAATGAAATGGACTTGCGGTTCATATTGGCACTTACATGTCGTGCTCGAAGACGCAGGTCTTGGCAGTGATGAGAGCGTAGCTGGCAAGGTCGGCATCCCAGGTCAGAGCGGGAGCAGAGTGATTGGAACGGTGAATGTTGTGGGAATCAATGGCGGCAGTCTGAAGGTCGCTGACGGTGGCAGCGGTGCTGGGAGTGGACTGGGTAGTCTCGACGACGGAGGCGACGGGAGCGGCAGAAGAGGAGGCAGCGGGCTCAGAAGCGACGGGCTGCTCGACAACCGGCTCAGGGGTGGGAGTGGGAGTAGGAGTGGGAGTCGGGGTCGGGGTGGGAGTCGGGGTAGTGGAAGCCTTGGGAGTGCGGGACCGACGCTTAGTGGTGATGGTAGAGAAGACAGGCGCGGGCGCAGGGGTCTCCTCGACCTTGGGGGGAAGGCTGCTGGAGGGAGTGGCAGCGGGAGTCTCGATGGGGACGCCCTCGGTGACGGTGACAGTCACGTAGGTGATGTCCAAGACGGTCTCCATGGCACGGGGATCGATGGCGGCACCCATGGCCAGGACGGCGCCAGTGGCGGCAAGAACGATGGAAGACTTCATTTTGAAGGTTGGATTGTGAGATCAACGAGGATGAGTCTGAATGATGGTTAGCTTCGCCCGCGAAGTGGTGATATCTGAGTGAAGGAAGATGAAGTGAAGTGAAGTGAGTGAAGTGAAATAAATGGAAAGTGCGAATGAGCGCGGGCTTGCTGAGGAAAAAGAATGTGATGAAGCAGGGGTAAGACAAGCATCTCGAGCAACATCAGGAAACACCAGCCTGATATATGTCCCCCATGAGGTGACGAGAGACTCAGCCTTAGTCGCACGCTGGCACGCCAGCTGACACGACTCGATGCCATCGACCCGGGCCCAGGCGAACTCGTTGTTCAACCAAGCGTGAGTCAAGTGAGCACACGTGTCGAGCGAGACAATGAACAAAGAGCAACAAGGCTCTTTGTCTATTGTCGGCAGGAGCGGGCTGTATCGCGGTGGCATTCGACTGTCTCGAAAACGTTGTTCCAAACAATGCCATTGACGCGATGGGAATGAAGATGTGGTGGGGAATGTGGGGAGGAAGGTAGTCTGGATCAGTGCCACTCACCTTTTTTGAGTTTTTGATGTCTTGAAGAGATTCGCGGAATCTGGCTACCGGGATCTGGTCCGAAGGTGGTAGTTGTGTTGGGAAGAGTTTGTGACGTGAGGTAATTCTCAGAGCCAGCTGTGTGGTGATCGAGCACTGCTGATACGGTTCCGTCAAGGACCTGGTGGTGATGTAGAAAGAGTGTGGTTGAACAACGGTTGTGTTGTTGAAGTTGGGAAGGAGTTGCCGGTCGGACGATGGAAGTCGTAAAATCTTTTTTGGGGTGGTGAGCCGGAAAAAAAAGAAGTCTCGTGAGAAAAAGTTGCGAAGGAGTGACAAGAAGCCTGATGCTTGTTGGGTATAGAACCGTAAGGAATGTCGGTAGCCTATCCTTCTATCCTGGAAGGTTGAGGGTGCAGGAAAAGAGGGAATTCGAGGTCGGGACCTGGGGGCGATGTGATTGGTTTTAAAAGGAATGGACGGTGTCAAACAGACACGATGGCGACCGAGGCCTAGGCGGGAGAAGAGAAGGGGGGTGAAGGGAGTCGAACGAAGTGGTCTCCTGGGAGGTGGTGAAGCAAGAAGGAAAGACAAGATGTTCTGGATGGCGACGTCTGGCTACTAAAAGGGAGCGGACAGGACGACGGAAACCCGCGCGACTGGGATCGAGGGACTGGGCGGAGAGAGACTAGAGTCTGAGCGTTGGGTCCAGTGCAAGTCTAGTCCAGACAAGGGTAGAATCCAGGGCAGCCGGGGGCGATATGCAGTGTTGGTGAGGATGTTGGTGTGCGTGGGTTGTACCACGGACCGTGGATAGCGCCTGGGCTAGGTTGCTGAATGGTGAGTGATATTGCTAGTGGACTGTGGTAGTTGAGTTGACGGGGTCGAAATGACTACCGCTGCGTAAGTGTGGATATGGAGGCGATATGGGGGGTGTGTGAGTGAGTGAGTGAGTGAGTGAGATGAGTGGTGGTGTGAGGTCCAGGTTAGCGCTGGATGCTGCCCTGGCGTGTGGGGAGGCGTGAGATTTGCGAGGGAAAAAAAAGAAAACGAGCGAAGGAACGCAGGACGGGACGACGGGAGTGCAAAAGTGAACCCTGCAGGAAGGAAGGAACAAACACTGTTGCTGCGTTGCGTTGCAGGCGACAGGATACAGCGCAGATTCAAAAGCCAAGAAGCGTGACGAGGGTCAAGTGTTCGTGGTCCGTGGAGCGGAATCCGGGTTAAGAAAAGGTGGAGGCAACGGTGATGAAGGGCGATGACCTGGAGGCGAGACAAGCAAAGCAAGAGCTGCGCAGGCCAAAAAAGAAATTGGGTTGTTTGGTTTGTCCGGGGTCACGATGAACTGTGGAAGGGACGAACTGCAGCGTGTGCCTGGTGTAAGTGGGAGGGGTGGGTTGAAGATTGAATCGAGGTCATGTGGGGGTGGACATATCATCCATGATTTCCCCCTCTCCTCCACCACCATCCAAGGGAAGGAAGGAACGGGTTTTGGTGAATGTAGAGGCAATAGAAGGAAGGAAGGGACGGAAGAGAGGGAGCTTGGGAAGGACCAACGATGGCTTTTCGAACGGTCCCTTCTCACTTCCACCCTCGGGAACACACGTCAGTGCCTTAGCTAATATTAGGTAACTTGCTGTGAAAACCTACGGCCCCTCAAGAACAGATGCACAGGTAGATTGATCGTCATGGAAGAAGGCATCAAGGCGGGTAGGAACAAAGTCAAAATACTCTATTTCATCCAGACTATTGGGGAACAGACCTCAACACCTAGCATCACAGGCTGCAGTCTGCACAGCAACAGTAGGAATAGAAGCACAATGCTGTAAATTACGCCTCACCGACGGTCAGCTCTTCAGCCCAGCATGCACCGCAGCATCTCAGCTCACCTTGTCCAGGGTTCTGCTTCCCAATCTCGCACCATGCAACGAGGAGATCCTCGCATCTTGGCTCCTCCCACCGCGGCACCGCAATGCACCTTGGTCCAGATGATGTCTATCACTGGGTCAGCTTCCCGATCCAGAGAGGCCGATTTTGCCGGTCTAGATTACTGCATGCGGTGAACCTGCACGCCTAGATGAGGTCAATTATACAACGTGATCTAGACATCGATCCCTTGTTTTTCTCCCATTGTCCATGATCCATCCTCTGATACGGATATCCGTAAATGTGGACAGCAAAGGTCAACCCTTCACCATGACAACGGGTCTCAACCACAAAACTCAAGCCAAGGTGTATCAAGGAGCGGATTCAAGCGTCAAGCTGAAGAAGTCTGAGAGTCAACTACCCTGCCGAGTCCTGGATCCCGATGCCCTTCGTCGTCAGTGCCGGTGATAGCGCGCTCCTGTCCCTGACTCCTCAACTTCTTTAGAAAACACCGCAACGGCCTTGGCTGACTAGGACACCATGACAGCTGACACTATCAGCTTGTCCGCAATTGTTAGCGGTATTCACGATAGCGATGAGCCGAATGGAGGGGGAAAAGGGGCTTGCAGATTCCCCAGCGCCTGTTTCTTTGGTTTGGTTGTTGCCAATATCAGCTAGCGCACCTTCACTCCGCCCCTCGTCCCGGCGCCTCGTTCCTTCCACACGCCCCCCCCTTCCACCCCCTCCCTTGCACTTTCCTCCCATGGGACGATGGGATGTTGCCCTCCCGCCCACGTCCCGACTCCTGGTTTCCCGGCATCTTTGGCCAATCCCCAAGCGGTAGCATGCAGTAGCCTCGTCCCATTGGTTCAATACCAACGGCTGACCGAGCCGGTGCCTTGCAGACGCAGTCGTTCTTGCCCTGATTGCTGCAAGGGTCTGCTGGACGTCTCCATCAAACAGCCACTTGGCCCGGGGAGATCCACCCGTCTGAAACGGCCTTAATTTCGGTGGGGACCCGTTCATCCAGTCTTTCCGCGAATTGCTCAAAGCGTTGCGTGGACGTACTGGACTGTGCACCATCCCCATTCGTTCTATTCTGCGGCATGCCAGACTCACCAAAGAGCCACCATAGAACATCTCGTTTCTCTGTTTTTATGGTTTCTCTCGTTGTACGGATACCCAGCTTACCGCCCATTTAACACTGTTTTCTCTCTCTGTCTCTCAGACTCTCCATCAAGCGATGGCGCTTTCATCGGGTCGATCGCTGCAATGCTGGGGACCACGTATGTCCACACGCTGTGCTCCTGTCAACCATCCCCGGTCGGCAGTCTGCGTTAAACTTTACTACCGCATCACCTTGGCCGTCTCTTCCGCTGTCTCGCCAAATGACCTCATTACACTTCGTGGAGACTTTTGTTGGCCCCCTCTCCATATCACCACCTGTGCCGCTTCTGTCATCCTGTCAGCGTCTCATCGCACACGACGCATCTCTTGACGTCTGATTACCGATGACGACCAACCAGGAACAAAACCTGGCATCCCTGTATGGAACTCACAATGAGCGAGATGAAGCTGCAAAATCTTCCGGCTGCCCACTACAACACCATCATGCTGCCTTTCCGGGGTAGAAACGCAGACGCCAGATGCAAGTATGGATACGGATCCCTCTCTCGTTATCAGCTATGGGCAGTCGGCACGGCTGATGGACGCCGAAGCGGAACCTGACCTGCATCGATAACCTCCATCCTCGATTCCTCCCAAGGAGCCTAGGCGATGGAGAAGGAGTCAAGATCCATTCCATGCCATGCCATGCATCCCCAGGGTCATCCCACAGCAGGATACTTGACGGTTGACCCCGTGGAAGCAAGCCGCGTGGTGTTGCTCGCCCGATTGCAGAATATGCAACGAATGCCATGCATCCCGAAGACGCCTCTTCAGCTACAAAGTCCCCGTAGGCGCTTTTCTGGTGCGGCAACCGCCGAAGAGGATACTACTTACTCGCCCGAGCGCTACATGACTTCCGACGGCAGCGGGACACTAACGCCATCACTTACACCATGCACGGCCGACCACAACGCCGCTGGATGTCGTGGTTGGGGATGACTTGGACTACGGAGTACGGCACCTGATCATTCGGAGAGATGCAATAAATGCAATGGATCACGGCAGAAACGATGCCATGCGTCAACGATCGCTTCAGAATCGTCTCCCGCTGCTACTTGACGTTAGTCCCCGCGTGGGCAGCATCTTCCAACCACCAAAGTTTGAGACGGCCTTCTCCCGAAAGCCAATCTGGCCCCTTCTTCGCCAGACTGGAGCCGTGATCAGCAGCATTAATCGAGATGGCGTGTGTGCCAGACAGCCAGCACAACAGATTGACCCTCCATCGAACAGTCCCGCCTTCTTGGCGACCAACCCCCCGACGATCTCGGGTGGCCAATGCCATAGGTCAAACCACAGACACCAGGCTCTTTCACGATTCAGTCCAGCGCGTCTGGTGTGACTACTGCGTATGTCCACCATTGTCACTTAGCGGCCTGTCAGGGACGACATTCCCACCATCTACTTGGCTTTGGCACGAGACCTGACTTGACGGCCTTGAGCTGAAAAGTCTGGAAACCGAACTGATCTAGCTGCTGCGCACACAGCAGAGCGACAAGACGTTGGGTTAGTCCGCCGATGATGGCTCGGAAGTTTCCTCCCCTGCAGATGGGAGATGCACAGATGCATTCCCCGACAGTAGTTGAATGCAACCATGCCAGTCGCCAATGACACTCGGTCCCTGGAGCAGAAGGCTTCATCTCTTCTTCTCCAACTCCCCTCAGATGTGAATGTCATCCCATCTCCAAGCATTCGTACGCGGGATGGTATACTATGGCTCAGATATTGGCTTCCATTCTGCAGGCTTCCAGCAGCTTAAACTACCACCCATGTGGTGAAACTAATTGCGGAGACGAGGGGACGTCTCCGACATCGCTATCCTGGATGGCTAGAGCCTGACCGCCAGGGAACCCCCTCTGTCTTTGTCGGTTCATCTCATTTCTCTATGCATATGAACGCAAAGCTGCCAGATAATCAGGCGTTTCTTTCCCCTGCTGCTCGCAGTCCAACCACACTCAGTCATGGGGCGGCACGACCATCGAGATAGCGGGACAGGGTTCAGACAGGACCACCTTGAGGTTGCGCACCCACCAGGAAATGAGGTATCGTTTATTTCCAGGGCACCAAACATCCTTAATTTTGACCAAGGAGATTTTGGTGAGTTTTTCTCTGCCCCGCGTCCCTCTTTTTACCACTGCCGGCGAACCGCGGGCCTCGCGGCACATCATGTCAGCGTTCAGAACGTCCGTCCCCGGGGAAGACGGCATCTCCATTACGGATCCCAAGATCCCAAGACCCGGCCGTTGCTGGAGCTCAAGGCTATCATCAGACTGCGGATATCAACATCGGCCCACCTCCAAGCCATCCCGGCAAGCTAATGCCGCACAAAAATCTTAGTCCCGCTTGCTTGCTTGCTAAGCTGCGAATCCTTCGAAGCAAATCTGAGAAAAGAGCGCCAGCTTTCTCTTGAAGCGCTAGCTGCGGACAAGGCCGGTTGACGGTCTCGTTTGCCAGAACGAGCGAAGCAGAACCTCACGCCTTCTGTTTGGACTTTGCAGTTCAAATTGCATTCGGTTGGCCGTAAATCACTGGATCGCCCAAATACTTCGACATGGGCTAAATCAGATTGTTTGACGTCGCTGCGGCCAATTTTTGCGACCTCGTCGCTCGGCGCCCGGGAGTTCTGGTTGCGCTACCCTAACGCTTTAAGCGCCTGGCATGATGGAACCCCTCCATCTCCCCTCCGCTCATATTGTCGACAGGAGAACCCTGACGTCAAGCCAACGGCGGTTTCACGACAGCGTCAAACATGTTCGGATTGCTTCCTCTGGCACATTACGGTGGCGGGAATCCCAATACCTAAGCATTATTTCTTTTGAGATGCTGACGAGGTCTCAATGAAGGAGTCAGATCCAAGGGGTCTAATGCCGCAGGATCTGAACACGGGGTTCACCATCTAGTCCAGTGTCTTAGACAAAAAGAAAAAGGACTTCCTGGTTTGAAGATACCCAATCCTTCAACGACGGAGAATCGATCAGCATGTGCCGTCTTAGCAATGGTTGCTCGATGTGGCAAATCTATAACACTTGGTCAGGTCTGGACACTGTACGACGATACTGCTGCGCTTCTCGGATCTGATATGCCCCCGCACTCTGATTCCCAGATCGAACAACTGGGGAGAATACATGAATGGCTACTTCCAAGACTTATACGACTCCTCCTGGATGGAAGCATAAGTTTCTGCCGGTTAGCGGTATCAAGGTTCTGGGCTATCTAGACAAAGACATTGATTTCGTATGCTTTGCCCCTCGCGGTGGCATCGGAATCCAAGTCCCCAGCCCAATGCCTCGGATAGAGACATTTAGAGTTAATGGAACATACGTTCTAGCCAGCTGGTCCTCCCCTTCTCGTCCCTCTTCCGGGAGATTGTGTCTCAACGGCTTTTCCAGAACCTGTAGCACCTCCTCAAACAGCCCAATAAGCCGTCGCGACAGCCAAAGTCGGGCTGCCTTCGTCGCCTAGATATCTGGGCCGCCCGTCGCGTAGAAAAAGAATGGCCCGTCAGCTCCCTCTATCTGCACTCTACCATCTCTTGCTACATCTGTCTGCCCATGTCCTCTGACACATGACACATAACACAACGTCCTAGCCACCAAGCAGCGGCATGCTGTTTTCTTTGTGGCGTTCGCCTCTCTGGGCAGGTAGTCTACGTAAAACGGAAGGTCTGCAAGGGAAGTTGGGCTGGGGTTCAAATCCCGTTCGTGGCACCATACCCTAACTCAGTCGTATTTCAGCCGGACCATCTACTCTTGAATTCTCGAGCGACAGTGATAGGCAGAATGAAGAGAGCAAAATCAGAATAAGAAGGGGGGGAGGGGGGGTAAAAGGGGAGCTTCGAACTGACATCCATGCTGCTACAGCGACACGCCAGGCAACCTGTAGACTTTATATGGCGGGTTCGCGTCAGTGGAGGAGAAGCCGCACTCTGACCCGCTCGGCCAAAGTGTACTTTCTTTCACAGAATATTCCAACTTGATGGGCTATAGAGGGTGCGCGGACTGTGTATGGCCAGGTAGGTTGCAAATAACAAGGTATGGGACCACAAAGGTGTCTACGGCTCGTCAAAGGTGGTGATCAAAGATTGTGGCGTCCTGTGCCGTGTGAAGCCCCGAGTCGGAGGTTGATTAAGTCTTCATAGTTAGGCTGCGATACACCGGCCCGTCTTGCCCAAAGGAGGGATTTCTTACCCGGCAGCAGTGTCGGTAGCCAGCTCTATCGGGTTAAAGTCGGCTTTGTTAGGAACTTCGAATTCGCCATGCTCGCTACTCAACTGGCCTCACATCGTGTATGCCGGAGCGGCTGCTCATATCCCAAGAACTACGCTTTCTTACTCACTCCCTGAGATAGGACCAAACCGCAGCTGAACCGAATACCATATGACAGGTCTAGAGAATATGCTAGGTCCTTCTAATCGTCGTTACGCTAGAAGGCATAACCGAACCCTCCCATATCATGCAGACCCTTTATGTCTCGGCTACCCACTGACAGCTGGATACTGCATCTTCTGACAGCTCAGAGACAAAGCTTACTTTGTTTTTTTTTTTTTCACTCCTTCCGATCTCAGTGGTTGGGAAGGGAACCTGGGCATCGATGTGCGTGTAACGTCACATATCCCTTGTGAGATTTTGGCAAGGCAGAGTTAGGGTGACGAGGCCCTTACGGTCGGTCTATGAATCTATGAACCCGCCACTCATGTACACGTGAGCTAGAGAATGGTAGTAGTTGCGACAGAAGTTGCCAGGTTTCTGTACGTACACTGGGCCTCGGCTCTGGTTCTATTGTGAGAGACAACTCGGATCTGCGAGGCTTCGGTAAGTGGATTGTCTGGGGGAAGGTAGGATAGATGACTTGCGGCTGTTACTGGCGGGTGTGAGAGGCCAGAGACAGTCTCTGACGGTGAACCTCAGCTGAGACTGGTAGCAGCGTGTGAGTGAGAGGCTCGCAAGAAGGCTTAAAAGACTTCGAAAGCTGACTGGCAATTACTTCTTTGCTGTGATACCTCGGGCAGATACCTCGGCTTCCTGGTGGGAGAGAGAGGGATAGCCTTTCATCTGGGGAAGGCATGTTATTGATGGTGCTGTGAACTTTCTGGTTGTGGTGTTGCTGGTCGACTACCTACTACAACTTATCTACTATAGGCTGTCTTGGCTTCTCATGACACAACATGATCGTTACATCTAGGGTAGTAGCTACAGAAGTCTAAAGTTCTTTTATCACAAGAAGTTTCTAGCTAAGGCAAAGGGCTTATTTCTCATATCCCCCGAAATACCCAAATAACCATCAACAACCCGGGGGGCTGGGCAAAACAGGATCACGTGTAGGTGCCGTATATTCATCTGGTCTATACACAATACACCCACGGGAGCAAACCCAAAGGTATATACCCCCCCTCAACTCCATTCTCGTCACCAGTACAGCAGGCGCCCTCTAGGTCGGGGGTCAGGTCAAACTGTGGCGTGGTGGTGGAATGGTTAAAGGTCAACAATCAGATTACGCCCACAGCCTACTCGACGACAGGCTTCGAGTTCGATTCCCAACAAGTGCGCAAGAGATGTAGCCCCCATTCGCCACCGGACGGGGTGAACTCTTTTGCTAACTCGATCAGATTTCTTGTTTTGCTGTGAGAGGTGTCTGAAGAAATGTAGACCGCGATATCAACATAGAGTGAGTCGCTGATGTCTGACGAGAAACCATCTGCGTGCTTCCCAGGGCCCTCTCTCGAACGTAGAACATTGAAGTACGAGCATTTGACTAAAGCTGTAGTATACATCAGACCAAGTGGGACACATCTGAAATAGGTCGGAAAGATGTTGTTCTGATAAAAGTGAAGCCATTGGTTTGATCCCAACTCTGATTGATGACATATGTACACAGCGTTTTCTATCGCCTAGTTCCGAGTCCTACATCTTCAACACAAAGCACCCAAAGTCCCCTCCGCGCGCTCACGCGGAAGAAGTCGCCAAAACCCCCCATATCGCCGTCTGCTCTCTTGCTATACCTCTACGATGCTTGTTGCTTTGACGGGGGGATGAAGGGCTTGCCCTCGAGGGTGTTAATGGCTTGGTCGGCGTAGATCATGTGGTGGCGGAGCTCGACGGGGGTGACGCCGGGGCGCTGGTCGGGGATGTTCTTTTCGAGTTTCTACGTTGCGTGTTAGTTGCGACGTTTATATCTCCACCTGAGGGGAAAGGCTCTCCCTCGTATTGGACCGAGATCGCGGGATTGTGACGTACCAGGTTCTCGTAGACACATTTGTTGAGCTTCCACTCGGCTGGTCGGCACTGGTAGAGCTGGTGGTTGCGGTTCTCGATGCAGGTCCAGTGGGCCTTGAACTGCTCGAGGCAGTGAGTGTTGATATCCTTCAGCCTGTGTAGAGTCATTGCCATGTCAGCGATTTGATATCCCCTTCAAAAGCCATCTGCTCTCGCGACCCATTGTCTGCGGCATTCGGGCGCAATTGAGCGGTACCCCTTGGCACCATAACAACCAAACCCGCCGGGACCGCAATGGATTCAACGTACACGCTGGAGGCGCATCTGGTGACCCGACGGCCCTCCTTCAAACAATCGAACTCGCCGCGGCCCGCGCTGTCCGTCTTGCACTGCATGAAGTCGTCATTGTATTCGCGGCAACGGGCGCCGATGAAGTAGGACGCCGACAGAAGAGGCGCCGAGCTGGCACCAATCTCCTTGACCTTGGGAATGTCGTCGGGCAGAGGGGTCGTGTCGACCTGGAACTGCTGGTTGAACCTGGACGCTGGGTGTTAGCCAATCTCAAGCTCTCTGTATCGCGAACGGCCCGGGGTCTTGGTCGGCGGCGACTGGGCTCAATTGGCCGGCCTGTCCGGCCTGGGAGGAGAACGGAGAACGTACTGAGGCCGTCGGTTAGCCATGGCTGTGATTGTGGTGATGGGAGCTGGGAGGGGGGCGGAAGGGAGCGGTCGGTTTTGGCAGTTCGGATAGTCTCCAGAGCAAGCTTTCCGGGCAATGGACACTACCACGAATTGATGTGAGGTCGATTTAGGAGGCGCCTGATTGGATCGGTTGGGGGCGAGGCTGAAGTGGAGCTGGTGTGGCTGTGGCCCCAGTGCGGTTGCAAGGTGGCTCGGTCTGGGAAAGTGTGGCGCCCGGTGAAGGCTGCTGCAGCTGCAAGCTCCGATTTATTATTTTCGCGTCGCTAGGCTCAGTTCCTGTCTCCCAAGGGTAGCTCTCAACAGCCCTGCGACTTGATACCCAGCGAGCCATCTCCGCCAACGCCTGAAAAGAAAGGTCGCCCGTCCTTGTCGCGCCCTGGCCGCTCCTGGAAGCTTCTCTTTGTTTTGATACCCGTCTACCTTCACCTCACTTCCTCCATCGATTTTGCGCTGAGCTTCTTGGCTGATTGTTTGCAGTTCGTTGCAACTCCGCGCATCAATCGCTTACGGCCATAAGAGCCCCGCGACGGACCGACGCTTTGCTCCGAACACAATTGAGTTCATCCTTGACACTCAATCCACACCATGAGTTTGTTCGGCGCACCAAAGCCCGCTGGGCAGACAGGAGGTCTCTTCGGAGGCGGTTGGGGAGGAAGCACAATAGGATCGTCAGCACAACAGACGCAACAGCAGGGTCAACAGCAACCCGGCGTGAGCCTATTTGGAGGACAGAACCAGACGCAAGGAAGTGCATTTGGCAACTCTATGGCACAGCCTCAACAGCAGCAGCAACAACAACAGCAACAGCAACAGCAACAGCAGCAGCAACAACAGATGCCGAGCCTGTCGCAGTCGCAAGCACAGCTCTCGAGCTCACTCTGGCAACCCGGAAGGGAAACACCTCGTACGTTACCGCTCTCGCCTGTCAGCCCGTTCTGCTCGGATCTGTACTAATTCACAATCTGCAGAGAGCCAAAAGCCCATTCCCGAACAAATGTCCCTTATCTTCGAGAAGTGGAACCCCACGAACCCCAACTGCGCCTTCAAGCACTACTTTTACAACAAAGTCGACGAAGCCTCCGTCCCCTTTTACAAGCCCGGCCCGCACGAAGACCCTAGAGACTGGGAGGAGGCGCTGCAGAAGAAGCCCGCGCCGGGCTACATCCCGGTCCTCTGCACAGGCTTCTCCGGTGTCGCGGCCCGCCTCCAGACGCAGAAGAAGGTTGTAGGGGAGCTTAACGTGCGCCTCCACCAGATCAACGCCAGTCTTGACGCCATCCTCTCGCGGCACGACCTCGAGACGAGTGTGCGTGCCCTCGCGGCCCGTCGCCGTCACGTCGTCCTTCGTGAACGGTGTCTCGCGCTCGCTGCCCGCGTGCAAGTGCTGCGCAACCGTGGATACGCCCTTAGCGGCGACGAGGATGATTTGCGGCTCAAGCTGGCGGAGCTCGAGCGCAACGTGCAGGATCCTGCTCTGGCGGCAAGAGAGGAGGAGCTCTGGAGCCGATTGATCGTGCTCAGGGACTATGCGGATCAGTTGATGAAGGAGACAAATAAGCCTGCTTTTGCGAGTGGCGAGGGATTGAGCGAGGAGACTGAGCACAAGACAAAGAAGGTATGGTTTTGCAATCTATGCTGTTTATCCAGACAGTTTGCTCGTTTCTGGTCGCTAATCTTGATTATAGGTCCTGGAAGACTACGAGAAGCAGATCCAGCACCTCAAGAAGGAAGTCGAGTCCATTACAAAAGACTTTGCGGACTGGGAGAAGGAGCGGAACCCGAGCTAGAGTGTCTAGGTTGTTTGGGATGAAGATTACTATCGGGCATATCATAATAGAGGACGGCGCGAGCGGACGCTTTTATGTACGGGATGAACGGAAAGGGACGAGGTGTGCTAGCCGTATCAAGAAAAAGCACTGAGAGGGTGTTCCTCTCCAAGAACGCAAACAACGAAGGAAGCTTTGAACAAAAGTCGTGATGTCTTTTTAACCCTGATCCCGATGCGACCCATAGCCATAGCCCATCCGACCAGTCGTCTTCTACACTGTACAGATGATATTTATTTTACAGAAGGGGTATTTATCCCGTTACACATCCCTTTGGCGGGTGGATGGGAAGCAGCGCTTCATTGGTGCCGCAAAACCCAAATGCTCGCTAGACGCGAGCGCCTTTTCGCAATGGTGTCATGATGCCGAGCTTTTGAAAGCTCGTCAAGTCGTTAATCGGCGACTGACAAGTCCTTTACAGGACCTTGGAGGCGGCATCGATGACAAAAGGGGCTGAGTAAGAAGTCTCTCGTTAGTATCTACCCCAACAAACTACTTGTGTGTATAGGAAGAGAGAACTTTGCGCTTACAGAGGTACAGAAGGACGGCAGAGACGACGACCTGCTGGATAGAGAAGTTGGCCTCGGCCTCCATCTGCTTGATCTCCTCCTCGGAAAGCTGGGGGGGCGCGACTGTAGGGAAAGATGGTCAGCGTTGCTTTGGGTGCAGTTCGGCTCGCAAAAGATAGGTAGGCAACGTACATCCTCCGAACATCTTGTTGGTAGCTTAGTGGTATTAGCTTGAAGGGAATAGGTGGTGGTGGAGGAGGGTGCAGGATGATCGGTTCGTTCGTGATGGGAATTCGCGTCGGTGCCAGATTCAGCGATGATGTCGTCGCAAAAATTTAGAGAAGCTCCATCTCTAGCTCCGTCCCGGCAGGTACGTACCTAGAGCCTCAAAGTCAACGGGAGGTCCACACATGCTTGTTTACTTACCTAATCCGATTTGCACATGCACAAAAAACAACGCTGCTTAGGTAAGTTCTCTAGCGGCATAAGTTTATGAAAGAGACGGGGACCGGGAGGTTCTTGGTGTCAATGGTGGTGTACTCGGCTCTATGGCCGAAGCACTCGGTTTCTCATCCGCGCCCCTCCAAACCTCCAAAGCAAAGGACCGCCTGGGAATACATTGCGCGAACGAGAGCCCCAGAACCTAGTCTCCCGCCCACCACCCTCCACGACCTGTCATTGGCCTTCACATCCGTTTCTGGACGTAATGGCGGCGGCTCATGGATGGCTCGCCGAGCAGTTTGCCCAACGCGCCGGGGGGGGGCCCCAAAGCCAGGGAATGGCTGGGGAACCGGAGAGCCCACCTACGGATCATAATCCAACCCATCATCAAGCTTCCCTATCATCTTGACCGCGCTTATCAGCGTGCGCCGCTGCGCATCCGATAAGGCCAGGTCTCACTCATCCTCACCTCTCACCTCTCAGGGTGTTGGTGCGCGGTTCCCAGGGATCCCGTAACCAACCGAGAGGGTTGGTGTTTGGTGTCGGGTGTTTTGGATGTCCGTTGCGGCGGCGAACGAGCGGGCGATCCAGTAAGGTAATCTGTATCTCACTCTGTACTTCGTAGGGAGATCTACTTGTGCACACCTTACTACACTACTGTGAATACGATTCAGGAACGGTATCCCTGGCCACGCCTGGTATCCTACCTACTACAGTAAGGTGTACCTTTGATGTTTTAACGACGCCGTACGGAGTACGTACCGCTGTCTCGATAAGGAGCCGTTGCCGCGAAAAGGAAGAAAGAAAGGGCGGATGGTTGCCGGTCCTTAAGCTCGCTCTCACCGACTCCTTCATATTTGAAGAGCATTCCGGAAGCCGTTCTGTTGACTTCTTTTGCTTCTATTTATTCTTCCCGAATAATCATCCCATCTGTTCAACAGAAACCTCGTTCGCGTCAAGACCTGGATTCAGGTGTTTTGAAACAGATTTGGGCTGCTTGCGAGAGCTTGGTCGCTTTTATCCCGAGTCGCATCTCGGATCGCAAGTTGGTGGCGACAAGGGTGTTACTTCTTGAGCTACAACGATATCGGCCCCAGATCCGAGCAATACTTCTATACGCACGACTCTCTCAACCACTACACCTGTCCTTCTTCTTTTTCTCCCTTCTTTTCTATTCTTTTCCAAGACACACTTCGACATTGGCGAGTCTCACTGGCAATTTCATCTTCTTTGTGAATTGCCACCCACAACTCACTTCACACAATGGCATCACTGAGATTGCCCCTCCCCCGCCAGCTTCGGCTGGCTGCCCCGAGGTCAAGGATCGCCGCCCGCCAGACACCAGCTTCCTCATGGGTTTGCAACTCATGTGTCTCAAGCTCGGCATCACCTTCGCGGATTCCCCGCGTGAGGACATTCAGCGCCTTCGCATCTCTTCAGCATGCCACCAGCGCAAAGATCGGCTCAGTGGACCCCTCCCTTGAGCCGCTGCAGAGGCCCGAGTCCTTTATTCCCCGACACATCGGCCCTGATGTTACCGATGCTGAGGCCATGTTGAAGGCACTCGACCCTCCGGCAAAGTCAATTGACGAGTTCATTGCCCAGGTTGTCCCTCCGGATGTCATCTCCGAGAGGAAGACCTTTGGTGCCTGGGACAATGAGGGCCCCCTCGATGAGAGCAAAGTTCTGGCGAGAGCCACGGCTTGGGCCAAGGCCAACGAAGCCGCTCCCAAGCCTCTTATCGGTGCTGGATACAACCCCAGCGTCACGCCCCGTGTTATTCAGACCAACGTCCTGGAGAGCCCTGCTTGGTACACAAGTTACACTCCCTACCAGCCCGAGATCAGCCAGGGTCGTCTCGAGTCGCTTCTCAACTACCAGACTATGGTGTCCGATCTGACCGGACTTCCCATTTCCAACGCCAGTTTGTTGGATGAGGGTACGGCCGCCGCCGAGGCCATGACTCTTTCCATGAACGCTCTCTCATCATCCCGCGCCAAGAGACCCGGCAAGACCTTTGTTGTCTCACACCTCGTTCACCCTCAGTCTATTTCTGTCATCCAAAGCAGAGCTCAGGGATTCGGCATCAAGGTTGAGATTATCGACGTGAACGCAGCGGATTCTGCAGAGAAGATCAAGGCACTGGGACAGGACTTGGTTGGTGTTATGGTCCAGTACCCTGACACCAAGGGTAAGGTTGAGGACTTCAAGGGACTCTCCGAGCTCGTTCACTCCCAGGGTGCACTCCTCAGCGCCGCCACCGACCTCCTGGCTCTGACGGTTCTCACGCCGCCTGGCGAGTGGGGTGCCGACATTGCCTTCGGCAGTGCCCAGCGTTTCGGTGTTCCCCTCGGCTTCGGTGGACCCCACGCCGCCTTCTTCGCCGTCAAGGAGGCCCACAAGCGCCGCATGCCCGGCCGCTTGGTCGGTGTCTCCAAGGACCGAAACGGCAACCGCGCCTTGAGATTGGCTCTGCAGACCCGTGAGCAGCACATTCGTCGCGAGAAGGCAACCAGCAACGTCTGCACTGCCCAGGCTCTTTTGGCCAACATGGCTGCCCTTTTTGCTGTCTACCACGGACCCGAGGGCCTGAAGGAGATTGCTTCGAGATTGGTCCGCCTTGCTCGTGGAGTCCAGGCCGTTGCCGAGGCCTCGGGCCTGGAGACCGAGCAGAGCAGCGCCAGCCCTGATGGCAAGGTTCTATTTGACACCGTCGTTATCAAGGCCAGCGACCGTTCTCAAAAGATTTTGGATGAGGCCAAGAAGGCTGGTCTGGGCTTCCGCGACTACGGAAACGGTGACATTGGTATCAGCGTCAACGAGCACGTCACCGAGGAGGTCTTCAAGTCTATCGCTGCCGTTCTCGGCAGTGCCACCGGTACCCAGACCGCTGAGGTTGCCACCAAGGCCTACGGTGCTCTCACCAAGGATGTCACTGAGCTCCTTCCCGAGACTCTGCGCCGCCAGTCTGCATACCTCACTCACCCCGTCTTCAACACCCACCGCAGTGAGACGGAGATTCTCCGTTACATCCACTATCTCCAGTCCAAGGATCTGTCTCTTGTTCACTCCATGATCCCCCTCGGATCCTGCACCATGAAGTTGAACGGCGCGACCGAGATGGCTTTGATCACCCTACCCGGCTTCTCCACCATCCACCCTCACACACCTGCAAGCGAGCTCCCTGGCTACACCGCCTTGATTGAGAGTCTTTCAGACCAACTGAAGGGTATCACTGCCACGGATGCGGTCTCTCTGCAGCCCAACTCTGGCGCCCAGGGTGAATTTGCCGGTCTTCAAGCCATCCGCAAGCATCTCCTTTCCCAGCCCGGCGGTAAGAAGCGTGACATTTGCTTGATTCCCGTTTCCGCTCACGGCACCAACCCTGCGTCCGCCGCCATGGCCGGTATGCGAGTCGTCCCCATCAAGTGCGACCAAAAGACCGGTAACCTGGACATCGAGGACTTGGAGGCCAAGTGCAAGAAGCACGCCGAGGAGTTGGGCGCCTTCATGGTCACCTACCCTAGCACCTACGGAGTCTACGAACCCGCGGTCAAGAAGGCTTGTGAACTTGTCCACAAGTATGGCGGTCAGGTCTACATGGACGGCGCCAACATGAACGCCCAGATCGGAATCGCCTCGCCCGGCGAGATCGGCGCCGACGTCTGCCATCTCAACCTCCACAAGACCTTCTGCATTCCCCACGGCGGTGGTGGTCCCGGTGTCGGACCCATCTGCGTCAAGGAGCACCTTGCTCCCTTCCTGCCCGGTCTCGCCCACGACGCCGACCAGGCCATGGTTTCCAGCGCCCCCTTCGGCAGCGCCGGTATCCTCCCCATCAGCTGGGCTTACAACGCACTCATGGGCAACGACGGTCTGCGCCTTGCCACGAAGACCGCCATCCTCAACGCCAACTACATCCTCGCCCGCCTCAAGCCTCACTACAAGATTCTCTACACCAACGAGAACGGTCGCTGCGCGCACGAGTTCATCCTCGACGCCCGTCCCTTCATCGCCACCGCCGGCGTCGAAGCCATTGACATTGCCAAGCGTCTCCAGGACTACGGCTTCCACGCCCCGACCATGAGCTTCCCCGTCGCCAACACGCTCATGATTGAGCCCACGGAGAGTGAGAGCAAGGAGGAGCTCGACCGCTTCGTCGATGCTCTTATCAGCATTCGCGAGGAGATCCGCGAGGTCGAGGAGGGCAGGCAGCCTCGTGAGGGCAACGTTCTCCGTATGGCGCCTCACCCCCAGATGGACGTCATTCTGGGTGATGGCGAGGGCAAGTGGGACCGTCCTTACTCCCGTGAGAAGGCTGCCTACCCCCTACCTCATCTTAAGGAGAAGAAGTTCTGGCCTAGCGTGGCTCGCGTTGACGACAGTAAGTTTCGTCTTTTCTTGACGTTGCCTTCTTACTAACAGAATGCAGCATACGGTGACACTCACCTGTTCTGCACGTGCCCTCCTGTCGAGGATACCACGTCAGAGTAAATGATGATTCTGCATCCGATAGACATGATACCAGCAGACCATAGACTTGTGCCTGCATGACAGCCTTCATGTTAGCTACACGGGAACGACTAGACGATCTCAGAGGGGCATTTCACCCCCTGATATCTCTATTGTTTCCTGACATCCTTCAACATTTTTCCAATCATCTCTTAGCAAGCGGGGATTTGAGTTCCTACGATTTCAACAGGGAATACACATACACCGTCATATTTACCACTGATGACTGTGCGGGCCGGTTTATGGGGCCGGAGACATGGGCCACCGGGGAGTTTTAAACAACAAAACAACGGAAATGGTTGTTTTTGTTTGGGTTATTGCATTATTGGGCGCGCGAATTCGGTTTTGGTTATCTAACTACCATAGACTGGCCTCTTTTAGCCAGGAAAAATATTTATATTGATAAGTTCAACTTGGTAGTGCTTCTGGTGATGCTTGGAAAAACATGATCATTAAGATGCCCTTTCCATCCTCTTGACCTTTCGATTAGCTCATGCCCAGAGGAAGATATTCATCTTCTTTGTTTCTGAACAGCTTCAGTGAATAATTTGTTGGATGTCGGCGTGGCCTACACAGTAAGCACACTTGTGTCACGGTGAATAGAGCAAGTAGGCCGACTGTGTGGTGTGCTAGGCATGTGTTCGGTCAATTTATCAATTGAAGAATTAACCTGAACTCAACCCCCTTGTATCCATGATGACCAAGGAATTTCAATCGTACCGTCAGCTTTCGGGCTGTTTGAAGAGCACGTATCGATGATCCGAAGATTCAAAAAAGACGTGGGTTGCCCCGTACCCCGAGCCGACCCCACTCGGCGGTCCGGCCTTCCTCATCAGGACGCCGTGCTAACCTTCCAGGTTCCCACCTCAAAATCCCCACCAGAAGCTCACCTTCCCGCTCTCATCTCACACCTCACTCCATCATCTCTTCTCAATTAATCTTCGCGAATAATCAATCGAGCATCTCCAGATTTGTAGATAAACACTGAAATGATCCGGATTACCTCCCTAGCGGTCTCCGGACTCGCGCTCCTCACCGGGTTCGCGTCCGCTGTCGCTACACAGGCGGACATAGAGTCGCCTGATTTCACTACCCTCTCAGTGCCTGAACACCCGCACCACGCCATCCGCATCAAGGAACAGAGCGATGAGATTTGCAATGCGGGCTCGAGGCAGTGGACTGGGTGGTTGGACACTGGCGGAAAGCACCTCTTCTTTTGTGAGTGACAGTGTCAGAACGTGAGTGAAATCGCGACTAATTCGATATTGATAGGGTATTTCGAGAGTCTGAATGATCCCGAAAATGACCCTCTCAGTCTCTGGATGACAGGCGGCCCAGGCGGCAGCGGCCTCGTAGGCCTCATGCTCGAACTCGGGCCCTGCCTCATCAACGACAACGGCACAGGCACAGTCCACAACTCCTACGCCTGGAACGCCAACACCTCTATGATCTTCGTCGACCAGCCCGCCGGCACGGGGCTCTCCTACTACGACACGGACGTCACCCCGCCCGCGACGTCCTACACCGCTGCCGAGGACATGAACATCTTCCTCCGCATCTTCTACCAAGCCTTCCCCGGTCTTGCGTCTGCGCCCTTCCACATTGTAGGCGAGAGCTATGGCGGGCACTACATCCCTGCCCTCGCCGCCGAGATCGTCTCCTACAACAGCGGCTCCCCACCTCCCGACTTCAAGGTCCCGCTGGCGTCGGTCCTCATCGGAAATGGCTACGTCTCGCCCGCCGACACGACGTGGGGCTTCTACGATACCCTCTGCACCACCAAACCCGGCGTCCCGGAGCCCGTGTTCAACGAGAGTATGTGTGGGCTAATCGCTGACGCGCTGCCGCGGTGCATGTACCTCCAGCAAGCGTGCTACGCCTTCCCGGACCCCATCGTCTGCGGCGCGGCCGGGGACTTTTGCTTCGGGCACGTGGATCTGCTGTATTACCAGGACGTGAAAGCCGGCGGGCGTAATCCATTTGATATCACGCGGCCCTGCGAGACGGAGAATATCTGCTACGGTGCCGGGGATGGGATTGAGAAGTACATCAAGACGGAGCGGGTACTTGCCGCGCTTGAGGTGCCCGAGGCGGTGGGTAAGAATTTCAGTCTTATTTCCATGGATGTGAACGAGCGGTTCGAGCTGGCGGGGGATGTGTTTTTGAGTACCGAGGCGGATGTCAAGTATATCCTCGAGTCTGGGGTCGATGTGCTAGTGTATAACGGCGACTTGGACCTCGCGTGCAACACGGCTGGTAACGTGCGGTGGACGAATAAGTTGTCGTGGGCTGGGCAGGTTGAGTTCGTTGCGAGGGAGCTTGAGCCGTGGTTTGCGGTCAAGAAGGGCGGGGAGACGGTCAAGGCGGGTATGTGGAAGCAGGTTTCGAAGAAGATGAGGGGGGGCAAGGAGACGAGGTTGGCGTTTGTGACTGTGGCGGGGTCGGGGCATATGGTGCCTTTGGATCAGCCTGAAGTTGGATTGCAGATGGTGAGGAACTGGTTGTCTGGGGATTTTGGCAAGGCTGTGAAGGGTGGTGTTGAGGTAATGGCTCAGGGTGTGGAGGATGGGTTTGTGTCTTTGGAGTTGTAGGTACGGAATCATGTGAGGATGTTGGAGATTCTTAAGCAGGCATGGATTTGTGCAGCTGTTCTATCACAAGAGGTCGACATGAGTTCCATAGGTACTTGGCCTAGTCCTCAAGGCTACGTGACTGCCAAGGTTGACGACTTTGGTATCCATAGCGTCCCAACCGTCGTTTGCTACCTTACTCATTCGGCAGCGATATACTCCTCTACGCCGTCGACCCGGTCACTCTCGCCATCCAATCGGTCAACCCGTTTTGCAACTGGATCGCCTCGGGGGCCATGCGCATTGCCATCATTCCCACTGACGATGGCCGTATCTGGACTGAACAGGCGTACGTATAGTCTTAAGATCACAAAGCGAGGTAACCCCAAAAAGACAAATATAGTAATAAAACGGCCTATTTCATTTTAAAAAGAAACCTTCATAAGGGCGTATTTCTATATCATATAAATGGGGTGATCGGCTTAAAAAAATGGTTAAGCTCAGTCAAGACCGTACTCCCGACTACTTCACTCCTTTGTACGTTTTAAATAGCCCTCATACAATCCCTCATGAATCTTATTAAGCTATATTTTTATCATGTTCCAATAAACCTTCACAAAAATTTCCCGGTCTTTAGATTAATACTTAAACTAAGGGCTAAGGAAAGACCACACGAAATCAAGATACCAAGGTCAGAGGCATCGAGATGTGGTAAACTGAACCATTGAACGATGTGCGATGCTTCAAAAGCGCCTAGACAAGCTTCTGAGGACGGAGTTCATGGGGGGCAACATCAACGATTTCTTGGACGCTTTGCCGGGTTAAAAATAAACAATCTCGATTTGCCACGACACGCCCTCCAGATGGTAACCAACCTCCTGGGCTCCTTCCAGAGAAAAACCCGTGCTCTTGACTGCGGATCAGAACTCCCATCTTGGTCCAGGAACGATTGAACCTCCCACAGCCTCAAACTTTGTAACATGTAATGCCATCGCATAAAATTTGCAACGGGAAACAAGCACTCTGTCTTTAGGAAGCTTACTGTCCATACCAAACCATACGCTTGCTTCAGAGGCCAACTATCTCAGTGCTCGCAGAAACTCCACTCCACATGATTCATCTCCTGTTCCTCGTTCTCTTGCATGACAGTTCTCTCGGCCATAAGTTTCTTCCGGACCCTTTTCGCTTCCCTCATGCTGATGAGATTGCTCACATTCAGATTGTCTCCACTCGCTGCCTGGCTCTCTCCATTGGCGAACCAGTGTTTCTGCTGAGGGGGAATATTCGATGTCGAAATAACCGATATGGCGGGGTCGACCAAGAAAAGCGCCACTATTTTCCTGTGCCCATTTTTTGTATCGTCCTCGAGTTCAAATGGCTGTACCTTGTGCTGACACAAGTTCGGGAAGAATAGCGCTCGTCCTGATCGCGTCAGAACACTCCCAATATCTTGCATTGTGTGAAAGCCGGCGTCGAGTGCAAATATCTTTTCAATCGAATCCCAGTCGTATTGTTCATAGTCAATCCGTTCGCTGAGATTTTCCTTGTTGGCTTCAGTACGGAAGGCAAGATAGGAGTCGGTGATGTTGGAGCTGTCGTAGTAGAACAGAGCGGTGGCGACAATATGTTCGTTCAATTGGCCTTCAATGTGCCACGAACCACCGTCATATGAAGGGTTCTCCGGTGTCAGTTGAATGTTGGCCAGCTTGACTATGACTTGAATTCTTGGCACGTTGTCGAAAAAGCCCGAATGTTTGACGTCTTTTGACGACACTTTGAAGTAGGGTGAAGGGTCGCACGCCACGTCGTCTTCACTATCGTATTCCTCATCGTCGGAATCGAGGCTGTCGTCACTTCCGTCAGATTCTTCACTCTCTTCTTCCTCATCGCCCTCACTACCGCTTGCCGGCTCGATGACTTCAGGTGTCGTTACAGTATCTGGCTGGCCGTCACTGGGGATCTTTTCTCCACCAATTTCCTCTTCATGGACTTCTGGTACTATGTCGGGAACTGGAACGCCATCCCCGACCTTACGAGTTGTCTTGGTAAGACGAAGTACGGAGTACTTCCTCACCCAACAGTAGATGAGGTCCCATGCTGGCAGAGACTTCTGAACCAGACCTTCGATTATAGGATAGAGATCTGAGTGCTTCTCTGGGTGTAGGTTGTTAATATAGCTCTCAATCTTTGCGTTGCCCTTGTCGTCAATGGCTACATCGCAGGGGAGCCATTGGAACTTCCTCGAGAAATATCCGACCTCTCTTCCTCGCCAGTCAAATGATGTGTTCTCAATCTTGGCTGGCTTTGGAACGCGAAATCCTCGGCCACAGAAGCTCAATGACTCGTTTAGAGTAACTCGAACATGACGCATGATACGACTGCGTCCGTATAAGAGAGGGAAAAGCGATGGGTGGACCAAGTCAAGCACCTTGCGACTGCTTCCCGGATGCCAGTCCCTTTCTTCATTAGGGACTTCCTCGAGAAGTTTGACGGCAGACTTCAAGCGGTCCAAGAGACTGTCACACAGAATCGTATCTGCTTTGATGATGCAAGTTGAATAGTCAAAAACAGGCACAAGGCCTGTCTCTTCGTACAACGCTGCCTTTTTGCAGAGCTCTTGGATACACTATGTTTGCGGCCATCAGCGTCACTCATGTCCAACTTCACAACTCACACAATGTTACAATACTTACTGCCTCTGCCATATTCTCTGTAAAGTCTCCGTAGCGTCTGTACTCGTCCCAGTCGAGTGCTAGAACTTCGCGCTTCCATTCATTGGCAACTTTTGGGTCGCGGACTTTGCGCCACCATTCTGGCTTGTTGGTGATATCTTCCATGAACTTAAGCATGCAGACTTCTCGGATCAGCAACGTCCTGGCTTTCCAACCTCGACTATCGCCATGTAATAATACGGGAAATCTGTCTTTCTTGGGAGGTAAATAATCCAACGGGAGGCCGTAGCCAGGAAGTTGGATCGCATCGGAGGCTGAGGGGATTGGCCGGGGGGCCGGGTCTGGCGAAGACAACGCGGGATCGTCATCCTTGACGAAGAAAAGTCAGCCTGAAAGATTGATACGAGACATGTTTTACCTACATTACATTGTTCAACTCGTACGTGTTCCATGGCGCAGCGAGTGAAGTACGATGTCTTAATTGAGACTTCAGCAGGAGTACGGAGAGGCGTTTCTTTGAGAAGATAATGAAATGCACATGGATTCGGATTTATACGCTTGTCTGATCAAGATGTTTCTGCGAGCCAAGCGCGTGCTAAGCTGCCACCAGCTCGTTGCCTAAACTCAAATGTATGGAGCCCCGAGAATGGCGCCGTGCTTCACCACACAGCCAAGACTCGATCAAAGTGTGACTATGATTCATTTGTGTATCGTTGCTGCATTGGTTTAGAAAATTGAAGTTTTTTTTTGTCACAGAATGGAACCAACGACTGATTCAGCTGCTTCATCACTTACCCTCGCTTGCGGCGACGCTGTAGTACAAGCTCGTTCACTCTAAACGATCATCGCCTCCAAAATCTTGCCTATGGGATCTACGAAGCGGTCTGTTGACGGATTTCCTGCATTGACATGTTCATACAGCTGGACCAGAAGCCCGCCTTCAGAAATTCGAGGAGGACTTCGGACGTCCTCAGCTCTCTCTACCTGCCTGGAAGCCAGTCGATGCCATGGGCCTGCTTCGTCTCTCGATGCTGTAGAAGACATCTAACCATCCTAATGTGTGACTCTGACTTAGTCTGAGGCTAGGCATCAGCATGGCTAGCTGAAAATCTATCGATAGCTTTAGAAGGGACGGTGCAGCAACACCTGCACTAGGATTCGACAGCGATAACCATACTTAACAAGGAAAAGATGATCCTAGACCGTGGCACACGGAACACCAAAAACAAAAAAGGGCACGCTTTAGACCAGACGCTTTCAGCAAACTATATTGCTCATCCAATTCTACCAAATGACTTTTGAAAATGAATTATACTGAAAATATTCAATGATTTCTCGGCTTTGAATCGTACTCTAGGCATCTCTGATAAATCTTCCTCTAGCATAGAAACAATAGTAAAAGCACTGTTTTATGTGGCGGTAAGTTAGGTGTGCCCTTTTCTTCGTTTGCGGGTGCGTGGGATACACTGACACTTGCGAAATGGAGAATATAACGTGACAATGCTCCCGAGACTGCTACCGGCATTGTCCAATCTAGAAGCCGCAAGCACGACAGTATCGAGCGGCACAGGCGGGGACGCTGTGACTATGAATACAGGCTTGACCACGGGTGACTCGGGCCCGGCAAGCGCAATCGCTTCGGGGTCATCCGGCTTGTCCACCGGCCGGTGTGCTATCATCGCGGTGTCGTGCCCGTCGCTTTGACAACTTGGTAGATACTGTGTATTATCTTGTTGACCGTTGAAACGCAACATCATCAGCCAGTACTAAGGTCGAACCTCACAGCCGCTTCAACACAATCGTGACGAAGTCGTTGATCTAGAGCAAGGCGGTAAGTACTAATGAGGACGCCGCAATATCGATTTCCGACAGCCTGATCATTTGAATCAACTTATGATAGGTGTGTATCTCTCGCGTTCGTTGAGCCGGTCTCTTGTAATTGTTGATGTATTCGTAGTGGCGATGCATATACCTACACGCTTACATCCAGCCTTCTTCTCGCCTAATCCTGCATCTCAATGGTGAACTGTCAGTTCTTAAGCTGGTAGAGGCAACATACGAACGGCAGGACAGGGGCAATCAGAGGACAAGACGATTGGCCACTGAGGTGCCCTGTCACTTGGAAGATCGTCAGCTGGCTGCGGCCCGCGGGTATGACCCCGGCCACTGATTCGTTTCGTTTTTCTTCTTCTTTCCTAGAGGCGCAGAGGTGAAGACTATCTGAACGATCGTGGACCACTTTTTTAGCCTCACTGATAGCTACTGCGTTCAATGCGCATGATCATGCGGGCAGGTCTCAAAGAGGACACCAAGCCGAGAGAGCGAAGCACAGCCTTCTTCACATGAGTTGTCACGTTGTCTACCCATGTGGGCCCTGGAGTTCTTGACAATGAGGCGAGAACGTGCCTGCTGTGCTACCACATACACTGGAGTTGACCGGCGATAGACAGCGATAGATGAATCATGATTTTACGTGTCTACCTGCTTTTCGTTGGGACGCAGGCGTGCGCTAGAAGACTTAAGATTCTCTACTATGTTATTCGTCGTTGGCCCATTGAAACAGAGGGCAGATTACTTAAGGAATCAATCACCGGAGTGTCTTAAATAGCCATAAATGTATATAGAGAGAGCACAAACCGGAATGCTTTCGGAGCTTTGGAGGCTGAGATGTCCCTTTCTCCGTCCACAAGTCATTGAACTCTGTGTTTTCTCTGGCAGTCTTTGCAAATTGACTCATGTCACATCCCCTCTCGGGATCAGGACGATCTGGGAGTGGTACAATCTCGTAGGCATGCGATTTCGGGTTCAGAACTCAATCATCATAATCTGGGACAATACTAAGACCTCGAGACTCAGAAGGTTGAGGTCTATTCGAAGAGATGTTTCAGTGCTGGGCAACCCTGGCTCAATATATGCAGGCGTGATGCAGTGTAGCTTGGCGAGCAGATGCAATCTTTCGAGATCCCACATCTAGTCTCAAAGGGGATGAGATAGGTAGCGAACAGAGGCAGTCTCTTTCAGGATGAGTGCAACTCAAACTCGTCAAGGGAGCCATTCCTACTCAGCTTGCTACCAATAAGATATACGCGCAGAGTGTCCCTCTTCTGATTGTCAAGAACATCTTCAGATCTCATTTGGCTTCGTGTTTCCAAAAAGGTATTTTCTGATACATGCCCGAAGGTGATTCAACGATGGCAACCCCACAGTATGAGGAGCCACCTAATGTTATCTGTGAAGCTGCCAGCAAGGGTAGGGCACGGGAGAGCTTATTTTCCTTTGGTGACGAGGTTCTCACGGCGAGTGTTGGCGCAACTGGGCGGCTGATTCGAATCACTCAGCAATTCCCCGGATAGAAGACCGGAGTCTGCGTCGGCGACAAATCTATGCGAAAGCCCTACTACATTTCATTGCGCTTGGACAGATTCCTACTCTGTTCCCAGCTCGAACGGTGAGGAGGAATCGGGCCACGTATCCGCTTATTCTGCCCAAGACGGAAGTCTGAGCATGATATTGTCAACGATCGATGGCCTACCTTTACCAGAACGATGCGGGGCGACACGTCGAGCAAGCTGCGTATGTCTTATTTGGCATATCAAGGCACCATCTACCAAAAGTTTGAGATCATAGACACAAACCAAGAAGGAGAAGAGGGGGGAGTTAAGTCGTCGATGGAGTCCATCTTCTGTGATCTGGCACTGGATTCAGACGTCCTCATCAGGAAGACAGATTTTGTGGACGAGTACAACCCCTTCAACACGGATACCTTGGAAACTGAAACTGTTAGTAAGTCAAAAGTGAGGGTTTACACCACTGCTGTTGGGGGAGCAAAGAACCACATCATACGGGAACACAAGTCAAGCTGAACGTTACACTCTCCACCTACAAGTCCTGGATCAGCATAGAACAATTGACTTTTGCCCGAAAGCTGGGGGATCTTGGTGCGGCATCCAACGGAACCTTGATGACCCCGAAAAGAAAGTCCTAGAGTTTGTGCTCGCATACACTCTCGAGCAAGGCTCCAAAGTCTCCGATTACAACCCTCGGCTGCCAGATTGGGAGACGTTTCTCGAGGCTAACGAGCTTCTCCAACCTTATTCAACAGCGGAATGGACTGATGATCGCAATCTCAACTTTCACCTGCGAAGGAAACTGGAATTTACATTGTCTATCTGCAGTATTCCTGTATATGCGGCGGATCCCGATGGAATACCTCCCGTTGCTCTCACCTGCGGAGACGTTGATGGTCACCGAGTGGCAACAGCAGCAAGCTTGTAAGTCATCATGTTGCTGGCAATGTTACAACCGCTGATGATTCGATATAGCTATGCTTTTCAAATTTTACTTCTTGGCATGGATTGCATCAAAGCCTTGCATTCAGCACTTAGAAAACCGCTTTGCATGTGCGGCCGCGACAAGAGACCTCTATCATCTCCGCCACTGCCTTATATCTGCATGACGAAGAGACGGATCGAATACGTTTGCGAAGGCCATATGAAATGGGTCTTTCAGGGAACAGCCGAGTCTAACAGCCGGTTCTGCCCTGACTACTGGACCAATGGCGATGAGATTGCGAACTGGGAATCCAATCGATGGCTTCCAGGAAAATCCCTCGTTGACGCCCCTTTTCAATTCATTAAAGCGGCGGACTTTTACAGGATACTCGGAGAAGACATGCCGTACGAACTGACTCAAAAGGCAAGGGCTGCGTACAGGAAATGGATCTGTCACCTTGGGGAGGTCGAGAAGTCTGGAAAGTTCGCATTCCCCTCTTACAAAGCCAGCGACGATGGGAAACCGACCGAAACCTTCTATCTTACAGACCATGCTCTAATTTGGCAGGCAGTAACATCTGCGGAGTCATTAAAGCTTCATTCCTCACCCGAGTTTTACTATGAGAAAAAAGAAAGGTGTTCAGCAGATATGTTGCGGGAAAACATTATAAAGAGTTTCACCACTGCGAATCTTCTCTTAAAAAAGAGAATGATCGCAGTCACACGAAGTCCCACACAAACCCGATTCCTTTTCCGCTCTAAAGATGTTGCTCTTCTTTGCGCTATGGAAGAAGGGCTGTTCAAGAAAGCCGGCATCCAATGGACGAACACCCTTGACTGCCAGAAACATCATGAAGGAAATGATGACACCGATTGGAGTGACCCTCGAAGGTTTGCTCTGGCTATTACAATGGCTCGACATGAAAAGCTCATCAACCTTCGAACCAAAAGGAAATTGATAGAGCAAGCCTTATCAGTCTTGCTCAGCAGCTCATCTTCCAATGGACCTTTCACGGGGCTACTCAATGAACGCCAGGGCCCAGCCGTATACGAGGACGATAGAGACAGAGATAATTATTGGACAGTCTCTTTCGAAGTTCCATATATTTGTGGAAAGACTACTGCTCATGGCCTCACGATCTTGATTCCGACACAGGGCGTACCTCGAACTCCACAAACAGCTGTCTCAAGTCCAAATGCCAGTCCGTCGAGGGAATCTGCAATGAATTGGGAGAATTGATAGTCCATCCGTCAGGAACAAAAGGGCCAAGATACCGCTACGGCTACTGGATGAAGCATAATCTCCCCTTCAACAGTGTGATAGACGACAGCAAAATTGTGGAGCTGCAAGATGAGTGGCTTTACAATGAGCCTGCATTCTTCGCCAACACTACCGATGACAGCGTGGGAAGTGATTCGGATTCTGATACCGATAGAGAGGCTCTTATGACAACAGTTACCCATTTCAAGAACGTTTGGCTCCTCATCAACGTCCCAGAGCGTAAGCCGCAAAAGGGGAAGCGGCCAGTGGGAAGCCTTCAAGTGCGGTACTTCCCGGAGGACAGGGAGGAGGAGTTCAAGGAGACCGCCGACATTCCAAGAAGGGCCAAGTCGGCTAAGAAGAGATTTTGGGCTTTCGTCTCGAGAAAGGCAAAGGACAATTCGAGCTGCACCAAACCCTTTACCCCAGACGAGGAGGAAAGATATTTTCCATAAGCACGAGGACAGCAGAAGCTTTTTCACCGAGGAAACGATACCAGCACTCAACCTGTGGACGACGGAATCCCATGTTGCATTTTACTCCAATATTAAGGAATATGTGCGATGGTATGTGTGGAAACTGGACAAGGAAGCAACGGGATTCCGATTTGAGGGCGAGACTTTGACAGATATTGGACTTGTCGTTTTGTAATGGCCGATCCCCAATTGCCAGACCTTGATGAGGGATTGTGTCAATTAGAGGAACACTTGATAAAGTTGCTAGAACAAGATGGAATGGACAAGAATCAAAGCCTTGACCAAGTCAAGACTGGTCCTTGGGAAGAACGGAGAGTACTTGAGATGATTTTGTTTGGAGACATCATCAGGAGTATGGCTACGAGCGCGGGGGTTATTCTGGATAAGGCCCAAAGAATTGTGGCGGAGCAGAAAAGAAAGTTGGAGGAGAGGCTAGAGAGGCTCCAGGACTCTCGAACGTCCAAGCGAGAACATAACAGTTCGACGCAAGATGACATCGATTATCACAGCTTCCTCCTCACCAGGAACGAGTTCCGCAAATTCCAAGCACAGCTGCAGATGATACACGAAGACTTCGCAAAAGCCAAACCCATCAGGAACGACTGGCTCAATCGAGAGAACGATCGTCAAGCCGAACAACTCCGATGGACTTTCAGCGACTCTCGTCGCTGAAGGTCAAAACTGAATAAGTCACTGGTTGCGAACCATCGGGCTATCCATAATCTGGAGCACAACCTCACGGAAATTTCTGTTCTTGCAGAATCAATCACGAAAGAGCTCGAGTACGTGGGCAGCTTTCTCGAGATCATGGTCAATGAACAAAACCGACAGAGCAATAATGATGTCCGGCTATTCAGATACACCACTGCCATCTTCTTGCCTCTAGGGTTTGCAACAGGCATGTTCAGTATGAGCGGGACGCTTGATGCACAAACTGTTGGTAGCATGTTTGGACTGTTCGTTGGAGTGTTGGTCGTGGGTACATTGAGAATTCTTTCTGTGACAAAGAAGTTCAACTTTTAGGATCTGGTCGGGTCGCAGCGTTGGAAGGCTACGAGGGCGTTTCCTTGGCGTGGACGTGGTAGAAGACCGACCGGTGGACCGACTGGAGAGATAAGTGCTGAACGCAAGGGAAACGTTACAGATCAAGTATCGCGACAAGGGATTCTGGGCTTCAACTTACGCAGGAAGGAGGTAAGCGGTGGTCTGGGAGAGGTGGACTCGGTGCCTCCACGGTGGACGAGACGGCAGCTTTAGGGAACGCGCGAAGCTCCAATGAATGAGAGCCACTTCGTATTTCGGGGCCATGAAGAAAACCTAAGGAAGGAGTTCAGGATCTATTGTAACTGTCATTTGTTATTCAATAAACGCAACATGTTCATCGATCATTGAATCGCTCGTTCTTCTTAGTAATTGTTGAAGACAGCCCATGAAAATGTTCAAAGCAAGACATTCAGGTTTAGAGCGTTGCGGCCCTGAGCGCCGTCATGGGACTTTGCACTATACCATGGACTGTCGGATTCTTTTACCAGCCATTCCAACAGCTCATCGGAAAGAACAAATGGATGATGCGGCCAATTCTTCGCGTGGCATCATCGCCTTCAAATCATGATTGAAGACTAGATGAACAGAAACTGAAGCGCGTCTTCTTTGGCTGAAAACCGGATAACTGGGAAAAGAAACGGCTGGATCCCTTCATTTTCCGTGCTCACGCGCTAGAGCTTGGAAGGCCCGTGGCGCCAATGAGCCAAAATCTGACGGATGAGCTACTTGTAAGGTAGGTAAATGCTGCATTTCCTGTGGATAATCAATAGTGGAAGCACTCGCCGTCTGATCTTCCTGTCCTCATACAAACATGTCTTCTTCACCTTCTTCTTCTTCTTCTTCTTCACCAGCAATCGCAAAAATCATTCCATCAGCCTCAGTACAACCTCCAAGACGTTTGTCAGCGGCTGGATCGAGAGATTCGAGACACTGAACATGGGACAGATCACGGATGCAGACACGCCCGCTGGCTCAGCCCCCGGCCAACAGATCCCTGCCGAAGGATTCGCGAAGGCTCCTCACAGACTCCTCCCAGCGCCTGCCTGCACGACGATGGAGATTTCGCTTGGCTCCAATTCAACACCATTTTAACCTATGCCCCCTTCTTCCTAGCGTCACATCCAAATTTATGATTTTTTCCTTCTCACCTCCCACTGCCTCCCAAGTGGTGGCCTGCTGTACCTGTTATTTTGCTGCCTGCAGTGCCTGAGATGCTTGGCTCCTCACCCCCCCTGCTTGTACCGCCCCAGCCTGTCTGGATCCTACGGATGCTGCTCATTCTCTTTCCACCGTCTCGCGCGATGGGACTTCAGGGACACCAAGGTTCCAGACATGGGGTTCATCGGCTGTGGTGTCGGATTGGCGCCGTCTGACTGGTTCGCGCGGACTGAACGGGATGACCCAGCAGAGGGGCGTGTGAGTGCGAGCTGGGAGCTGGACGAGAAGGATTTTGTGAAAAGCGAGTGCTTCCCTTGTTCCCTGCTGATCGTGTCCCGATTTCCCTCTCTTCTGTCTTTTTGCTTACCATTCACTGCAATTTCTTGCCAAGTGTTACCCTTCCATCGTTTGCGAATCGCCTCTCCAACTGAGGTTCTTCGACCTCGCAGTGTAGTAGTATCCACACATAGCCATCCCTGTCTCGTCTTACACGAGTAATCAAAGAAAACCTCGACGTCGAACTCGAAATCGACCTCTCAGGGCCAAGCTATCCGCAGACAGAGGGCATCTTGACACGTTCGTTCGTCGTCTATCCCCGTTTCACCATGGCGCTATCAACAAAAACGACGTTCGTCGCGTCAACCTTTCCCGAAAACCCGCTCAAAACGGCCGACTTCTCACCGCCCGCGTCCTCCTGCTCTGGCATCTACCTCACCAACAACGTCTACGCCATCGACAATGACTCCAAATGCCTGCCCAACAAGTTCAATGGCGCCAGTACAGCCTTCTACTCTCCCGGCACCGTCTGCCCGACAGGCTATACCGCGCAGCCGCAGTGCTCGCGCAACGGCGGGGTGCGCTCTGTGACGACTGTTACATGCTGTCCCTACCGCGGAGACATGACGCTATCGTGTGTCGAGGACGATATGACGCTCGCCAACGTGTGGGAGACACAATTTTGCACATGGATGGCTGGACCCGCGACGGTCGTTGATATTACGCGGACGGACGATGGGGTTGTGGCTACGCAGGCTGTTACGATGTCGAACCGTGATGGTGTGAATGCGTGGGGTATTAGGATGGTGTATCAGGCAAGCGATCTCGTGGCCAAGACGACCTCGAAAGCATCGCTTTCGTCAGTAACAGCAACGGGGGCTCCGGCAGCAGGGAGCGGTGCGACGACAGGAGCGAGTGCGACTGGGACGGCGGCCGGAGCGGACAACACCAGCGGCAGTGCGACCGCCGCCGCCACATCTGGAGCAAGTTCAGGCGGTTTGTCCACGGGCGGCATCGTCGCTGTGGCCGTCGTGGTGCCCGTCGTCGCCATAGCCGCACTCGTGGGCCTCTTCTTGTGGTGGAGGCGGCGGAAGCACCAGTACGCGGGGGTGAAGCCCGTTGAGACGCCCACGGCGCCCGAGATGGAGGGTTCGTCGACTATGGGAGCGCAAAGCGCATACGCGTATCAGAGTCAGCAGTACGCACAGCAGTCGCATAACGGGCAGTATCCCCAAGCATCCCCACCTGCGTCGGAAATGATTGGGACGGATATTGCTGGGTATTACAACAATGACAAGGTTCTCATGAACCCCGGTGACCAGTCTCAAGGTGGAGGGCATACGCAATTCAAGGGGTGGACGCAGCCGCAGCCGCCTGTTGAGTTGGCTAGCGGGGAGGGACCTACAGAGTTGCCTGCTGATAATGATCGGAGGTGATGGCAGTTGCGGGCACGGTCAAGATCTCTGCGAAGATGAGAGCTTTTGTCGATTCAATGGAGGAGGGCGGTGTAAGTTGTAATGGAGAGAGTTGATTTGAGATGGATATATCATCGTCGTAGGGCTTCATTTTCACAACAGCGTGCGAGGCGTTTAAATGGCCGATTTTCATGAAGGGGCGAGACCTTGAGGCAATGAAAGCTTCTAGTTGTGGTTGACTAGGAAAGATAGAAGATATCCTGAAGTAGAGTTGTATGAATTGAAGGCTTCATAATGAGGTTGAGATTGCTTCCTATGTAGCTAAGTACTTTCAAGGTGTGTATGTGAGTGAGAGAGTGAGTAGTGAGAGAGACAAATGAGTTGAAGCACTCATGTACCTCCATGAGTGAACTGTACGGTCGGCTTGTACGACAACGCGGGTCTCAGGCCGCTGAAAGATGTCATAAAACCAACCACATGAGGAAGCTGTCATGGATCCCCCGGGCCTCTATCGCGGGATATCTATCAACCTGGGTCAAGCGCCGTGCCGCCGATGGCCGGTGAAGAGTCACACCGACCGCGATGATCCCGGGGGCTACAGCAACCGGTGGCCCCGGCTTTCTTGGTGAGCTCACCGCCTGCAGTTTTCGGTGGAGGTCTTTCACCTGCGAATGAATTACCCCGCCACCCCGCCATCCAGAGAGCTGCAAAAAAAATCGTCCCAGCGCGACGCAATTCCTGCTTATCAAGCATCAGGAACTTCGATTAACGATTAATAAAGCAAAATTGACTTCCTGCTTCTGCACCCTTACTTTCTTTACAATAAATAAGGGATCGATACCCAGCGCCCCTTCCTACGTCATACCTTCTATCTTCCTTACCGAAGGAAAACTTGAGAGGATTTGGCGCATTACTTCCAAGAGTGCGAAAACCTCCACGAAAAAACGAACCTATCCCCAATCATAACCGAGACAACCACACAAGATGTCGGCCCCTCACGAAAAGACACCCCAAGACGACGGCCACGAGTCGGAGCCCGAGATGCTCGAGGCCGACGACGTCGGCGAGGAAGTCAACGTCGACGACGAAGACATGCCCATGGACTCTGACGACGAAAACGAAGAGATCAACCTGCAAAACGACTCGGTCGCCTACTTTGACGCCCACAAGGACTCCGTCTTCGCCATCGCCCAGCACCCCGTTCACCCAACCCTCATCGCCACCGGCGGCTCGGAAGGCGACTCAGACGACGCCCCCGGCAAGGGCTACCTTCTCTCCACCGCCGCCGCCGCCTCCCGCCCCGTCCTGCCCGCCTCCTACTCGGGCGACGCCGCCCAACCCCAGTCCACCGAGCTCCAGTTCATCTACCCGATCGACGGCCACACGGACAGCATCAACGCCCTGGCCTTCACCCTCCCCAAGGGCGACTTCCTCGTCAGCGGCGGCATGGACGGCAAACTTCGCGTCCATGCCCTCCGCGTAAACTCCCCCACCGCCGAGGCCGCGAGCGTCCAGATCAAATTCATCGCCGAGGCGCAGGAGGTCCCCGAGATCAACTGGATCGCCGCCTGCCCGAGCCCCAAATACCCCAACACCATCGCCATCGGCGCCAGCGACAACTCCGTCTGGGTGTACACCATCGATATCGCGGCGGGAGGCGGTAACCCGGCGAATTGCCTGCAGCTCGTCCAGACGTACTGGCTTCACCAGGCCCCCGTCACCGCGGGCGCGTGGACGCCTGATGGAAACTTCCTCTGCACTGTCTCCGAGGACGCGAGCTTGTATGTGTGGGACGTCTGGGGCGAGGCGGCTGCGGCGGGACTGGTGGAGAGTAACGGCCAGACGACGGTGAGCTTGACGGCTGAGGACCAGCGGTTCATTGTCGAGGGCGGGCTGTACAGCGTCGCGGTGGATCCCAAGGGCACGTTGGTTGCCGTCGGTGGCGCGGGCGGCGCGATTCGCATTGTGAGTTTGCCTAGGCTGGCGAGTTCTGCGCAAGCTGGCAAGGGAGGCAAGAGCAAGAGCGCGTCGGACGTTGTGGCCGGAGGACAGATTCTTGCGGCGCTACAGACGGCGTCGGATTCGATTGAGACGCTGAGCTTCACTGAGGCGGCGGGCGGACCGGGGCAGATTTCTACGTTGCTTGCTGCCGGGTCGGTGGACGGCAGTGTCACTGTGTTTGATGCCGGTAGGAGGTTTGCTGTGAGGAGGAGTCTTGGTGTTGGTGCGCACGAGGAGTTTAGTGTGGTCAAGGTGGAGTTTGTCAAAAACAGCTGGTTGCTGACGACGTGTGGTATGGATGGTGTTGTGAGGCGGTGGGATCTCAGAGCGCAGGATGGCGGGCTTATCAAGGAGTGGAGGGGGCATCGGGGTGATGGAGAGGGTGGCGGTGTGCTTGGGTTCGTGCAGGGAGAGACTGGAGAGAGGATTGTCACTGCTGGCGACGATGGTGTTGTTCTGGTGTTTGAGGCTTAAGGACTTGAGTGTCAGGTATGAAGTCGTGGGAGAACGGGGAGAACTTGCGTTTGCTTGTTGCCATGTTTTGATTTTGGGAATGATGATGAGCTTTGGAGGAGGGGCATAGATAAAATAGGGGACATCATACGCCTTTTGCGCTGGTATGATATGGACTCGTGGATTATTCCAGGTCCCCTTCATGAATTGGAGTTTCGCATTACCGATACATGGTTTCGGCTGTCTTGATGCAATTCTTTGACGCCTGCGTGACTGTCTACTGTCTAGTGTTCTGTCTGTGGTTGATATGTTGGAGCTTGGAGAGACTCGAGGCTCAGAGAGGCTTGCGGGAGTTGACAGGGTGAGACACAAGATTCTTTGAGTTCGTCCCATTTCGTCGTGGAGCTTAATCAAGCATCCCCTTTCCCCTCTCAACGAAAATCTTCCCATCATTGGCAACCCATTTTACCGTCTCTCCAACCTCTTTTCACAATAAGTTCACAATCACCTCAGACATCCATCAATAAAACCTGGCACATACCTGATTAGCCAGTCTTTCCGTCCGGAGTGATGGCTGACAAGCAAGTCATCGGCATGACCTCTCTGAGAGGCGACCAAATAATCGCCCTTGCTCTGATGGTACTCGGTATCTGGGAGTTTCCCCGGATTTGCCTTGTATTAGCGTGTTCCTGGTTGTCGTGGGGTACGATCGCTTCTTGTAGGTGATCAAGTGTCCACATTGCTCTTCTGCGATCATGTTCCTAATAGCCTCGTGCTTAGTGTATGCGCTGCTCGGCATATTTCCGTTTCTCAATGAGATCGCTGCTCCTCTTCTCAGAAGCTTAATTTCGGAATCATGGCGGATATCCTGAGCGGTAGCGGTCGACCTTCATACGTCACCTTTCCCCGAGGTGAGGGACAGCGACATCTTGACTAATTGCCGGCCTTGATTTGATTATCATAAGGTAGATACAATAATCGAGTGGCGCACGTCTCGGTGCAGAGCAGGCCAGGTAATCATCATTTGATTTATCATTTTATTATTAGACTACCTCATCGTAGTCGCCACCAGATGACACCATTCATGCGATCGTCACGTCTCAGCGGCTGATTGTCTTCCTCTCTTCCACCATCTTCATCCCTTGCATTGTAAGACAGTCCTTAGGTGGACCGCTCGCCAGGTGCGATACCATCTCCCTTGACGGATTGGCCACCGCTGGCGGCAAGCCCCTCAATGGCGAGACCCTTTTCAGGCTCGGGGAGGGGCGCGGTCTTGTCGGCGCGGTCGACGTGAGGGTCCTGATGAACGGATTAGTCAATGCGGTGTACTTTTGGGAAATAATTAGGTATATTGCAGTGGTGGCGACTTACCTTGATCGCTCCAGCACCGTGGATAACGTCGTGAGTCTCCTCGACGGTGTTGTCAGAGGCTTTGGATCCGTCACCAGGCATATTGATTATCGTTCGTTGGTGTGTCGGTGAATTGGAGATGTTTAGTCTTGTAGAAGAAGTTTCAAGGCGTTGGCTGAAAGTGAAATCTGAGGTAGAATCTTTTGATGAATAGTGAAGGAAAATTGTCTTGAGGAAAGCAGCTGTCTGACCTTATAAGGAGGCATGAGGTCTAGACTCGAGTTGACGTCATGTGAGTTACGTTCGTATCTTAGCTTTTGCCCCAAAGCTCCTACTCCCTATTAGGAAGGGATGAAGCTCTGCTCAAGCTCATTGATGCTGCGAGGCTTGAGGCGTCAAAACGTCATGATGTGGGGAAAAGATGCTCCTCCCGGACGGCGCTAAGGTCCCCGAGGTACTAGATCGTAGATCTCCGTCCGATATGCTTCCCCGCCCTTCCCCGCCTCAACGTCGTAGTGAAATCCCCATGTCATTTCCTGTGAAAAAGGTATTTCTACCAATCGGTATGCTGCTTACTGGATTGAAATATATTATGAGCTTGTGGTGTCGAAGGTCGAGGTCATAGTTCGTATATGAAGGCACGAGGGGTAATGGTACTATTCAGCCACCCTTTGCTAAGTAGGTACCGACGCGAGTACGTAGCTGTGCTAGCAAACCTAGGCAAGTAGGTAAGCTTAGGTAGTACCTACCAGGCGAAGTTAGGTCGAGGGGTAATGCCCCCTGTTCCCTTTTTCGTAGTAGCGGCTGCTCCCCAAAGGCTTCAACTGCAACTTCACGTCTCTCATCTTCGTGACCCAATCTTCAAGATCTGGACATCAGGATCTTGCAATGCATCCACGCCGCAATCTGTTGTTTCTTCCCCTAGTAATGTTCTAGATATCCGAAAGAACTTTGCTGCTAGCAAATGACGGTCACCAAAATGACGCATCTCCCATGAACTGCACAGCGTCCGATCATGACAACGGTTTAATCCCCCTGTTTTAGGATCTCTCAGCCTCAACGAAGCCAAGTTAGACCTATCTATTGTCTGTCTTATATCAATTCAAGGTATAGATACGCCACACCGAGATAATTCTGGACTCTGGAGAGGCCGATCATTCACCGCATAGCTGCTCATAGTGCCGGTCTAGGATGGAGTCTCTCATGCGGTGCAATGTTTGTTCCGATTGCCCCTGTGCGGGCCGAAAAGTTTTACCGATAACGAAGGCACGGATGCAGCGCCGAGACTACCCCCTTTTCTCTCATTCAACATGGCCCCATCCCCAGTCCACGAGTCACGACGCTGACGAGACCCTCCGCCGTGGCCAGATGCTGCCAAGCAGCATGAAGATTGCCGTTCGGCATAGACATTCCATTTCATCGAATAATGCGACGATGCCGCAGGGCTGCCGACAGATACGAATTGGGACCTAACATCATTACTTGCGATATCACGAATACTCCGGGACATTGACTTGAAATCGTTAAACATGACGCATTTATTTCTATTCTAACCCAAGCACCAGAAAAGCTCAAGCTTAGCTGCTTCCGCTGGTAGCGATGAGCTGCGACAGACCGAGGACCTGAGCGGTGGTAATCACCTCGGCAGAGGTGTTCCACCCCTCGTTGAACGGCAGACGCTCCTCCTCAAAGACAACCTTCAACCACTCAACCGGCGCAGCAGGCGCAGTGTAGCTCTGTCCAATAGTGCCGAGGATGACGGCTGACTCGCCCAGAGAAACAGTGACCTGACTGGTCGTCAAGTTGAAGGAGGGGTTCGTCGCCTGGGCGGTAGCAATGCGCTTGCTGCGCGCGGAGGCCATGGTCGCGACGCCGACCTTGTTGTCCGACGCAGCAGCGGCGCCGGTCTCAAGGTATCCCTTGGTCTCGGCCCAGACGGTCTCGTTGAAGGTCTTTGCGTCGCCAGTCACGGCGAAGTCGGCGCGGGAGAGACTGCCGTCGTGCTCGATGACGTTGTGCTTGGCGATGTCGTCCAGGTTGAAGGTGCTCGCGTTGCCGGTGGTGGAGGTAGCAAAGGCGGGCGTGCCGAGGGTGCGGACGAGGGACTCGTTGAAGTGCAGCGCGGAGCCGAGGCCGGCGATGAGGTCCTGCATGGAGATGGACTTGCCGTCGCGGGCGAGGTAGCCGTGGTTGGCGAGGGAGTTGAGCATCGGGCAGGGGCCGCGGACGGCGCCGGCGGCGGCGTCGGGGGCGAGCCAGGGGTGGGCTGCGGGAGCGGCGTCGCGGGGAACGGCGGCGCTGGAGGCGGACATGGCGCAGGTTGCGGCGAGGACTGCTGAGGCGCGCATCTTGTATGAGTCTTGGAGAGATAGAGAGAGAGGACAAAGAGGGTTGGGAAGGTTGGGAAGGCTGGGATATCTCGAGCTTCTGGAAAGACAGTGATGGCCTTACAAGTGTGCCGTTGGTGTTGTGTAAAACGAAGGTGGTCCGGTGAGGATGAGTGAGGAGGCTGGAGGAAGAGACAAGATCACGAACGAGAGACGTCGACGAAAGCTGCTTTATACAGTTGATCGAAACCTGGGGGTCTACAGATATGAGGGGCCTATAAACAGATACACGACGCATAGGGCTGGGCTATCCGAGTTAAGACTCGGGGATTCTCCTTTAAGTTGTGAACCCCGGGCGGCGGCTCCGTTGACGCGGCGAATCCGACAAAGTCCACGCCTTCCACGGTACGGAGTGCTCATCGAAATGGTGCTCAGTGTTTTCCCCCGTTCTAGCAGAAGTCAAGATGGGAGCGGAATGATAGCCGTGCCTCGGCAGTAAGGTCAAACCCTGGGCTGTAGCCGCCGCAGTTCTATGATCTATCATTATACATGGGCTGCTTATACGTTCATCCCTTGCCCGATGAGCCCACTGAGGACCACTGGGGAGTCTTATTTGAAGTTATACCGGGCTTTGCTTACTTTTTCATGACGTGTTATTGGATGGGGAGGTGAGTGAGCCGAGGTGAGCCCCTTTTAAACATTCTAATTGAGTTTGAAAAAGAATGGAAACCTGTGAAAAATACGACTTTGACGTGCTTGGCGGGGACGATTGTGGGCGGCCTTGGGTGGCCGTGTCGGGATGGACCATGAGATGCAATATGGAGAGGTCCGAAAGAGCAGCATCTTTCAATGCAGGGACGTTGTGCAAGGGTTGTGGGGGGGCGGGAGATGCACGACGGGGTCGTAGTCCTCACGGCTCAGGTTCATAGGCGGGCACCTGAGTTGCGTTTCCATCGCCTTGTTGGCTAAGTGGTATAGCGTCTCACTAGTATTAGTGACATGAGAAGATCGGCGGTTCGATTCCGCCACGAGGCATGATGAATTCACTCGCTTTCCTTTTGCCCTTTTTTTGGCTCTTCATGATGATCGTTTTATAGATACTCAGCCTGAGATGCGTACTCCATATGTAATGCCGTTGTCTAAATGCCCCTTCACCCCTCCTTCGCCGGAAAAAACCTTCATGCTCATTTCATAGCACCACAGCTCCCGCATCCACCCTCCCCTCCACAACCACCACCACAACCGCCCCCACATCCAGCATCCTCCTGACAAGCAGCAGGAAGATATTCCTCGTCAAACGCCTCTCTCCAAAGTGCCCTCATATCCGTCGAGAGCACCGCCAGACTCTCGTCCGGAATCTCGTCATCGTGGTCCACCAGCTTCCCCGTCGTCCGCTTCGAGTACGCGAGGTACCGCGCCGGCGCGAGCTGGTGCGTGTGCCAGACGAGGTCAATGTCGAGCGTCGGCACCATGACGGTGCCCGGGTGAGCGGCGATGAGGTGGAAGAATTGCGCGTAGCGGTTTTGTGCCGCGCCGAGGAGGGATGCGAGGTCTTCGGGGCTTGGGCTGCGGAGCCAGGCGTGGGAGGACATTTTGAGGGAGAAGGAGAATTGGCGGTTGATTGCTGCGGTGAGGGGGTATGTGAAGAGGGTGGTTCCTGTTGGGGAGGCGTGGGTGAAGGTGCTGGTTGGGGTTGGTGATGCGATGAGGGCGGAGAGATCGATTGAGGCGATGAGGGATTCGAGGTTTGATGGTCTCGGCTGTGGTCGTTTAGTATACTTCTCCTACAATGTCTTTGTCCGACTTCAACGACGGAAGTTGCAGTGTTATAGGGCACTTACAATCTCAGACCACTTGATCCCATCCAGACCCAGACGACCACCGAGCTCGATGAACCGGGCGTAGGCCTTGGGGTGCAGCATCAATGCGTGCCATGCCATGAGCACGTCAACGGGCGGCATCTTCTCCGCTGGCCTCTCGGCGCTGGTACTCCATTGCTCGAAGCGGGCAACGGCTCGGTTGCAGTACAGGTCCCATACGCGTTCGGGGGCCTGACCAGCGTCGGCGGCGAGGAGGTGCACTGCGTCGCGGAGGGTGACAAAGGTCTCGAGGAGCTCGAGGTGGGCGGCGCAGTCTGCCGTTGAGGGGAGGGGGTTGGATGCCGTGAGTTGTGTTGTTAAGAGCTTTGATTGTTGCTGGTGCTCGGTCGAGGGGGTTCTGGAAGGATTATGAGTTTAGATTCTTTCTTCATTTTTTGAGTGAGGGCGAACGAACTGGTTGGAAATAATGGCTGGCATTGTGGCGATGATTGTCAGGATCCGGTCCTTTACTGATTATAGTTGTGTTTGTTTTGAGGGTATCTTGAGTTCTGGACGCTTTCTCAACTGACTCGACAGCTCAAGTTGAGTAGAATGAATAATAAGACAAGGAGGATGGAGACAAAGCTGTGTATCAGTCACTTCTCTTCAGCTACAACGAGGGACATGCCACGCCTCTTATCAGGACCGTAAAAGCCAGACAACTGAGCAGGGGTGAGCTTTATCTCGCTGCATCGTCGCACATGACAAGCAACAGCCCTGTGACCGCTGCCACCAAGTCCCAAAACGGCATGGAGGTGAGCAGGTTTCAGGACGCCAGCGCAAGACGGATCGCTGTGCCATCTTGTGCCATCGCAGAGGGGCGCGACGTGATTGGCGAGGTCGCCGTACGGTACACGGATAGGCGCAACGGGCGACTCAGGCGGCTGGGGCCTAAGTCGCCGGGAACGCGGGGTGGTCCACGGTGGGGATGGGAAACTTGCGCATGTCCACCAGCGAGACGGTAAGATGGATAGGGTTGTTTCTCGTCTGTTGCGGTAGCGTCGGTGACTCGGCCCCGCTAATGGTATCGGGGAACGGGTATGGAAGGGTTCCGATCTTTTGGAGTATTGGTAGAGACTGGACGAAGAGACGCAGAGACTCTAGACTTCAGACTGAGTGATCCTTGGGCTCGGTCTGGGTCCTTCTAGCGGCGATTTCATTCAGGTGGGTGTGGGGGCTGAGGCTTCATTCTGCGAGCTGGGGAAGTGGCTGGATTTCACTTGTGATTCTTCAGCTTCACTGTAGATGTACGTTCAATCTTACTCACCTTACCTCTCTTCGTGAGTGAGAGGCTCACGCAACCAGGTCATCTCAGAGACTATTAAACGCAACCACCATGTCTCTCCTTCTCTCATAGCTTTACGAGCAGCCCTCTTTTCAATGAGTCGCCCAAATCCCAATTGGGACAGGCACAACGTGTTGGTTTCACAAGCAAACACTCATCCTCGGAGCCTTTATTGACCAAAAGTCATCCATGAGAGAGGGCCACAGCCTGGCTCGTACACCCTCTCATTCAAACTCACGGAACACCCTTCTCCATCCATAATCTTCACTTGCCCTCATCGAAGCAGCTGTAAAAGACTCGCCGATAAGCTTCACTCTCATCGCCTTGTCCCAAATAAGCTAACTTAGATGCCGAGGGACGGCCGTCAGCTCAAGGCTAAGTGCCTATAAGCAAGCAGGCTCTGGCTCCTTGCATCTTTGTTGCATATTTCACAGACCAGAATGTCATTGGGGGCCAAGCTCACTCGTCCTACGCAACGTGAGAATCTAGGCAAATGAGGGCCGCGATCGCATCACCACCTTGGCCCAACGACCAACGCCAACCCAATGACACGGAGCCCGCGTTGCTGACAACAGTTTGATTCGACCGTCGGTCAGACCGGCCGAGACTGGCATATTGAGGCTTGAAAATCATCGACTCTGTGCTGTAACCTCACTCCGTGGGACCGTGTCTCCCCAACTCCCCTTCTCCCCCGTTCTGCCTTCTGTTTGCCCGACGAGGGTTCTAGATCGTACAGTCTGTACCATGCTGTGTCTCCGTTCATTGTCTGTTTACGGGCCCCAAGTCCGACATGAACCTAACCCAATTCCTGCATGTCTTCACGTAGATCCAATCAAGCCCCCGGTTGGAGGATGAACGCCTCCTGCTTTCCCTATTCAGCGATTTATCTCTCGAAACTTGTTGGTACCAAATGGAACATGGGGGAGTGGTCTGCATTATCTCTTTCTGATTGCGGCGTGGCGGCGTAATAAGAAGCGAAGCCCAACAGCCCCCAGTTCCTCGCACTCTTTTTCTTCGCCCGTGTTCCTGCAAATACCCGTCCATGCCCGCTCGTCCCGGCTGGCCGCATTTCTGGCCTCTTCTTCGTCATATTCCTTTTCATGTGCCTTTGAGACGCTGTGATTATGAGATTCCCGTGGCTTGCGTTGCTTTTCGTAGCTGGTCCGGGGCCTGTCCTTGGTGACCTAGATGTACGACAAGTCTTGAGCAGCGCTCCGGCGGCCCCGAGTAACTCCGCCTCTACGGAGGTCCTAGTTTCCTCTCCCACTTCATCCGTCTTTTCTGCTCCGACGTCTGTCCCGGCTCCGACGATCAATAGTAGCGTATACGACCTCTCGCAGCATTTCTGCCGCATCTGGAGACATGCAAGTGGGTTTGAAGTCTCCTCTTACTTCACCATCTTGAGATCAATTCTAAACCAAGTCGTTGCAGGTGTCTTAGCCGATGGAAAGATCTACGTTGATGGCGGCAATACGTATGTGCCGAAGAACAACAAAACATTCTACAATACCGAAGCCGGTCAATTTGACGGGGGAATGCGTAAGCATACAATCATCCGAACCTCGTGCCTTACGGTTCTAACACATCCCAGACAGCCAACTCCTGGTTCTAGACCTCTCACAAGATTTCACAAACCAGGAGACCAGCCCGTACTCGTCCGTCTTCAAGAGCCCCGACGTCCCCAACGGCCTCATCGAGCACGCGATGTGGTACTCTCAAACCACTCGTAAGGTCTATCAGCTAGGCGGGTGGTTCTCCTTCAACAGCCTCAATAACCCGGCCTTCGTTGCCGACAAGGATATCCCCGAGCCGGCCATCTGGGAGTTTGACGTTGACGGCGAGAGTTGGTCCAAGTCGACTGACTTCAAGGTGTCGAACAATGGCGAGATTGTGGACAGGCCAGGCGCTGCTTCTTTTTGTGACGCGCCGACGTTGAACAGGAGTTACATCTTTGAGGGTTACGTGCAGAGGAGATCGGGTCCTGAGAATGCCGCGTATGCATCTTCGTCAGACTTTCGGTGTAAGTCCATCTTAGCCTCTGTTTCTCTTTGGTAGTGAGAGAAACTTGAGACCTGACATCTTGCAGTCCTCGAAGGCATGCTTGAGCTTGATACTGCGGAGCGCTCGCAGCCGAGGCTCACCAACATCTCCGTTCCGACGTACGTTGGCCCGCGCATGAATGGCGCAATGGTCCACGTCCCCGTCGGCGAAAAGGGCATCGTTGTCAATATTGGTGGCCAGACTACGCGCGACCCAACGCCTTTCGGTATCCGAATCGAGGGTGCCAACGCAGGAAACGTCAATGTAAGTTCCCCGAAAACATAAACAACCCTTCCCCCTTTTCGTCCTCTCCTAAACTGACACATCTCGAAAGACAAACCTCTCCTTCGTAGACATCTACGACATCGAAACAGGCTTCTGGTTCCGCCAAGAAACCTTCGGCCTCCCCGACATCCCAACAGGCCGCTCCGACATCTGCGCCGTCCTCGTCTCCGCCGCCGATAAATCCTCTTGGAACATTTACATGATCGCCGGCGTCGAGAACTACAACAACTACATCACCTCGGAAGAGATCTGGGTCCTCACCCTCCCGACCTTCACCTGGATCTTAGTGCACACCCGTGCCGACGGGATGTACGGCCACACCTGCCACGCCGTCGGCGAGAACCTGCTCATCGTAGGTGGCATGCAGACCAAGACCGACGGCGGGAATGTGAATACCTGTGCCGAGCACATGCCCGTCGAGATCTTTTCGCTCGCAAGCCAGAATTATACGGGACGATATGATACCCAGGCTGCGAAGCGTCTTGCGCCCGTGCCGTCGCAGGTTGTCGCCGCCGTGGGCGGGACGTCGTCAGGGGGCGCGAGTCAGAGGGCCACGAGGGCGTGGAGTGATGTGTACTTGCAGTACATCTTTGATTCGTCACTGAGGAGGCCGGCGTATACGCCCGAGTATACTCTCGTCGTGGAGCCTAGCAGCACGGCGACGCCTTCGTCGTCTGCTTCACCAACGCCTCAGCCGGATTCCGGTGGTCCGTCCAAGGGGGCTATCGCAGGAGGTGTAGTAGGTGGTGTCGCTGCTATTGCACTGGTGGGACTCGGGGCCTTCTTCTTGCTTCGGCGCAGGAAGAGGAGGAGGGCGGATGAGGCTGCTGCCACGCAAGTATCGCGACAGAGTGCCATGTCGGAGCTGCCAGGGTACACCCCCTATTCCTCACCCGAACCGAAGCCGGGCTTCCTCGACTCGCCAACGTCTCCTGGTCATCACCACGACGTACATGCTCATGCTGCGGAGCTCGAGGTTCCGGCTAGTGCGAGCGAGATGCCGAGTAGTCCGCGGTATGGCGGCTCGTCGGTCGAGATGGGGAGCGATGCCACGGCGAGCCCAAGGGTCGGTGATATTAGCCCGCGGGTAGGTGATGTGAGCCCGAGGGTTCCTGGTGATGTTAGTCCTACGCTTGGGGATGAGGGGTACGGGTACCATGAAGGGCGGCAGGCGGGACATCACCCTGGACGGTGATTTTTGCTCCGGTAATGGTGTGTTTGGCGCAAGGTCAAAGTTCGCGGATTATGGTGGATCTTCGCTGGATGGAGGGCTTCGGAAGTCAGGTCACCATTCTGGAAATATTCGATTTTCCTAAGGAAAAGACGTCTGCGATCTTTTATCAGGCGTCATAATATCTGTCACTCCGAAAATCTTTTGAAATACTAAGTTTGAGGATCAAATCATCCTCGACTAAATGAAACTGCGAGTCCTCTTTCGACTCTCAGAGTATACTTCGACAACATATCCGCATATAAACCCTGGATAGGATTCCATCTACCGCTAAGGCGTTCATATCCGCCAACGTTCATCGACTACTTGAAATGATGTACCCAAGAACTTTGCATCAAATGCTTAAACTTGATTGCTACTTTGCTTCTATGATACAAGTTTTGATAGAAAACTCTAGGTAGAATCCAAACCGTTCTCAGAGCCAACATCTTCGAATCCGCTGTCAGAACCAGAGAGGTAATCGTCCTTGACGGCATCATCCATATTCAAGTCCTCCGTACTGATGGCGACAGCCTCTTCAGTCGATGCCGAGGCGGACTGTGAGTCCAAAACCAGCAGATTTGTACGCGTGATGTCGGAGTGATGGTGGGAAGAGAACCCCTGAGCCGTATGGCGGGGTTCTTGGGTGTTGCTCAGAATCTCTAAGTTTCGTCCTTTGAGACGACTGTTCTCCTCTTGTAGGGCCTTGATCATCTTTCCCGGCTCGTCGATATGGGCTTGTAGCTGAACGATCTCCATCTGGTCGACATCCTTCAGCTTTTCGAGATGCCTAATTACATCTTCAGCTCGGCCTAGAGCGTTCTTGAGCTGGCAGATCTCGATTTGGTCGAGGTCCGCTATGGCGAGATCGACTTCCAGGATGGTCAGGGAAGAAGACATGTTGGGTGCTGGTTAGATTTGGGTATCTGTTAGTGTCTAGATGGTTGCTTGGGGGGATTGATTGAGAGGATTTGTGGATTTTTGAAGTTGTGTGATGTTCCTTTGTGTTCAGGTATTGTTGAGAAAGGAGCAAAAATTGATGTCTGTTGTTTGTCAGTCAAGATGTAATCTGGGATTCTGTGATGTAATAGAGAAACTGGAAGAAGAGATTTGGAGAAAGGAGATGTCTTCTTTTATAAGGGTTCAAGAGGAGGGCTAGGTAGTCAGGCCTGTGCCGGCAAGGGGACATGGAGCAAACGATTCACATCACAACTTGTCGATTTTGTAGTGAATACGAGCTGAAGCTTAGAATTACCACAACTGTGATCAAAATTGGAGTTCGCAAAATTGAGTGACAGTCATTAATGCACTCATAAACAGCTAGAAAAGGTTTAGAGGACGCAAAATACTTGCTCAAGTACGAGTGGAGCACTCTTAAACAACTAGGAAAGGTTTCAAGGACGCATGATAAAGGGCGAAGTAAGTGATGAAGAGCTCAATTGCGAGAAGTTGACCATCCAGAAGAGGCTTAGAGGTTGCAAGACTCTTGACTAAGTGTGTGTGACGCACTCATGGCAACCAGGAAGGGATGAGAGGTTGCAAAGTGAGGGTCCGAATGTAGGTGATCGGGTGCAGGTGACCGGGCGTGAGTGATCGGGGGTAAGTGATCGAGCTCCGAGGGCATTAATCCGGGGTTTCACTTCTAAGAAACGTGGAGTCCAGGGGGAGTCATGCAAAGTAGGTAGAGAGCCAATGACGGAGTGCTTGGTAGTAGAAGCCAGGCTTAGATAAGGAAAAGAGAAACAAAGAAGCTCACCAGTTCAATCTCAAAAGCGCCGTAGTTTGCAACACGAAGTTGGGGACCCTGTGTGATATAAGTTGCGCTCTGTCTCTCTTTCTAAGGGCTATGGTGTGAGGGCGGCGTGGTTGAAGCTACTTTGACGAGTTCAGAACATGTAGACAGCGAGAGGCCAAGGCAATGAGCCTGTTGAGGTGGTTACATGCGGACGATGAGAAGGAGGTATCGGAGTCGACAACCGGGGTGGTGCTTACTTATCTGCATAGATAGAGGTTGTAGCGCGTTATGGGGTGGTAAAGCTGTGTCGTGTTGCAGCACAACGATGCTGTTGAGAGGGACTAATGGATAAAATGTGTGTTTAGGGAAGCCAAAGGTGCTGATTGATAGATCACTATTCAAGAGGAGTTACAGAAGGGTATTGTTGGTTGGTTGTTTTGGCTGGCCAGTCTTCTTTGTTGGAAGACTTTGGAGTGGGCTTATTCTGGTTGATGTTCAATTGAGAACTTGGGGAAAACAAGACCTAGTCTTTTAAATACGGGCTTGTGCCGATTTGAAAGCCGGAAAATGAAGCCGGGAATTTGGTTCTCGTCCACGATCCTGTTAATAGTCTCCGGTGTTGAGGGTTTCTAAATAGTTCCGTGAATTTAGATCCCGTTTTGGTGCCATACCTGGGCCCCGGGTGTGAGTCCACGAACTGGCCTGAGTTCGGCGCTTATAGTTTTGCTAAGCGCCATGATATATGGACTAACCAATGACCTGCACCTTGGCCAGGGCTCTGCGAGTTGGAGAGCAACAGACGATTCGGAGGGAACATCTCGCTGCCTCTGTGGCAGAGACTTGGAGAATGTATAAAACCACTACACAGGCACACCGACAGATCCATAACTCAGATGGGTTCTTACTTTAGGTAAGTTTAGAGGCCTAGGTAGTAGATCTTCTTGGGTAAGGGAGCAAGGCACCGAGGATACTTTAGGCAACAAACCATCGTTTTTTGATAAGGCTCCGAGTTGAAACGGTGGGAATGGAAAGCTGAAGCTGTGAACCAATCATATCTCCAACATACCGAACATCTGTTGGCCTCCGATATGACCGGTAGGCTGACAGTGGATGTCCCCTCATAACATGGATTTACGTTAGGCGTATGTTTCGGGTTCAATGCTACTCCCTTCAACTGCAAAATTCTACAAAGAGGTTCAGGCCCTCGGTCCCAACTTTTGTTTTGCGGAACATCTTATCATTGAATCCCCACTGCAAGCAAACGCAAGACCTGTAGATCATGATGCAGGCATTCAGGAACGGAAAGACCTATGCTGAGGTGGCAGATGTTGGCCTGCTGCGGTCGAAATGGCTACCGCCCGGCGTCAGCAACGAACAGCTGCTACGAGGGGTCGGCGGAGAAGACACGAAGCCACCACCGGACGAGAGCGAAGTTGAGTCCGACGAGCCATCAAGACTGAAAAAGGTGCGTTAAAGCATGCATCCGAGTAAAAACATACCAAGCCACTGACATATCTGGAATCTTCAAGGCCATCGATTGGATGCGAGAAAACCCCGGGACGACTACATGTTATGGCTTGAGTGCTAGCAGTCTCGCCGTTTTGGCCGCTCCAGCTCTCGTCGCTGCACCAGCTCTGGGGCTTGCGGGTTTTGGCTCGCAGGGCATTGTCGCTGGTAAGTAAAGGTCTCAAATTTGGGGTATAGGCAATCTTTGCAGCTGGAAATCTTGGCCACTGACTTCCACGGGTCAATAGGCTCTGCGGCGGCGGGCATCCAAGCCGGAATCGGGAACGTGGTGGCGCCAAGCCTCTTTGCTACCCTTCAGAGCGCCGGTGCGGCCGGCTATGGTGCCACGGTCGTCAACGGGGTTATACAGGCAGGCGCTGGGTTTTCTGCTACTGCCTTTGCGTGGTGGGGGGCAAAGAAGAAAGATCGTGGGGAGATTGACAAGGAGGAAGACGGAGATGGGGGTGGGAAGCTAGACGCCGAAAAGAAGTAGTAGTAGGAAGTAATGAAGACTTATTTCTGCTCCTAGGGACGACTTATATCGATGTCGGTCTCACAACGAGCCGAAGCCCGCCGGGAATAAATCATCGTGGACATGGACCTTTTGTGTTGTGGATACTCCGTACAGGGCACTATCAAGAAAGCTGGTCCGAGCGATGCTAAAGCCATCTACAATTTCTTCAGGAATATCGTAGACAGATCTCGTCATCAAGTAGATTGTCAATGGAGCTACTTAGCAAGATGAAAGCCAATTTAATGTTTGCACCATTTCTGAATCTAACCGGTTTGTACGCATTCGAATTTGGATTTGGGATCAACTAGAGCCTGACAGTCCGATGTGGTCAACTTCGTAATGCTGACGGCCAACAGACTCGTCAGAAGAGCAGACTTTGAGGACAACATTTTAGATTTGATATGAATCAAAGCAAACAAAACATTAATAGTTGAACGCTCAGCGTGTTGAGGTGAAAGGTGATTTTGGATTGATTGAGAGTCATCATTCAGGTAGCCGCAGATGGCTTCTTATTTTCTTGTGGCTTCGATACTTGGAGGTTATCGAAGCAACAACTCAACTCTAAATTTGCGTTCAACAGCACTGGCAACCCAGAACTACGGTACCATATGTTGTCAAGCTCCGCAACGAGGCCTACTAAGCTTTAGGTCCGCCCGCAAAAACCTGGAGAACGCGTCGTCGACAGGCCTTGAGCGGTGTCATCTGGGGTTTTCTTTGCCCTGGAAACACAGAGTCAAAAACAGAGTTAGTAAATGTTAAGAGCTATCTTTTGTATGGTAATTGGGGTTCGCGTCTCAGATTCTTCGGTTCGTCCGATGCGTCTCAGATCTGCAGGCCGTCAGCGTCCGCTGCGTGACCGGCCTTGAGACGAAGCTTGACTCGGTTTACTGTCTTTGCCCCCTACACCTATTGTCGTTGGAGTTCTCGAAGGGCCGGTCGGAGGAGTGCAGGGAACACGCAAGTCGGAGACTCCGTCTAGCTCTGTCGTTCGGGTTGGAGAGTATCAATCTCGTGGTATTGCGAAATCTTCAGAGGCAAACGGCAGGTGACTTGGTGAGAAAGGTCATTTCTGCAAGACCAGTCATCCAGGTACGACTGCGCAGAGTATGGCAAACCTCGTGTGATGGACATGACCCTCAAGCTCCGTATCGCAAAGGTTCGCAAAGGTTCGCAAAGTCGCCTCATAGGGAATAAAAAGGCTGCTCAAATCAAAGGCTCTCTCCTCTAGAACTGCACTACAAAGCACTCCGTCGCGAGAAAACCTCATCAACCTCACGGCCTCAACCAGCTCCTTCACGTTCGGTTCCAACCTTCTTCTCAGGCATCATGCATCTTTTCAAGGCCGGCCTACCCGTCCTTGCCGTGTGTTCAGCTATTCAAGCCATCCCTGTCAATACCGGCGAAAGAGGCGATACGGCCTTACACCGCCACAATGGTCTCAAAGCTTTAGACACGCGCCCAGAAAACAGAAGTGCGGGCGGCTTCGTGCCTCCTCACATTCTCAGGAACATCACTCGGAGTCCGTTTGCCACAGAAGACGAGCGGCGCACTGCAAATCGGACCTTGTTGATCGACGAGGAGCGGCGGGGGCCGGAGCAGTCGACGGATCAATCGGTCGCTATTGAGACTCAACGAGAGGTGGCCGATATGACACCCATGACACCCATATCGTAGTCTTACTTAGCGAGCATCGCTGGTAAAGAGCATGATCACCTCGCAATCCTGCTGCCTTGATAGCTGATAACATGACAAAAAGAAAGGGTCGCGTTTCAAAGTGTTCAGCTCGGACGCAGGGACGGCAGACTGTCATCCGGAGACTCACTCAACTCGGCCTTTGCGAGCCCCGCAAGCCCGGCGGAATACGGCCGAGTGTGGAGCTGGCGATGGTCTTGGTGAAACATCTTGTCCTATGCGCCGTCTTTGGGAGGAGAAAGCAGGCAATCCGTCGAACCAAGAGCCCACGAGCCCGAGACCAGCTTCTCGCCCTGCATTTGGCTGCCTTTCTTTTCTTCGTGACCACGAAACAGAAGTGGCCCGGAACGACCGGCAATCTTGCGGCAAATCGACACTTCAATGGTTGATTTAGGGCACCTTATCACTGATTACCTCAAAGTATATCATGGAATTGACGCGGGAAGAAACGGTGGCTAGATGTCGTATGCCGCAAGCTGAATAAAGCTCTGGAAACCTTGGTGAAGACTAGATTTCTCGCTACTTTATCGAAATGAAGCTATTCCCATCGATTCCCTCGCATTGGCCACTGACAGGCCACGTGTTGAAGATCAGCAAACCTTCGAGGTATCCGAACTTTGGAAAGTTTGCAGGCCATGTTGGACCGTGCTTCACACCTATTGACACGCTGACTCACCATCCGAGCAAAAAAGAAAAAAAGAAAAAAAGAAAAAAAGAAAAAAAGAAAAAAAAAAAGAGGCCTCGGTAGCTTCGGAGGACCAAGAGGTTTCCTTCGGGATCACCTCCGGGAACGGGAGTCACCCGGGTCCGGATGCGCGCGACGCCAACTGCCGACGAGGTACTGGTTTTCCTTGGTTCTGCTCGGGCCCAGAGGATACTGCGGGCCCGTTTCTGGGGTTCTTCCAAGGAAATGTCACGGATCCGGAGCGTTGCATCACCTGTCGGATCCTGGGCAGGACGGTGGGCGGATGTTCGAAAAGACCACGACTGACTCCCTGAGGTAGCACTATTGGGACGTGAAGGGAAAGCTTGGGCATCTATATAAGGAAGACGGTAGAGCACAGCTCGGGAAGAAGAGAGTTTGTGTAGGATTCATTGAAAGCGGCTATGCAGAGACACGCGTTGTATGACGTCCAGCCGGGCCAGACAAACGAATGTCCCCATGAAAATAGCCCACGGGGAGTTGGGGACAGTTTGATGTGGACGAGCAACGGTGGCTGGACAATCCGATGTGCAACGCTCATTGCACAGCACCATCACACTTTAATTGGGGCTCTGTTTTCAGGTAAAGTTGAGAGTTGACCCAACATGGGGCGACAACTCAGGGGCTCGCAAAGGTTGTCTTGGGTAGATGACATAACCGCGCAGGGATATCCCAGCATCACCGCCCACGTCCAGCAAAGTCGTATTTAGGAACTCCCAGAGGAACTCCCAGAGGAACTCCCAGAGGGCGCTTCTCCCTTTTCGTACACGTTGTTCAACGCCCATTTACTACTATCTTATCTTCGGTCGGCCGTTCGCACATACGTGTGTCCACGGTTGTATTTCTCTCTTCTCCGGTCCACTGAGCCTCACTTTCAGATGCCGGCCGTCGCAGCTCCAGCAGCGCCTTTCATTTCATTCTCTCATTCGTTTTGAAAGAAAGCACACGCACACCCATTAGGCCACACGCATGTTTGCTCGCAACACCCGAGCGAGACAAAAAGGCACCATGTGGGAAGAATCCACGCGGGGCCGGGAGGGTCAGCAGTTCAAAGAGGATAACCCATACGGCGACCACGATGCCGTAGGTGAAAAGGCGTCGGCCGTCGCTGCCGCCTCTGCAACAAGAAACAACGCAGACAAGATCAGATGCCTCGATGGACTTCGTGGAATCGCCTGTCTGCTCGTATTCAACTACCACTTCTTATGGCCCTGGACGCCGGCCATCATGCTTGGCTATGGAGCCATGCCCCCCGGATCGCCCGAGCCGTACTTTGAACGGTCATCCCTGCCCATCTTGTGCCTCTTGCAACGCGGACGGCCCATGGTGGCCATCTTCTTTGCCATCTCGGGATACGTCCTCTGCCGACATATTCTGAGAGCGATTCACGAGCGGCGCTTCGAGGCCGCTTACCAGAGCCTGGCATCTTCAGTCTTTAGGCGCGTGTTCCGCCTTTACATCCCTCCCACCATTAGCATGTTTCTCGTTGCGCTGCTTGCTCAGATGGGCGCTTTCAAGTCCGAATTTGAGATTTACAAAGGCCCCGACTCGAGGTACATCAACGGTACTGTGACTGTCGCTACGCTGAACAACACTTGTGTGAACGGCACGTACTCCGTCGAAGGAGCCGCGGGGATTGCCAAGTTTCTCGGATTACAAACCCCGGCTTTCCTGGGAAATGTCACGACCAACGATACGAACACTCTCTGCCTTAATGCCACGTCCCAACTCTTCATGCCTCCAATGCTGTATGCATTGGCTGATGACATTGAGGCCGCTTCCAAAGTGGTGAATGAGACGAGCAGCCTGAACGGCACTGCGATCAACATCACGATGCAGGATGTTGGAGACAAGGAAACACCTGAGAAACACAGGTCCTACCACGATCTGTTGCACCTTCACTCGAGACCGGCCCTTGTCGATGAGGAGAAAGACTCGGCCAACGTCACCAACCCGGTGAACTTCACTTGGGTCCAGCTGGGCGGCTCATGGGAAGAACACCCCTTCATCCACGACAACATCACCTATGCTCTCAAGAACTTCACGAGAGCATATGTCGAGTGGGCCAACCCTTTCAACTTTGGCCACTACCACACGCGCTACGACCCCCACACCTTCACCATCCCGATGGAGCTCCGCGGATCAATGTTCATCTACCTCTTCCTGCTCGGCACGGCAGCTATCCAGGCAAAGTGGCGCCTTCGAATCGGTGCCGTCCTCTCCGTCTACAGCTTGATCTTGGGACGATGGGACATGGCCACGTTCATGGGCGGCGTCCTGCTCTCAGAAGCAGACATTAGACGGGCTGACCGAGGGCTGCTCCCTCCAGTGACGAATGGCAAGAAAGGCCAACAGGCAACCCTCGGACAGAGGTTCCTCGGATCGAGGACAGCTCGATGGGGAGCGCTCTTCGTGGCTCTCTACCTGCTCTCCTACCCCGATGCCGGCGCCGAATGGACGCCCGGCTTCACCCTTCTCTCCTCTATCGTGCCACGGTACTACATCCCCCTCTCAGGCTGGATGTTCTACCAAGCAATGGGTGCCATGCTCCTGCTGCCTTGCGTCCTTCACAGCCCCTTCCTCCGCGGCCTGCTCGAGGGACGGGTGGCGCAGTACCTGGGCAAGGTCAGCTTCTCGTTCTATCTCGTTCATGGACCGGTGCTGCATAGCCTGGGTTTCTGGATCATGCCTAGACTCTTTGAGCGTTTCGGCCGCAATCTGGGGTTCGTTGTAGGCTGGGCTATCCTGCTGAGCGTGTCGCTGTATTTGTCGGACTGGTGGTGCAAGAAGATTGACACTTGGAGCGCGAGTGTCGGACGTCGCGTAGAGAAGGCATTGAAAGACTGAGCTGGGGCTTCGGAGTTTTGTAGAATTGTTTTAGTAGTTATTCCCTGCGGAATAATCAAAAGGTCATGATATCCTGAATCTGTTCCTGAATACGCACCTTGTTCGCCCTCATCTGATCCCTTATCATCACCAAAGAAGGAGCAGCCATCAAGAAGCAGCGTCCGTTGTAGTCGATGGCCGAGCGGTACGATTCGTATATTGGCTCACGGTCCTACATAATGCCATGGATAGCTTGTTGATTGTCGCAAAGGTCGCGTGTTCGAGTCGACTTTGGTTGTCCCTTCCACCCGTACATGCAGTGATGGAAGGACGGCTCGTATGGTCTAAGCAATAACCTGCATGCCTTGCTGGCGAGCTGCTTCCGCGTTTGCAGTGCATCAAATAAACACACGGCAGGACGCTTCAATAAGAAATTTTATAGTATCTAGCTTTATAAGATAGGCGTAATAATACTGAGATCTATAGTAGCCAAAATGTATGTCACATTATGATTAAGCCTTGTAGTATGGTAGTACAGCTAGTCGTGTTCCCATGCCAGGAGACAGCATCCACTATCAGTGATGACGCTGAACAATCATCTTGTTCTTCATGCTTCTCCTGCGTCGAGTAGGATGCGCAGGCTGCTTCCAGATAGGCTGATCCGGGTCATACCCAACGAGGCAGTTGACTGTTTCCGCGCCCTCGCCAGCATCGTTGATCTCGCTACCAACAGGGTTTCGCCATTGACCAGTGAGCTTAATATATCCATCAAGAGCATCAGTCATCGTCTTGCCCAGCTCGAGCGCCTTGGCAGCTCTGCTGTGCGAGTAGTACGTGAGTAGCGAATGCGCCGCCTCCCGCTCGTTGTTCTCGATGAGAACTCTAGCGCTCGTCTCGACCCAGTCCACATCGCTGCGGCTCTGGTTCTCGAAGCCCGTGAGCATCTGCGTGACGATAGGCAGGTAGGTGTCCGGGGATGAGCACATGTAATACAGTACGCGCTTGAAGATGCGACCAGCAAAGACGCTCGCCTCCTGCAGTTGGAAATCAGGGTTCAGGAAGCTGCCGGACGCGCCGGTCGTGAGGTACCGGTGCTCGCCGAACTCGGGAGGCACGCTGTTGACACCCAGCCACCACGGCACGAATGGCGATGAGACAGAGGTGGCGGGCGCGTTCCAGATGCGCAGCAGGTCCGCATCGATGCCCGCCTTCAAGCTGACAATTTGTCCGTAGCCCGCTTCGTCGTCGGCGATGCGCTTGTCGCGGACGCGCTCCATCAGCTTCTCTTCCGTCAAGGGGACCATCTCGAGGGTGGCGTTCTCGAGCGCAGCTTGGGACATGAACTTGAAGCCGCCGTCACGGGCGGTCATATTTTCGCCCTTTTCACCGTACGCGTTGAAGATGTTGAAGGGCTCGCCCCCCTTAGGGTCCCACCAGCCTTGCTCGACGGCGAAGGAGACAATATTCTCAGAGCCCATGTAATCGGAGCTATTGGCAAAGTCGGTGGGGAAGTCCTCGATGTAGCCGGGGTACAGAACGCGGACCTCGTCGGTCTTGAGCCGCTCTGCCGCCCACAGCTTCTTGCCGCCGGCCATCTCCCAGACGACCCAGCCCTCGTCCTTGTCGGCGACCAAGTGGGTGTTTCCGCCGTAAGTCGCCTCCCCGTACAGATTCATCAGATCGCCGATGATTTCCACGCCCTCGCGCGCGGTCTTCGCGCGCTCCATCACGATACGCGCAAGATCGCTGTACTGGATGCCGTGCTGCGGGGTCGGGGTCATATTGACCAGCTCATCGCGGTTCTGCGCCCAGACGTCGCGGACAGTGACGCCATTCTCGTTGAGGCCGCCGTTGGTGAGCGGCGCCGGGAAGCCCTCAAAGTCCGAGTACTCCATCGACATGTACCGGTAGGTGTGGCTGACCTGCGGGATAGTGAACAGCTCGCCGGGAATGCTCGCCTTGTCCGTGACGCCAACGGTGATCGTCGCGTTGGCCGCATGGTCGGCGGCGGGAAACAGCTGCAGCCAGTGGGAGGAGACCTCTTCGCCGGTGCCGCCGACCATGACGCTCCCGTCGGCGGTGAGGTCCTTGCCGACGTAGAAGGCGTAGCTGGCGGAGGCCGGCCCGGCGAGGGCCGCTAGGACAACGGCAGAGCTTTGGAACATCATCTTTGCCTGGGATCAGCGAAGATGGCTCTGAGCGGGTTGGCTAGAGGAACGAAACAGAGAAACTTTCAAAGAAGAGGAAAACTCCCTCTTCAAGAGGAACTCCTCGCCTTACCCCTCGCTAGAGTCATTTTTCGGCAATGATGTCAAATGGAAGCCTCCGATGTTGACTTCGGAGTCGCGCTACCCCACACCGAAATTTCCGGTATCGCTAGCGGTGAAGATAACGGGTGCGCCAAGAACCGTAATTCTGCGCGGTAAACACACTTAAATGACATTGATAAGTGAACGACTGACAAGGATTATCTTGTCTCCCTGGAAATGACCCCATGGGTTTGCAGACGCGGTCCCTTGTTCCTGGGGAAGAAATGGTTAGAATTACCGCAATGCGACTCAACCGTTGATTGACTCGGGTAAATAAGCGACTAAAATGGCCCCATTGTAGAACATTTCTGCAAGTCATGCTCCAATGGACTCGGACTATGATTCCGTATGCACAAACTTCATCCATTTGTAATAGCAGTTGTCTCCCAGCATGTATTCTGAGCCGAGTGACTGCTAGTCAGACTTTGTCCTGCTGATTCCTATTCTAAATCCCTTCCACACATATTTCCCAATGCATTTGCAACTTTCCAGTGGCAACATGTTGGTCAATGTCAGGCACCTATCCAGCGAACGAGATTACGATGGGGAATCCATCAAGGTCCTCCTGTCACCACAGCCGTTTCCAACTGGAGTTTCCAACAATGCGGTGAGATTGAACCTCAATATCCAAGTAACGATAACAAGACATTGAGACACCCATCTTCGATCAGCGCTGTAGTCACTTGCGAGGATTGCTGGACTACCTTGCGTTCTGTGCAAGTTTCAATGTCTTTCCGACAAGAGTTGTATGTTACTTCGAAGTAATTTAGGCGCACCATCCGCAATAGAAAGCATCTCGCCTCGCGTAGATTGACTACAATGTCTTCTTTTAAAGAAGCACGAGTACCCTGGATTCTCACTGCCTTAATATCGTTTCTCTGCTCTCACTCCAATCCATTGTCCTCTTTGGAACTGCCCCGAAGCCGTTCCTAGTTGAGCTGAAATCTTGCAGTGATTGATAAGTATCAATTCTGGCCTGGCAGCCCTGACAAGTCATAGCTTCCGTACTTCCTCTCGATACCAGCCCATCAGCAATCCAAGTCAGGATTTTCCAAGCTGCTTGGAGGAAAAGTAGATCCGCAAGTAGGATCGAAAACAACATCACACCGCCGTTCTTCTGTTGAGGAACAGAGCAAAGGTATTGGCTGACAATGGTAGCATTTTTGCAGCCCAGTGGACCCATCATAGGCTGAAACTTGTCGTAGCTATCCCGGAGCTTCACCAGTCCGCTGTTGGTGTCATTAGATCCGGGAGCAGGAATCATGTTGTAACGATCTGATCCGTATATCTGCGACTTTGAGCCGTTCAGAATCCGTCCTGGATCCCGGTTGTAATCGTCTGGTGCCAGGATTGTATATCGGAGCCCACGGTCATCCAAAAGAAGATTCGGTGCCGGGCAATTGCCCAGGTCCAAGGAAAGCAGAGAGAACAGAATCTTTGCGCTGTGAAGTCCTTCTGTCAATGATGGGGATCCGTACCACTATGTTGATTGCGAATGTCAGCTGACATGTCTTGATGGCGATGGTCTGTTGATCTCAGCAATGGAATAGCGTACATCAGAATTGTAATCTTTGAGGCTTTTGTCCATGTTCTTATTGAGAATCGAGGAGTCCGCATTTGCCAACCACCAGTAAAGATCAAAGAACTTATCGGTGTAGATACTAAATCAGGAAGTGAGCAACTGCAAGTCAAACAGACAAGCTAGGGTAACCTACTCTTCGCTTGGCTTGGGAGTGTAAGTCAAACCACTACGGACAACATAGTTCTTGGAGCCGTATATATTCGTCATATTTGCTGCAACTGTCATCACACCGCTCCAATATGCATTGAGCAGTCTGGTCCCCCACCAAACGCTTGCGTGCGTTCGGTAATCATCTTCGATTACGTAGCTATAGTCATGATCCCCTCCGCTAGCTTCCTCAGTAACGAGCGTTATGGTTACGATGCCGTCATCGGTCACAATCGTGCAGTCCACAGTCGCCATCATTGTAGATTTTCCATATGACAGCCACCATGAAGCAGCAGGCGGCACCGCAGTGTCGCTCTTCTTCAGCTTCAGGGCTATGCTTTTAGGCGAGCAGCTTTCCAGAGTATTGTTCTTGTAATTCAAGCTGGACAGTGAGTTCGTCCTTGAATCAGAAATGGCCTTGATAATGTATCGAAAGCCCAGGTTTGAGGTGAAAAAGGAATCGCCGATTGTCAGTAGACGCGGCTGGCACTCTGCGCGTACGTCACTCCTCCAATTGAAAGGGGGTTTCCTGTACCATCTTGGGCCATAGTTTTAGCACGAAAGTAAATGGTAATCGTTGCATCGTCGACGTACTGTGCGTTCGAATAAGCTTCAGTGCCGTTGGGATCGGATGTATACAGAGGCTTTAAGTAGTAGCCGTTTGCGCTGAGATTGACCAAAGAGAGAAAGACAGTGAGAATAACACCGCCAACAAGAACCACGGGTGTGAACCAGCGGAAAGGATATGGCTTGGAGATCGGGTAAGAGAACCACGACTGATGGCGATGCATCTTGTCACCCGGACGCCGATGGCATCGAGGACCCCTCAGCAGATGATGACTGTTGACCTCAGGGCAGGAGATGATATGTTGGGCCAGGATGGCGTACGGCGATCAGATGACATCGATTCCTAGCAGCATGTCATCGACATATAGCTATCCATTGAGGATGGGGGGGGCGGCCGACCATTTTATATGTTGCGGCTTGCCATGTGTGAACGATTCAACGAATCATGCCTTTCGCCGACCGGGAGGATCAGCTATCGACTTCAGGATTGGCTGGATCCCAGAATAGTTCTGCCTACCGAGCATTACTAATCTTAAGGATCGGAATGCCTGCCTAAACAATCGCGCTTACCTCGTGCCTGTGTCTCAGGAGCCGATACTCATGCACTACAGAGGTCTTGGTGGGCTTACTCGAGTCTAACTGAGCGGCGAATCAATGCCCTGTAATTGTGTAAATAGAAGCCTTGATTTGGATCTATGACGCGGTCAGATTCCTGGCCTTCCTGCTTGTCACCGTTTCCTGCAGGCTGCATACAGGGGCGATCCCTTAGCTTTAGCGATGTTAACACAGCCTTTCTGGCGGTCGACATGTTGATACAGATATTTGCAGCCTGAGACGTTGTATTGTTCATACGCAAGCATCGATTCAGTATGCCGGGGATGTCATGTTTTCGAAGATAACCTGCCTATCACAACCTAGACTATTCAAAACATTCAACATCGTAGATGGATCGTTCTACATCTTTACCAGTGATGTGCGTATCGAATATAACATCGCAGTAGAATGGTGATAAAATTTCTTCAGTGTATATCTATGAACATTATATTGCTCCAGTAGCAAATCGCTTTCAAAAGGCGCATTGGCAGTTGCTTTGGGTTGTCATAAGCAAGGCGGAGTAGTAAGTGCGAGAACAAGACTTGACTCACCAAACAGTTGAGGTCAACTGAGTGCATGCCTTGTATTGAAGCTCAGGATTGGTACACTACAGGGGCAACAGTTAGTTCTTCTTAATCTATTGACTTGAGGTTCCTTCCAAAAAGGAATACTTACAACCAAATTGTTGCGGACACTGATGCAAGGGTCAACAGGCGCCGGAGGCGGCCTAGCCAACGCGGCACCGAAGGCTGCAAAGAAAATGAGGGATGAGAGCTGCATTTTGAGTAATAATCAACAACAGGCGGAATTTGTAAATCGAGGAACTTGGGACATGGCAAGTTGTGGATTCATGGCATGCTTTATAACTGAAGAGTCGAGTCGCTGTAGGGGGATCTTTAAGTCTTGATGAAGGACTCAGCATAACTTCGGCAGGTAGTTCCGGTTCGGAGTCCGTCACAGCTCCATATTAATATGGCAATCCTTGCCTCCATCTAGTCTAAACTCTTTTTTTGCGAAAACAATTACGCATGACTCGAGAGTTCGTGAGTGATAACCCCGGCTCGCGGCTAGTCTGAAGTTAACGACCGGCTCCCACCGCTCGTCAGTCAACATCGAACGAAGCGAATTCGAGTACTTAAGTCTAAGAAACTCACCAGATCCAGAATCTATGCGGATTTGTGTCCCGAAGTCATTAGTGATAAGCGATTCCGTTGACCCGGCTGAAGACCCCTCTAAAACCTTCTCCCGCCTTCGATCTTAGTAGCATCTAAATATGGAGATCAAATGCATCCTCGATCTCGTTAGGGGCCAGCAGAGTTTAGTACTTTGCATGTTGAAGCTACCAGCCTATCTTCAGTCTCCACAGGCCAGCGCTTCATGACTAGAGCTAAAGATAGCAACATATCTACTCGGTGTTAGTGAGCGAGGCTTTGGCTGATCATTAGCCAACACAGCCGTTATTGTCTATAGATCCGGCGAGTTAAGGACATGATCTGAGCCGAATAACTCCGTTCAAACAAAGGGCGATGGTATTCCATCCTGGAACACACCTAATTTGGGTTTGGCCAACAGATGTATTGAGGCCTAGGGGCCGGGTATCATAAACTCCCACCGGATCCTGCGGCTTTGCGGACTCGAGAAATTACACAAGAGGGCCCACTGATAACTTGACAGCCCAACCATGTCCGAGTACAGAACAACTATGGTTGTTAGGCGGCGAGTCCTGGTGCGTGACCTTCCAGCCAGGCCGGGCCAGCTCGTCCGAACACCGCCGAAGACCCGGCGCCGAATTGAACTTCATCAATCTCCGCAAGGGCAGCAAAACGCATATCCAAAGGCTGATAGAGTATCATCGAAGTCTCACAATAACTTCAAGGCAGCTGATCTTCCTCACACGACTCTCGTCCCCGAACCCCTCATCCTCTTCCTCGAGCACAACATCATCGACCGTGCCCACGGTCTTTGTCCTCACCTCGACCTCGCAGTCGCTCTGCTCGGTGAACCACGCCGCAATACTGAGAGCCTTCTCAATGGCCCGGCCGGTGCCAAGCACGACCGCTTCCCCATTTCCTCCTTTGGTGCCGTTGTCGCGGTGAAGTAGGTCGATGCGCTGGTTCAAGTTCATGCCTCTCGTTGAGGGCGCGTTGCCTTTGAGGGACTTATCTAGCTGCTTGCGGACGCGTGAGACGACTGACATGAACGGTGTCGATGCGGACACGTAAATAAGTTGTGATTTTGATGAGTTGGGTTGTTGGCGGCGAGGCAGGGCGCGCTTTTGAATCTTGGAGCCTGGGATTGTGTTAGCGCGAAGACTCATTCGGGTGGAGGCTAGATGTAGTAATGGAGGGAGGGGTTTACCTTCAGGCAGCCGAGGCAATTTGGTCATTGTGGATGATGATTGTCTGCTTGAGGTTGAGTTGTCTTTGCCAGCGTGGCCATGTGTTGCTGGATGAGTAGGCGCCATGTTAGGGTAGGCAGCTGTATGGGTATGAGTCTAAGACAGGTATTTCTTTCTGCCTCGACGATCTTGCGAAACTTGATGGTACTTAGGAGGTGAAGGAGGTTGTTGGGAGAGAATCAATGAGCTGGAGCGTGTATGGATGATCTAAAAGCATAGATCGAGAAGTTCTCTAAGCTCGTGAAGTGTCCTTGTGAGATACGTCGGCCGGAAGCTGCAACAAATCATCGAAAAAGATGGTGAACATTCCCCAGACGAGAAAAGTGCATAGAGTGGGTCTAGGCCCGTCTGCATCAGCGGGGCACAGGCGCACTTCCCCTCCGCGAGCTCGGCCCCACTTAACAAGGCACCGCGCACCGACCATCCTGGTCCAAAGCCTCCCACGATGACAAGAGCCCAGACTAGAGCTTCAAACTGTCCACCATGAGCTAATCGAATGATACCAATCGCCCTCTTGCGGCTGTCTGCGATCTGATCAGCGAACAGCAAAAACTACCAGTAGCTGCCGAAACAGGAGAAGACTCGAAGCGACAACATGTCAATAGCAATCTGGCCTCCGGTGGGCCCAGAGGAGTTGATAAAAGGGAAACAGGAGTGCCTCGTATGTATCCTCGCTGTCTCTGTATGCCCCGCGCCGGATTCTCGATCTTGTAATCGCGATCTCGATAGACACAATGCTAATCAGACTCGACCGACTATCACAGGCCCGCGAGCTAGAATGGATCGTCGTAGAAACACACACGATCCTTAAAGATATCCGCCACGGCCTGCAGGACTGCTACGCTCTCCTGGCGCCCATCGACCCGGGAAGCACTCTCGTCATGAGCACGCAGCGTAACGAGCGCGTAAAGGGGACAGTGACCCGGGTCGGCACGCGCATAATCAAAGGCGTAAGTCTACATGCTGCCGACTACCTCTCTCCCTTAAGCAACTACGAACCTATGGCTAACACCTTCAAGACAATCCACCTCCAGCTCAAAACCCTCCCAACGCAGACCCTGAACCTCGACGCCTCGCACCCAGTCCACATCGCCGCCCTCGAAACAATCCACACCCACCTCACAGAATGTCTCGACCTCCTCTCCCTCACAGACACCCCGACCCCCTCCAACAACCCAACCCAGCTTGCCGCCCAGCTGCGCATCATTGCCGCCTCTCTCAACGAGTCTTCCTCCCTCCTCAAGGGCCCAGCCCTGAACGAAGTCGACCACAGCTGGCAGACCGACTCCTGCCCGCCCGTCCACTTCACCCCGGCCCTCGGACCAAATATCAGCGTCCACCTGGGTCTCCAGGAATCGAGCTTGGTCCTCTGGCTGCGCGCCCTCGAGCCCGTCGATTCGCCGGTACACTTTGGCACCAAGCTCGGTCTGGCCTTGGGAACGGTCCGCAGGCTGGAACACGACGAAATGGACCGCCCGTTCCGATTCACGTACAGCACTGTTACGGACGGCGGGCAGAAACACAGGCATGGCACGGCGCACCCGAGGAGTAGCGGGAGCAGCCCCAGCGGGCTGGGTACACCCTCCAGCAATGGCGAGGCTACAGAGGTCTTCGTGAGGGAGAAGGTGCGGGTTGAGAGTCTGCCAGATCCCAACCTGATGTCTCTGTCTGCCAAATTGGTTGCCTTGGGCCACACGCTGGCTAGCACGAGAAGGAACCTGGCAGCTGTCATGGGCGAGGAGTTTGACGAGTGAAGCAAGGTCTCTCCCAATCTGTAAATGAAATTCTATACCCCGGAGTTTGGCAGGAAAGTTATTGGGCAAGTTGTCAAGGTTACTGTTTTCAAATTCCTATGTGCTGGTCTTCTTTACCAGAATTCTGTACACATACAAGTCGCCAAATGGAAACCACTAAAGGTCCATGATCAAGCCAAACCATCTGTCTTCCTCATGGTGGAAACCTAATCCATGAAAGCAATCCCACCCAAAGTTGCCTTCGCTGGCCTGACACACGCTGAGCCACGTGTTGGCCAGCGTACCCAGTGTCGGCCTTGTAGGCATCGACAAATGAAAGCTGATTAGGGCGATGTGTAGAAGCATGCGCTACGACGCATAGCGGTAACACGGCGGAGCCGAGAAAGAGTCCAAACCCCCCACGATTACGCCACAGGAGACCAGGGCATCGGGATCAAGATTCTCGACTTCATGCTCTGAATAAGAGGCACAGTCTTGTGGACAGTTTCGCTCCAGCCCTCGACGCTCCAGCTCTTCTCGCGGCGGATCTTTCGCTCCTCAAGGTTGGCGAACTGCCATAGGTGGTGAACGGTGTTGAGGTCTCCTATCTGCACGAACCAAGCACCGACACCCTCCATGACCTCGCGTCTGGCCTTGAGGCCGCGTCTCCAGTGGGTCTCCCACTCGAGGAGGTTGCCAGGGTGTAGAGTGTATGATCGCAGCTCGAAGATACCGCCAAGCTGGCGGGGAGGCGTGGTGGGCCAGAAGGAGAACTCCTGCATGAGAGATGTCTTCTTCGAGGTGATGAGGCTCTTAAGCTTCTTATCAAACTCGGCGAACTCGGGGTGGGAGCCAATATTGTGGATTGACTCGTGGTAACCCTGGTAGCGCTGGTACTCCCAAATATGGACTGTGAGGCTAATATTAGCATCATGTGGTTTCGCTTCAGCATGGGGCTTTTTTCTCGGCGAGGTAACATACCAAACGTATCACAGTCTCCCACTTCGGTTCTCCAGCTTCCCACCAGGTGGACCTTATTCTCGGGCATGGAAGCCATGCGCGGGTACCAGCTACCGACAAGCTTGGTGTACTCCTCGACCTTGTCGGGCTTGACCTCGTGCTGGACGATCGAGTGGACGTACTTGCCTCGGGCGAGGACCTGACTGAAGCTCGCCTCGAGCTGAGCATCCAGCTCGCGACCTTCCTTGGTGCCGTAGATGAGGTTGGTCAATGGACCGGCCTTGCGCGAAGGCTCCTGGGTGGCATCGGCCTTCTGTCCTGAAGTAGCACTCACGGATGAGTCCTGGGCGGGCTCAAAGGAGGAGGCAGGGGAGGAGGATTGAGTATACGCACTTGCTTCCCGCTGTTTCTGCTGCTCGATCAACTGCTCTCGGAACTGCTTCGATTTGTCGTTGAAGGAGGCGACGCTCTTGGGCGCGGCGCTGACGTCGGCCATAGAGGGCACCTTAAGCTGCTGGCTCGTGGAGCTGAATGCTCGCAGCGCGGAACGCGGGGTCGCCGCGCCGGCTGCTCGCACCAATCGCTGGCTCAGCATCTTTGCCTTTGGTGGTTTTGGGGGATTGGGCAAAGAAGGATGTTTTGGAGAAGGTAGGTGGGATGAAGAGGTGTCTGGTGACCAAGAGGTGTCGTTTCTTCTTCTGCTTGAGCCAAGGGACGTTTTGTCTACTCAAACAAAGGTGACAAAACGTGCTCTTTGTTCAGCAAGAACAAGCCTCTGGTACGGGATGTGAAGGAGGAAGGAGAGCGAATTCGATACGTCTCGATCGGTAAGAAGCAGGAAGCACCCGAGAGCAGGGGTTTATCACAGAACGGGAAGCAAGTCGGCGTGCAGAAAGGGCGTTTGGAGGCGACGGCGGCGGACGGACTGTTGGTACGCTGGTAAGTGGTGGTAGTAGCAACCTATGGGTAGGTAGCGGTTAGGTGTCAAGGTGGTGGTGGTGGTCTCGCCCGTGCTTGGAGTAGCAGTCTAGGCTAATGGGATGGATATAATTGGATGAGCAGAGGAGGAGGTCGGGCTACAACCGTGCAACAATGGTGTGTGTCTCTCGTTGTCTGCAGATTCCCCGCACTCTCTGGCAAGGTGAAGGCGGTTGCAGGATGGCGGTAGAGGAGGAAAAGGAGACAGCTTCAGGAGGAGGTGTCTGGGTATGTGTGTGGCAGGGACAAGATAAATGTGACACAAGGGAGGAGATGTTTGGCTTGCTACACTACGAGTTCGGGGTCTGGCACTACCACCACGCCAATCCCCTAGGTCCCAAGTCCAACTCAGCCCCCAGAACCTGGGGAAAGCTGTCGCCGCGGCCTGCCACGGCACGGGGGAACGGGTGCGGGCGAGCGAAGCTGAAGCTTGCTAAGGTCACGGGTGGGTACGTATCGCCTCCAAATGCGCCCAGATGCGGAGAAGCGTCGAATGATGTCACATGAGAGCCGGGGTAGAAAGAAAGGTGGAATCATCCGACTGGAGCTTGAGCGGATACACGGAAGAATATTACTGCGTTATTCCGATCCGGCTCTTTCCCCGGCAAAACCTGGAAGTGAACAGCCCGTGCCCGACAATACCAGAAGCGGATGATGCTCCACTTGCTTGTTCACATCTGTCGCGGCTATGGCCTCAGGCCACACTTTGCTCGGCTACGGGTCCAGCCGCCGAAACCGAAAGCTCAATCGGAGGAAAAAGGCTCGTTTTGATAGCTTCACATCGAACCTCCGAATATCGCCCGCCCTTTAGACCCTTCAATCTCCCCCCTGCAACCCCCATCACAACCGTTAAGATGTCCTGGCTCGGAGCTCGCGCACTCAAGAAGTACCCCACGCCCGTCCGTACGTGTTTCTCGACGACCGTCCCCGTGTCTCCGTCGCACAATTGCTAACATCCCTTACAGTTAAGCCGATGGCGCCTTTCTTCGCTGCCGGTATGTCCGAGTCCCCCGATCAATACTCAATTCTGAGCGAAATCAATTGCGATACACGAGAGAACGCGAAGAATAGCGTCGTGAAGCGCGGCAGGTGCTAATATCCCGACAGGTCTGGTCATTGCCTACGGCATCAACTCCGCCCAGAACGCCATGATGAAGTGTATGTTGCGCCAACGAAGACCTCCCAAAGGACACATATTAATTTTGCTACACAGCCGACGAGTGGAAGAACGATGCCCGCAACCCCCTCGCCAAGAAGCATTAAGTTCGCAATGGAACAGTCCGAGCTATGCGGGGAGATGGCCGAGCAGTTGGGAAACGTGTCGAGGATATAGATCCGCCAACGCATATTCTTCACGGATGCTGTATCATAGACGCACGGCTCGCATTCAATTGAGCTGTTGTACTAATGTACCGATGCCACACGTCTCATAACTATCGGGAACTCTGAGGGCTCTTTGCCTTTTACGTGTGTGAATGCGTCATCATAGCCAAGTTGTTTGCAATCCTTTCTTTTAAGTGACTGCGGCATGGAATCTGATACACCTGAAGAGAGATGGAAAATCCCAAAATCGAAAGGCAAGAGGGGTGGTCGTAAGCATTGTGATTGAGTTGCGACATCACAGAGTAAGGCTCGGAACGATGGCTTGTGTATCACGTGACAACCTCAAGCCAATAACTCTGCTGTTAAGGATGCCAGAAGGCGTTGGCCAGGACCGTACAATCCTAGACTGTGATAAAGATGAATTCCTTTGTAGAAGACTTGATCGGACTTCCAGGAGTACTCAAATCGGTTATCGTGGTCCCAGTCCTTATCGCCGTCTCAATTCCTCTTCTTTTCGGCGAAGAGTCAACTGTGGATTTGTCAGTATCCACTTCCGTCTGTCACTGAACACCTTGACTTCAATACGCCTTTTGAGCTACACCATAATTACCTTAGACACACACATGATAACTTCACTTCACTTCCGCTTTAGAGCTGTTGTCTCTTCCACCAGACTTTCCCAAATTCCCGCCAAGAGCAGTAATAATACCTACTCACATCTCAGCCACATCCTCATCTGCAAAATGTCGACGACAGCAGGCTCAGCCCCGAATGGCTCAGCGGTAAAGAAGCCCAACGGAAAGAAGGAGATCAAGATTCTTATGCTCCACGGTAAGATATGTGTCCTGTTCTTATGCTTCTTTGGGGACACCAAATCGGCCGTCTAAGGCCAACGGGTTACAACATTTCTTCACCCATGACCCCTCCCCAGAATATCATCAACCCTCACTAACACTCCAAGGCTACACCCAATCCGGGCCCCTCTTTCGCTCAAAAACTCGCGCCCTAGAGAAACTCATCGCAAAGTCCTTGGGCCCCTTCAACCTCGTCCCAACCCTCTTCTACCCAACAGGCCCATCACAGCTCTCCCCGCGCGACATCCCAGGCTTCGTCCCGGACGAGTCCGCCAACGGCGAGGACCAGGAGATCGACGCCTGGGCCTGGTGGCGCAAGGACGAGTCCTCGGGCTCCTACCGCTTCCTGGCCCAGGGCATCTCCACTGTCGCCGACGCGGTTCGCGAGGCTGGCGGCGTCGACGGTGTGGTGGGCTTCAGCCAGGGCGGTGCCTTTGCCGCGCTCCTGGCGGCGATCCTGGAGGGCCCGCATCGCGATGAGACCATGCCGGCTGACTTGAAAGCTTCCGCGCAGGCGTTGAGGGAGGCTAATGGTGGCCGGCCGTTCAAGTTTGCGGCTATTTACTCTGGTTTCTTTGCGCCGCCCACGGAGTTGGAGTGGGCGTATGAGCCCAAGATCAAGACACCTACGCTGCACTTCCTTGGTAGCTTGGACACCGTGGTTGAGGAGTCAAGGAGTCAGGGGCTTGTGGACCGATGCGAAGAGCCGATAGTCGTTGTCCACCCTGGTGGGCATTACGTGCCCATCACCAAGGAGTGGGCTATGCCGCTCATCGGCTTCATTAAGAAGATTGCCGACGAGGAGGCAGCGAAGAGCAACATCTAGATATAATGACACACCAAATGACGAGCGAACGGTTTGGTGGGGACATACTCGGGGGCATTAGAGGGCATTGGATCATCATAGAATAGACCGAATCATGTTTTACACATCCCAGCCTGGTTCATTGCCTTCGTCTAAGATAGTGTTCTACAATTACACGCCGTAACCCATGCCGAAACCCCGGCAACCACCCGGACGTCTAATGCGCCTTAGTAGACTTTCCCTTGCCCGACTTGGACGCGCCAGGCTGAATATTGGCCATCATCTCCTCCTTGGTAATGAGATGATCGATCCGCTCGAGGTGGCCCAACAAGCTCTTCATGTTGGAGCTCCACTCGTTCAAGATGTCGTCTGCATCTCTGGGCTTCGCAAAGCTCACGATACGTGCAGGGCGATCGATCTTGGCGTAGATAGTCTTGGAAGTGACCAGCTCGCTAATGTACTTCTCCGTCTCGTCCTCAGTGAGGTCCAGCAACTGGGTGAGGCGCTGGGTCTGGATACGGGTATAGTACTTGGCGACCACACGGACGTTGTGCTCGATCACTCTCTTGCGGAGATCCAGCCAGCGCTGGTGCGCCTTCTCGTCATCCGACTGGCCGGTTTGGGCGTCGAAGACATCAGTCTCGCACAGGTGGGGACCGAAGGTCTTCGCAACCTCTGGCCAGCGCATGAGCTCGTGGACGGTGAAAAGCTTGAGGAGCTCGGCCTCCTGGGTGACTTGGCTGATTCTGGAATCCTTCTGGATTCTGTGCAGAAGATCGTGCTGCTCATTGTCGTGAGGTGCAAGAATGACGAAGTAGATGATGCGTTGAAGAACCTACAAATTCTGGTAAGCACGTGTTTCTACCATAATGGAAAGATTGGAACTTACGGGGTGAAGCTTCTTGGGGTCTTCCTCGACTGCCTCGGTGTCCAGAACCTGGCGGTAGTGCTTGCAAACGTCGAGGTACTTGTCGTCGTGCTTCGCAAGGATGATCTGTTGCTCGTAATAACGAAGCTTCAGGTCTGTTGTGTCATCCTCCTTCTCTTCGGGGACTTCCTCGCCTCTCGCCTTCTTCTTCTCACGCTCCTTCTTCTCCTTCTCCAGCTGCTCGGGAGTCTTCTTCGGCTTTCGCGACAGGTATCGGGTGCTGATCTTCCTGCTCAGGATTTGAGCCTGAGTCCAGTCGCCGACCTCAATGCAAAGTGCGACTTGTGCGAGGATGAATTCGGTCTTCTCCCTTCGGTCCATAGATCCGAATGTCTCAACCTGGAGCTCGCAGAGAATGTCTGTCGCCGCCTTGAGGTCGCCCTGCTCCTTCTTGATATCGGACAGAGTCTTGGTGACACGCGCGCGCTCGACTTCGACAAAGATCTTTCCCTCGGTGACCGTCCTCAATGTCTCGATAACGGTAAGCTTGGTTTCGAGGTTCGGGGTAGAGTCGAGGAAGCCCATGACCGCCTGGACCATCTTCGTAATAGCTTGCTTGAGCTGCCCATGCTTCTTCGAGAGAATCAGAACCTGCTCGTTCATCAAGCTCCAGTCTCCGGCATTTTTGGTGATGTTGACGATGGCGATAAGTATACGCGATGTCGATGCAAGATCTGAGGACTGCGCTCCGTTAGCATGTCGACGTCTGGGGAAGGGAGGGGTAGGTTGCTTACCTGGCGGGTCTGCTTCTCTAGAACGCTCAGCTTCTCGATGGCGGCGGAAATGTCGCTCTGTTCAGATATCAGTATTCAATGCATGGCCATGTCAATTCTGGGCTCTTGTCCGCACCTTCGCGAGCTTCTCTGCCTCCGGGATCTGCTTGTCCGTCTCCTTCGAGAAGTCCTTCTCGGGCTTCAAGGCGGCCTCCGACATGCTGGGCGATACTTCGAGGATTTATTTGTACTGAAGGTAAAGACGAGGGTTCAGGTCGGAATCGTGGGAGCGGTGCGTTTGCAGGTCGCGAGGTCGTCGGTTGGGAAGGTGAGGCTGATTTGGTTGTTTGTTAGAATCGAAGGCTCCCGCAGCTACGCAACATGCTCGTGCCTACCTGACCTCACCCTGGCCACCGCAGTGCTCAGGTACCCGGATTAGGTAAGGCGGGGCAGAGCTGGCACGGAGGGACGTACCTTTTCCCGGCCCTGCCTTCCCGCTTCCATCGATGGTCTGTGCGTGTTGGCTCTTCCCTACGAGTGTCGATTCAGCCGTTGTTTCCTTTTCTACTTTTTTTCTTTTTGGTTCTTGTTCTTGGTCGACGCATAGATAGTATTCTTGCGAACACATTAGTATTTAATATTGAGGAGTGTCTGCTTAAGATCGAAGGCTTCAGTGATTCACTCTCCATAGGCTTCGTACCTAGAAACTAAGGAGGATTCGTTTGGCCAGATTACGACATAAGCCGAATTAGAAGTCGTCTTACTAAGGTAACTCGGGAAGGTAGCTAGCCCACCTTACCTAGGTACCCAACCTCACTGCAACTTGCGTGTACTGTTAAACATATACATTTACATTTCGGTTCGCTTTCCGAAAACTGTAGATTTTGTAGCTTCGACGAGCTACAGGCCCCCTTATCACATGCGATTGTCATTATCCCAATACTCGAGACATGTATACTCCACAATCTCAGCTTTCCCAAATGGCCTACATGGCTTGGCATGAAGAAGATTACACACGGCAATCGTCTAGTCATGTCCATAACTCCAGGATATATTTCGTCCGCGGATGTTTCTCCGTTGAGGTGCAGCGTGTCTGCGCCTACCTTGAGGTAGTACGCACGAACGCAGACCCGCGGGATTCGCGGGGCTCGCGTGAGAGCCAGGCGAAATCGCTTGTATTTCTTGCTTGAGATTTCGCCTGATCCAGGCTTCATGCTTGGGAACAAGTTATGTAGTATATTAAAACATGTTATGTACTAGAAAGGCTCTAAGCTATAGTAGAATTTGCGTTTAGGGGTTGACAGGTGGGGGAGTGTTGTCAATAACAATTGTCGTAGGGTTGACCTGGTTGCAGAGCAAGTCTCCGAGGCCGCCGGCGTGGCAGTAGGTGAAAACATCACCCTCGCCCCAGTAACCGAATCTGGACGCTCATGTTAGTTCGGTGTTGTTCTTAAGTCTTTTCAATAGAAATAACTTACGCGAGGCCGAGCTCGTGGTAGATGCGCAGCGCAAATTCGGTCTCCTTGCCCTGACGGATCGTGAAGCGGTACTTGGACTCGCCGCAGGTGATGACATCCGAGGGAACACCGGTCGCGCCCTGGCAGGCAAGATCCGTGGCGTCGTCTCCAGAGAGAAGGAAGCTGACGTTGGTCACTGTGCCGTTCTGCTGCTTGCGAACGGAGAGGTCGGCGATATCGATGTTCTCGGAAGGCAGAGGAGCCTCAGTCTCCTGGGGCGCGGGGGCAGCAATGGCAGAAACGCCAAAGACTGCAGCAACAGTAGCGAAAGTGAACTTCATTTTGCAAGTTATGGTCGGTCTTTGATAATGTCGAACGATAGGAAGAAGAGTTGAGTTTCTGGGGCAAAGATAGTAATGTTTGCGAGGGTTGGGAGTCTAGCTAGGAAGAGGCTGCGTGGTAGTTGCTTATATACTCTTGATGGACTCTAGATATTGGAGCATACGATCATCGTCGCCAAGTCGGTTTGGTCGGACAAGCGAGGTTGGTGATTTCGACGTCACCGTCGCTTGGGAGGTGACCATTGTGTGGGGAATGCCTGTCCGGCATATCCCAAAATGGCTGCGTTCTCGTAAAGGAAACTATGGCAGCATTGGAAGCAGGCAAACACGAACGCCCTGGAGATTCTGTCTCGCTCCAAAGTGCTCCCCTCTCAAAGGGGTTGTATTATGGGTAATGCCAGAAATAGCCCATGAGATGAACTGTTCAATTCTCCACATCGATCATAAACTCTAATTTGACCAAGGCACCAGTATCACAACTTGCGTGGAACGATTATCTAGTGAAAAGACCGGTAAACTCGCATTTGGCTGGTAATACTTGGGACTGAGCAGCTGGAATCAGCGGCGCTCACAAGGCGATCCAGGGAGGCAAGAAGTCCGGAGGAGCGAGAGAGCGCATGAGAGTGAAAGCTGGAAGACATGAAAGCTAACCCCCAACAGAGGAAGCAACGTTCTTTTGCTGCGCTGGTAGTCACATCGGGCAATAAAAATGTGGGAAAAATGACCGCCGATCTTCTCGTATTACCGCCAAGACCAGTGTGGTGTTTTGATGCAGCGATGACCGCAACGCGCCACTCCCCATTGTCAAGTCCCCAAATTACCCGAGGGTTCCAACTTCCATGGCTTGCTCATGTATCAATGCCAGCTGCAAAATCCTTAAATCCGGCTGACAGTTCCTCCAGAACGCACAACATCTTATTGAACTTTCGGAGATTTTCAGCCGCTTTTTCGCAATGACGTCCCGTTCGGAAGAGTTGAGACATTGGTGGCAAGACCTCAATTCTGTTGGCTTGCTCTCGCCGCCAAAATATGTGCTAAACCCCGGACAGCACACGCTTCACCAAATACAAATTGCATCGATCCCTGTTCTATTCTTCATTTCTAATGCCCCCGATGCTTTCTTATCCCGATTCAATGCACAAACAACAACAACATCAACAAACGACGGCAATAGCCGGGATCCCACATGGGAAACCCATAGTAAAGACATTCCGCTTAACAGCTTCGCCCAACTCCACCCAAGCCCATAGGGCTGTGCTTTATGAAAGTGTTCGGAACCATTTTGTCTTTCTCACAAAGTACCCAGGTGAGGCTGAATCTGAGCGCCACACCATTCCTAATATTGGCCACCCAACTCAGGGTCCAAGAGATCTTTCCGAGCGTTTTCTTTTTTCCCGAATGGGAAAATTATTCTTGAAGTCAGCGATGGACTTCCACAATATCGATTCTTCCTTACGTACCCCACCCACCGCTGTATTCCATAGTAATGGACTGGTCAAGCCCAGCAAACAGCTGCGTGTAGGCACCGTTCTTTGGTGGGTGCGAAATGAGTGTCTTTTTTGTGTCAGTAACGTATTATACTGCTCTCATGCGAGGCAAAAACTTACAAACGCTGCCAACTGGACTTTCGACATGTTCTGCTGAAGGTTGTTAACAAAGTTGCCGGGGTTCAAAGACTTTTAGAGATAGACCATTGGACACCATCTTACGCTCACCCAAGCGAATAGGAATACTTGCCAAGCTTATGATTCCGCTTGTCATTACTCGGCGAGCATATTCTGCTGCCTGACGAAAATTCTCCGCCTTGCTTCTTGAATACTTGCTCTAAATGCCTTCCTCTTTGTGATAGTCCATGTTGGAGAAGTCGATTGCTGGTCGAGGTGCCCCGTCCGCAGCGCTGGATGACACCCAGATGACCCTCACTGAGTTTTGGATCGATGGATTGGCGGTATGCTGTAAAATGGACGTTAGAAGCTTCGTTAGACTTCGTTAGAAGATGGCGAGCAATGTTGTTTATCCTCAGTTGTAGCTCGTAACCCTGCACTGTCTCCGAGCCTTGAGGGAAACCATCACACCAGCGTTGTTCCACAGCACGTCAAGCCGATTCTCCCGAGAGAGTGACTCCTGGACAGTTGCGATGATAGTAGCCAAGTCATCGAGCTCGCACTTCAGAAATATCATGTCTCCGCTGGATCCCGAATGCGCAGCCTTGATCTCGTCGATGACAGCTTGGGTTTTGGACTGGCTACGAGCTGCCAGCCAAATCTTGGCGTTCCCGTCTTCTGTGCTCACAGGTGTAGCCATCTCGCCTCCGAATTCTCTAGGATCTACGGACTTATTAATATTAGACCTCGAACTTCTCTACCATTTTGGTAAGTTTGCTGCACTCACTTTGTCGAATGACTTTCTTCTCTAAGAGTTCTGGCGTCTGAATGCCGTTAAGTTATGACTTCAGCACGAATACTTGATGCGAGGCAGTCTATCTTTGTCAGCATCACATCTTGCGAACCTCTGCCCGCATAGAAAACACTACATGTTAGAGAGGTCGGTGTGCTACTACGAGATGTCCCTCTGCGGAGTGATAGGTTTGGAGGAAGTTCAAAAAGGACTCTAACGAAGGGATCTGCTCATTTACTCATTTATGTTAACTTACATCGGTATTTTGCCTGCAAGCCCCCAGCCGTGGAGATCATTTCTATGCTTACACTCAAACAGCCTTAATTCTCAGTAATCCTCGATATCACAGCCACCTTTCTTTCAATGTCACCTTCTTCAAGCAGTCTACGGAATGGATTTCTTTGGTTGCGAAGACTTGGCGTCTGATTGGAGTGCTGGACGGGGCTTCTTTAGCGTCCCCAAACATCACGCGTACACATACATGCCCTAGGATCGGCGACAACTTGAGTCTTGGAAAAGAGCCTGTTGGACTTGGTACGATTATAGATGACCTGTGGGGCGACATTGGGATACTCGCTGTTACTAACGACCAGCATGCGCAACTCCGTGATCTCCAGGCAAGCATCAACTCTTCAGGAAGGGACAGCGGTCTGCGAGACACTTTCAACTCTCCTATCATCGGACTCAAGAAGCCTTATATGATTTTCTGTTTGCTATCAGAGCTGCGAGACATAAATGACTTGTTCGTCTGGATTGCGATAGTGTCGGAAGACTTCCTACTACCACTACGCAATAAGGAGCAGAGCGCATTATTAATCTTTTGTTACTTCTGTATGCTTATAAAGAGAATACCAGGCCAGTGTAGGCTGGAATATCTGGCTCGATTATCTATGCTTGAAGGCATAGGGGTTCTTGGATGAAGAGCATAAGTGGTGGATTCGAGGCGTGGAATAGCTTCAAGGATACGCGGCAACTGCGTTTCAATTTATGTGTCAGAACTTTGTGGCAACAGAAACTGGCAAAGTTTTCATTCTTAATGAGCCTTACGAGTACTTACTGCTGCTCAAAGACTTCAACTGGCAATACCGGCTTCACAATCGATGGGTATTCAGCAGATCTCAGCACAGCCATAGTCATTTTTCTCTCAAGTATCAAGTCATGAGTGAGCTTCAAATCGCATTCAATTCCCCGTTATGGCCTCGTGTGTACACTTTCATGCCTTCCCACAACTATCTCAGGTATTCAACTTGAAATAGTCGACTAAAAGAGGACCTCTTCCTCCAGTTCTTTCTCAGTCCAGTCCCATAACTGCTTTGCGAGAGCACTGTTGTTGGTATGGGGCTTTCCCAACCCAGTCCGCCCGATAGGCTCGCAGTAAGTGCCCGACACAACATTCATCGAAGTCGAAGCCCACAGCTGGTTGAGGGTACCCGTCGGAACATCAACTCCAATGAAAAGAGTTGTGGGTTTCCAATTGATGCGCATCATTCAGCTATTGTCACCCATTGTGTTGGCGAGATTGGTAGTGACAAGGCCTGGTTGGAGCGAGGCGGTTGTCAGCTGTGGAAAGCGCCTGGCAAGCTCTTTTGCGAAGAGTGGGTTTGCGAGCTTGCTCTGTCCCTAACGAGTGATGGTGCCCATCTCACGAGCCTCCGTCTTGAGCGTTGCGAAGTTGATGCCTTCAGGGGGCGCGTACTGGTGAGCAGATGAAGCTAGGACGGTAACGCGCACATCAGTACCCGTCTCTGCGGCTTTGAGAAGCTTTGGGAGGAGGGATTTGGTGAGGAGGGCATGGCCCATATGGTAAGTACCGAATTGGACCTCGTAGCCGTCGTCAGTGGTCCCTTCTGGAACCGACATAATGCCCGCGTTGAGGAGGATGTCAAGGCGGTCAGATTGTTGGAGAAAGATCTTGGAAAATTCCCGAATCGAGTGGCAACAGCCTAGATCCATCTGTATAAATTTGATAGGTGCGTTCGGAACCTGTGCATTGATGTCGTCGATGGCTTCTTTAGCACTTGAGGGGCTGCGAACGCCAAGCCATATCTCCTTTGGATCATCAGCAAATTCGAGAATCGATTGTTTGCCTAGGCTACTATTACCGCCTGTCACGAGGATGACCTTCCCCTCGAAAGAAGGAATGTCTGCATCGGGGTTAACTTGACGCTCTTGCTTTCCGAGGAACCCATCGTGGCAGTTGAGTCAACCACCTCAAACAGGATATTTGGGATATTGCTCGAAATATGAGATTGTGAACCGGTTGTAAGGAGTTGAAGGCAATTGGCAGGTTCCACCGTTGCTTCGAGTTGATTTCCAAAGCAATGCGTTCCTAAAATTAGGGATGCCAATGAGATCATAAGCTGATGTAGTTGAATCCAATGCGATGAAAATGTTTCGTATATGTAGCCAACACCGGCATCTTTCCATGACCCCCGCCCAAAACCAACCTCAGGGAGAGTTGTACGAAACAATACACATGACATCGTTGGTGCGGTGCACGTGATTCGTGAGACTCTTGCGGAGAATCACGGAGGCGGCTTGGAATTCCGCATTTCTCCCCATCTCGAGAAGGTTGGCTTGAAAATAACATAGCTTCAAGAGCGGACGCCGCGCCGACGTGAGATAAGCAGAACATAAAATAATAACGACGGATCGTGCTAGTCAAAGTACGGCCGCATTCTCCGCAACCCTTGCTCATGATTAGTGGCCCTGACCCAAACCCCAAAACAGTGAGCTAGTCAGATGCCAAAGAACCTACCTTACCAGTTAGGTTACCTAGTCTCCATGCAGCCCGTGGGAGATTTCTTCGCCTGTGATACCAGGGTGATCCAACTATTTTGACCGCAGTTCCCGCAAGTGCGGGAAGGATAGAGCTGTTAGTTGATGGGCCATCAACAGGGAATAGAGAGCGCTCTGGTGCTGGCTTGATACTGGTATGGATGATAGATATCATGACCAAAGCCACTGCAATTGTATTCCATGATTGTACGCCTTTCATCATCTGTTGGCTCATTTTCAGTGACTCCATATTGTTTTTTGAAGTGTTTAACATTACCCAGTCTCGAACGGCGTCTCTCTGGGATCGGTACCAGAGGTGACTGAGAGACAAAGCGAAATGACCAATCTACCTCGAAGCCAGCTCTACTCCTCGTGGGGCTGTTGGCATCAAATCTCAACAATTGTGAACTATCTTAGTATGTTGGCCCCTTTGTGATCTCTAGAAAAATACCGCCTGTGAAGAAAATTAAATTATTCAAGGCAGTTCTACAAAGTAACAACACACTGGACACCACGAGCTCCCTAATGATCTGTTGATAAGGGAATTGGAGCATGTCAAGGGTTGATAGGCGAATTCTAGAGTCTCAGATCCTGCTCCTAGAGAAATGAGATAGATACACAGGATCGTCCTTGTTACAGTTCTACCTGGTATGAGTGAGAGCGCACATGGAGAGCCCAGCGATCTAGCATGAATGCTCAACAATCATCTACTTAAGTACTTGTAGCATCTCCATCAGGTCAACTTAACAGTGACTACACCCTTGGAAGGAACAGAGACGGATACCCCGGAGCCCGAGATGCTGGCTCCCGTGGAAGCGAACTTGTGGGTGTTGTCAGTGACCCACGCGCTTGCAGCCCTGGGAGTGAAACCTTTGAACAATACGCTAGCAGCCTTGGCAGCACTGTCATTGTTCGTGAAGATGACCACTATAGACCCATCCTTATTTTGAACAGCTGCCATCAAGACGTCGGACGCCACCATGCCCGACGTCTGCAATCTTTGTGCGCCGGGGCGGATGTGCCGCGACCACATTGCAAATGCCCAGAAGTTAGCCGATGGCGTCGTGATCTTGCCATCCTGGGTATCGATAAGGTGGGAATCTGACTGTAGCTGCTTGAGTTCGAAGCCCTCCCAGTAGAGATAGGCAGAGAGCTTGGCGTTGATGATGCCAACGGCAATTTTGTTCGCCCAGGTCATGCCTTCGGTTGCACCGCCACTCTTGTACCAGGTCAGATCGAAGGCTGTAGTGATGCCAGACTCGGTAACCCACGAAGATAGTTTGGTGTTCAGAGCGGTGTTGGCGTCGCCTGAGTAGGTGTGCGAGGTGATTAGACCCAAGTGGGATTCCATACCGGCGGCAACGAGAGCGCTGGTATATTTGACGGTTGAGCCCCAGCCGACGGCATCACAGCAAGTGACTGCGGTCTTGAGACCGGCAGATTGGACAGCCTTGGACAGGATGGGGATGAAAGAGATCGCTTCCTGAGCATTGAAGCTGATTTGCATTTGGGAGTATCCCGGGCTAGGTGGTGGTTAGTTTACCTACCTAGCTGTAAGGAAGGATCTGGTTCTTACGAAAAGTCGGGCTCGTTGAGAAAGCCGAGGTGGGTAATATTGAGTCCAGCTTGCTGGTAGTACTTCACATACTGCACAAGGAAATCGGCGTAGGCTTGCCGCCAATCACCAGATGAGCAAGTGTGACCAGTTGTGCCGCATAAATATCTAAAGAGTCTTAGAAAGCATCCGCTATGTAGACTGCGTGTGTTCTTGTAACTCACCCCGCCGTCGCCTCGTTGCCACTGGTCTTCATGAATCCAGGAGCACTCCAAGCATCAGCGTAGATTTGATTCACCCCGTAGCTAATGGCCTGCTTTGTGAACCAAACCTGGCCGGCGTCATCGTCGTCCCAGGTATAGGTTGGCTTGCCTGGAGGCGATCCAGGACTCGTGGGAAGGATGCTATCTCCTTTACCCCCGGAACCGATGCGGTTACGGATAATGCTGAATCCGGCACCCTTGGTAGGGCTGAAGAGAAGATCAAGAGCCTCCTTTTGAAGAGTCACAGGCCCATTCTGGAACTCCTTGGCGCGACCAAAAGCCTGGAAGAAGCCAAAGCCGTCGATTCTTTGCAGTTTGGAGGTGGTGTCGACAGTAACCTGGCCAAGCGCCACGGCGCCTAGGCTTGCGACACCAAGGAACGTGATGGAAAGGACCATTTGATCAACCAATCACGGGTTAAAAGAGTGTAAGGTCTGATGATGGAAAGGAATGTGGGAGTGGGTTGATTCTGCATGCCAAGAAATCTGACAGTTGCAAGAGTTTTGCGGACCTAATATACAAGGAGCATTTGAAGAATTCCCGAAGAACGCGGACGTCTCGCACCTCATCTCGTTCGATAACATATGGAGTACATCAAGCGGATTGCAAGCTTTCAGCGATTGTAAAGTTCGGGGCCTGATGGTATCTTAACGCAGTAATGAAGGAGTCCACATAGGCAATATATTTGGAGTAGAGCTCTGCTCATGTCATTCATTACCAAGGCAGGGTGGTGGCGTACTATGGAGCAGGGAGAAGAAACTAGTCGCTCCAATAGAAACATTCGCGATCTAGTCTCGGGATCGTCCGAACTGCTCGCATAGCAGCGAAGTTGGGGCGTCCTAGTCTACCTTCGGGTAGTGAAATAGAGTACATGTGAAACTCAGGGGCTATACATGTGTTATCCAGCTGCGAGATCCGGCAGGCAACTTTCTGATCGCAAATGCACTCTTGAAATTGTTCCTGCGTTTATTGACAAGAGCAGCGAAGAGGTCTTAGGTACATTGCCACATTGCTATCGTCTAGAATGGCCAAAGCTCTGATTGAAGCTTCAGACTCCGCGGCACCAACACTTGCTCAATTCGTCTGAAACATCGGCTAGTAAAACCTGGATATTGGAGTGGGAGATGTTCACCGTTGAATCCTAAGTCACTGGAACTGCAGACGATGAATTTTGATATAAGATACCTTAGAAGAAGAATGCTTCTCCCATCTTTGCCGTTCCATTTGAATCATAAAATTCAATCTTTGTTCTGTCTACTACTATTCATTCTTTTGATTCATTTCTTCCACGCGACGCAAGAAACTCTGCCACCATGAAGTTCTCTCCCGTCATCTTTGCCGTTGCCCAGGTGGCATCCGCCCACTACTTCTTCGACACGGTGGTCCAAGATGGTGCCGCCGGGAAGTCTTTCCAGTACATCCGAGACTTTACCCGTGCCACCAAGTACAACCCGATCAAATTCTCAAATAACCCGGCTGTTGACATTCGCGACGGGTCTTACATTGACGGCCCCGATAGCAGATGCAACCAGGGAGCTTTCACCAACGCCGCCAAGACGCAGGTACTCGACGTCACTGCGGGAAGCGACGTTACGGTGAAGCTTGGCGTGGGCGCTACCATGCAGCACCCTGGTCAGTAGACCCAGTCGCCGCGTGTCGATTCTCGAGATTGGACGTTGACTAACATCTTTATCCATCGATAGGACCCGCCCTTTACTACATGTCAAAAGCCCCAGATGGCAGTGTCAAGGACTACGATGGCTCAGGTGACTGGTTCAAGATTGGCGAGACGGGCGTTTGCACCCAGAGTGGCGACTTCACCAAAGATGCTTGGTGCACTTGGGACAAGAACACTCTCACCGCTACCATTCCCAAGGACACGCCCTCCGGCGAGTACCTCCTGCGCTTTGAGCACATTGGTAAGAAAATTGGCTTATTATCTGCTTCTTGCGTGTGTGTCCCAATGACCTAACAAACTCTCTTAGGTGTCCACAAGTCGTTTGACCACGAGCCTGAGCACTTCGTGTCTTGTGTCCAGGTCAAAATCACAGGAGGCGGCAACGGCACTCCCAGCCCGCTGGTCAAGTTCCCTGGCGCTTACAAGTATACGGACCCTTATGTGAGCTTCAGCCTCTACAACGGATACAAGGCTTTCCCGATGCCTGGCCCTGCTGTTTGGACCGGTGGATTGAACGAGGTCAACAGCACCTCTGCAAATGAGGTGACGGTCCCTAGCAACCTGCCTTCGACGACCCTGGTCACCTCTACTCGTCCTGCCACTCTTCATGCTACCCGCTCTGACACTCACTCTGCTGCTCCCAGCGCAAAGGCTACTGCCCCATGCGCCAAGCGCCGTCACTGATGTGCCTGCTTGTCAACAACACTAGGCACCTGCTCTGTTTCTCGTATCTCTTGCGTCGAACGGGTGATGAGATAGACCAGAGTTGAGCATCTTTTCTTTATTGAGATCTCATATAGGCACCACCTGGGTGTTACTTCTATTCTCCTGTACAATCTTTTAGACACAACTTTACTCAGCATAGCTATCAAACTATGCATCATCCCGCGCTCATGAATGTGATGTTTTCAGATGTGTAGGGGGATTTCGTGCGTCTCAACTCATTGCTTCTCGTATGAATACTCACCTACCTTACTTGGCCTGTCTTGATATGATCAGACAACTAGCAAAACCACTCATCGCCTATGGTAGACGAAACGTGGATCTTGCCCGGTGTTTCTTGAATGAACATAACGTTCTCATGTATCCTTGTTGATATACTTTGGCTTAAGCAGATACATGTCTAGATTATGACTGAGCGGAGTGCTTCTCAGATCGCTAGAATCCCCTCAACGATCATTTCATTGCAAACTGCAGGTTGCGACACGCGTAGTGACCTCTTACACAGTCAAGAGCTCGCGGTTAGCACTCCCGAGCCACCACCTAGACTTCAAAGTGTCCAGAAGAGATTCCATATCGGCCGCGGCAGCTCGATAGAGTCGACCCCCGCTCTCCCCACAAAGCCAGTGTAAAGTTGCGGCACCTGCGTACATGCCGTCCATGATGAAAGGGTACACGAGGGTTGAGGCCTGCAACTGAGTCTCGTTTCCATCGGTGGCAGGAATAAGCGGCGATATATTGGTAGCCATGAAGTGAAGCTGCCGGCTTGCTACTTCGATAGTAAGCAAAGACTGCGGTTGGAAGTCGAGCTCCTGGCTCTTTGTGCCTTGTTCGCCGGCGTATCCGGGCTCAACTGACATCTTTTCAGGGCATGTGAATCTATAAAGGGCGATAAAAAGGGCATACCGCGCCAGTGCTCTGGATGAAAGAAACGAAGAGCTCGCTTCTAGTCTCCAATCTGTATTCTCTGTATCCACAGCTAACGCAAAGCCATTCGGATCGTTGACGAGTGAGGTGATCTCTGGAATGCAAGGGGCAGAAGACCCTGAAAGTTCAAATCCAATCGCCTGACTTATGGAGATAGATACTTGACAAAGTCTTGCGAAGCCTGATTGTTGCGTCTGATATGGTGTACTGGTAGAATGTCCGAAAGCTTTGCCAACCTCGCCACGGTCCTGAGTTAGACTTTAGTTCCAACGAAGAGATATGATGTCATTGATATAAGAACGCAAACGAAGTTATACTGTGTCAACTTTACGTACCCAAGAATCATCATCAAGCAATCTATTTTCAACTTGCGGCTCTGTGATGACGCATCACCTCCGGCTACCGAGCGCAACGATCTTGTTCGAGATAAGTATAGACTACCACACTCTTCTTCTTTCTTCAGCCTCTATCCGGGTCGTCTGATGTATAGTTGATTAACAGAGAAAGACGCAAGAGTATACAGCTCAATGATGGTTCAGACTCACAACTTGTCTTAAAACGGGAAAATCTCCGGTAGATAGCCCTACAATGTCCGAATATCGGGCACATGATCCAACCGTCATCCAAGCGGCTGCATATAGCGTGTCCATACTCATACAACGCAATAAACATGATAGCCTGGAGGAGAATGAGAGATATGGTGCCATTCTCCTCAAGAGGGGCCGAGAATTTCTTCGCTTCCCGGTATGGGTTCAAGTCAACCTGATGTGTAAACGGCGTTGTAACAAGCCTCATTGACAAGAATAGCATAGCAGGGTCAGGATCTGCGTTATGGAGAGATAGCACCATATCTAGTCTCTTCTTAGATATCATCGGCAGCCATTTGTGTATCGTAGCGAAGTACTTTTGTGAGACTTCAACGATGGTATTTTCTTGGCCTAACAACGCCAATACGGCTTGAAGGGTTATGTTAGAGCCTCCAACAGACATTAGAGAGCTCGGCTATCTAATGGATAGTAATCATAGCTCCAATCAGAGATGTATCAACGCAATTCAGGAATAGTACCAGATCGTACTGGCGACCGAGCACGGGACCAAGTATACCAATCAATGTCTAAAAACAGGGATGCAGGGAAACCAGGCCCGAAGTCCATATCCCGGATTTCGGTGTTCGGACTCGTGGCCATGGAACTAATGGACCAGCCGGTTGAGTTCGGATTCGGCTCAGTGTTCTGATCGTGATCAGATCACTCGCGCAAGTTGATACCGAGTGTCGAGGATGAGGTCGAAAATGAGGCTGGTATCAGCTGGTTCTGCGCGCCACCTGGGATTGCTGAAGGTTCAGGCAGACGACTTTCCAACGCATCAAGACGCTCCTGCACAGAGTTCCACTGACTGGCAGTTGTAATTCGTTCAGGTTAGAAGTCGTAAACGCAGCTTCTCCCCGTTCGACGGCATAGGCTGCAGGCCAGGCATGCCTGAATGCTGCGGGGTGTCATCGGTGACGATCCGTGTGTACTATTAGGGCTGTGAGACTCAATCACAAAATTAAGGCTGGGCCCGCTTGAAAGAGTGGGTGTATGTGGATGGAGAAGACCTATGGAATAGTGAACTTCGATGAATGCTGCGATGCTGTGCGACTAAGAGGCTGAAGCATTAGAGCTGTTTCGCCTATCTGAAAGAAGTTGAGGTGCGGGAAAATGCGGTCCACGTCGCTGCGGACTTCAAAAAGTCATTCCGATCTCGTACTCGGGCTCGCCACCGAGACATTCGTACTCAGATCTAGACCTAAGACGTGAGGACTTTTGTGGCCACAATCTCCGCACATCAGATGTGTTGCCGGCACCGGAAAGAGAACAATTTGTTTCCAACAGTTTGAATCTTGATTCAACAAAATTCTACTTGTACCTTATTCATGACTTGTTCACGTCCTAGTTCTTCATTCTTCATGCTCTTCTACGTCCTTGGGGGTTCTACCTGTTTGATGCCAGTACCCGGGCTCTCGTCGTTGGCAACACAGAGTTCCGGGCTATGTGGACCTGGTATTTCCAAAAGATCAGTTCGCGAAGCTTGATGGAACAGACCAACGATCCAAATCATCGCCCAGCCGCCCTTGACACGCATTATGGAACATGCCTCTCCTGACTGGCCCGTTGACCTACGCGAACTAGCTTTGGGAGAGAATGGTGACGCAGACGGCTTGCCCATTGCCATGAACATGGATGGCACTTCGTTTACGAGAAGTTAGCGGATTGCAATTGGAGTCTTTGAGAAACAGATATAACTTTGTGAGTTCATTTGAGGATACTCAATGTTTTACGTCGATGAAGCTGCCCATAGACACTATGATGGCCCATAAAATGACTTGAATACAGTAATCGAAGATCAGCTAACACATTGTAGGGGTGGATGTGGACAGGAAGTTCAAGAAGTGAGTATACCAGCGGTGGGTAGTCTGCTTCTCAATCACGAACTCAGGTCACCGCGATGCTGTCTTGGTCTTGTAGTTATGATATCCCCCGTTCCAGGCAGGGAAGGGGGCTCATCAGGCGGTCAGCGACTCATGGACATTGAAAAAGGGATGCCGAGGTGGGGGTCACAGATGAGAACAGTTGATGGAACCAGAATGGCCAAGGTGGAGGTGGAGTTGGGACCTTATAGGCCCTGGAATACTTACTTGCCTCAGGTCTTGGTCTCCCGTGGTGTCACCCTCTTTGGGTACTAGAATACAATCGGATCCGAAAGGATCACGGCTGGAGAATGGATTTCTTGTCAAATCAAGCAGATTCAACAGTCACATATGCGGCTCGCAAACTAACTGTAGCGATCCCGGAGAACTTGGCGCAACTGGAGAAGCCACCATCCCCAGACGAAAGAGGCTTACCCCAAGGTCCCCAACACATGACCCCCACATAGTCCCGCAAGCATCCCTGGCTCTGGGGGTCCAAGGAATCCCATATCCCTTCTGCTCTACGGAGTAACGCCGCCGGATCTGATGCCGGAGAGCTGCAAGGTGGGGGCAACCCGACGAGATGTCGGCTGATGTTTGGGGGTTCAGGGATGGCCGTGCAAGCAGCAAGGAACAAAGGCATCGTTTGTATGTTGGGCCCTACCCCATGGGGCATTTCCCCGCGTTTGGATTGTTCTCCACGTTTGCCTTAGGATAGGGGAAAGGGTAGGGAAAGAGGTGATTGTGGGACGAGTAAAAGGAACGACAAGCTGTTCCAAGGTTGAGAGGTCCGGGGGAAAGGAGCTTAAGTTCAGGACCCTTCCCGCGTATTTTCATCGGTGCATGCTTGCTCACATCTAACTTGCCATCTGTTTTATCGCTCTTGCTTTCCCTTTCGTTGATGAACTACAGAGGAAAATATCTCTTTTCAGTCACAAAGTCAGACGAACACTGAAGCAATGGGCATGGACAAAGCAGAACGATCTTCGGACCAGGTCGAGGACGTCAACGCCGATAAGCTGAGCCAACATGGCGGCAACCTCATCATGCCCGCCAGTCTGGCGGCCCTGGGCTAGGAAGAATACGAGAGGGTCGGCAAGAAAGCAACATTGAAGATGGACATGGTGATCATGCCCATCATGGTCATAATGTACATTCGTAAGTGCAATCTGCATACTTCTGCAAGTATTCTCTCCTGGAGAAAACGACTAACACAATGGAAGTCAACTATCTCGACCGCCAAAACATTGCTAGCGCGAAGCTCGCTGATATCACCACGGACCTAAGCCTCAGCGAAGTCGAGTATCAGACCACCGTCAGCATCTTGTTTGTTGGCTACAGTAAGAGCCTCCCTATACTCTTTCAATGGCGTGGAAATACTGCCGTCTTGGACCTTTCTAACGCAGAGGCATTGCAGTCCTCATGCAAGTCCCCTCTAACATGATCGTCGGAAAGATCAAGTGGCCTGGGGCGTACATCTGCTGTGGCATGGCCGCCTGGGGTGTTATTTCTTCCCTCATGGCCGTGGTGCACAATTACGAAGGCCTTTTGATGGCTCGATTCTTCCTTGGCTTCGTCGAGGCTATATTCTTTCCCGGCGCTCTTTACTTTCTGTCACTGTTCTAGTTAGTCATTCTGTTCATGTGCTTTAAGTCTCCTGGGATGCTGATACGTTCCTAGTAACCGAAAGCAGTTTGCCCTGCGGACTGCCATCCTCTACTCTGGATCCCAGTTGGGCAATGCTTTTGGCGGACTCTTCGCCATCGGCATCTTGAACCTGGATGGTGCCCATGGACTTGCGGGTTGGCGTTGGGTATGTCCCTGTCCTTCACCTTCTACCCGAGTAACTCGTTGGATATCTAGGACTAACCATGACTACCATAGCTCTTCCTCGTCGAGGGCGTCATCACCGTCGGCTTGGCCATCCCGTTCGCATGCATCTTACCTAACTCCAACAAAAAGATTCCCACTCTGACCCAACTGGAGTGCGAGTGGGTTCAGTACAACTTCGCAGCAGACCAGGGTCAGGAAGACGATTCGAGCGAAGTCACCGCCCTCAAGGGGTTTATGATGGCTGTCAAGGACCCAAAGACCTGGATGCTCATGAGTGTTCTCTACTCCGTAAGTTTTATAACCTACTTCTCTGCTCTCTTGAAGCACCTCTACCGAGGCAAGGCCCGAAGTAAATCTTTCAAGCCCATGAACAAGTTTACTAACGCGTGGGGATTATCTAGACCTACATCGTCGGCGCCGTCGCCAACTTCTTCCCCTCCGTCGTCGGCGGCCTTGGCTTCTCCCGCACAATGACCTATGCCCTCACCGCGCCGCCCTTCCTCCTCTGCGTCATCACTATGCTCCTGAACGGCTTCCACTCAGACCGCAAACAAGAACGCTTTCTACACATCGTCATCCCCCTCTGCGTCACCCTTGTCGCCAACATCATCGCCGTCTCAACGACCAACACGGCAGCACGCTACGTCGCCATGATGCTTCTTCCGGGATCTTTCTACGCCGCTGCTGTGGTTGTGCTCTCGTGGATCACGGGTAGTCTGGCACAGCCTTCGGTGAAGCGTGCGAGTGCTATTGCGCTGATCAATGCTATGTGTAATACGCCGAATATTTGGGGTAGTTATCTGTATTATGGTGCGCCGAGGTATGTTACGGCATTTATTGTGAACATTGCGGCGACGGGGCTGGCTATTGGGTTCGCTACGGTGACGAGGATCTGGTTGAGGCGGTTGAATGCCAAGTTGGACCGGGGCGAAGAGACGGGGAAGCATGGGCCGACGCAGGCGCAAGTTGCCGGAGGATTTAGGTATCTCATTTGAGACCCATATGGAGATTGTTATAGTACTTACTTGAGTAATCGTCCTGAAGGGGAAACTATAGTTAGCATCCATGTACGCCGGAATTCTCGATTGTGTTGACAAAGCATCCCGTATCAAGCCTTTCCAAACTTTCAACCATGTGTGAACTTAGTCTGAGACGACTGGCCATAGAAGCTGTGCATTCGACTTTCCTGCTCTATTGGCAGTTTGGGTGCCGGTTTGATAGCACCTTGGTTCTTAGTGCGGATAAGGGCTGTCTTGGTCTACGTATCTCTCATATACCAGGCCTGGCCACGAGATACTGTTCAGAGTATGACACGAAATCTTAGTCGCCGTTACTAGGGTAAATAGACACTTTGATAGAAAGGTTCTTTGGTACAGAAAAACATAGCACCTCCAGTGTTCTAAGTTGACGCTTGGCACTTGAATAGTCTACAACTTCACCCTTCCTGTAACTTCTTTTTCAGCCCGCTCGCTATTGACCATCTCAGGGACAATTTCCTCCACAGACGTGGGACCCGCAAGTGCCATGTTAGTCTGCATTTCATGCCTGAGAATCTGCACTAGCCGTCTTACACCAGCCTCGCCATAGCCAGCCGTCATCGAGTACAGAAATGGTCGACCGATGCCAACAGCCGTGGCACCAAGCGCAAGAGCCTTCAGAATGTCCGTACCACGTCTGATGCCGCCGTCGACAAACACCTGGAACTTAGGTCTGGTCTCCCTAGAGAGCAGATGCGGCGCATATCGACGAATCTCGAGAAGCGTTAGCATGGGCGCCTGCGCTGTGTCTTGGGACCTGCCCCCATGGTTCGACAGCACGATACCGTCTACTCCGTGCTCGTGGGCGATGACTGCGTCTTCAACCGACTGTATCCCCTTGATGACAATCGGCAACGATGTGGTCTGTCGTATCCATGTCAGATCTGCCCATGTCAACCCCGCATTCAATAACCCAGAGGCCGTCGTCTTAGCCACGCCGCTGGGCTCCGAAAGGGGCTCATCGCCTACAGTCAACCTCTCATCACGCTCCCGCTTGCCGATGACGGGCGAATCGACCGTCACGAAGATCGCCTTAGCGCCTAACCTCTCTGCCTTCCTAATCGTAGCTTGTGCCTTATCTTGGTTCCGGTCAACGTACAGCTGGAAAAACAACGGCTGTGCTTCGTCCACCCTGGCTCCGAATATGGACTCAACTGACGCGCTTGGCTTGGTGGGCATGCAGTACAGGATTCTTTCCTTGCCCGCAGTCCTTGAGAGAATTGTCTCAGCTTCGGTATGGGCGTATTTGGCCTGTCCAGTAGGCGAAATGTAGAAGGGAAGGGAAGAGGGGAGGCCGAGAATGTTTGTGGACGTGCAGATGGAATCGACATTTCGGAGAATGCGTGGACGGAGGGCAAGTTTGCGGAAGATGCGGCGCGAGTCGTTGAGGCTCTGTTCGTCTTCTGCGCCCGAGTAGTAGTAAGCCCAGCCCATGGGCGAGAGGAACTTTTCCGCGACCTTTTCAAAGTCGTCGGCGTTGATTATGGCGCCTAGATGTGGGAAAGCTGGCTTTTGCTTATCAGGAGTGTTCGACGAGACATCTTGCGGCTCCGGTAGAGTTGCCGGGTCTATTGGGCCCAGACAACGGTCTGGAGATAGGGTTTCTGTGATGAGGTCTGGGTTGTGGATGGCGTCGTAGTCTTCCGTTGCGTCTCTGCCGGCACATTTGATGATGAGCTTTGCGCCTCCAGGGTGCTCATCCAGGAAGTCTAATCTGGCGTGAGCTGGCGACGTGAGAATGGAGACCAGAGCATGCGCCTACCTGTGACGTCCCATACTTGACCATGCACGACGACCCAGCAAGAGTCTTTTGTGTTGTTCTTCGCAACCTCCGTACCACTCACAACCATGGTGATGATGACTGGCGAGTGTCGATGCTCTGGAGCAAGAGCGAGGCGTAAGAGAGATTGGAATGGTCTTGGTGAATCCAAGGATTTCCATATCCCTAGAGCCACTGTAGGATGGACCCGCCTAGCAGACTAAGCACAAGCTTAGTTCTCCCACCCCGCGAAGGGCTCACGATGTCAAACATCTCCACTGGCGGCACCTTAACCCCACGAATCCACGCCAGCCAGGCCTAGGTGGGGGTCATGCTGGCGTTTGTCCACAACCCCATGACGCCGCTGCTGGTCCGATTCGAGACAAACCTGCTCCCCCACTCAAGCCATAGCTTGCTTCTCGCAGTGGAGTCCCCGCGAAAAGGTGGTGCGGCTCCGCAATGTTACGAGATTCAATTCGCCAGAAGATGACGATGTTTGCGGCATCGATGCTGTTAGTCGTCGCATCGTGTTAGGTTTGAGCGGAGAAGTGTCCGGCGACGACGTTGGAACGAGGGAGGCTCGGGAGTTGTCCGGGGCCCCCGGGATGGGGTCCCTGCTAGTACCTGAGCTGGCTCGCTTCATGCGGGGAGACGTGAGCAGCGGGAATGATGATCGGAAATAGGCGTTGTTTTCAATCTTGGTTGTATTCCGTAGGCACACATACGGATGCAATGTACGGAGTATTAAGTACCGGCTATGCATGTATACGCTACCCACCTGCCTTAGCCGTTCCGAAGCTAGTTCATCCAATCCCTCAGAAATCAGCACCAAATGCCGTAGGCAGTAGACGTCATAAACTTCCTGTCCCGAAGGCATCGATTTGCGAATCGATGCGCGGCATTGTTGGACAATCGAGAAGAACAAAAGCGGAACTGCTTACTTTCTCTTCAAGGCGGGCCCGTACGGGAACAGAGTCGTGGGAGTGCAATGTCATTTCGACGTTTTTTTTCCTTTGAATATCTGCTCTGCCTGGTTCGGCTAGGCCCCATAATAAAGAACGGTTGACCGGAGCCGTTGGGAGTTTATCGCAACGCGTCTGTCTCATTTCTCAGATCTACGCTGTTGCGACAGATCTTCTCTTGCTCCCCGAACACGCAGGATCTCCTTTTTGTGTCCCTAACCGTCGCCCAAACGACACCAATCTGAAGCGCAGACCAATGCCAGGCCTCCCGTCAACCCCCCGCAGACGTCAATAGAAGACCAGATAAATGCCCTCGTTGATAAGTAAACCTGGGGGTACCGCACCTGATAATGTTGCAGCCAACGCTGTTGATGCCGCCGTTGGCGACTTTTGCCAACTGCGTCCAGTGAAGCCAACTGAAAATTGTTCAATATGTGGCAAAAAGATGGACGAAGTAACAACTGGGGGATCAGTTCTTTCATACTCGTGTCCTCAAGGAAATACCGACCCGAGGACCGAGAACAATTCTCATGGATCCTTCAAGGAAAGTGACAAATGGGCGTTCAAATCAGTTAAGTGAGTGGGGGAGGTGCGACTTTGAGGACGTCCAACTGAAGAAGGTTCATCGACAGACAGACGATGAGTTTGTCAGGATTCTTCAGACATGCCGCTTGGGCTAAGATCTTAGCCAGAAGGACATCGATCTACTATTGAATCATCCATGTCAAGTTGAGAACGCGACTCATCTATTCAGTCTCAAATCCGCGGCTGATGATGTCAATGTATCTCGACTCGCATAGCTTGATACAAAGCCCCGAAAGTACTGGTGTCTTGAATACGTCAATTACAATAATAACAAAATGAAAGGCAAGTACTGACTGCCTTACGCAAACAGCCGCGCCATACCCAAGCGGGGCTTTGACGTTTTCCGAGTAATGGTCACTAACAAAGTGCACCCTTTAGGCGCAGGATTCAGCGATAGGTGCACCGCCTTTGCGGCAGCCATTGACCTACTTGGGTGATCATCGCTATGCCCCATATTTGGAAGTTAAAGCTTGATATGCCTGTCATTTTGACTGCAAATGTGAGACCTCCTCAGAAATCGCCGTGGCATACAAACTTATGTTGTTAGTTTCACTGACCTTGTATCCTACAGGTTGATCTAATAGCGGGCTTTGCAATGGCGGTCAGGGTAGGATTCGCAACTTTGTCTTATGCTCCGAGATTAATGGCTCCTCGGAGCCTCAAGAAAAGAATTACAAAACGGGTGACCCAGGCTTCGAGGCCGCTAGAGAACGTTACCGTCAGACGGAACAGTTCTTGGCAAAAGAAGATGCAGATCAATCATGTAAGTACAAATCATGCTCAATTGGTTTACAAAATTCATAATCTCCACATGTTTACAAAATCCATGCAGACCCCGAAGTCGAATTCAATAACCGCCAACGACGAGTCATTGGCCCGGATTGCGCAGTAAATGAACTCGGCACGAACCATCCTTACGTGCTCATATCTCGGAAGCAGCTCCCCCTCGCCCCGGGCTGGGCCATGACCATCCACAAGAGCCAAAGCCTGTCTCTCGATCGCTTAATCGTCGACCTGCGCTCTGTTTTCGAAAAGGGCCAAGCCTAGGTAGCGCTCAGCCGTACCCGTTCTCTCCAAGGGCTGAAGATAGATGATACAGACAAATACATGCTTCAGTCGAGCTTGAAACGTGATTCCGAAGTTAGAAGATTCCTGGAGGAGCTTGAAGAGAGGACTGCTGACGGAAGCGGAAGCGGAGATTCGGGCCAAAGTATAGGCCAGAACTCGGGCCAAGATTCTACACAAAATCTTGAGAATGCGGCTGCAAGATGTGAAAGCAGCATTTGAGAACACTGATCGGAGTTGAAGTGCCAGGTAGGTACTTATAGCCTTGGATGATATTGTATGAAACCTTTGCAGGATATGGAACCACGCCCAAAACATTAATACGCTGCGCTTACACTTTCTCTGGACCTCCAACCCTAAGACGCTATCACATGGTCTGGGAATTCGTTCAAATTGAGCCCCAGGGGATCGATCGAGTAACCATGCCAATCTCATTACTCTCCCTTTCTCGTCATTCAACTTAGATTCCTGTGACAGTGACTTGCTCTGGTGCAGACCGACTTACAATCTCTCCAGCTTGCGCCCTCAGATCTTTGCAGAAAATCCTAAGCCTCTCCTCTTCAACTTCATTATGAACTCGTCCTGCTTGATAAGCATGTGCGTTCCAGCTGCCATGCCCTTCATGCCCTCAACATCGTACAAGCTTTCCAAAGGTACATCCCGAACTGAGACTTTGTGGTTTTCATTCATCCCTCCACAAAACACCTCGATAATGTTTCCGTCGCCATATTTAGGATCACGGATGGCAGACATGGCAACCTGGACAACTTCTTCAACGCTGAGCATCAAGTCATCAGCATGTACGCGCTCTCGGCTGTAGGAAGCGTGGAAGATCGGGGTCTGCAGCAGGCTATCAGCACTCGGTTTTTTGCGATCATGACGGACTTGAGGTAATAGGTCAAACATACATCGACTGCTCCGGGACAGATTGCCGCATTTCTGATGCCGGCAATCTTATTCAAGGAGCCGAGGGACTTGCACATGCTAACAACTGCAGCCTTGCTTGAGTAGTAGAACGGTGTCAGGAGGCCATGAACGTAGCCCGCCATACTAGCGATCCAGAGGATGTTGCCTGAAAGATGTCGGTTTTCGGGACGGAGCCAGTATTCGACGGCGATCTGGGCAAGTCTGACGGGAGCGATGGTGTTGACGGCATAGGCTTGGTACATGCCGACCTTGGCATCGGCTTGGTCTCGGGATAGAGGCGAGATTCCGGGCGGGTTCCAGAAGTCGCTGGAGGGTGGGTCATAGATCCCGGCCCCGTTCACGAGCAGATTGACTCGTCCATATGTGTTGAGTGCGGTATCCCACAGTTTGCTTATCTGAGACCAATCGCTGAGGTCTGTCTGATGAAAGATTGCCGACGCGGTGCCGGGCTCGGTTGGTGGGTGAGGGTATTTCTTGAGTGTCTCTTCAGCTTCAGGACGTAGTCTTAGATCCGCCATGATGACTGAACAACTCAACTCGAGAAGAGCCCTAGTCAGCGCATGGTTGATACCTAAACTCTGTCAGTATTGGCCCAGTGCTTGGAGAACTGAGAAAAAATGCCAACCTGATCCAGCACCGGTCACGAGCGCGACTTTGCCATTTACTTCCCACGAGGTCATCTTTGGTATGTTCTTTTTGTGTAAGTCGATCATGTATCCGGTCGGTGATGCTTACATAGTCCGAAGGCAAGCAGAGGTAAGAAAGATGAGACGGAAGCGGTTCTTCTGGGTTTGTGAACTGGTAATCTGGCTTAAGAGTCACGTCACTTTGTTTCACCCGAGCCTTGACCCGTCCGATTACCGAGTTGATGCCGATGCATGTCTATCCATTTCAGTCGACCGGTCTGAGATGCGTTCACTTGGCGGGGCTGAGCCGAAAAGTTGGTCCGGCATTGGCCCGGTATGCGCCAAGTGGAAGAGAGGCACAGCGATTGGGGTCGGCTGCTTGAGCAAATCAACAGTCAGAGGTGACAATATCAGATATCAACAACTAGATTTCACTGGTGTTTTTCAGGTGCTATGAGTCACGTTCAGTGGACTGTCTCTATTTCTTGTGTGAAGCAATTACCTGTTTTTCGGCGGTTGAGTGTTCTTCCCCTACTCCTTGGAAGGCGGCCTTCGGACTCGGCTCTTGCCGTTTTGCTAAGAATTGTGCTACCGACAAAATTCGATAACGTGAAGGATGCACACTTGATGATTGATGAAATTTACAGACGGCTGATGCTTTTGTAGTACTAGAAGCGGAAAGGGGCTCACTTCGACGCGGTGAAAGAACGAGATTGCGTCGGTTCATTGTTGCACCAGTGCAGAGAACTGATGGACGATTTTGACACTGATTCAACATCGCAGGCCGGCTGTACTAGCATAGGCCCACAAGCACTAATGCGGATGTGTTTCCAAGCTATATTAAGAAGACCGACATGACAACGACAAGATGGACATCGCCAGCTTCCGCGAGATGATTTCACTGGCTTCTGGCTTCAGCAAATTGCGGACGATTCGAGTCCCACGGTTCGTTTTCGAACTCGCATTCTCATCTATACTGTTTTCCATAGTGACAGAGTGCAAGTGCTTGGAAGTCAGACTTGCAGCTCTGCGTCTGATAAGAATACTCGGGGCCGAGAGAGAAAGCTGGTTCGAGAGTCACATCTTGTATGCTCTAGGTCGACAACGAATTGAGATGGAACATGGGGTTATTTTGGATGATTTTGACTGTCCCCAGGATTTTGTCTTGCATTTGGATGTGTAGCTTCGAGCCGGCAAATAGTAGCACGTCCCAGTTGCAATCCATGAAATACATTGATGCCGACGGGTTGGGTCGACGAAACGTCTACACTTTTCCTCTGCAGCTTGAGTCTTTTCCAGTGGCACCAGCCTTGACACAGAGTTCTCTCATCCCGCAATTGCTCTGCCCAATGTTTCTTGAACACTGTTTCGCTATAGTAGTAACACTCATATGCCCCAAGGCTCAAATTGTATTGCGTTCGATATCCTGTATCTTTGCAAACTGTTGAGGTAGCGCTGTCATTCTGGGAACCATTTGAGTCGTAACAGTGGCAGTGTTTGTAGCCAGAGCAAGCTTGGGCAGTAATGGAAAGAGCTAGAACGGTAGATAGAGTTTCGAGTTTCATCTTCTATTACAGATGTCAGCAAAAGTCGAGACTTGATGCAATCCTTGGACTTATGGATTGCTTATCTATGATCAGGTTGTCGAAAGGTATCTGTCAATGTTCTGTCAACAAGATTGTTGAAGATGTCGGGCTTATTGTCGAATTTCGTGGGTTTATCTCTTGTTAAGTGTGATAAGCACTGAAAGCCTTGTGAGTTCAAGTTGATTCATCCCCCGGAAGTCTCGGGGACTCTCAACTGTCCCAGACTAATTCAAGGAACTACGGCCCTGAACTTTTTATCTCGATAGATGCGAACAGCACACATGTTCTAATTCAATCTGCATAGCTTTTGTCCCGTAGCCTACTGTAGCTAGCATTTCTGATTCGCCCAAGTTATGGGATATTGATGTATTAACTTTGATAGGCTATAAACTGAACTCGTCTGTAATCAAATATTCAGAAGATCCAATGGCTCTTACGAGTCTGCTACCAGACGCAACGACGCGGTGAGTTGTATTTGTATCCAGAAGCATGATATCGAGTTCACCACGTAGTCTTTTGTGTTGATCAATGCTAGTCAAATCGAAGAAGCTGGGTTGGTCTAATGTTCTGAGGGAAATAACACCGTATCCATATCTTCTGGCCTGGAATGGACTTTCGATGTTCGTCAGAAGGGGTTACTGAAATGAAGAAAGCGTAAATAGTACGGGAGGCAACGGGCATATACTGCTGGGCCATGACATAAGCAAGGTACCAGATTGTATCTGGCTTGACTGACATACTGATTTCTCATCACCTCACTTTGAAGTTTAGTTGTAAGACGGAACGGCGCAACATAACTTTCCGGCCAATTTCGCTAGTAAAGGGTTGTTACTGATCAGCTTGCTTGATTCATCGTTTTTGGGCTTGGCTCGTTGTCTACGTAAGTATGGAGACACTGAACTTTCACTTTTCGTGGAGCAGCGCTGAGGAGTTAAGGTATTCCCATTTGGTATAGTAGATGATACTGGTGCTTGTCAATAAGACACTGCTACTTAATTTCTGGCTAGCTCTTCTATTATCTATATGTATGTATCTATCTGAAATTCCACGTTGTTCAAGCTTTGTGTTGTAACTTAGCATGCTGACTTTGACTGAATGGAGTCGAAACGTAGGTATGCATTCAATCTTAGACGAGAGCTGTTTATGATTCATCGTGGACTTGAATATATTGTGGTTAAACCTCAGAAGTCTTGTTGCACGCAAGTGAACTCATGATAAGTCCTCTCAATTCATATTATCTGTTTCTCTTTGTAACAGATTTCAAATGGTATTGGTATGGGGTATTTCTTTCGGATAGGGGCACAACAGACAATTCGTCAGAATTAGCAAAGGTCTGTGAGACATTTCAGGAACTTAGAAATGCAGTGGTTCAGTGGAGCTTGCTGCCAGCATTGCCAATTATCAACATATGATCCATCACATAGCTGGTCGCGCTGACACTAGAGAGAAACTCCAAGAACTCCGTCAATGAACATAGGGAATGCCAGCAACGCAATAGACTGATTGAGCTGACTACTGATATCATAAGTTAATCGGGCGACAAAGACAGCCAGGCAAGAGCTTACAGTCTAAAGGGGGGGGATGGATTCAAAGCTGCTGATTTCTTCCCGGTGATAGCTCTTCAATCACCTATTATACAACGAGCAAGGTAGAGCCAACGACTTCTCTGCAATCCATCGTGGTTCGTGATTACCCCATGTCCCAATATCATGGAGTCAAGCCACATCGCAATCAGTGCTGCCATTTGCAATACGAGTATGTAAAGTTTCAGGAAGTCAATTAATTCAATCAAACCTTCTTTATGATGCACATTAATATCCACTCAAATCTAACTCTGGTAGTTATGCCCCTGCGGTAATCGTTTCCTGTTCTATAGCCTAGAGCATGTAAGTTCAACATGATCACTTTAGCGTTTCTTCACACGAAATTAAACACCGACGGACTTTTCATGAGCAATAATTACAACTGCGTGAACCCGAGATGGACACGGTTGCCCAAGATGATGTTAAGCCACGTTGCGCAGTGTGATAAGTATTCCCCATACATATAGATTGAACGTTGTCAACAGAAAGAAGTCGTATCGATAGTCCCTCTTGCTTTGCACTCACGATCACAGTCTTTTCCAAACTGCCCGCCAGATACCACCTCTGCCATCAGTGAGTAGCCACTTCCATATTCAATTAAAGCTCTAAATCCGTATAAACCTCATCTAACCCACTTAGTGCATCTAGCAGCCGTAAGCACTCTTTTTGTGCTCGCCGGTGTGGCGATGGCTGGCAACCCTCGGTACAAAGTCAGTTGCGACCCAGCCGTTCCAGCTGCCTACCAGGCTAGCATGAAGGCATTTGAGAAGAAAAACTGTGGGCAGTCCGAGTATTTCGGGCGCCCAGGCACTTGGCATGAAGACACGCAGTCTTGCGAAGCCCCCGGTCCGGAGGGCACCAACACCGAGAGATACTACCATCCACTCTTTGCTAGCTCATCAGGCGGTCCCAACATCAGCCCGCGTTGCCACTGGGTTCTAGCTTAGGACTTTTGCGGAATACCTACATACCGTGCATCTAGCTTTTAGCCTCACTCGTTCTAAGTGATCGGCGATTGGTATTAATTACAGGCCCAGTCCCAGTTGGTCGAACTCCAGTCAAGCAGGACATTGGAAAGACGTGACTGGAGAACACTGGGGTTGCGATGGAATCAGATCTGTTATTGGTTGAAGTTGAGTCGTTGTGGAATCCTGGAGTTTTGAGATAGAACAGAGAGTAGAAATGAATTCAAACAGCATGGGGCTTTTCTATTTGGACTCTCTCTCCAGATCAAATATCTTGGTCGCCTCTCAAATAGGTCGATGATTCTCTTACAAATAAAAGTTGACGTGGCGGGTTTGGAAAGAGATCGAATTCGCCTGATGGCAGCAAGATCGTCATAATCTTTGATGCTAGAAGTCTTACATGTATAACTAGTCGTGCGCTATTGTGCCTTGCCAATTACCCCCGATCGCCGCCGAATGAAGTGGGCTAGATTGATGGCGGGCTTACCCGGTCTGTACAGTACCTTACCTGACGAGACCGTCCCAAGATACAGTCACAAGGATGGGCCAACCTATATGTATAGGGAAACTACAGTATGAAAACGTCGCAACGGGTCACATCCCGGACCCAGTCCGGAAGGCTGGACCCGGTAGAAAAGCCCGGCTCGTTGTTTGCTTGTCCGGGTTGATTTGTGCCGGCTCTCAATCTGTGCGCTTAGCTCCGAAACATTCATTTCTTAGATGAAGCCTGCCCAAATGAAGGAAGGGTGTATGCCGTTTTTGGCCTTGGTAAAGAAAGGTATAGGCTACCATACTCGTTGCCACTGAGGCGCTTGCCTTAGTTCTTCAGTCGGTATCTCATAAATATTGCTAAACCCTCTTACCCTTCTATACCCGACTCAGTTCGGAGAGGGGTGGTTTAACATCCTCCTCCCCTCGTTCTCATCCCCAACAAATCAACAGCAATCTCCAGAACTCGTTTCGCGCCACCCGAGTATTTCGAAGAAATGGCTAACCACTTGTCTCGTCTGCTGTAGCAGCCCGGCGCTCCACCTCCCTCATGAACTTCCTCACCTCGGGGTCCAGCGGCAGCGTACTCCTCATCTTGGTCTTGTTCCCGACGACCTTGAGACCGCCGAGCGATCGCGCACGGCTCAGGGCCACATACGTCTGCCTTCCGTCCCAGACATTCTGCAAGTTGACGCTGACGCGATCGAGCGACAGGCTTTGACTCTTGTGGATGGTCATGGCCCAGCCCGGAACAAGGGGGATCTGCGTGCGCGCCGAGTACGACACCAGGATCTTCTTGTACCCGTTGGCGGTCTGCTGAATCGATGTTTCGATGTCGTGCATGTTGCAGTGGGGCATTATGACACGTTGCTCGCCGTTTGCGAATCTGACTTCGGGGACTGTGGGGCGGAGGAAGGAGGACGAAGGTCAGCGGTTCGTGGCTACATCTTTCTGGATGACCCGGGACACAGGAGAACTCACAACACTCCACGCCCGACGCACCCGCGACGTAGTTGCTCATCTGGTCGTACCTTGCCCACGCGACCTCGTAGCCATAGCTGTCTCCCTTGTAATTTTTCTCTTCGGGCTCCTTAGGCTGGTCGCGGAGGTCCAGCTTCCGTATGAAGCGGATGAGCCTGCCCTGGCTGCCGTTACAAAGACCATTCTCGACGTCGAGCTGCGAGCTAATCATTAGTGCCTCATTCCAGCTGACCTTGGAAGGAGGTGCACGATTGTAGGGCGAGAAGGGAGAACTTACGTTAGCCAGCAACACAACCGGCATGCCGGCCTTGAGGGTCAGATGTTTGTCAAACCGGTGCTTGTCGTTGTTGTCGCCATGGTCTTTTGGGTAGTCCAGGGCAAGAAAGGGTTCTGGCCGGCTGCGAAGCCTGTCGAGCTCCTGGTCGTTGTAGTCCTTGGCTTTCTGCTTGTGACTGAACAGGGCTATGCCATCCCTGACTTCGCGGTGTTGCAGCAGGACGTTGAGATCAGCGTCGGTTGTGTGGCCCAGGCGGATATTCTGGAGCATAGTGATGAATTTCTCATCGGTTTGTCGATGGATCTTGGTTAGATGGATGTAGCTACTCGCCAATATTGTCAGATCTGCGTCCTCGGCTGTACCGTCAAACGGATCATGGTACTCACTGGAAGTTGCACTGTTCCCAGGTCCAGGAGTTGAAAGCCCATTTTTCGGCATCTCGAAACTTCGGGTGCTCCTCATCGCGAGGACAGAAGTGCAGGTTATCTTTCTTGTCAAAGTCCATCTTCCCACACGGCGTCGAAGTACGGCTGGCCTCGTTAAAAGCCACCTCCACAGTGCAGTGCTCAAACGGTTTCACGGGGGGCAGCTGGCAGAAGTCGCCGACGGCGATGATCTGGATACCGCCGAACGGTCGCTCCACCGAATCTTCGGTCTGGGTTCGGATGAGATGGTTGTAGTGGTGGGCGAAAGCGTCCCGTCGGAGCTGGCCGATGACGTCGGAGAGCCGATTGAAGAACTCGCTGTCGACCATGCTGATCTCGTCGATGATAAGGACATCGGTGCTCCTGATGCGGTCCCATACGGTCTTGCGATGCGCGTCTTCGATGAGAGTCCGGGCTGTTTCCTTCGGAGCATCGGGGCCCCATCCGGCGTAGGAATATGTTGTCCTACCGTTGATGTTGGTGGCGGCCTGACCCGTGGGCGCGACGAGGTAGACGGTCTTCTGCTGGGCGTCGAAGGCCTTGTTGAGTGCCTTCACCAGGACCGATTTGCCGCAGCCGCCGGATCTGAGAGGGTCAGTCATGGCCCGGCTTTCCTTCTCCTTAAAAATGGACCTACCCAGTGATGAAGAGGTTGTGGCCCTGCATGGCCAGATCCAGGGCGCGCTGCTGTTCAGGGCAGAGAGGAGGCTCTGGGGCTGCTCCTGCGGCTGGCGGGTCTTCCTTGCCCGTCTTGCGATCATTTTCGCGTTTGATGTACTTGTTCGTTTGATCGGAGTAGCCCCCGAGAGGTATAAATCCCTGTGATTCCCTCATTGCTTCTTCCTCGTCATCAACCCGATCCTCCTTTTTGATTGCCTCCTGATCAGAGTCATCCTCCACCTTGATCGGTGACTCAGAAGTACCACAATGATGGTTTTCCTCGTGTTTGACGGTTTTAGATGGACGTACGTCAAAATAAAAGCCAACTGAAGTCTCCGGGTCAGGTTCGGCCTCCACCTCTCGGAGCCGCTTGACCGGGGCAGGCGCCGACGGGGCTTCAGGGGCGGATACGGTAGACCGACTTGGATGTGCCGGGCGATAATTCATCAAGGAGCCATTATCGATCTCGAGAGCCAGGCCAGCTATGAGAAGATTCACCTGATATGGGTAAGTCTCCTGGGTCACGGAAATGGAAGCCTTCACTCACAGCCTGGTTAAAAGTCGAGCCAGTAGTGTCTGGGTTGATGGATGCGTATTAGTATGGTGATGCAGACGGACTTCATAACCAGTTTCTGCACATACTCTTGTTCTTGCAGCCGTCGGTCTGGTCCTTGGCATCGTCCCAATTTGTGAAGATGCCGTACTTCCTGCCGCGCGCCTGGGGTCCTCGCAGGCTGTAGACCACGTAGTATATGGGGGCATGCCCATTTTTGAGCACGACCGGATTGCGCGAATCTTTGATGTAATCCGCTGCGGCCTGCCTCGCCTGCTGTGATGCAGGGCTGGGATTTCCGACCAGCGCATCCCGGGCCGGCTTGACCTTGGCCATATTTGTAAATGTAGGCGGTGCAATGGTCGTCCTCGAATCTCATCACGAGATCGCGATAAGGGGCCGCGCTAGAAGGTTTCACGGACTCCACATCACGTATTATGCAAGCAATCCCTGGTCGCGCATTGGCCGATGAGCATGGCTTTTTCTAGGCTGCCCACCATGCCACCACCACCTCGGAGGCATTTCTCGTTCCTCGACGACTCATCGACAATGGGTGAATGGCTTGGCTGGGTCTCTGGGGATTTTTCGAGCCCAATTTGCAGCATGGATGCTCGAATTCACACCATGCTTTGTTTTGAATGTAGTACAGCCAACTCCAAGCAGATGTGGCAATTCGTCGAAAAGCTTGGCATAAGGTGGCCATAATTCGAATAACCTCAAACGAATTCACAGATACACGACGACTCTAACGCTAGCCAGTCTCATTTTTACCGCTACTACTGGCAATCGCGCTTCAATATCTTGATGGATTTGATGGTACATGAATTTCAGTCAGGAAGACTCACACATGGTTCTTCTGGTCACTCAGAGCAGCTCTTGCTAAGGTTGAAGCCTCTCATTCACCATATCTGAGTCTTGGTTCTACTTGCTTTGCCTTTGCAATGCCAATACCGAGCATTCCTCTGGAGATCGTTTGTTGTCGAGCAGGCTTACTAAGAGCATAAATAGTTTCACTTAACTACTAGTGTTTTCAACTCGTCCAGATTCGAGTCTACTTACAAGCAACGTGAGTGCCCATAAAACAGCCCTAACCCTCAAGAGAGTGCCGGTAGAACATCTTATATCTTCAGCTGAAACGCTGCCCGATTTGATGAGAGCGCCAATCTAATGAAGATCCGGAGGAGGTGCTAGTTTTCGTCGGAAACAGCATGTAGAAATCATGCAGAGTGAGAGGTTGATCTCAAGAGCCAATGACAATTGAGCGTCAAATCTACCAACATGAACCGAGCGGGAACGTCTATTCTGGTTGGTGCCTGCCTCAGTAGCTCCTCCAGCCACATCTCAGTCATGCAACATCATCAGAACAACTACCAACAAACTGAGATCGGCTCAATTGATGGTGTCTAGCTAGACACAAAGAGTGCATCATGCAGGGCGCAAACTTATCATCACGATCGCAAAAGTTAATCGATTTGCCGGTGGAAATCCAAACTCACGTCCTCGAGGCCCTTGCCTCATCACACCCCGCATCGATCTGCGCCGTCCTTTCAACATGCAAGCATCTCTACAAAGTCGCTCTACATCTCTCAGTCCGCACGTACGAGAGCGCCGCCGGTCCCAAGAACACAAGCGAGTACGCGCAGAAACGCAGCCGCAACCTTGACTTCCTTCGTTACATCGTCATCACCAAGCCCGAGCTTGCACAACATGTGCGCCGCATCGCCATCAAACACGTCTCCACTAGCCTCATCTACCGCACCGCCCCATCAAGCAAGAAACCCTTGGGTCCTGAAAGTGATGAAATTGGCGTGTACACGGACATGATCGATGCTTCGGGCCTCTCCGACCACGTCGAAGATTGGGAGGCTGTGCGACACGAATGGCTTCGAGGCCTCGCCGACGGATTAGTCGAGCAGCAAATTGGGCTCATGTTCCTCGCATGTCCGAAGATCCAGGTTCTCGAACTAGGAACACCTCTCGCGCCTAGACTACTGCCTCGTCTGATCAAAGCTGCAGCGTTGCACGGGAGGAGCATGAAAATCCCGCTACTCCATCACTTACGAGAGTACTGCGGCGAGCCAGAGATACCCAAGAGTCTTTTCCACTTCTTCAACATTGGGAAGGAGTTTCTGCAACTACCTCAGTTACGGACGTTCACGTGCGCCAGCTTATCGAGCAGTGGTCCGAACGGGCACCTCTTCGACGAGAACGCCAACCCTCCCGGGTCTTCAAACGTTCAGAATCTTACTCTGCTGGATGCCAATATCACACAAGAGGGCCTCAGCACAGTCATACGTGTTTGCAGAGAGCTCAAGTCGTTTCACTGGACCCCAGGCGACAGCAGTTTCCTAGACATGCAGATCAAGCTGCAGGATCTAGCCCAAGCTCTATCGCCGCACCGAGATACCATCGAGTGTTTACACATCGACTATCAAGGTCAGTGGCGCAATCAAGAATGGTATGTCGAACAAGAGGGCTTCTTTATCGGAACCTTCCTACGGGAAATGATTTCGTTGAAGTCGCTGCACATCGGCATGGAAGCTTTTACAGGCTTTACCGATCTCTGGACGGTCCCAAGTCTTTATCGCAATCTTACTCAAGAGCAAATGTTGGTGGAATTGCAGAGAGCTCCACGGCTGGCCAATCACATTTCTCCTAACCTCGAGAGCCTCGAGCTGTATGGGTGCACCGGCGAGATATTACCTCACGTTCGAGAACTCGTGGAACTGCACCAGACAGGAGACGCATTCCCGAGCTTGCGGAAGATCCGGCTACGCTTCAATGCAGAATTGTTTGATCCCAGCAAAGTCGGCATGGAGCTCGGGGCAAATTTAAGTAACTTAGACTTGGAGGTTATGTACGACCGTATAACTTGAAGAGGGTTGGAGTAGTGACCTACCTTACGTAGACTACAAATTTATTGAGTCGAATTAACAACGGCTGATTCTATCACACCAAGAGCAGTTCGTAAATCCAAACCACATTGGATGATTAGCAAACATTTGTTGGTGCGATTGCCGAAGCCCTTCCCGTGTGAAGAGATTGCTCATCGATGCATGTGCCACACGTGCAATCGGCTTGGTTTGAGCCTATCTGCAAGAGATGTGGTCATCGCTGAAGAACCCAAAGGACCTTTCTCTTGAGGGCATTCCGAGCCTTGCAGCTTGCCAATATGCAAGGTCTTTTTGTGAGCAGGGGTTCAGCCACACCCCTCTTCTTCAACGCTGCATCACATCTGCACGCGGATCACGAGGCACATCCCACCCACGCAATTCGTCAACGGCAGCTTATCTGAGGGTCTCAAAACGTGGGATCTGATCCCATCCTACTTCCTGATCGATGCATTTCTGACAGTTCCTCGTCTGCAGATCTCTTCTCTTCCTTGCTTTCGAGGGCTACCGCGACAAGGGTGTTAAGTTTGGTGGGCATGGAGAATCAGGCTCTGATGTTGGATGGAGTTCCCTTGATGCAGCCATCTTCCGATTATAGCCGGTCATGTGGCAGCCAAATGCTCGTTAACGTTCCACATCGGGGCATCATCGGCAAGTGCGGCTATCACAAAGATGTGAAATGATAGATATAACGCTGTTATTTCCCCTCGGACCTTCACTTTGCGTACTTGTAGGACCAAGAATCTCTTGAGGTCTCAAGGCCCCCTCATTCTGTTGATCAACTATATCATACTTCTCATCTCGTTGTCATTCCCTATGTCCACTCGTTGCGACTATAAAGCCTTAAATAGTCCATCAGCCTGTTAACGGAAATACTCACAACTCACAAGTCAACAGCACCGAAAGTTAGTAAGACTTCACCACGCGCCACCTATTCTTCATCCTCTAAGCTCCCCATGTTTTTCACTTTCAAGCTAACACGGTTCATAGATACACGACTACACGCGAGTTCGAGGCCATCATGTCCGCCTGTCTGCGATGCCACATCGCTCCTGCCTTACCCGGCCATCGTTTCTGCAGCCCTTGCGGCCAGCAAATACACGCAGGCAGCATTCATCGTTCGGGACTTTGTATGCGTGGCTGTGGTCGGACCGCAAAGCAAGGTCACCGGTTCTGTGTTCCTTGTGGTAGATCGTACTACCGTTAGTCTAGATTGAGGGGCTTATGTGTGTTGTTGCTACTATTAAGGTATGAATGAGAGTTCTGAGTGCGCTATAGTTCGAGCCTCCCTGTTACCACAATCAAAGAGCGCACGTTATTTATCCATTTTAGGATCCAGAGCCAACTGTACTGGATCTCCAGCTTGCTGAGGTGAAGCCTCATAACTACTAGTAAACGACGTCACTGGTGTCTGTAGTTGATGCAATGAAATTGTTCCTGATGTATTTGATCATTTTCAGATCGGTGCTAAATTTGTGGTTTCTTGGTTAACAAGGGAATCTGATCGTGGCCCAGGCATGCGAATAAGAGCATTTGGCCAGGCTTGAACGAATCCCTCTCGCGACATCACCACAAACCACCATCTGTTGAGGGGTAGATGGGGGCTTGCGGGACAAGGACGAACGTTCTTATTCCAAGAGCAATGCACCATCCTTAATATGAGCCAAAAGCAAGTCGATTCGGTGATATCAAAAAGCATGTAGCAAAAGATGAGGTCCATCCAGGATTCGAACCTGGGCCTACGGAAATTCCGACAATCAGAATCCGACGTCCTAACCAACTAGACTAATAGACCGGTGTGAGCTAATCTGTTGCGCTGATCGTCGCAGCTCTGAGTGGGATTGAGAATCCTGGACAATGGCCGTAGCCCTCCAGCGCGGCAATCATTGGGCTGATGGTCCAAGTTTGGCATCGCAAGTTGAGTTGGAGCAGTGCCCTACTCATTGCTCTTCACTGAGTGCGTCGATTGATGGAAAGAACTGGTGGGGAAAGTGAAGAGAATTTGGGGAGCTGCATGTTGACAGCGCAGGGCAGCGGAGGTGCCCGGAAGACAACGAAACTGCCGTGCGTCAATATCCCAAGCGCTCAGCACAACGACAAGCGGAGGAGCTCCTGGTTGCAACTTGCATCATCGGCGGTATCGAGATCGTTTCGGTCCCGACGTTTCCAGAAATTCGAACGCGTCGTCTGAGCTTGCTATGCACAGATGCACACGTTTGTTTGCCAATCCGTAGATGCAGGGTCTGGTGCCAGCCCATGTTCGTCACTAGCCCCAAGGGTTTGGAAATGAGTGCACGCTCAGATGAACCATGTGCTCCGTTTCAAAACGCAGCCGATAGATGAACGGCCTTTGTTTCATCGGATGTCAAGATCGGACACCGCCTGGGAGCCCAGCAGCAACGGAGACACATTGACTTTTGGACATCTGTGATCCAACTGCTTGCTTGCCAACACGGATACCTTTCCAGCTGTCTTCCCAAGACTGTCGATATTTCTCAACCCAGTGGCTCGGATGACATTCTAGAGGCAGCTGCATGAACACTACTTTTGCCAACCGAATTCCACTTGGGGGCCATCCTTGGAGCACGGTCCATAGGTTGTCTAGTGACTCTAGTCACTTTACGGAGTAATCAGTCTGACAGTCATGCCGACGATGGTTAATGACGACGCTGACGAGGAAACCTGCCGCTGGTAGCTGGGTAATCGGCCCAAGGATCGGGAGACGGGGGCGGGGCTCCGGACATCGCTTCGCATCAAGTTAATGGGAGGAATGTTCGTCTAGGAGAAGGTCCCCTAATTGGTACCCATGAAATCTATGGATTTGTCGTCTCTTGACCGTACGTAGTAGTCTACATGGCTGTGTTCCCACTCGAACAGCAACATCATGCTGTGCCAGTGTGGATAGCCACGAGTCGAGGTTGCCCTTGAGGCACAGGGAGTCTGAGGGAGAGCAATCTCTTGTGAATCGACCAGTGTTGGAAGATGCTCTCACGGCTCCAGGAAGATTGCAGCCTGGCTCAAGGTAGTTTTGCTGTGCTGCAGGTCATTGTGCGTGCAGTGCGATTGGGATTCAAATGCCAAGGACGCAGCGGCAACGTACGTTGCGCATAGCCATACGGGCTGCAGGCCGCTGCATGTGGTCGTTATGACGAAGAGTCCGAGACTTGTTACGAGGTAAAGACTGCATGGTATTCAAGTTCGCGTACCACAGCTGACACTGCTGCTAGCGAGCGTGCAGCTTAGAGGACGGGTTCTCCTGTAGAGGTAAGTTGAGAACAATAGGCCAAAGGGAGATTGAAGGCCCAAGACCAACAAAGGTCACATCAGCGAAAACGATTGGTGTCCGCAAAGCGCCGGCGCTGCGACGCACCGTTGATCCTCGACCCACCGGAAAAAAAAAAACCCGTTGGAAGCTGTCCAAGTCTATCGTAACGTCTCATTCTTGCGCTCGGTGGCGTGTAACAACTCTGAATTTTCTTCTTTTGCCCCCTTTTCGGTCTGTTGAAGGGCCAGAGTAACCGTCGAAATGTCTTGCCAAGAGACGTTTGCTAGGTCGTAGAGGTCAAGATCAGGCCCGGGAGAAGGCGGAATGAATGGACAATATTTTGGACATTGGGAGAAGAAACAAATCCCCAGTGAGGTGGGCTTGAGTGTCCCCTATCTCGGTTTAGCACTGGAGTCTGCGCGCTTACCGCGAGTTTTCAGCCTTGATACGCAGGATTCACAGCAGAGAATTCTCTGTGTCCGTACTCAAGTCTTAGGAAGAGTCTTCTCGCTGGTCGCTGTGGTGGCAGTCGCGGGTCTCCGTAGGCCTTGTGAGCGGCCTAGACGATTCAGCCCTGGAAGACTTTGACCAAATGGTTTGCTCGCAGACCCTCAACGCGTAGTATGTAAGCGCCCGGAAGCCCCTCTCAATAGCTGCACAAAGTCAAGTTTCACGTTGTGGCAGCGAAGCACCGGGAAGCAACGTGTACGGGATAGCGGCCGGTTATTGTGCGTCTGAATGAGCAGTTTCCGCAGACACTGGTGACGGTTTGGTGGCACGAAAGAGGAGTCACGATGGCCCTGTTGCGACGAGGGCCTGCTGAAGTCCTTGCAGCTTGTGCCTAAGTTGCGACGGATAGGGGTGATGGCCCGATGGGGAGGGGGAGACGCGACGACGGTCGAGGTTCTAATTAGTGCGAGCGATGCGCGAAGTGGGAGGACAGCTCGGGCCGTCCACATCCAGAGTCAAGACTCCCATGTCAAGCAACGTTAGGATCTAGGCGATGCTCATGGTCCATTATTCAAAGCCAATCGCAGGTCTCTTGCGACAAGGGAGTCTCCCACTTGAGAACTTCACAGCATTGCTGGGGCCCCGAAATCAATGATCTCCGACGTGATCTCCAGAAGTTCAGGTTGGTCCATGTTGGTGGACATGTCGGTGGGGGAGGATTTCGGGTTTCATCCGAGGATTTGCGGTTGCAGCTGCAGCCCCCAAGTTTGATTGTCGTCGAAGTGCGAGTTTGGACGGAGAGACAAAGATGGGACCGAGACACATGAGACGATTGTGCCCGGGTTGTGTTGCTGCTGGTTACCATCGACGGTCGGCTCAAGCTTCACGATGGAAAGGTTGCCGGCTGCGAGCTACGAGCTGCGAGATTGAATTCAAATTGACCTTTCTCCCCGGACGAAGAGCATCCGTAGGCTGTAGCGGCGCAGGTCAGTGAAATTAAGAAAGAGGGATTGACACTAGAAGTGGCTTCTCCGCAAGTGATCTGAACGGGGAATAGGGATGAAAGGATGATGACATTTCCCGGGCGATGAGCAACTGCGACTTGTTGCGACTGCACAGACCGTCGGACGAACGTTCTGGGAAGGAAGGAGAGAATTCTAAGATTTGACACTCGACTTTTAGGAAGAAACCCAGGGAGGCAACCAGGGTGAGTCCTTGCTGACTGCCCCGACTGGAAGTGACTTCCTCAGTGGCTTCCCAACTTGCTCAATTCCTTCCATCTCCCAAAATGCCGCACTGACGGCAAACTCTTCTTTCTCTCCCGTCCCTCTCTACGCAGTATGTAACTCTTCTCTCCCTGAGTCTCCACCCAAGAACCAACCAACCAACTGGCTGCAGGCACTCAGGCACCCCCGGCCAGTCAGAGCGCACGAGACACACTGAGCTGACCATCCAGGGCTTAGCGTCAGGAACCATTTTCTCTTCGAAATGCAGGAACGAGCTGGCCAGCCGCGAGACGAGAAGAGAAGCCTTACGTACCGGTAGTAAGTCTCACCAGCTTGGCCCCGCTGCTACCGCGAGACAGACCAATCACCAGGTGTTGGTGGTTCGGGGAAATTGTGCAGTTCAACCTTTTATGAAAAGCCCACTCACATTGTTGCTGGATCGGGTATGGACAATTCGCGCTCTTCTTTCCTCGCGTGCCACCCATTTCACCCAATTCCCGGCATTATGTGTGATAATTGGGAGGGGATCCAAATGACGAGGTGTAAATTATGCCATTTTACGCTTCAATAATGCTGCCGCTATTTCGCCCCGATACAGAGCATTGTACGAACAATCCCCGTCTACTAAGCCCGTTTGCGGCTGGCGACAATGCCTTTCTCTCTTCCTCCTCACTGTAGGCCCGGCTCATTTTTGTCTTTGACAATAAGAATAAGCAAACCGAATGATGGACCGTTGGACTTGTCTCGGCACAAGGTAGTGTTTCCGTCTTAGCTCGGCCGAACGACTTCTCAGGAGTCGGACCATCTGGAATCAAGAGGAAGAATAAGAAGCAGACAACAATGGCGCTATTCATGGCGCCGCTTGTCATCGCCCCGCGACGGATGTTGCTTATTCTGGGTTTCTGCTTCTATTGCTGGCTCTTGAGACTTGCGGATCGTGCTCAGCCCGCGTCAGGATCACACAAGACCTCTAAGAAAAGAGCTGTCACTGCGTCAGGGCAAACAACGAACGGCTTCCAATCGACGCCCTGCCGATCCGTCGTTGCTGGCGTGATGAATAGCTGGCGGTTGGTTGTTTGCACAATTATCCATTTGCCTTTGCACTTCAGCCATTCACAAAGCGCACCAAGGCAAGGCGCAAGGTAACGTGGTCGACTGCCAGCGAACGCAATGCTGTGCTTTTGCGCCTTAATTTCCCGCGAAGATCCAGACCCCTGCCTGCATATTGAGCCTGCATATGGATAGTCGCGTGTACAAACCATGATCGTTCAATCTTGGCGGGCAGAAATGTCTACAGTACTTGGAGCATCCTGGAGGAAGGTGGGCTTGAAGCATGGCCAACAGGGTTGAACAGAGAAACCTTGGACACGGGTACCTTGCAGCTACATTTGCGATACCTCGCCGGCCGAGTGATGATGGCCTCCGTTGCAATGATTTGGTTGGTTTTTGCAGACTCTCAATGGCAGACGCGGTCCGACTTGCGACTCGCACCACAGCAAGCATCTCATCTCCTTTTCCCTCCTGTGTCACTGTCCCGTCCCAGCCGTACTTACCGTCTCTTCTTACCTACTCCTTCCCCGGGATACATCGGGGCTTTCCATTTGGGACGGGAAAGAACAAGCAGAACAGGACAGGGAAGGTAGGGCCGAGCACGTCCATCTCTTGCCCTCTCACAAGCTCACGGACCACAGCTAACGCCCTCTCCTTCCTCCACCTCTTTCGTGGGCCGGGCTTGGCTTTCATTTTGGGTGTGAGCGCCTCCCCTGTCGGCGCCTGCATCGTCGTCGCCCCTGCCAGTCACCTCACAGTCACGGGGATGAGGCCCTGAGGGTCGTCATCTCCAAGACTCCCAGGTTGCCAGGCCCCCAGGGAAAGGTACGGAGTACCTCATCGTCGTCGCTCATTTCCACCCGACGCTTGCATCCGTAACCCTCGCCTGATCCGCCTCCCCCGTCGCTTGTCTCCCCACATCCAAAACCCACGTCTTTTCCCACTTCTCGTCAGTCTGGGTCCTCTCTCCAGCATCCTCTTATTCAAACCACTCCCCCCCCGATCCATTACCCACAGACTTCGTTGGCAAAGTCTCCTGCTGCTTCATCCTTCTTTCGCTTCACGCACAGTCGTTGAAACAAACATCACCAAACCTGAACTACTCGAAGTATTCGGACTAACACTCATTCCTATTTACATCCACGGACAGACGCCATCTTGTCGCAAACCAACAACAAGCGCTCCCCGCCAAAACCACTCACTGCCCTGGCTTAGACACAACAGCAAACACCAATACATATAAACATCTGGCTGTTCCATCTCGTACTGAGAATTTAGTCAAGCAGTACGACTTACACCACGATCTTTGAAAGACCCAACATCAAGCATACGCTTCTTAGTGTTGAACGGATTACTTCCGACGCACAAATACACATTCGAGTCAGCCTTTACTTATCAGGCTTCGGCAGTTGACCAGTACAACTACAAAAAAACACCACTTATAGACACGATGAAGGTCACCACCATTCTCGCTGCTTTCTTGCCCGTCTTGGCACTGGCCCAGACCTCGAGCGGCGACACGACGACGGTTACTTCCACCGCTACCCAGACCAAGACCATCACTCTGGAGCGCGCGCATACCACCACCATGACCTACGGCACCGGCAACAGTACTGCGACGTTCAAGCCGACCGGCTCCGTCGTCGCTTCTGCCACTGCCGCGGCCACCGCTGCAACCACCTCAAAAGCCAACGCCGGCGCCGCTCTTAACGCTGGTAACCTGGCTTTCGCCGGTGTCGCTGGTATGGTCGCTGCTGTCTTGTTGTAAAGCGGTATCGCTGGATGCGCTAGATGGAGGTGTGGGATTTCGAGGAAATGGAGGATGGATTAGGAGTTGCGATGTGGTTGGAAGGATGTTGCCAACTGCGTCTCACTGCCACACCGAACTCTTCGATGCGACATCTTTTCAGCCTTCTCTTTTGTCATCGCCCCCAACCCTGGTTCGGCGCACTATCGCTACCGATGTGAGCGCGGCCTATTCTTACGACCCTTACGACCTTGAGAATCGGGACACCACTTGAGTTGACGGCACACACTATATCCTATTCCTCTTCGACACCAACCATGTGCGACGCTTGCATCGCCATCCTGCAGGAAAGGAACTGACACGCTAGTCAACTGGGGCTACTTGACAGCGATCAACCTTTTTTCACTCTCACTTCAAACGACATAACCTGTCCGCCGCCTTTCTTTATGGGTGGTGAACGGCTTGTCACCTCATGTTTTAATGTTTCGATTCTTCCCCAGCAGCACAAAGGTCGCGTGGAATGCGAGGTCGATCTGCCCTTCATACACGTCATTGGCCTTGATCAGCCTGGGTTATCTCCAACATTACCGCCAGTCTGGTGCTGTAGACTGACGAGGCTTGTTGGGGGTGTGACTGAGTCATTCCTCGCTTGGCAGTTCTCAGGCTGTCCCTGGCTAGGCACTGATGTTGCTGCAGGTGTGCTTGCTGGCTGGAAATGATATTTATGAGATCTTTCGCAACGTCTTTCTCAAGGGAGGATTCAAGACGGAAATGATCAGGATGGATGATTTAGGGATTTACTGGAGTTCTCGTGATGGAACAAAAGTTTCACTCTTCTTCGAGTTGTTGATACCCCTATTGCTGTATGGTTGCCGGCCGGGGTTGGACATACCAAGCAGCACTTCTGAAGTTGCCATTATCCAAGGGTCAACTTTGGCTTTCGCTTGCTTGGGTTGTCTGACATTACCCGCTCGGTAGGAGGAGGCGATGGATTGATTTGCTTTGATGCTTTCGGACTGACGACGTTTTTGATTGAATGATGGCATAGTCGTCTCCGACTATGCCTTGCGAGGGGGGCTTGGAGGCCATTGAAAGGAGTTTTAAGGACTTGCGGAGAGGCATTTACTGGTAGCATAGTTGACGAATTCATTGACATAAGCCTAATGCTCTGTTCCCATCAAATCCTTGCATTCTTATAACACAGGAAGTGACTAGGGACGAAAGAGTTCGGTTCGTAATCCCTTACAGCATTGGCAATCCTCACCTCTTGATTGGAAAGAACCGGGAAGCGAGTAAGACAACGACCCCTCGGCCCTTGAAAATCGAAACCGTTGGGACGGAAAGCCCCGGCACGACGACATTTCGATAAGACTTCTTAATAAGCATTGCCGCTGTCAGACGGTTGGCCCGTTTTGATTGGTCAAGCTTCAATCACGGCCCCCCGATGTGCCGATTCAATCCGGGAACCGGGGGGTAAGGTAGCCAGCTGCAGGGCCTAATTTCTAGTGGTCATATTTTCTTGGGACCTGTTTTTTTGCCCCATCACAGCTGTCGACCGCATCAACCTCTCAACCAAGCTTCTCGCCAACAACATCGTCGGCTGCTGCAATCACACGAGCAACTTGGAGGGGGAACCAAACGAAACTCGCCAAACGACAATTGATCACAATGCCATCGCCCATGGCACCTCTTGCCCGCGTGCAGCCTCCTCTGCGCAGGGCTCTCGCTTCGTCGGCTCGCTCCCGAGCCTTCGCCACCGTCCCTCCCACCTTCGGCACAACATCCGAAGCAGCATCGCAGCCCCCGAAAGCCCGCCGACCGACATACTTCAAGGACAAGAGCCTCGCGTCGCTGGACGACTTCATCGCGAGCAAGGGCGACCCCGCAGCCCTCTCCGACGCGGAGGCCTACGAGATCCGCACCGTCGAGGTCACGGGCCCGACGGGCAAGAAGAAGACCATCACCCGTCTCCCGGAGTGGCTCAAGACGCCCATCCCTGCTGGCAACGAGAACTTCAAGTCCATCAAGAAGGATCTGCGCGGTCTGGGATTGCATACGGTGTGCGAGGAGGCCAAGTGCCCCAATATCTCCGAGTGCTGGGGCGGTTCCTCCAAGAGCGCCGCGACCGCGACGATCATGCTTATGGGCGACACGTGTACGCGCGGATGCCGATTCTGCAGCGTAAAGACCAACCGCGCCCCGGCGCCGCTGGATCCCCATGAGCCGGAGCACACTGCCGAGGCGCTGGCGAGGTGGGGGTTGGGATACGTTGTTCTGACGTCCGTCGACCGCGATGACCTGGCGGACGGCGGCGCGCGGCATTTCGCCGAGACTATTAGCAAGATCAAGGCCAAGAAGCCGAGTCTGCTCGTTGAGGCGCTGACGGGCGATTTCATGGGCGACTTGGACATGGTGAAGATTGTGGCGGAGAGCGGGCTGGATGTGTATGCACATAACGTCGAGACGGTGGAGGCGCTGACGCCGTATGTGCGTGACCGAAGGGCTACGTTTGCGCAGAGTATCAAGGTGCTTGCGCGGGTTAAGGAGGTGAAGCCTGAGATGATTACCAAGACGAGCTTGATGCTTGGGCTGGGTGAGCAGGAGGAGGAGCTTATGGATGCTTTGAGGCGTAAGTTTTTCTTTCCCCATTTCTACTGGGTTCACTCGGGAAACTACGTGATTTGAATGCAAGTTTGGGAAAATTGCTAACATTTGGGAAACAGAACTTCGCAAAGCCAACGTCGACGTTGTCACCTTCGGCCAGTACATGCGCCCGACGAAGCGCCATCTCAAGGTCGAGAAGTACGTCACCCCCGACGAGTTCGAGATGTGGAAGCAGCGCGCGCTAGATATGGGATTCCTATACTGTGCCAGCGGTCCGCTAGTGCGGAGCAGTTACAAGGCCGGTGAGGCGTTTATCGAGAACGTGCTGCGCAAGAGGGCGGGCGAGAAGGCTGGTATGGCGAGCGAGAGGCTTGGCCAGACTGTCGCTTTGGAGGAGGGGTTCAAGACGTTGTAGATCTTGCGGACGTCTTCTTTGGAGTAAGGGTTGAGGATGTACGATCTGCGAGGACGGTGATGATATAGAATAGGGGATGAGAGGGATAATAGTCATAGGGGGTTTAGATGGCATGGTTGGCGTTTATTTTTGGGCTGGACGACGGGAACTTCATTCATCATGGGCATCGGCATCTTTTCCCCCGGGCGGTATACTTTTCTAAAGATTCAAAGAAAGTCTAGGTGCTTGATAGACCTAGGAGAATATACGAGTGCCGGGTGGTCTTCAACAATGGCCACTGAGAGCTTTGAAATCATTCTTGGTCTCATGTTACTCCATGCGTGCCGTGTCCAAGGGGCCAAGCGATCCAACCCACGCACGATTGACCAGGAGCTCTGTGTCTTCACATGATCTTGTTTCCTCTCCTTCCTTCTCTTCCAATCCGAATGGTGCGACCATAACTCGGCCGGTGAATCGCCGGAATCCGCCGGCTGTGAGACATGAAAGCGAGCTGTCTCCGTTGTGGCTGTACCTGTCAATCGCATACCAATCAAGAAACCCTCTGTCTGAGCCAAGATCAGATTTGGGAGGCAGGAATCGGGGAAGTTCAGAGTTGTCGGGTTTCCGCATCTTCAGCTGGTAGAAGGGAGAAGGAGTAGGGGGTTTTGAAGGAAAACTTCAATTTCCCGGCGTTCCTGATGCGCGTTCCGTGTTCACAAACTCACCGGGCAGGGCTGTTATTCTATGTGTTGAATCGGGGACTAGGGTGAGAATGAATAGACAGCTCAACCTAACGGTCGAGTGTTCGAGGAGGAGGACTCTTCCATTTGTGTTTCTCTTGGTGTTCACATTTACCCCTTCAGACAGCCGACGGGATGCTGAAGTATGGGCGTCTGGGAATGATGGCATACGCGGCTCATATCTGCTTGATCTTGGCTTTGCCAGCTGAACATTTATACGGGGGAGCTGTTGGCTTGGGGTTCTCAGCGATGCTACCCTCATGCATCGATGGACGGTCAAGGTCCAACTGCATCAGTGGTCAAGGGAGGTGTCCCCCCCGTAAGGCGGAGAGAAAGCTCGCCTTGACCACCCCCGGCCGGCATCAATGCACTGTCCTGTCACCTTTCTTCTAGCCGGAGAAAGCTTGGTCCTGTTTCCTGTCAGCATTCCCGAGAAGTTCCCTTTTCTATTCATCCCCGACGTCGTCCAGGAGTTGCGATTATCGAAAGTTGAAACAAACGAGACCATAAACGCCCTTGGTCAAGAATTAGCATCGACATTACATTGCGTTAGAGCAGCCCACCAGCTCCTAGTGTGGGTACACCTCAACGGCCAACGTCCAGTCTCCCCTCGTTCCCACGCGATGAGTGGAATTCCCCTCCGTACATCGGCTCCCTTCAGACCAAGACAAGCCTTTTTTCATGGTCCTTTCTCACTGCGAAATGCCCATCCCCTTAGGCTCTCATACTCCTCTCACTCACTCATCCACACAACATCATCCACAGATCATCAGCACCAAAGCCTGCATATGCATCCTGCAATAATGATGCGCGTTCACGGTCCCGGGAGGCGTCCCTCATTTCCCCCTCATTCATCATTTCCCGCCCCGACCTATCCCACACAGGCTTAGCACACCCTTTCAGTGCACTCCACGGTCCACTTTCCCCCCTCGTGGGTTGCCGGTGAAGTACTCCGTAGGCTGGATTTACACTAAAATACCGGCAAGTGAGAAGCTTGCTTTCTTTGTAGAGGTCTCGCGTACCTGAACGGCGTGGACAGCCAGCCACGAGACGCCAGCGAACGCCTAGCGGATGACTGCCTCGTCAGCGCGTTGGTTTGTGAGATAAATATTGGAAGCTTTGCGTCTTCTTGATTGAATATTGTAAAGGATGAAATGCAGCAGATCCCCTGATTGTTGTAGAGGCAGGCAATCTTTCCGGACCGGCATGATTACCTGCTCACCCGATGGTCATTTCTTTCCTGCATGACATCGCATCTATCCGTACGGTAATATTCTACCAAAGAAGTAGGAATTGAATTGAGTAAGACGCGCGCGGGGAATGAGTGAGGGAGTGAGGCAGGACTAAAAGCTACGGGAAGCTAAGCAAATGAGACACACTTCCTCTTATTTTCTGCCCACATTCATCCCCCCCAGTCTATCCCTTTTTAGAACCTTTTGTGATAATTTCTTGGTCTATCAGTCAAAAGAACGGCAAAACGTCCCGGGAAAGCGTGGTTCTTGGTACCTGAGAGGCTGAGTAGCGTTGAACCCGTCGCTCCACGGCTCCCACGTCTTGGTCGACCTCGTCTCCTCCACTTCAGCCCAACTCTAATAAAGTATCCCGGGCTTGTCGTCCCTTTCACCCCTTGTCGCTCCGTCAACTTTGTTTCCTTCCCTTACGCCTATTCGTACTCATCTTCCACTTACTCGGGACGTCCGGGCCTGAGAGCTGAGTAGTAATCTACCCGATCTCAAGGTTCGTCCCACTGCTGGGGGTCCCTGAATGTCTATAGCTTTGGTCCATTACCTTTACTTTTGATTCTGCTGAGAATCGCGCCACTCCTTATTTCTATTACTTGATTGACTTTCCTGCTCGTGCCTATCTTTTTCAATTATCTTGCTCTCTCTCACCTTGCTGGTTTATTGTCCAGAAGGGGGAGTGACGACGTTCATTACACAATCGCTACTACGAGTCCCGAACTCATCCACTCATTGAAAACTCACCAGCGTCTCTCGCTCCCACCTGGTTCTTCACCACACACTCATTACAACTTTTCGTAATCGTATCATTCTCACCTCACTCGACCGAAATCTCAACCGCCGAACCGACAAAATGCGCGTCACAGCCGCCTTCTGGCTCGTGGCTGCGACCCTCGCGAAAGCGGCGTACTGGATGGAAGACATTGCCCACCAGGGCATCTCTCCCTATCACCCGGACCCGAACTACAAGGTCTTCCGCAATGTAAAGGACTTTGGCGCAAAGGGCGACGGCGTTACGGATGATACCGCGGCGATCAACCTCGCCATCAGCTCTGGTGAGCGGTGCGCGCCGGGCAAGTGCAAGGGCGAGACGACGTCGCCTGCTACTGTCTACTTCCCTCCCGGGTGAGTCCTTGGAATTGCATTCAATTGAATGAGAAAGCAGTGAGAAGTAATGAAGTAGCTGACGGCTGGTTATAGAACGTACATCATTTCTGGTTCTATTATTGACTACTTTTACACGCAAATCATTGGTGATCCGACCGATCGCCCGGTGATTAAGGCCGCCGCCAACTTTCCCACCAACACCACCCTCGGCCTTCTCGACGGAAACCCGGTATGCTGATGATTTCTTTCCATTCTTCCCTAAATCAAATTTTATGATTGAATGATTGTTATCAAACGAGTCAACCGCGTCAAATGTTGTGGTGGTGGACCGAAGACTAACAAAATCTACAGTACGGCGCGAATGGTCTCAGTTGGGGTGCCACCAACGTCTTCTTCAGACAAGTTCGCAACCTCGTTTTCGACACCACAGCCATTCCTGCCTCTGCTGCTGCCTTTGGAATCCATTGGCCTTCGTCGCAAGCTACTGCCATCACCAACTGCGTGTTCCGCCTCGCCGAGGGCGCGGAGAGCAAGCATGTCGGCATCTTCATCGAGGAGGGCTCCGGCGGCCTTCTCAACGATCTTGACTTCTACGGAGGACAATACGGCGTCAATTTTGGAAACCAGCAATACACTACTCGGAATATGCGCTTCTGGAACGCCCAGGTGGCTATCAATCAGCTCTGGGACTGGGGTTTGGACGTACAAGAACATCTACGTCGAAAACTGCGGAATCGGCATCCGCATGCAGGACAACAGCACTTCTTCTATCACTCTCCTCGACTCTGAGTTTGTAAACACCCAGACAGCCATCCGCACCAGCCGAGAGCCCGGTGTGACCGTCCCCGTCACGGCTGGCACGTTGGTGATGGAGAACGTGGCCTTCTCCAAGGTCCAGACCATTCTCTTGGGGCCCAAAAACAACACCATCATCGCAGGAACGTCCAGCGCCACCATCTCCCAGGGCTTCGCCATGGGTCACATCTACACACCTTCCGGCCCTACGGACTACACCGGCTCTGACGCGGGCTACTTCCCCGTCTACCCAGCCCTCCTCGGACCCCCCGCCAACGGCACGACAAAGTACTACGAGCGCTCCAAGCCGCACTATGAGAACGTCCTCTCAAGCCTCGTCATCTCCGCCCGTTCATTCGGCGCCCGTGGTGACGGTGTGACGGACGACACCGTGGCCCTGAACAACCTCTTCAACTACGTCGCCTCGAACCCTGCCGCAGGCCTCCTCGCCTTCGTCGACGCGGGCACCTACTACGTCTCCGACACCGTCTTCATCCCGCCCGGAGCCCGCATCGTCGGCGAGGCCCTCGCGTCCATCATCATGGGTGGCGGTGAGAAGTTCCAGGATATCGAGAAGCCTCACCCCGTTGTCAAGGTCGCTATCCCGGGCCAGTGCGGAACGATTGAATGGTCTGACATGATTGTGTCCACGCGCGGATCCGCGCCAGGTGCCAAGGTGATCGAGTATAACCTTAACACTGTCGGTGAGCCGTCTGGTATGTGGGACGTGCATATTCGTGTCGGAGGATTCGCTGGTACGCAACAGCAGCTTAAGGAGTGCCCTACCACGCCTAATGCTACTGTCACCGCGGATACTATTGACAAGAACTGCATTGCGGCATGGATGAGTATGCACATCACCAAGCCGGCTTCGTGAGTTACGCCTGATTCTTCTCCCGTGAATAGCATACTGACAATCGTAAAGTGGACTTCTGCAGGAGAACTGCTGGATCTGGACCGCCGATCACGACCTCGAGGATCCCGACTACAAGCAGGTCACCATCTACAACGGCCGTGGTCTGCTGATCGAGTCTACCGCCGGTAAGATCTGGCTGTCTGCCTCCGGCGTCGAGCACCACACCCTCTACCAGTACATGCTCTTCAAGACCAGGGACGTCTACATGGGCCAGATCCAGTCCGAGACCCCTTACGTACGTAGTCCCTCATGAGCTCAACTCGTACATTTGACTGACTCTCCGCGATAGTACCAACCCAACCCGCCAGCCACGATCCCCTTCCCCCGCGTAAAGGGCTACCACGACCCAGACTTCGAGACAGAATGCAAGGACGCCGATCCCAACGGCCCGCCGTGCAAGATGGCGTGGGGTCTCCGCGTCATCGGCAGCCAGAACGTCGTCGCGTTCGGCGCGGGACACTACTCCTTCTTCAACAACTACAGCACCGCGTGCTGCCAGATCGGCGCGGGAGCGAGGTGCCAGCAGCGCATTGTGGATGTGCGCGATGCGCCTGGTAACTGTACCGCGACGGACAACTTGGATATCTATAACCTGCAGATTGTGGGCACGACGGCCATGGTAACGCGGTATGGAAAGGATGTCGCGTTTTACAAGGATAATATTGCTGGGTTCACGGCTGGTATTGCCTTGTATCAGCACTGAGATGTTTGCTTCTTGGCTGTATCAATAATGATATTCTTAATTCTTTTTTGTCATCTTGTTGATGAGTCTACTTCCGCTGCATGATGCTGCACAAGTTCAAAGTCAGGGCCGACAAGACTGAAAGTAGATTGCATATGTCTCAGCATGAGATTCATTCATCTCTCGAGAAGATGCGCCCTCCTGACGTTATCCCAACCAATCCCGACTTATTATACTTTATGTCACTGCAATTTTTGCTCCCCTCGAATAGATGGGACAGTGCGAGATCGACTAATATCGCCTAAAATGATAGGAATTCGCACTACTCAAAAGCGGCCCCAACATGAGTTAAAAATGCAGTGCAGATTGCAAAAGAATATATAAGTAATTTGAATAACCCCCTTCGAATGTACCCAATGAGCGATCAAATGATGCAACAGGACAGAGCCTCCTATTGAAGGACCAGCAACGGTTTCTTAGGTCAATTTCGGTGCCTATGACGGTCCGTACGAGGCGGCATAGAAGCTCCAGATCAATCAACTCATCGTGACTTTATAAATGTTCCTGCTAGGTAGGAGGCTTCTCCTTCGTTTGTTTGGCATATTCCACGATGTTGCATCAACGATCTCTCCTATTTTCGGGCAGTAGCCCGCCATGATCTTCCTGTGGTCTATCGAGAGTAATGTGAGCTATTCAAAGCCCAATGAGGCTATGACTGCAATGACGACGCAAGTCTCTGTTTTGAGAATAGTATGCAACACCACTTAGGAAAGGAAGTATGCGTGGAATCAAACTTTTATTATGGGTATCATGTCTCGGTCAAGATGCCGGCCTAACACAGCGCCCCTGAACATCGCAGAGCTGCACTAGACCTCATACCACAACCTCCTCATGCTCGTCAACGCAACCCAGAGTGCCTCATCCGTCCTGATGTTGCGGCTGCCCTGGCCAGGCAGGATGTTGACCCAGTGATCAAACAGCTCCTTGGCCTTTGAAGGACCCATATCCATACCCTCGAGCTCCTTGTCGTTCAACGCCGCATATTCAATACCTCTAGGTCCACCAAACGCAATGAGAAGATGCTTGAACTCCAGGGGCTCTGCACTAGGGAAGGCCTCAGAGAGTGTGCGTCCGCGCTCCGAGGTACCGATGCTGACGTCGTAACCGCCCTCGTACTTGCACTCCGTGAACAGCACCGTCAGTGAATTGGCGCGTCGGACCTGGTATCCCCAGTAGAAACCGCCCTCCTCCCTCGGCGCCGACGGGTCGCACGCCTCGGCCTTTTGCGATCTCTGGTCCGGGTGGTACAGCGTCACGCGGGTGTTGGGAGGCACCTCATCCTCAATGAGGACCTGGTCCTTGAGACCGATATCGATCATGGTGCCTCGGGGTGTTCCCTTGCCGGCAACGCCTTCGCGGTAGGGGAGCCATTCCGCCGGGTTGGGGTGGTGCGGCATCTCGAGGGAGGGGAGCTGACTGGCGAGGCGCAGGTTCGGGTGGAGTGGGAAGAGCATCTTGCGCATGAAGGGCGGGACCTCGAGGTAGCCGAGGAGGTGCTCGAGGAAGTGGGAGGGGTCGATGTCGCCGGTGTAGGCCTTTGTGTCGACGCTCTTGGGGCGGGATTCGGTCGGGCTGTCGTCGAAGATTACGATCTCGTCGACGGAGAAGACGGCGAGGGCGCGAGCGATGCGGCCAGCTACGGAGTTGCGGCGCTCGGCTGTGAGGGCACTGAAGAAGTGTTAGTGTCTATACTATAAGTCATTGAATGACATTTGTCAACATACTCTGCGAGAACACTGCTGGGAATGGCAATGGAGATTGTCCACTTGCGGCCGCTACCGCCTTCTGACGGGAACGAAGCGTCGACATAGCTGTCGTCGTCAGTCTTTCTCCTCTACGACATGTTAGTTAATGTCTGAAAAAGTCCTTAGTGGCAGCAATACCTTTGCTCTTTGATCGTAGGCCATTTTTGGAGGGAATTGGAGCGCAGGTACTTGTAGTAACTCTGGGAATGCCGTCTTGAAAAAGAATTCGGCACAATGTTAGCGGCGTCCCAAAAAAGTTTCTGGGTGATGGTCCCGCTATCGATAATCCTGGGGTAAATCCGGCAGAACTGCGGAGTCGAGTCTGCCCGCCTTCCTATTCGGGTACCCGCCACCTTTCCGCTGGGACCAGGCCGCGAGCTATCCATCAGCTACGCCGGGGCGTCTCCCAGGTGCTCACCTTGCCTCCTTTCAACATCGTGACACTTGGTCCAAGCTACAAATCTCCCTCGTTGTTTTATACCAAGTCGTTGAAGCCATGAGTCTTATCAACATCCAGTCTGCCGGTCAATGGCAAGGCATCCTCAGCAGTAACAATGTCGTAATCGCAGACTGTAAGCGCACCTCGCAGCCGTCCGTCCATCCGAGAGATCGCTGACAAACATTACGACAGTCTACGCCGACTGGTGCGGCCCTTGCAAGCAGATCGCACCGCACGTCGAACGCCTCGCGAAAGAACACTCCAAGCCGAACAAGGTCGCCTTCTGCAAGATTAATGTCGACAACCAGTCCACCATCGCCCGCACCCACGGCGTCAGCGCCATGCCCACCTTCATCATCTTCCACGGCGGCCAGGCGATCGAGACCATTAAGGGCGCGAACCCGCCCGCCCTCACACAAGCCATCCAGAATGCGTTGAAGCTACCCGATAAGGGCGGTCGCTCAGCGGCCTCATTCAAGACCCCCGGCCGGACGCTCGGCGGGGATAAGCCCGCGCGGGCGAGCCTCCAGCGGCCGTTTGCGTGGCACTACCGCGGGATTCTCAGCAACATCATCACATTTATTGGGCTGTATCTGGTTTCCCTCTTCGCGGTACGTTGGTTCACAGTCGATCCGAAGGGAAGCAAGAAGAACCGCCTGCTGACGGACTGGTAGATTGATCCCCACAAGGCGGCCGAGATGTCGCAATTTAATCGCGTGAACCCGCCCCCACCGACGGTCAAATCCACAAAGAGCGCTGGCCCCGGCGCGAGACAGCCGCCGAAGGGTCCGGCTTTCAAAACTTTGGCCGATTTGGGCGGCGATGAGTGATTCGATCTACGATGGGCATAAGGCGTTTGGGGAAATGTATCTGAGAGCATCTTGAAAGCTTTATTGGACTAAAATGAGCATCCTTCCAATGACTATTACCTACTTGCGAGGTCTTCACGTGCGATAATAGCTTGCTTATCTGCTTCCACAAATCCATCAATGCTAAGCCTTCAGTAGATTCGTTCCTCTTTCTCGGCCATTTCTCACCGGTAGAATAGAAGTCCCTCTTTCGGCCATTGATTCTCCGGATGAACTGGCACCTGTAGTGCAGACCAGATAAGGTAACAGGGGCTGAGTACCATTTTGAACACGGGCTGCATACTGCAGGCTCTTGCCCGGGGCCGCAGTTGCCTTCAGACAACGTGAGGCTGGCGAATAGGGTCACTGTCGATGGGTCTTGTCATGCTTACCCCTCTCCCAACATCTGACTACCTTTTCCAGTGGTCTCTAATCACTCAGAGCCTGATCGATATTTCTCTCCTGCTTCATCCATTCATCGTTTATTGTTGCCTGGATAATTCCACTCTCTCGCCTTTCGTTTCGGAATCAGGTCTCACTCTCGTTGGAAGCCTCACAAGCTTCTTCCTCAAACTCGGCACGCACGCACGCGAACAGCGTGTGCGGCTTCCGCAGCCTCAGATGCACCTCATCAACGTTCATACCCGGTCGCTGGAGGAATTCCATGAGAACCCGCCGGAGTATGCTATCTTATCCCATACATGGGGCCCGGAAGAAGAGGAGATTACTTTCCGCGAGATGAAAGGAGGTGACTTAAATAAGCCAGGAATCGGAACGACCAAACTTGAAGGCTGCCTGCAACAAGCCAAGACCGATAAAGTCGATTATGTGTGGATCGACACTTGCTGTATCGACCAGAGCAGCTCTCATGAATTGAGCTTTGCGATCAGGTCGATGTTCCAGTGGTACCAGCTTGCCAAGAAATGTTACACCTATCTCCAAGATGTGCCCTCGAAGGCGAACTCCAGATGGAAATCGAAGTTTCGAAAAAGTCGTTGGTTCACGAGAGGGTGGACCTTACAAGAACTCCTAGCCCCAAAAGAGCTCAATTTTTACAGCCACGACTGGCAAGCTCTAGGTACAAAGCAGGAACTGTCGGACGTTGTTTGGGATATCACAGGTATTCCGGCACAATTCTTGCGGGGTGATTCTGGTCTAGAGGAAGCAAGTGTGGCACAACGCATGTCTTGGGCTTCAAATCGAAAGACGAAGAGGGTAGAAGACATTGCGTACTCCCTTCTGGGTATCTTCGGTGTTTCAATGGTGCTGATGTATGGGGAGGGCGATCACGCTTTCATACGGCTTCAAGAAAGTATAATCGACAAAACCCCAGACGACTCAATCTTGGCATGGGGCTTTAAGGTACGGAGCTCTAGGAATATGCTACGGCATAAGGTCGGAGGCATCCTAGCTCCTTCCATTACGGCGTTTGCAGGCTGCGGAAAGATCACGTGGAAGAATATCGGCCATGCAACAATGGATGTTAAGCTCCTGCGTGGAAAATTCAAGTTGCAACTACCACTTCAGTCTACTAAATCGAAGGGGACATACGGCATTCTCAGGTGTCAATTCGAGGACGATGGGAAGGAAAGCGCCATTGCAATACCCCTTTCCCGTATGGCGCCCGGGGAGGTTCATGACGAGTACATGAGGCCAGAACACAGCTCAATAATCCTGTTGTCGTTGACCGACGATGCGTCTAATCTGACATCTATTACCGCCTTGAGGTCGATCAGCCCCGAAGAAGCTCGGGTCAAGAACCGCTGTTTCGGATTTTTAATGGAGGAAATGCTTCCTAACGACCTCAAGATCATCGAGGTATGGCCAGATGATTGTTGGGACCAGGACAAGTCTTTCTTTCATACCGGCATGGACTTCCATAACGTCTCGACTCAGCGGACATGGGCCCGAGTTCGACATTCCCATGCTGAGCCTGATTCATATGACTTCATGCTTGCTCTGGAACTCAAATCGACCAGGATGCAGTCATCTGCGAAGTGTCATATCATGATCGCATCGAGAAACACGACTCTAAGCAAGATTGCACAGGCACCGCTCGTGACAAAGTACACCTTTGGGAAAGACAGCGCCTACAACGGAAACACGAGTGCTCGAGTGAACATGAGAGTTTCCACACAAGAACATGGAGCAGCAGGACACCCGATTTATGTCGTAAGCGTGGTCCCACAGAGCAACCAGCCTCCGTCCACCGTCAATCTGTCGACTGAGATCGAGCTCCTTGATAACGACATGCATGTCCGGAGCATTTTCCAGGAGAGTCAAGAAATCACACCCAAATTGAATAAGTTGATTCTTTCCATAGAGGCTGAGGAGGCGGCGCTCGACTCCGCAAATACACGGCTCGAGGAAGTACAGCGGCAGCTCAAACAGCTAGAGGCAGAGAGGGAGGGCCTTCAGCAGAAAGTATCAAAAACCAAAAAGAGACTGAGTTTTTCCATTGCGGAAAAAGATAAACTTGAAGCAAGGGAGAAGAAGCTCCTGGAGTCGCTCCATACAGCTCAGAAAATGCACAAATCTACAGGTGCGGAAAGGGCATCGAAATGGCACGACTCTATCGTGAGCTACCTGTCCAAGGACCTCCTCCGAATCCAGGAACCGGCCATCGAATCCATGGAAGAAGGGTCGCAGAAGACGTTTCTGCGAGCGGTGGTCACGGGGAACAAAGCTGCGATGCAACTTCTGTTTGGTTCTATTCCAAACTCCCCATTGCGTGATGCAGAAGGACGTGGCATTCTAGGTTGGGCAATCGAACGAAAAGATGTGTCTGGAATTTCTTGGCTCTTGAAGCGGGGAGTAACGGCTCATGGGAAAGATGGCTGCAAAATGGCCCCTTTGAACTGGGCCTGTTCCAAAGGATTTTTACAAGCTGCCCGGCTATTGTTGGAGTGGAATGCGAATACCGAGATCATGGACCGAGAAGGATTTAGGCCTCTACATAAGGCCGTGACCAACAAAAACTTCGCGCTTGCTCGGTTGCTATTGGACAAGGGAGCAGACATCAAGGCAAAAACAAAAGCTGGCACGACTTTACTTGAAGATGCGATTCAGCGCAATTCTTCGGACGGGGCGAGCTTCCTAATCGATCGCGAAGCAACAATCATCGAAGAACCGAACACGTTTGGCCTAACACCCATTTTTCTTGCCTCCACCTTGAAAGACACCACTTTTCTACGTCTCTTGATCGACCGTGGAGCCAACATCCAGGCACTGGGCAAGAACGCTTCAAGCCCTTTACATCAAGCTGCTCTGTCAGGATTTGCGGAGGGTGTGGCAGTATTACTCCAACGTGGAGCAAAAGTCGACGAAAGGGACCACCTCAATGCGACACCTTTGCAATACGCAGCCGAGAACAAGAAAGGATGTGGACCTCTCCGTTACCTCCTGAACCACAGCGTAAACAGAGATAGACGTGCTAATACGGCAATGTCTCGAGCGGTCCGTTTGGGAACTGCCGACTCTGTCAAATTGCTACTGGACCGGGGAGTACCAATCGAGTTCACAGGGTTGGGAATGGAAGGATGGACACCTTTAGCACGCGCAGCTCAACATGGCAACAGAGCCACGGCTGAGGTGTTGATCAAGCGAGGAGCCAATCTGGAAGCAAGAAATCCTTCCACCAGCTTGACTCCCCTAGCTCTAGCAGCAGAAGCTGGTCATGTAGGCGTGATCAGCGTGCTCATTCACGGTGGTGCTAAGATCGATTGCCAAAATGATACACTGGGCCGCACAGCATTGCACCTAGCTGCTGTCAATGATAAGACCGGTGCCATCGAAGAGCTACTAAAATTCGGGGCTGATCTCGAGGCTAGATCAAACGCTAAGCATACGGCGATTTTCTACGCCATCCGAAATGGCAAGGAGGCGGCTTTCAATCTTCTCCTTTCGAGAGGAGCTAACATTAGAGTGAGAGGCCCCGAGGGAGGATACCCTCTTCCATATGCTCGAGAGGTCGCCCAAAAATATCCCGAAATTGGGGGTCTACCACAAATGGCAGCAATAATCAGCCGTCTGGAGCGGGAGCGGTTGGGCAGAGAAGTTTGACGACATTGCCCACCGTTTCCGCACCAATTTAGAGGAAATCCGGTGATCTAGGACGCTGAGGGCGGCCAGGCTGGTGCCGCCTTGACACATAGTTCAAAATCAAGAAGCTCACAATACCCCAAGTGAAGCACGGCAAGATAGTTGTTGAATTCCAGCAATAATCATTCATGTGCTCCGTACTCGAAAGCATCTTTTTGCTGTACCTTGCAGACTCAATGCCACCTTCGTTACCCATGGTCAACCAATCGGCGCCTTTTCATTTGCAACAAGTGGGGCACCGATTTTGGAGCCACCCAAATTTCAAAGCTCCATGCGACAGCTCCTAAAAGGTCCTGGGCGACTTTCTCCTCGACAAGTTTGCGTCGTTGCCACCACTCCACACACAAGAGGCAATCATGTTGACAGCAGGCGGTCTCCGAAATGCCTGTCCGAGCTGTCGAGCTCGATTATTGAGCTTGACCGGAACTGCACTCGCTAGTTCATCACCCACCGGCCGACAGCTTCGATTGAACTTCCCGCGGCATAGCAGCCTAGCTGCGACACGATCATTAGACCGACGTGCAACCAGCTGCAGACCTTTTTCGACAACATCACGAAGCTTACAAGATCCCAAGTCCATCAGTGGCAATGCCGAATCACTCGCGCGCACCGCCGAAATCGAGAAAACGGTTCGAGAGGCTAGGCAGCGCTTCCGAGATACACTGCCCAAGGGTTACCTCAGCGAGGAGGAGTACACACTGTATGAGCGCTGGTATGGGCCGCCTCTACGGGAGACATCCCCCGAGGATGTAGGAATACAATACTTGAATGACGAGCAAGCGGGAGTTCGACGACGACACAAGTCGGGTGGTCCAACCCTGCTGCGCCAGGTCCAAGGTGGCACGCTGCAAGAGGTGCAATACGCTCGCAAGAAGGCGGAAGAAGCGGCGGAAAATGACGACGAGCCGGTAAACGAAAAGATTGAGGAGCCCACTGCTGCCGCTACTGAAGTGAACAAAGAGGCTGAGCCGACCGAGGAGGCACCTTCAGAGGGTAGCGACAAATACATCAACATGGTGGCGAGAAACAAGAGGGAGTACGACGCGCTCAGGATGCTACAAAAAGACTTCGAGGCCAATGCCCGCGCTGTGGAGGAGGAAAGCAGGGAGATGTTGGAGGAGGACGAACTGCGGGACGAGGAACGAGAGTTCGAAGAGGACGAGGAAGGAGAAGAAGAATTCGACGAGAGCCAGGATGGCATCCAAGACCAGGGAACATCTAAGCGTTCAGGACGTCTGCACCCTTTCTCGAGAGAGGGCCATTTCTCGACGAACCCGAGCACAGTCAGCCTACCGTATGCCGGATATATTGGGCCGGTGACATCAATTCTCGACAGAACAGACATCAAGCACGTGAAGGAGGCTGCCGAGAAGGCTTTTGGAGGTCCTGGTCTACCGCACTCCCCCGCCACCCCGGCGTCAAAGATGGGCATGGAGCAACAGGCCATCGGCATGGCTGTCTGGCAGAACAAAATGTCCGACATTGAGGCGGACGCTTTCGTGTCTGCTTTTCTGCCGCCTGCCTATGCCTCGGCCATGGGAAGCTTGGTCGAGGTCCGCAAGCGACTGGGCACGGACTGGCTGCGAAACCTGTTCAACAACGGCAGCGGGCCTCGCGTTCTGGATGTCGGTGCTGGTGGTGCTGGTCTCTTGGCCTGGCAGGATGTGTCGCGCGCTGAGTGGGACGCCATGAAGTCTCGCGAAGAGGTCACTGGGAAGAATCCACCCGGAAAGCAGAGCGTGGTTGTGGGATCGGAAAAGCTGCGAACTCGTGTCACCAGATTCTTGCAGAACACAACTTTCCTCCCCCGTCTTCCTGACTATCACCATTCAGTCGAGACCGCGCACCTGGACCTGGATGCCAATGAGAATCCCCAGCCGAGGAAGATGTTTGATATCATCATCGCATCTCACCTGATGCTTCCCGTGAAGGAAGGCCACAGACGCAAGGCTATTCTCAACAACATCTGGTCACTCCTGAATCCTCAAGGCGGTGTCTTGATCGTGCTGGAAAAGGGACAGCCTCGCGGTTTCGAAGCCGTGGCTGAGGTTCGAGAGCGTCTGCTTACCGAGTTCCTCATCCCGCCAGGAGGCGAGGACCTTACGAATAGCGAAGAGAAGAACCCAGCGTTTGAGAGAGAAAAGGAACCCGGCATGATCATTGCGCCCTGCACAAACCACCGCGGGTGCCCGATGTACCAGGTTCCCGGAAAGAGTACTGGACGCAAGGATTTCTGTCACTTCAGCCAGCGTTTCGTTCGCCCGTCATTCCTGCAGAGAATTATGGGCGCAACGCACCGCAACCACGACGATGTGCAATTCAGTTACATTGCCATCCAGCGCGGTGTCGCAGCAAAGGAGGGACCGCTGGCCGGCGCAGAAGCTGCCGACAGGGCGTTTGAGGGTTTCGAGACGTCAGAGACGGCACCCGACATGCTCTCCCTGCCCCGACAGATCCTCCCGCCCATCAAGCGCCGCGGTCACGTCACGCTCGATGTGTGCACACCCAACGCGCAGATTGAGCGCTGGACGGTGCCCAAGAGCTTCAGCAAGCAGGCGTACCACGATGCGCGCAAGGCCAAGTGGGGTGACCTCTGGGCGCTGGGTGCGAAGACGCGCAACCGTCGCAACGTGCGTCTGGGCAGGCCCGAGGTCCTTGACGACGGCGGTCTTCGAGCCCAGCGCCAAAAGGCGGCTGCGAGCAAGAAGAAGAAGGTGATTGGTGTCGATATCAACGAGTCGGGTGTTGTTGGCGGCTCGGACGAGGGCAGGACTCCTGGGCCGCAGCGCAAGACCAGCAGGAAGGCTGCTCGCCAGCAGCTGCTGAAGAGTCTGGCCAAGGCGGACGAGGAATGAGTGTAAGCTTGAGGTGTAATAATCGGATCGTGTATAACAATGTGTGGGGAAAGTATTGTATCAACACCACGAAAACTGAATAGATTTTGGATGGGCGGGAATGGAGGCATATCACGATCTGCCTCGCCTTAGGTTAGTAGGCACACAGCTCAAAGGATGAGCCAACTACATACATCATGTTACAATACCACAACTCAATGATTTGACAACCCTTTTGCAAGACCACACATGAGAAGTACAATGTTATCTGATGTCTAGGGTAAACCAAAAGTGGCGGAACCTGGGGTTTGATACCGGAGATGCATCGGCGAGCACGGGTCGAAAGGGGGGGACGGTAACTGAAGGATCTCCGGCGACGGCTCCGCGGGAGTCGGTCACTAATGCCGCTGATTGGTCACGCCATCGCCCTGGGCTTTTAGGGGTGTTTTGCGCTGGTCACGGTGCGGGTGGTGCGCCGATAAGGGAATTGGGGCCACTGGGGCCACTGGGGCGGACGGCTGTCGGGATGGTGTCATCGCTAGCGAATGAAAATTTGGCCAACCAACGTTTTTTGCCCGCCGCATGATTGGGTCCCACGGCGCCCCGGCCGTCTTCGGGCTTTGGCAGATTACCTTATTAGTTAGCTTCACTCAAAGCTTGGGAGGAGGACAATGAGTGAGTAATTCATATCAATGCTTTATTTCTCTGTTTGATCGTAGAGTTGTGAGAGTTTCCTGATTGTCCGTCTTGGTCTCTGCTCATTCTCGACTCATTCTGTCTCACTTGGACTGTTGGTTCTGCGACTACACCCTCTCTGTCGCATACTCCACTTAGACGACCCTCACTGAACCATAACGAGAGACGGGGATCGTGTACTTGAACTCAGCAGAGGGGCAAGAAAAAGAACAAGAGGACTCGTCGTCTTCACTCACACAGCCCAAGATGGCAACAACAACATCCCTCCTCACATCCCTCAACTGCAAGGGCAACACCCACCTCATCATCGGCACAAATCCCCTCGCCGCAGCCCGCTGCACACAAACCATCAACGCCGGCGCAACCCCGATCCTCATCGCCCCAGAGACACAAGACCTACACTACGGCCTCCAGAAGCGCATCGACGCTGGCGAGGTCACATGGCATAAGAAAGCCTTCGTCGATACAGATCTCTTCACTCTAGGCCGCGACGAGGTTGATAACGTCGTTGACGCCGTCTTCGTCACATCTTCCTCCTCCCCGCAAGCAGCACAGATCTCGGCGCTGTGTAGGCGGCATCGTATCCCCGTCAACGTAGTCGACGCGCCGAATCTCTGCTCATTCTCACTTCTATCAACACATACCGATGGACCGTTGCAAATCGGCGTGACGACAAACGGGCGCGGCTGCAAGCTCGCCTCCCGTATCCGGCGCGAAGTCGCCGCCGCGCTTCCCCGAGACCTGGGCGCAGCTTGCGCAAGGTTAGGCGATGCCCGCCGGCGGATCCAGACGGAAGACCGTCTCGCGGCGGACGAAGTAGACGATTCCTTTGACCAAACGGCTTCATTCAACAAGCTTGTTACCGAAGCCGATCTCGACGCGGCGAAGAACCGGCGCATGAGGTGGCTGAGTCAGGTATGCGAGTACTGGCCCCTGAAGCGTCTCGCCGCCATCAACGACGAGGACGTCGAGTCCGTTCTGAAGTCGTACTCTGGCTTCGGGAACCCACCCGAAGAAGCGAGACCACCACCAGTCATCGCAGCAGGCGGTGCGGCACGCCCGCAGCAGCAGGGGAGAATCATCCTCGCCGGTAGCGGGCCTGGACACCCGGACCTCCTCACACGTGCAACGCACAAGGCAATCCAGACAGCAGACCTCATCCTCGCAGATAAGCTCGTCCCCGCAGGCGTGCTAGACCTCATCCCGCGCCGTACACCCGTCAAAATCGCGCGCAAGTTCCCAGGCAACGCGGACCAAGCCCAAGAAGAACTCCACGAGCTCGCGCTCGCGGGCGCGAAGGAAGGCAAGACGGTGCTGAGGCTGAAGCAAGGCGATCCCTTCATCTACGGCCGCGGCGGGGAGGAGGTGGCGTATTTCAGGGAGCATGGGTTCGGGGACCGGGTGACGGTATTGCCTGGCATCACGTCGTCGCTGAGTGCGCCTTTGTTTGCGGGGATTCCGCCTACGCAGAGAGATGTCGCGGATCAGGTTCTTGTGTGTACGGGCACGGGGAAGAAGGGTAAGGCGCCGACGCCGCCTGAGTTTATCCCCAGTCGGACGGTTGTGTTCTTGATGGCTTTGCATCGGATTACGGGGTTGGTGGCGGAGTTGACGACGTACCTCGATACGGAAGTTGCCGAGGGTGAAGGGGAGGAGAAGAGCACGCCGAAGAGGGCGTTGTGGCCGAGGGATACGCCGTGCGCTGTTATCGAACGGGCGAGCTGTCCTGATCAGAGGGTAATTCGGACGACGTTGGGGTATGTTGCTGAGGCTATCGAGGCGGAGGGGAGCAGGCCGCCCGGGCTTCTTGTTGTTGGAAGAGCGTGTGAGGCGCTGTATGAGAAGCAGAAGGGCAGGGCGTGGGCTGTTGAGGATGGGTTCAAGGGGTTTGACTTTGAGGAACTTCCTGGCTTGTCATGATATCTTCCATTTCTTTTTCACATAGGAGTTTCTCGATCCGCTCCAGGGGCTACGGCTTTTGAGTAGGGAGTAACCTTATATCCCGGGTTCATGTGCGTGGGGTTTAGATTAATGCCTCTGAGGGAAAAGGCAGCATCGCAAGGCGTAGATAAATTTAACAAGCGAATTCAGTTCAACCTCGAACCCCACTTAATGACCACGAATTTAATCAAATAAGACATGAAACCAAACGTCGCTCTCTTCGGTACTTGCGAGGTGGCCTTCACAATGCCAACCGATCCTGGACTGATTGTGGGCCCCCTAGATCCAAACCCCAAACGCTCCCCTGAGCTCTCTGCTGAATCCCGTCTCAAGCACGATTGTGTTCCAACGAAAGGCCAAAGGGGTGGCTTAAAAGCCATACTGCAGTGTCGTTAGCAACATTCTGACACGGGGACTCTCGCAGGAATTGAGGACGCATTCACTTACCTGACACTAGCGTAATAGCGAAACGAACGAGAATAACATGTGCGAATGATGTCGTATGCCCACCTGGCTTATTCAGAGGCTCAAAGCCCCCCTAATTCCGCCGTTGACCGCTTCATGCCCCAGGTTCTAGTCTTCGTTTGGTGGCGGGGCTTGTTGCCAATCTTCGTTGATCCCCTTTTCTTTTCTCCGAAGCATGTCTTCTTGAATGCCAGCTTTCTCATCGAGGAGCTGAAGAATGCGACCTTTGTTCTCGAGGGACCACAGTTCAATGATCTGTCGTGGGCGTAGGTAAGAATCATTTTTGTAGAGAATACGGAGGTTGCCGTACAGCAGGTAGTACTTGTCGTCCTCGTGTTTATCTTCAAACTTGGCAATATCCGTCCATCAGGAAGTTCTTTGACCGACACCTGAAAGTCAAGATTTGGACCGTGATATAACAGCTCTTCAATAGCATGGCCAACGTTGTCTTCAAGGCTATGCGAATCGCAGAGCATAATCATCCAGAATATCAACTCTGAAACTTTCAGCCCGTTAATGGGTTTAGCATAACAACCTAAGCGTTCATTCAATTTCTAGGGAACAGCTGTGTTTGGCGAAATGAGGTCGCGCTCAAGAAATGTCTTGATCAATCCACCTGTCGCATTGCAGATGCTATTGAGACCCTCACAGGCCCAATAGCCGTGTTGCTTGGACATGTGCATTTGAGCAAGTACAGTGTGTACTAGCAACAATACCTTGATGCTGCTATTTGGAGTGGGTTTGGTATGCTCCATCGACCACAACGTGCATCTCAAATCCATGGATCTTGTACCAAGACACAAGGGCGAGGCCTCCCTTTCCAGTATTTGCCCTAAGTTGGAGCCAGGCGAGGTGAAAGGCTTATTCCAATCTCAGAAACGCACTTATGACACTGGAAACAAGGAGCTTCTACTTTGAAACATACTTCTTGAAGATTAATCGCAGAAAATGGCATGTGGTAGTTTCTATCCAGCCAGGAATCGGTAGCATTCAAGTAGTCGTGATGCTTTGTCTTTACGACAAAATTATCACAGATCTCCTCCCTGCATAGCATCGAAGTGATGGAACAAAACACCCCGTTTCTGAATCTTCCGCGGATTGAAGCGGAGCAGCCGAAATGTGGCTTTCAATAACGGTACAGCGCCACCCGTTTGAAGGCTTCGAGGGAGTCGAAACTCCCAAGGCATGTATTCATTTCTCCTTTGGTTGAAGCGTTGTTCAAAACTTCCTCCACTGAGCGATGTGCAAAACGGATTCCCAAAGTCAACTTATTCTCAAGTTGAACCAGAACAAGTCTTTTGCAAAACCCATTTACCCTCCTCCGGGAACGCTGCAACTCCTTCATCAACTGTAAGTCGCACTCCTTTTCTGATGAGTATTGACCGTCTTCCTGGTGCGAAAAGGCGGAGGAAAGTTCTGGACAGTGAATTCCGTGTGATTCCTCGATCATAGCCACGCCCCATACTGTGATTGTCATAAGATCAGAACGATTGTCGGTCTGAGCTCGTAGCAACACAGCCAGGACTTGGTAGGCCCGTCTTTGATCTCTAGGCGTCAGTGAATGCAGTATATGGGCAAACAAGTCGTTGGTCTCTTCAGGAATCTGGTCAATTTGCTATATGAGACTTTCCAGATCGTTACCGTTCATGATTTGTTCCCGAATATTCTTAACGACGAGAGCAGTCTAGAAGAAGATACCCTAAGCTTTCTCAAAAATGACCTTGCTGATAGAGGCAAGTATATCGGCGTCTTCAACCCCTCGCAACTTGTCACCAACATACAAAGCCATGTACAGGCTGTCGACGATAAGACAAAAACGGTAATGCCGACTCGGGCCGGTGCCTTGTAACAGCCTGTCAAGCCCCTGCAAGGCTTCAGAGGGAGAGATATGCATCCGTTCTCCAGGCAGCCGAAGGGAGGTGTGCGCCTTTTCTCAAGATGAAGGAAAAGCATGGGCTGTAAGCTCAAGATGAGCTGAGAGGACTCCATGGAGCAGTCCAATATCCAACCCGGAAATGGACTTTTGTTGCCCGCTTCCAGAGTTCTAGAAGCAGAATTTGGCGCATATCAAAGTCTTATCACCTATAGGATAATTGGACATAACCCTGTTTGAACGACAATCAAACTTTATGATCAAGCTATGAGGAATAGCAACTTACCTGCCTAAGTTTCAAGCAGCTTTCGAGTCTCATGATCGCTGACTACCATCTTCATCAAGGTCGACTTGCCGGAGTCAAGCTTAGCCGAGAAGTGAGATACCCCGCTGCCCGAAGATAATCACTGTGTGAGCTGGTGTCGGTTATCACGCCGCTCTTTGCAAACCGATAAGCATTGCGATGCCGGATCCTGTTCTGAGCGGAGGTGCAACATACCCAGCGATATGCGGAGGCTTACCGCCGCCATCTACGGTACATATTGCAGGCGCCTTCTCTTCCGCAGTAGGAGATATCGTTCCTAAGTTGGGATCTGCAACTTCGATGCTTCTAACTTTAGTATTCAAAAATCCACCTGAACGACTTCGCAGACCATCTCATAACGATGGTAGGTAGTGTCGAATCGAAGGACTTGAAGGATAGAAACCTGGGCCAAATGTTCAAGCCTTACTTCAGACATGTGAACAAGCTTCTCGACGTTTTCCTTCACAGAGTCGTTGAGGCTGCAGAGGTTGACCCCGGCCCGTGAATTCTCGATAACACTTTCAATCTCCTGAAGTCGAGCAGAATTATCTCTTGCGTCTCTGACCAAATGATTGAGTTCAGGGATGGTCTTCTGACCGGGGCGTTCAAAAAAGTCAGTGATGTTAGATCTCATGTCTCTAGAAGGGTGAACGGACCTAATCCAGTCGATTAGCTGCAATTGGATCCGGCTGCGGTACGAGGCGAGTCGAGCCTCAAATGTAAGCATATCCTCTCGATAGAACGCGCTCTTCCAAATCGAACCGAAAGTTTGAAACATGGAAGACGTGTCTTCAGGCCGTATCCTCTCGATTAGCATAAGAATCTTGCCTGCCGCTATGTCGCATTCGATTGCCAAATCGCAGAGATCTTGTTCGCTGTCAGCGAGGCTCCTAGGACCTCTGACTCGGAGTTTGTCCGAGAAATCGTGCATTTCTTTGGCAGCTTTCTCTAGGCTCCTAGTTTCTTCATCGAGACCCGATGGCGATTTGTAGGGGTTTTGGGCTTCTCCATGACTTTTGACGCCAACATCTATAAAGGCCAAGATGTTTGCCGCCAGCCCGAAACATGTCACCGGATCCATCTCTGGCTGCGGGTGGCAAATCGCAAAATTATGATGATAATGCGCTAAATAGATGATTTAGCTCTAATGATTTCTTGGGAAAGGGCTTGAAGAAGGACATCTATCTAGGTTTATATTCACTTTTGTGGTTGCATGTAGCTGTCGCGGAACCGTGGCAGCTCTAAGTTGACATATGTCAATACCCGCGCAGAGTCATGGCTTAGGCCATCTCTCTGGGCACAGTTGTGAGATAGCACAGAGACGTAGCAAATAAAATCGTCGATTCCTTCGATAGTATAGTGAATGACGAGAGTTTTAGATAGTTGATCGTACAGTACTTTGTTGAAGGTGAGAAGCTTTGAAAAATGCTCGCGCTCAGTGGTAACTCCAATGGGCAGCAGAAACTCAAGCTACAGGTTACGTGACTTTAGATGTATTACCGGCTTTCCATCACAATCAACTATGAAGTGTCGCATCTCATCTTTGTTGTCATTTACGATCGTGCACTATGGATGATCATTTTTCGCGAAGATTCCAGTCTGAGCAAGTTTGATGAGCTGAAAAGTAGTCCACATTACGAAGTGGTTAGAATCTTACTTTGCGGTGTGTTGACTATCGACCCAGAGCATTGACAATCTTACCACGTCAGGTTTAAAAAGCTTCGGGATTGGCTGGCAATATGACTTTCCTGCTAGGCTGCTACTGGATCTTTCGTTAGTTCACTGCGACGCTGCGACTGCGCTGGTGATGTGAACTGCTCTCTGACTGGCCAAGGAATGATCGAATCGACAACAGAACGACCTGCTAGCCTCATCACACCGCGGTAAAAAGGCTTCCGTGCAGTCGATCAGCCTTGATTTAGTGGATCGCGTTCCTCTCAGAGTTTAGTGATGGAGTTTTAGTCTGGCCTAGCTCAGGAATCTAAGCCACCGCAGACCCCTGCACCGTTGGATCGGACATTAAACACTCGGCTGTGTCGGCGGCCTCGACCCCGTTCACAATCTCGCTGGGAACAGATTAATGTCCCCGTGTCCGTACGCCAATTCAATTCTTTTCACCCCGTGTCCGTAGCGATGCTGCTTCGTCCACGACCGTTTGGCTAACCACACCGAGGACCTCCGAACCGCCTAGCCCCCTTCCCTTCCCTCCTCCGCATTGCGCCGCCGCCGCCGCCCCTCCGTCAGCACGTATCCCGTTGTGCGTCTGCGTCATGGAGTCTCGCCAACGCAGTCCAACCCCGCTTTTGAAGACGTGTCGCACATGCGCCCACGCCAAAATCAAGTGCGATCGTTCACAGGACTCCAACGTCTGCGATAGATGTCTCCGGCTGGGCAAAGAGTGCACATATGCTGTGGCCCGCGGGAGGAAGCCGCCCGGGCCGCGTTCCAGGTAGTTCTCACAAGTTTCCTTGTCCAATGTCGGCCGGTCGTCGTCAAGAGCTGACGCGAGAGACGGCACAAAAGGACCAACAAGTTGCTGCAGGTCCCGGAGAGGCCGGCCCAACCTGCCCAACCCGTGACCGAAAGTCCTTCCGGCTCTGAAAGCCTTACGCCCGATCAAAGCCGGACCCCTCCGCAACCTGCTGCCTCATCTGGTAGTTCATCCACCCAACAGCCCCGAACTGGTGATGCCGGTCCAGCCGGTGCAGGCTTTGGTAGCGGCTCTGATGACCCGTTCGAGGCCGGCCAACTTTCTATCGACAAAGGACAGAAGCTCCTCGAGAGGTTTCGTACCAAGTTGACGCCTCACTTCCCATTCATTATCATCCCAGTATCAGAAAATGTGAACTCTTTGAGACAGTCAAGGCCAGCCTTGTTGCTCGGCCTCCTCGCTGTTTCGTCATACGATGATGTCCGGCTGCAGCGAGCGCTGGGTCAAATGTTCAACGACCTCATCGCGGCCCGTTTGGTGAGGGGTGATTTTGCCTGTCTCGACGTACTCCAGGGCCTCCTCGTCCATCTCGCCTGGTAATGCGAAACCACACTAGCCCTCCCTCCGTGTCCCTGGCACTAACCTCGCCCCAGGGCCCACTTCCAACCAAGGCCGAAGAGATACTCACAGCATCTTCATCTAGCTACGAGCATAGTGTCTGATCTGCGTTTCGATAGGCCAAAGAATCCAAAGCGCTGGAATGTTGAAGGGATGAGCACTTCACAAGACTATGTCGATTCTTTGGACGAACGTAGAACGTTCCTTGGGACGTATTATCTCTCTTCCTGGTATGTCTGCCAAGTCACCAATTCCCACAAGCTCTTACACTGAGCTAATATTCGTATCCTCGTAGCACAAGTATCGTGCTCCAGAAGCTTCGCATAGTCACCCTTTCCAGTTACATCACCGAAACTGCCGACAAACTAGCGGAGATCTCTGAGTACCCCACTGATCAGTACCTCCCGTGCATCATTAGCCTACAGCGGCTAGCAGAAGACATTGATGACATCGTGAAGAACGAGTCGACGCTGGATCCCATGCAGATTCAGGCTGCAGTGTCAGAAGCCAAGGAAAGGGTCGACGCGTTCAAGGATGGGTTGAACTTCGCTCTCGGCGATTGTCGTGAGTAGATTGCCCATACCTTTCAGTCTGACTAGGCTCATAATCATTCCTCATAGCGATCTTGGTACCTCAGTTGCACACAATCCAGCTCTGCCTGAATCAGCTGTCTCTGCCAGAGACGCCTTTCGGTCTCATCAACCCGCAGAACGCCCCAATGCAGCGGTTCATCGCAGGTTTGTCCGAGAGCATAGTATCGGCCAAATCTCTCGTCAGTGTCCTCCTCCATACGCCTCATGGACAAGAGGTCTACTTCCCAAACATAGTCTGGGTAATGCTGCATTGTGGCTTCACTCTGGCTGCTCGGCTGGATCTTCTAGCTGCAGATCCCAGGGTAGGGTTCATGGCGGAGCACCTCAGGCAGTTTGCAGACATTGGACACACTATCCGCCAGGTCGTGCTAAGGCTCGACGCTGCGAGTTCACCAGAACTTGACGACAAAGGCGACCGCGACAGTTTCTATCACTTTGCGATTCGGGCAAAACGTGTCGAGAAGTTTTACCTACAGGCACAAAGTCAGGCTACTGCTGCCCAGCAACAAGCACAAGCCCAACAACAAGAAATATCGCCCCATAGTATCCACGCCAGCCTGCCAGGGTCTACTGCAGGATTTGCGACGATGGGCACACCAAGCTCCGATTTTTCGAACCAAAATCCAAGCCTGGATTACACAGTCGCGTCCTCCATATTCTCGCAGAATATGGTACCGTCGGGCGGAAACGTCGCGTACCCGGACTTTTCTATGGCCAACACAGCGACACTGGTCTCAAACTCCGATTTCGTCATGGATACCCTCTCCTTCTTACCAGAATCTTTTATTCCTTTCAGAGGCTGGGGCAGCGGTATGAACAGTGAGCACAGTGGCGGAGCGCAGTTTTAGTGCGATCCTTTTGAACATGAGAGGGAGCACAGCAATCTAATGGTTTTGAGTGACGACTACGGCGGGGTCGGACACGGACTCGGATACGGACTTTGAACAATCTACCCCTATTGGCAGCCGGAATTATTGTCTGCCGAGGCGAGCAATCTTTTTTGCAGGCGGGACATAGAAAACTAGTTTCAATCCACGTGATCATTAATAGAGGATCGGTGTACCTAACTTCAGTTGTTGCTTCAATGATACTGCCTAAGCTCGGTAGGCTAGAGAAGTGCATGCGTGGCCTCCGTGTCCGTAGTTGGGTAGACAGTCTACCTGCTGTTACATAGACTGCAAGTCATCGTCGAGAGACACTGTGACTTGGTATATAAAACACTCGGAATCCGCAATTAAGATGAGGAACAGTTCTTAGTATCTTCATCTCATATCGGCAACCCTTCTTGCTTGATATCATACACCATTTGGATCAATCCATCATCATGTGTCAAAACCTTCTATTAGTTGCTTCAGCAGTAGCTTCCTTGTCTTTGATTCCGGAAATCCTTGCATCAAACCCGGTATACCAGCCATGCCCCCTCTTGAGAGCTTACTATCCTATGCCAAGAATCGATAAGAACGCTGAAGCTGTCAAATCGTTCACCAAAGACTTTATCACGCTGTTTGATCAGCTTGTAAAAGCGGGCGGGTCCGAAGACTTTGGTGAGATCACACCTAATACCACTTCCTTTTCAGTGGTCTTGTTCTCGGGCTCAGATGAGGCAGAAGAAGATCCCGTGTTCTTTGAGTATCATTACACAGCCCCCGAAGCCCCGCAGAACTCGACTCTGCATTCCAACACGGTCTTTCCCCTGGGCACTCTTACTCAGCTCTTCACCGTCTACGCATGGCTCGTAGAGGTTGGGGATGAGCGATGGGGGACGTACATCACGGAATATCTGCCAGAGCTTAGAAATGTTCCCGCGGATGGAATGAGAGTCGAATGGGATGATATTACTGTTGGGTCACTGGCAGGTCAGCTGTCCGGACTGGCGAGAGAATGTGAGTTTGAGAATGATGTACCATGGCGCGTTCAGAGGCTAATTACTTCTCATCAGCGTATGCTTGTGTTCTGAGTAAGTCTTGCGGTCGCAATGAGTTCATTGAGAATTTCAGCAACGAACCACCCCTTTTCCTACCTGATACTACGCCCATTATCTCCAACGCTGCATTCCAGCTATTAGCCCTGGCACTGGAGGCAAATAAAGCTGAAGGTAGCGGGAACATGGTATTCGACAGCATTCTCGCGGCCACTGTCCTTGAACCTTTAAATATGACGAACAGCGGTCTTTTGTCATCAATGAAAGATGCCAAGGTGTTTGCTCGGGATCTAAATGTCTCGGCTATCGGGGAACCAGCGTGAGTGTCTCTTTTTGTGTCTTACTCGCTCAAGACTAATTTCTGCCAGCGCTCTCTCGATGCTTTCCACCACCTCGGATCTTGCACGCGCTGGCCACGCCATGCTCAGCTCTCGTCTGATATCACCTGTCGCCACTCGTCGTTGGCTACAGCCGGTGACCGACACATCAAACCTTCGCAATGGCGTCGGCCGACCGTGGGAAATCTACCACGCTGGTCAATATGCCAACAGTTCCATCCTCGATGTCTTCACCAAGACTGGCCTGATAGGACACTACGCTAGCTACTTTGGCTTAGCCCCTGACTTCAATGCTGGCTTCGCAATCCTCGCGCACGACACCAAGGCAGCCCGCGGTCCGGATCTGAATGTCTACGCTGACATCGTCTCGCTTGCTGTCGTACAGCTACAGAAACTCGCCGCAGCTGAGATGACGGCGCGTTATGTCGGCACCTTCGAAGGTCAGGGAGGACTTGCCACTTTTAACACCTCGCGCGACGGGCCTGGGTTACTTGTTTCGACCTTAAAGGCTGGAGAGGTTGATCTTCGTGCTCAGATTGCTGAAGTTGCGGGCATCAAGCTGGAGGACCTGGACTTCCGTTTATATCCGAGCAACGTTGGTACTAAGACTCAACACAAGTTTGTGGCGGTCTTTCAGGACAAGAGTGCATCAGTTGACATGGGCACGCCGACTTGCATTACTTGGCAAGACGTTAACTCTTTGGGGTCAAGTGTGGATGTCCGAGTGGTTTTCACCATTGACGCATCTGGCAGGGCTGCCAATGTTACTCTGAACGGCGGTTCGCTGTCATTGGCTAGATCAGCTTGAGATATCGGATGAGTTTGGGTTTCTGGATTCTGTCTTTGGTATCCAGTCTATTGTTTACAAATCAGTTTTCTTCAGATAGTAACATGATTCTCCTCTCAACCTGCACCCATATCAAGAAATCTCTGACTCCAGAAGAGCGATACTGGCCGATGACTGTGATCGTCTGAGGTGTGCCCTACTTAGGTTGGCGAATAAAGTAGGAGGCCAGACAGAAATATTGAGTCTATGTGGTATTATATTTCCTCAACTCTTATGATTTCAGGGATTTCTGGACCTGTCACTCAGGGGCAGACTGTTGACTACTTATCTGGGATTTTATGGTCTCGAGTGGTCGTATCAGTGATCGGTCCTGTCAGACTCGGAGGCGAAGTAGCGATCATGGCTCTTTGCGTGGCGTATTCCGGTCCGGAGTGGGTCCCGACAATCTATTTCACCGGCAGGAGCTTCCCGAAGCGGAAGGACAGCGCCTTGTTAAGCCCCGCATGTGTTTAGCCATAACCTTAACTCCTGGAATGGAATCTGCTTGCTCTGGGGAAGCTGGTTCTGTCATGTGAGGGAATTTGGGAACCGACTCGTATAAGAACGACGATCGTTTCCTCCTAGACGAATGCTACCTTCGACCTACTTACGTTCAACCCATCTCTACAGTCTTTCTCGCCAAGATGCAGTTCACTCAACTCCTCCTCGCTGTCGTGTAAGTGTAGCTTCGTGGGTACATGTACCTTTCATGCGAGCTTCTCTGACGCCAAACTCAAAAATAGCCCGTTCATCGGTTTGTCGCAAGCCTATCTTTGCTCGTGCGATCGCAGCACAACTGCATCAATCACTTGCTGCCCTGACATTCAGAAATGGAGTATGTAGTGTTTATTCCAAAGCTACTTGCATATGACTAACCCGTTGTAGATGGCTATGAGTGTGAGCCAGCTGATCGTCAAGCCTACACCGATTGCTGTGCGGATCAGTTCTCCACTACGACCTTCTGCAGAGATGGCAGCGTTTAAGTTGGTTGAGCATATGTGGTCTTCCTGATATATAACTTGGCATAAAAATAATTGCAAGTTAAAGTCTCAAGCAAATTGAGTAGTTGACGTGCTGGTTGTACCTTGAGCGATGTTTATTCCCCAAAGCCATACTTCTTTCTGGATCCCTCACGCATCTTCGTCCCATAAAGAATATTCCTCAAAATAGACGTTATGGATTCTCTTCGCATAGTCGACCAAAGTAGGGAAACTCATGATGACACCTTTGCTATCCGGAGCCCTATTATCAAACATGTTAGTCAGTTCTTCGTGCACAGCATCGCACTGGAATGGTGGGACCCACGCTGCACACCCCAGGCCTGAGGCAATGAAGCCAAAGACAGTCGCATCCGCCTCAGAGGGACTCTTGCCACCCAAAACCCAAAATGGGGTTCGAATGTCAGGAGCTGTAAGGCGAGCCTCGCTCAAAAGTGCGTTAACATGCCCCCAAATATCCCGCCGGAATCCTGCAAGCTCTTCGCTGGAGAAACGACCAGTGCCTTGGCCATAAAGAGTCCGAGTCACGCCACGATAGGCAAGGAGACCAATGAGGGGTTGAATTGGCCATGGGATTGCCCCCATTACACCTGAACGCATGGTTTCGTAGTTATCGTGCCATCTCTCTGAGCTCTGTTAATCGAAGAAAGATGCGTAAGCATATTGGTAATACCTCAGACGATTCCGCTCACTTACTTGGTAGAAGGCTAGCTTATCCTCGAGAAGGGCGCGGATGGCAGCATCTTGAGCCCTGACGACTGGTGAAAGGGATTCGTTCAGGTCTGGGCAAACGTCATTGTCGATGAGTCGTTGAATGATGAGACTAGTATCACTCAAGGTCGTTGGTTGATCTTGATTGGGGTGGGTGATCTCGATGTAGGGTATTTTACCACGGGGTGATTTGCTCATTGAACCTTGGTCGATGCAGAACTGGAGCTTGGCGAATCGAAGGCGCGCTTCAAGCTTTGTGACAAACGGTGACCACACATAGGTATTAGAAACTGGGAATCCTCGATATAGCACGATATGAAGCTGGCCTTTGACTGGCGTATCCATGTTAAGATCAGCAATATGGTAGTCAGTTGATTGATATGTTCAATGTTCTGCCACATATAGATGAGTGATGAGATGAAGATGAGGTGAGATTGATAAATTCGGTCGAGAAGGATACGAGAATATTGCATAGATATATATTCTGTCCTTCGGCTTCTGTTCGGACTCTTGTGGCTTCTTCTGCTGAATGAGGCTTGTCTGCCTAATCGGACCCGATTGAGACACCGCTGAGCGCGGCACAGCGGCCGGTCGGACTACGGGGCGGACCTGCGCCGTTGAGCCGTGATCATTACCCGCGCGGGTCGGACACGCTTACGGTAGCATACCATGCCTGAAACGGATTTACGAGCAAAAAGATGTACACATGTCTGACACTCAGCCGGAATGCCGCTTGAGTTGCCATTGGAAATATTATGAAAAAGAGCGTGCGTTATCGAAGCCTTCAGGCTTGAAATACGATCGGACCACTCAGAGGCGCATTCGATTGGCGACAAAGCTTATTCCCAGCGTCAAAAGGCCGAGACAAAAACATGTTTAAAAGTCGCAGATCCAAGTGCCAAAGCCATATGCACCTAATGGTAGCGGGATCCTCGATGATCTGGAGCGATTGGATGATTCGGATGACACATCATCGACATATATTTACCAGCCATTCCCCCAGACGGTCTTCAAACAACGCCAGGATTTAAGCGTTGACTCATTAGGTAGCAGTGCGCCCAGACTAGCTAAGATCAAGTGGCCCCAACGAAGTAGGATTCTTCTCTCTCTTGAAATGATATATTCGACTCAAGTATCTAGGCCGACTTGATGGCACAAATAAGGTGGATCTAGAGCGATTGGAAGGCAGACATTGCATTCGAATGGTGTACGCGTACACAGCATCACTTGGACCCAACACGATGCGATCCTCAAGAAGGGAGTATACAAAGTGAGCGTGGCTACAAGCTTGCGTTGACGCCCAACAGCCCAGGGCTAATGAGCGTTAGGCCCATTAGAATGCTTTGGCCATGTCTCTTATTCTTGTCGGCCAGAAGTTCTCCATCATGTCGACCCATCGTGCGAATGACGGGCTTGAAGTATCACTCAAGCAACGGAAGAACCAGTCATCTTGCTCCCCGGCTTGGATTCGCAATTTGCTCTGTTTGTCGGATTTATTAGCACGATTCTTTTTGTCTCCAAGGAGAATCTGAGGGATGGCTGGGGCAGTGTTGTCAATGCAATCAACTTACCCAGGAAGAAACTGGATCAATGAAGAATTGGAAGACCTGACGTCGCTCATCCGAGTACATCGTCAAGATCGGGTCGACAGGTTTGCCTTCTTTCAAGACCAGGATGAGAGCATCGCTGAGAGCAACAGATTCCATTAGGCAATTGCTCAGACCCAAGCCGCCGATAACCTGTTCCGCAAAGATCAGCTCAAATAGACCTGCTTGGGAGTTGACCACCATCTCCTACATTGTTCACATGTGCGGCGTCACCAGCCAAAAGGCATCTCCCTCGCCTCAGGTTGGACGCCAAACGCTGGTGGATAGTGTACGTCGCTGCTCTGTCGATCTTGTATGTCAAAGGACGTGGTCCAGCCCAAGCGCGCTCGTAATGGTGTGAGATGTACTCTTCAGAAAGGAGCTCTGCCTCGGTCTTGGTCTTGAGCTCTTCGGGATCAACTGCGAAAGTAAGTCTCCACTTCGTCACCTCGCCTTTCGCGGGTGGTGTAAGGGGAGTGATGATGGTGTAATGTACCGGCTCCATCAAGAGTGTTGTCGTGACGGGGCTATCTTCTGTGTTTTGCAGCCAGACATCTGTCGCAATGAGCTTCTCGGGCCAAGTGTGTCCAGGAAAGGATATTCCGAGCAAGGACCTAGTCTTGGACCTGCCACCATCTGAGCCCACAAGAAACGAAGCAGTGTGCTCCTCCACTTGCTCGGTTTTGACGTCTTTGACTGCTATCGTAACGACTTCGGATCCGTCGGTGCCATCTTTGAGGATGGAAACCAGCTCCTTATTAAAAAGAACTTGGACCCGTCCTGTCTCAGTTGCCTTTTCCATCAAGACTTTGGTGAGCTCCGGTTGCGCCATGTTGAGCATGCTGATTGCTGGAGGCCTGACTGGCGGGCCGATTGGGTCGTGCTTTGGGTCTTTCGGGAATGACCCTACAATGTTGCCAGGTTTTTTCCCGCCCTCCCCGTCAGAAACGGGAGGTAGACGGATGTCAAGGCCAGTACTTCGGAAACCGCCACCTTTGATGATGGCGTCCCAGATTCCGGCTTCTGCTAGAGCAAACTGAGGTTGAGGATAAAACATGCAGGCCTTCGGAAGCTGAGAGAGCCCGCTGTCTTTCTCCAGTATAGTGACGCTAACACCCACTTGACCTAGACGTAAAGCGGCAAAGAGTCCTACAGGACCCGCGCCGACGATCAGGACATCAGGATTAAGTGGTAAAGATCCCATAGTGTCGCGGATAGGATGGACAGAGCCAGTATCTGACAATATAGGTAGAGTAGCTACTTCTTGGTGTATGATACTAGCTGATGGTACTAGAACCAGAAATGTACACCTCTGTCATTGGAGGCTTCAACGATTCTTATACCTGAGTTCAATACAGAAAGTCTTCTAGCCCGTAATTTTGAATACTCTTTCATATGGTCGATAATGTGAGAGGCCAGGATTGGCGTATGGCTATTGCTACACAAGGGTTGAATGCCGAAACCCCCTTTGGCCAGTGTGATTGTCATATTCCGGGTTTGGTTGTCGGGAATGCGATGCCGACTTACGCAACGGGTGTACAGCTTTTGGTTTGAGACAGACCACACTTTCTTCGCCGAAGTTGCATGCATTCGTCAGCGGACGGCGTCAAGGCCGCTCGGCATCTTATTAGGCCCCGAGATTCTCAAAAGAGAAGTTAGAACTTAGAGAACCACCCCGGGACGCCGTAGTCTCGGCTACAGATGGCCGGGGATATGCGCCCCGGCCCGCTAGCCCAGCAGTTCATTGATGCAGGCTTAACAAACTCTATCTGGCCTCACTCGCTTGCTTATCTCGTATATATCCAGATATTAGTGGTGCCGCCATCCATGTGTCGCCAGGCAGGCAAGCAACCTTATCCAAGACCGCCCACATCCCGTAGGTGCTTGTAGAGTCCTGAGAATATCTCCCTAGCATCTTTATGCATTTAGAACAGCCAAGGCCCAAGAGATTGGTTGAGCTTGTAAGATATCTTCGGCAATACCTTACGGCAAATGCACGGAGTAGTACGCTACGATTAGCTAAGATTGGGCTAGTATGGCCCATCGAAATCTACGTGGGAATGCACCTTGGTTTCCTAAGGAGCCGCCCTGCATTATGTAGTTCAACAGTTGATCCATTATCTGCTTCGAGCAACTGATCTCCGTATGAATTATAATGACAACTTATCGCGGACCAAAGAGCGTGTTCTCTAGAGATCACGTACGAAGATCGTGGTCTATACCAATGGAGAATTCGAATGAGGGATGCGATTTAATTCTGAGGTACGAGATACATGTCCTGTGAAAATGAAGGCTCTAGCCTTTTGGTGTGAACTGACACAAAGTTGGCACAACGCGAATGCGAAAGTTTAATTTCTCTTGAGTACAGCCTCTGCTACCTAAACCAGAACCAAAGGGCTCATCAATCGATTTCCAACTTATATCAAACCCATGGACGACCATAAAGCAAGCAGCCACCAGCCCCGATAATAGCCCAGCGGAAGAGCGCACCGGTTCCCGAGTCACTACCTACCCGAAGAATAGACCCCACCAAAGACTTGAGCCCAATGATTTGCCTTCCGTCGCGATCGAAATCAGGCTTCACATCGCCCAGCCACTGGGACATTCTCAGCTCTGACTCCAGATAGGGCATATAGCGAACGCGGAAGATCTTGTCAGCCCACCCAGGGGTCTCGGCGACAGTGCGACGATGGGTGAAGCAATCAAAGGAGGCTTTTCCGCGGTAAGATCCGTTCCCAGAATATCCCACGCCACCGAAGGGGAACGTATGAACGGCGGCGTGCATGAAGGCATCGTTGAGAGTTGCGCCGCCAGATGTAACGCCAGAAAGGACTTTGTTGTGAGCCAAGTATTAGCGTCAACGAGGTTATGCAGCTGGGGAAAAGGAGGAGGCGGGGAGGGGGTGTTTTTGCCGTTTCTCGTACCTTTCTCGTTTTCCGCCTGGCTGCCAAAAGTCATAAGGGCAAGGGGAGTGGAATCGGTCGCATTCGCCACCGCAATCGCAGCGTCGATATTGTCATAGGGCAGAATGGCCCAAATAGGCCCGAATGATTCTTCCTGAACCATGATATCATCTTCGCTCTCCACGAGTACTGCCGTTGGAGCAATGTAGAGATCATCACGATCTGTCTCTCCGCCTAAAACAGTCTGACCGCGCGTGCTGTCTAGCATCTTCTTCATGCGGTCGAAGTGTTGGGTATTGATGATGCGACAGAAATCGGGGCTTTCTCTCGCACCTGTCGGGAAGAAATCGACGTAGGATTCTTGGAGAAACTTGATGAAAGGCTTGACCAGGGCTCTCTCGATCAGGACATAGTTGTGCGAGACACACACTTGTCCAGCATTGAGCGTCTTTCCCCACAGAAGCCTCCTTGCAGCAAGACGAAGATCTGCATGACTGGTAACAAATGCCGGATTCTTGCCGCCAAGCTCAAGACAAACCGGCGTGAGTGTTTCTGCAGCTTTCTTGGAGATGATCTTGGCCACGTTGACTCCACCCGTGTAGAGAATCTTGTTCCATTTCTCGTTGAGCAGAGCAGTTGTCTCTGGAACAGCGCCATTGACAATCCTGTACGAGTCAGGGTCCAAATAACCCTCAATTATACGCGTGAGAACCATGGCTGATGCTGGTGCATTTTCAGAAGGCTTGACAACTGCGGTACATCCCGCAGCTATCGCGCCAATGAGAGGACAGATATTCAGCTGCACAGGGAAGTTGTAAGTGCCGATGATGAGAACCGCGCCAAGCGGCTCCTTTCTGATCCTTGGTCTGAGAAGAGAGAACGGCAAAGCAACGTCAACGTTTTTGTCGTCTTTGACCCAAGTCTTCAGATTTTTAATGGCGAACATGCAATCGGAGATACTCCAATCAATATCCGAAATATGCGCATCGTGAACTGGTCGGTTCAAGTCGCGCTTCAGAGAGTCTCGAAGTAGGTCGATGTTGTCCTTCAAGCCCCAATACAGCTTCCGGAGCTGGGTCAGACGGAATTCGACATCCTTAGTTCTATTAGACTTGAAGGTTGTTTGAACCGCTTTCACGGTAGCTGCGATGTCTTCAAGCGTGTTTGATTCAAATGGAGGGATGTCCGAAGATCCTAGTGGTTGCTTGTGTGCCATGACGGGGATTTCCGAAGATGGATGTGTTTGGAAGTATCAACTTGAGTGTGTCAAAAGAGATAGAACTAAGAAGACGATTCGCAGACTTGATGATGAAAAGATCTTTTGCAGAAAGGTTTTGAACCTTCATCGGGGCACGGCAAGCTTGAGCACTACATGTAATATCGAAAGTGATTCGACATTGATAGGAGCCATCCGTCTACCCGCGTCCTTAAGCTGACAAATGCAGCAGCCAAAGGACCGGCATAAGTTAAGATTCAATCGTTTAAGAGAACTGTCTGATTACCAATCATACTGCTGGTTCATACTGGTAAGTTAACAGGATAACATAGTCTACACTATGATACAACTTTGAGTCAATGTGGGCCAAGTGTGTTCATCTCTTCGGTCTGGCGCGACTATCAGTAGCGTTCTCTATATCCACCCACGCCCAAGAAAGAAGGTAAAATTATTTACTAATAGGCTTCAGAGTAGAAATATGTTGGCGGGCCCGGCACTCTGCCGACACAGGAGTGCCAAGGTTTCGTGGGGGAACAGCTCGGCTACATGGATTAGACGCCTCTCAGACGATGCCTACATCGGACCCCTGAATGTTGTGGACAGCCGCATAAACCTTAATTCCTTTGCATCGTTCGGTTCTTGCCCACGGCAAGTTACGGCTCAAGCTTATTTCTCTAAGCGACGAGTGGAATGGATCTTGTAGCTATGAAGCTGTGGCACTAGTAGGATTTTAGGATCTAGTGTGATGAGAACCATCTTTGACGATTCACCAGCGAAAGCAGGCGGAATAGTCCTACTTACTCAGTCTTGAAAAGCCTCTCATATTCGATCCGCCTCAAATTTAAGTAGAGATGCAAGGTGAAGATGAGGCCCGGGCCACGACAATAGCGAACATCGTCCAGTCTTCCGATGAAGCAAAACCGGCAGAAAACAGGCAAGAAGCCAATGGATGGGAATGGGAAGATGACTCGTCCAATCCCTACAATTGGCCGCAGTGGAAGAAGAACTTGCAGTTGGCGATGATCTCTATCGTTGGCTTTTCCTGGTAAGCCCGTGTCTCCGTTTCGAAACGGCATCTCTCTGCACTCTGCAAATCTCAGTTCGCTAATACTATTCCATAGCTCGGTAGGAACCTCGATAGTCAGTCCAGCTCGTTCACAATTTGTCAAAGAGTTTGGTGTCTCGAGTACGGCTGCATTCCTGCCACTATCTCTATACGTCCTCGCACTCGGCCTCGGACCTGTGCTCGGTGGACCCTTGTCGGAGACGGCCGGCAGACAAGCTGTTCACGTTATTGCAGTAGTCTTTGGCGGGCTGTTTGCATTGGGTTCAGGGCTCACCCATAGTTTTTCTGGACTGTGTGCGATGAGATTTCTGTCGGGGTTCTTCTATGGTCCCGTCTTGGCTGTTGGTTCTGGCGTTTTGAACGAGACCTATCTGCCTGTTGAGCGTGGTCTGCCGTCAACAATCTTCATCCTTAGTCCTTTCCTTGGTCCTGGCCTTGGGTAAGAGAAAGAAAAAGAAGATGCAAGCGTTGGATGAATAGCACTAATGAGATATCTAGTCCAGTATTGGGGTCATTTCTTGTTGACAGGAAAGGCTGGCGGTGGACCCAGTATACTCTGGTGTTCTTTTCGGCCTTCTCCTTGATCTGGCTTTTTCTTTCTGGAGAGTCTTATCACCCTACTCTATTGCGCCGTCGCCGAAAGCAACTCGGTCTCGTCGAACCGAGATCGACCACGACCTTGCAGAAATCGTGGCAATTCCTCACCGTTGGCTTGCTTCGACCTCTGCATATGCTCTTCACTGAACCAATCGTGGCGATTCTCTCCTTGTACGTCGCATGTATGTTTGGAACACTATTCATGTTTTTCGGCGCTTTCTTCTATGTCTTTGACAAAACCCACGGCTACACTCTCACTCAGACGGGTCTTGTGTTCTTGGCAATTGCTTTCGGATGCGTTCTTGGCTGCATCACCATGGTTCTCTGCGATCATCATCTGTACCAGCCTAGGGCAAGAAGATTTTCCCCGGGCGAGATCCCTCCTGAGCTTCGTCTCTACCCAGCTATGTTGGGAAGCTTGGGTCTTCCCGTCAGTCTTTTCTGGTTCGGCTGGACTGCCAGGCCAGATGTTAATGCTGCTGCCCCCATCATTGCAATCGTCATCTTTGGCTGGGGCAATATCACGTTGACTATTAGCTCAATTCAATACCTCGGGGACACATATCATCGCTCCAATGTAGCAAGCGCGGCCAGTGCGAACAGCTTAGCAAGGTATACCTTTGCTGCTGCATTTCCCTTCTTTTCGCTGCAAAGTAAGTTCTGTGCTCAAATCGTTCTCTCATTTGAAACGATTCTGGTACTGATTCCGGTAATCTTTAGTGTACCAAAAACTCGGCATTGGCTGGGCATCAAGCCTTCTAGGATTTTTATCACTGATACTACTTCCTGGGCCGTGGATATTCTTCAAGTATGGCAAAGTAATCCGCCAGCGAAGTCAGTACGAAACTGCAAGCTACTAGTTGTAGAAATTATTGCTCGTAGTTCGGGACATCACGATAACAACCTGCCCTTTATCTTCCGACGTAGATAACGAGGTCCAAGAAGCGAGCAGAGTTGAATTGCATATTCATTTGTATCTAGTGTATCTAGTATAGAAAATTACAGCTTTTACGCAATCCCCAAGCAAACCTAAAATGTACGGCATAATCAGCACTCCACAAGTGAGCTTAGTGATTCTCTGTCACTATTTTTTCGATGGCATTTTGGATGTCATCACGGCGGTATCCCCCTAACAATGCCAGTTCCACAGGGTCAGGTTGATACTCGACCACCTTGTCGCCTGCATATAAGGTGGCTCGAGGCAGTAGGGGGTGATCCTGATCCAGTGACTCCAATTGTTGATTACTTCCAACCGCCTGGAAGAACATCTGAAAGTACTCCGCATAGGTCAGGTTCTGGTCGCCAACCAGGATGGCCTTCCCTGATATAGCCTGAATGTTGTCCAGAGCCCCTGCAATGGCTTCGGACAGCGATTGTGTGGAAATGAAGTTCAGTCCCCCAAGTGGAGCGAAGGGAGGGATGGACAAGTTTCCTTTGGCGTAATCGATATAAGCCCGGAACATTGGTATAACCATGCCTGGAACGTTCCCAACGATGAAGGGCGCATCTAGACTGCAAATATGGAACTCGGGTCCAGCTAGCGACATCATTGCATCTGTAGCAAGCCTTCTAGATCGTACGTATGGGTCAGTCGGGATGGACTCCGGTATGATATGCGGGTAGGCGCTGCCGATGTGAATAAACTTGCTAACTCCAGCCTGTTTGGCGAGCTTCGCGAAGTTTGGTATGGCCTGGCCGTTGGCTTGGAGGTAGTGCTCATCGGCATTCTGTCCCTCAGGCACATGTCGAACGTCGCTGCCGGCCGCAAAGATAATTGCATCGAATTTGGAGAGAGTTTCTGTGCTGAACCCCCCGTTTATATAGTCTCCTTGGATGAAAGGGAGCTCGGACAACGCAGCAACGTCGCTGGGCTCTTTACGTCCAGCGATAGTGACATCCCTTCCTTTGGATCGAAGGTATAGCGCAGCATGGCCTCCAACCAAGCCAGTACCGCCGAGGACGAGTATTTTTGTTGCCATAATCTGAGGAAAAGGATCTAATTATGGTTTGTGATGTTGTTGGTGCTTGCATGCCGTATTTATCACCTAATTAGGGGATGGGATATTCGCCGTCTTATATTGGTGCTCTCTACAAGAACCGGGTCTTGAAGTCCTCCGTGCTGACTCAAACAATCCATCCTTGATTTCATCACCGCACGCATCCAATAAATCTTCTCCACGACCGATTTATAAGCTGAAAGAGAATTCCCAAGCTTCGGTTGTGCCAATACTGAGGGGACTGCTACAAGCCACCGCGGAAAGCGCGGAAACCACGCGCCGGGATTAGGATCCCGCAACTAGTGAGTAAGATAGAGGTAAAATCCAATGGCGTGGCGGCGACGTTCAAACTAACATCTTTGCATTCTCAATCTCCCCAAATGATGACTTGGCTAAGTTCTCCGCCTATTGCTATTTGTCATTAATCGCTCCACTGGAGATACGCATCGGCGGACTTTTCTTGTAAAAGAGCATCTAGTACCTTAGCTTTAGGATAGTATGTCAAGCTCTTTTACACCCGATGGAAGCGGTCATCAAGTATCGCAGTTAATGCAAAGTATTGATAACTTTCTGTTACCGCTCCGCTTAATGGCGCAACTTGTGAGGATAACTTAAACCCTCGCACCACTGTATATGGTTAGTTAGTCACGGTTAAGCATTAGAAGGCCGAAAAGGGTTACGAAATAGTAGCACCTTAAAGGCATATCAGTTGGTCTGCCTTGTTTTTATAGTTTCCCATGTGGGCGCCAGACTGTTTGCTAGGGAGGGGCCGCGGGCTAGTCAAATATCGGGGAAATTCGTCAAAGAATGAGCAGCCCTAGACTTGAAAGTTGAAGACAGTCGCTTTGTAGAGAAGTGACATAAGTCTTGATTCTCAGATGGTTGTTAAGACGTGGGTGAGGTACGTTAAGGTAACTTAAATAAAAATTACGAAGTAATAAGTATCGGGTCAACAGGATCAGAGGTACTCATTCCGAATTGTAAAATTAGGCTCTTAGAAAATGTACAATTCAATACCTTGAACAAACTAAAGAGATGTTGCCCACGATAAGGAGAAGAATGTCCAGCCTCTCATTTATCATTCATTTACATTCAGCAACATAGTAATACACCATTGGCAGACGCGCACACTGCGATCAACAATAGCTGACAGCTCTCTGCCGTTCGTTTCATCAGTAGAACAGACATACGAATACGGCCCGAGTTCGGATCGCCGTCGGTCAGTTTCTGCTTAGTGGCAGTGTACTAGTATCATCCAGAAAGCTTTGGCCATTGGCTTCCCGAACACCTCGCGCATCATCCGAGCCGCTGCCGTCTTTGCCGAATCCACGGGAGGCTAGTGCCTAAGAAGGGCTCTCCTCTATTTGTTGCTCCCTTTCTGCACCGCGTTTGGGTTGAGTGGTCCTCGTATCATCCAATGAAATTAGATCCAAATTCAAAGTGGCTCGGGTTGTTAGCTAACAAATGTATCTCGTCTTTGCGATCAGTCTATCTCAAGTATCCTTTCCCAAATTATATTCTGTTGTTAAGGGTGAAACTTCACCGGGCTCGCCAAAACGAACTTCTTTTGCGGAGCGAAATTCCCTAGCTTCTAAGCTGGGGATACCTCGTCCTCGTGTGACTCCAAGTATATCAGATGCTGCGTGCATGGCTACATGCCGGCAAATACTCAAAAATACGACGTCAATTCGGGTCAAATGCCGAACATGTAGGTGTGCCGAAGGCGCAATACGAGATGAGCAAAAACGATCCAGCCGCATGTGCTCAATTAATCCAATGCCGAGCTGTCTTTCCCAAATTAGCCGGTCATCTTCGGTACCGTAGACATACACTATGCGGTCCGGTGATTTCCCCACACTCTCTGTACATGCCAGGAGAATGTAACAGCTCTAGGCAGCACTAAGGTGATGCAGTTTGGCTGCTGGCAGGGGAACCCTTGCGACACTCCCGTCTCAAAGAATCATCGCCTTCTATGTGTTAGTCTAGGTCTTGCTTCGTCGAAATGACTCGGCCGGCGGGTTCAACCCATCTCTGCCGTTATCCGAATCTCCCTACTCAAACAAGGTGCTCATTCATCTGATTTTGCCTAAATCTCCCCGCCACGGAAGATGGGATGTTTCGTAGAGATTGAACACGGAATCTCAAAGGATAGGTTCACAAGGAAGCCGTGTTCCTTGCGACTCGTTGGCTGATTTAGTCACGTCTCACAATGCCAAGAGAATTGTATAAGATCAAGATTCACCTGCGTCGATTACCGAACTCTTGGCAGCCCTGAACCGACCAACAATCATCTCTCTCACTTCAGTCCTTCTTGCTCAAAATGGTTTCAATTCGCTCCTTGTTTTTGACCCTCTCGATCATTGGTCCCTGTCTGGCTGCGCCCGCGATCGGGCCAGCTGAGTTGCTGCCTCCCCATGTTGAGAGACGCGGCCCATCAGACTTCTTCCTGGGACCCGACCATCCCCTCTTGCTCGCACGCCGCAACGAGTCTCTCGAAAGACGCGGCATGACACTTGAGGAGCGCACCAACTATGTTCAAAACTACCAGACCGGCGGCACTGTCAACTTCACACCCTCGGGCAACAGCTTCAGTCTCAACTTCGACACGACAGACGATTTCGTTGTTGGCGTGGGTTGGAATCCCGGTTCTACCGCTCCCATTACTCACTCCGGTTCATTCGCCGTCACCAAGGGACTCGCGACCCTTTCAGTCTATGGCTGGACTACCAACCCGCTTGTGGAGTACTACGTGATTGAGGACTCTGCCGGATACTCTCAGACCGGGACGAAGAAGGGCACTGTGACCAGCGACGGCAGCTCCTACACCGTCTGGGAAAACGTGCGCACCAACGCCCCTTCAATCCAGGGCACCACGACTTTCAATCAATACATCTCGGTTCGCAATAGCGGTATTCCAAGCGGCACTGTCACTATTGCCAACCACTTCAATGCTTGGAAGAGCTACGGCATGAACTTGGGTACACTCAACTTCCAGGTCATTGCTGTCGAGACCTGGAACGGTGCTGGCTCGGCAAAGCAGACTGTTACCAACTAGTTTCTATTATAACTTTCTATTTGGCCCGTGTGCTGAGGTGAACTTATCTGCATTCCATTCAACATCGAAAGGCACTTAAGAGAGCTGTCAGCCTCAGAACACGGTTAACTCCTATTGTACCTATTTCTTTCGAGCCAAAGCTTGGCCCAGTATCATTCATATACAGTTGCATACATATTCGCGATGAAACATTATGTCTATCATATTGCCTGGAGTCGATGTGTACCAGAAGTTATGATTTCGACATTCCGCGCCAGAACCCTCAATCATTTCAGACCTACACGCCCAGCTGCCGTTGCTCCAGAAATCTTCCGGGTTCTCATTCTGTTTGCATGATAACTCCAATATACTTTTCAAAGCTTGTGAACTTCACATCCGGATACAATTCTCTCGCATCAAGATATCCAAGATAGTGTGCATACTCAGGAGTATTCTCGCCTCGAATACCAAGAAGATTCCGACACTCTGCCATACCGACCTTGGGATTGACTGTTCTGCCCTTGCCTGTGTGGCCCTGAGAGATGACGCCTTGCACCTCTTCTTTTGTGATCTGAGTCATTTGTTAGTCCCTGATGTTTCATGAATAATGAGGGTTCGGTGAGCGTACAACTTCTCGGGTCACAGTCTCTCCCGACACCTTCTCGAGAATGTCAAAAGCCTCATTCTTTGTCATGACCTCCCCGTATGCAAAGACCATCTTGTTCAATGTCTTCTGGTCGGCGATGATTCGGCTGACAAAATTGCCAATATCACGATTGTTGGTAAGTGTCCAAGGGGTGTTGCCGTCCCCAATGATGTGCGTGGTGGAATACTCTTCTACCATCGGGCGAAATCTGCCTGAGGGCAAAGCAGGCAAGGTCAGCTGATACCAGTTCAACTCAAACTCTTTGGTCTGTCGGATACTCACCTTATCTCCGAGCATCATGACGCCTCAGGGTGCGCAGGCAGGGCCCCAGAAGCTTGGGATGTATCGACCAACATTGGCCTTGCTCGATGCTTCAATCAGATTCATCTCCTCCTGGAACGAGAATAAGGTCAAGCACGAAATCACGACGTCCACGTTGACGAGGACTCCAGAAATTGCCTCGATTGACCCATCCAGCTCAACTGCCTTCACAGTCACGCCTCTCTTTGCGAAGTCAATGAGTTCAGGCTTTTCCACCGAAGTGGGTCTCGATAGAGCCGTTACTTGCTATCGCTAGGTCGCTTAGATGTGTTCAGTATATATAGCTTTTAGTTGCTGGTGTAAAGATCCAACAGATTTGAACTTACGAACAGCTCGGGAGTCTTCAACAGCGCATTCAAAATTGAAGAGCCTGTGTTCCCAGTAGCGCCTGCAACGGCAACCTTGATTTATTTGGCCATGGTTTCGTCTGATAGTTATCCGTGACTCTGAGTGTGGCAAAGATGACGCTAGATACCACATACAATTCCACCGATGGACAGGCGGCAGGAATTGTTATATAGACACCATGTGGTTCCACTGAGATCATTATTCGGAGACATAAGGGCATTGCTTAGATCCATCGAGGAGTAATCATAGGCCGAATCGTTGGTGTGGTAGCTTGTGTCAAATTTTGGTGATGTGGATTTCGGCCGAAAGTCGGTCGAATGCTTGTCGGGGGCCGCGCCGGGTTGCTATCACCAGCCCGAACGGAATTCATATTCCTCGTCATCCAATTAGCGCTAACTAAGGCAAGTAAAGTAAGATCTAGGGTCCCCAGCTATGAGTTATATGTTTCGATGATTCGGGAAGGGAGTCACGAATATCGTGAACATACTTAGATATTCTTTTCTCAGTCTTGGCCCATCCGAACACCACTCTTCGCCGCGACTTTGATACCATCCTCGATATGACAAGGTATATTTTGTCTCATATGAACCCTCCTTGCCTCAAGTAAATGGAAGGGAATAATGTTCAATCTTTATTTCGATGAAGTCGTTGAGATTCATGGTTAGGATGGTCTCGTCTTATCATCAATACGATGGCGCCAGCTTCTACCCCAGAGTGCAACAGCCCATACGCATAATGCACCAATCACTAAGAAGCCAGCAGAAATAGTGCTGAACCATCCAACTCCAATCACCTTGATTGCTGGAAGTACAACAGCCGATCCAGCGGCACCAAACAGATATCTCACCATGAAGTTGCCCGCAATCACCTCTGCGCTGCGTCCCTGAATCACATCTAAGCAGTACGTATTGAGACTTGGGAAACAGAAGAGCTGCGATACGCCTCCAAGGAACATGAAGACGACAGGCACCGCAATACCGCCGACGCGCTGCTGGACAGTCCACCCGTAGATGAGCATGGCTCCGGACATCGGGGCTGTTGCACCTCTCGGAAGGACGATGCTGACATTAGAGCGCTATTCAAAGGCATCTGGGATCCTCCGGATCCGCAGATGTTGAGTCAGGTATACCGGCGTGACGGCAAGTGTCCGAAAACCACAACACTGGCAGTTGACACACGGTCATAATATTATCCTCTAAGCTGATGATGATGCAGATTTGTTTTTCCAAATTGAATGTCTGTTTCGCCATTCAGTTATGGATGTTAATTTGCTTACTTTGAATTGAGAGAAAACCCAGTTTCGCGCACAACACAACCGAACTGTCGGATGGCCGATCTGGACGGGTGCTCCGACGCCGGACCCGTTCTGTAACTGAAATGGAACTTGCTCCACCACATTGGTCGACACTGCACGAAGTGGGAAATGCGTCAGATTCCGACGCCTCGGCAAGGAGTTCTTATCGTCGGCTATCCGAAAACATGAGTTTGAAAGGGAATTGTTGCAAAGTCCACCAATCGTTAGTCGCTTTAAGCGGGCTGTCCCGTATTGCCATGGTAAGCCCGGGTAATTCCCCAAGCCTCCCGACACTTGTCGGGACTTAGCCAGAGAGCAAGCGGTGTCACAGCTTCTGCATAATCGTCGGAACACGCTTCTATTAAAGGCATAGGGACACCTTGCATCTTGGAAGCACTACATGATGGAATTGACATGGCAGACTAGGCGATAGAGTCTTTTGCGTCTGTAGAGCTCTGAGTGGTTTGTCGCATGAACTATTTCGACAAACAGCATTCTTCAATGAAATCGCTGGACCTCACGAGCAATTAGGTATTCTTCTCTTATATAGATGTAGGGAAGAGTTATCGAGGCTCTCCGGTAGGGTTTGATGAACGTGGACTCGAGTATTCAACTTAATTTATTGGCATAATTGGACTTTGTCGGCTCCCGGAGATAGCCGAAGCTGGCAATCATCTGATTCTCACGACAGCACCTTCCGCCCCCGAAAAGAACAGACCATCCCTGCTCCGTCGCCGGTCGGCATCGGCTCAGCCCCGGAAGCGGGCGGTGGTCGTTGAAAACGGCGGAGAGAGGCCCCTCTTGCAGGCCGAACGGCACGGGATGGCGTGCTCTTTAAGCGGGTATAGGGCCCAGTTGTGAATGGCCAATGCTAATTAACGTTCTTGGACACATTGCCAGATGGGGTAATCAATGAGGAGTTCGGACCAGGCAGAAGATGTATGCTAGGTCAGGCAGAGCGGGGAGATGATCACAGAGAAAAAAAAGTTCTTATTCCTCAAATTTGAATGGCAAATATTCACAACGTTAAATACACCTTAGACTAAGAATTGCGATACGAGCATCGCTCCTCGATGTACTCGCCAATTGTTCCTAGCGCAGACAGCACCGACACCACACATTCAGAATTAATTTCAGATGCAGATGGGTTCTTCAGCGAGACTGATCAACTTTGAGATCTAATCAAATTGCGCGCGAGGGCTCGTACCACTAGGTAGCAGGGCACTGCTTGCCAGGTGCCTTTCTCGGTGTGGTCTCTGGCGGTTCGGCAGGATGCACTTCTTTGGGCGACCGAACCAATAGCGTCCTACTGGTGTCCCGGTGTGCATGAAGAATCCTGTCTTCAGCCCCCTAGTGAGGCCCCCACGTGCTCCATCGAGTGGCTGACGACGGCCCTCGAATTGCACCCTCTCTCCAACACGCCGCCTCCTTTCCGGGCTGCAGGCAGTCATCTCCCGCACAACGAGTGTCTCGCAGTGTACCAGCTATTTGGTAACGGGCCCGTCATGAAAGACCCTTTAATTCGAACCCCATCGCCACGTTGTGACATGGCCGATCCGAAGCTTGCCGGACTCACGGACGTGGAGCGGCTCCTGGGCATTTTACCTCCCTACATTGTTCAATCTCATGCAACAATCGTTTGGAGGTCATGGCTGTCGACGTTGAGGAGCTCATTCTTGCTCCTTTCCGTGAGGTTGTAGAGAGAGGGGAAGAATCTGCAAGAAATGCACACGAAGCACAAGATGAGGATCCAGCAACATCGCGGGAGATGACCAAGTCGGCAAGCACCATCACGAAAGAAGGCCAACGGGCATTGAAGAGGTTACAGCCTTTGTGGAACAGCCAATTTGAGAAGCATGGGGATGTCTTCAAAGATACTATCGCTGAAAACGGTAAGCTAAGCCATCTCGTGTCTAGATAGTACTCGTTTTGACTGATGTTCGAGTAAGATGATCTGGCAGAGAAGCGAAGAGCACTTGAAGAACTGCTGTACGACTTTGAGGATTACATAGAATTGGACACTTTCGACTCGACTAAGTTTACCGATCTTCAGACTGCCACTAGAACCTTTGCTCTGGTTGTACTGGACGCTGTCCAGAGAGTGAAGATCGACGTCAAAGTTCCGACCACGCCGGTGCACAAGTTTCCGCCATTGCCGCCTCTTCCACCATTACCACCGCAGTTGGCTCGATCACTAAATGCCAGCCCGCAGAGTCGGCCGACACCGCCTTCGCGAGGCGGAAGTCACGGAGCCGCGAACATGCCATCATTTCCTGCTGTGCCACGGCAACCCAAGCCGCAGGTCAGTCGAAGTCGAACAAGAGGCTCACACGGATCATCAGATGGTGCAACAGCGAGGCGAAATCACTCAATAGCCGAGTCAACAGATTCCGACCCTGCGTCCTCTCGTGGATTCCCAAGTGCCGTAACTTCCAGCAGTGAAGGCCGACGGCCGCCATCACCAGGTGTTCTCAGCGATGGAATAGGCCAGCTGCGGATCGTCACATCACCAGAACCTTTACAACCGCGGACATCGGATTGGGTTGAAGAACAGACCTCGGCTCCTAAGTCTAGACGACCTTTCCGTGGAAGCATCCCTGAGAATTCCGCTGTGGCTAGTAATGCCTTTGGCGATAACACATTCGTATCCGGGGTCAATCGAAGAGGCTTTGACACGGTGACGCCGCAAAGCTCGGTATTTGATCCAACAAGCCCTTCAATTACAAACAGAACATCGATCTACTCGGATGTCCCAACTTACTCTTCCAACGTAACTTCGCCCAAACTTCCAACCATCGATGTGCGGATGTCACCAAACGCGGCGACAAAGGTTGACCCAGCCCTTGCCATCAATTTCCCGTTTTCGGAGCTCTTTACCGACGGACTGATACTAGCTGATGAACAAGCAGCCTCGGAAACCAGCACGCAACACTTGAGATCTGTCTCGACAATGGAAAAGGAAGAAGGATGTTTGATAGGGCCGAAGAGCTCTTTCCACCAACTCAAAGGATTCTGTGACGGCGCACAAACATTCCGCCGAGGAGGATATTGGCATGGTATCAAGCAGACTATGACCTGGGTGAGTCGACATTTCACCCTCATATCATCTTGAGCGCAAGGGATACAGCTCGAGAATAGCACAGCTAAAACAAACGCAGGGCGAACCCCTTCCAATTGGCCGGTGTCTAGATTGCGAGTATCATCATTTGAACAGATCGCTAACTCTGGACAAAGAGGGTGACTGTAAGCCAACCTGAATTCCCCCCTCAGTGAATTCAATATCACTGTTTCTGACAGCGTCAAGCCCGGGCAAACTTTCTGAAGTATGGCATACTCTACCGTGTACGCTTGCTCTTCAAATCACACATCACGGTGAAAACAACAGCGGAAATCCGATACGCGTGTCTTTTCTGCACCCACATCGGGCGCACTGTCCGCGAAGGGGACGCAACCGTCTTCCAGAGCGCAGACCATCTCCTTCAACACCTCTCTCGCCATCCACATCCTCTCCCCGAAGTTCCCGGCGTCACTGTCTTGTATGGTCAAATCGACAAAGACCATCATCAAGTCGAGGACTATGACGTCCACTTCCCATCGCCTCCGGCCCCAAGTTCTTTCCCCGAAAATGACATCCTAGCCCAATTCCCCATCGCTACGGCTTTGAAGAGCCACGTTCAGCGGAAGGGTGAAAACTTGTTGGCCCCCGATGGTAGCTCAAATGTTCTCACATTCTTCATTGGCGCAAAGATTGTCGGTATTGAGTTTCCAGAGCAATGGGGCGGCAAGTGGTGCACTGGGTGGCACGATGGCGTGCAAGGTCCTTTTCCAGCCAAATGCATTGAGATTGAGAGCCCAAAGCAGAATGAGATCTCATTCCAAGCTACGAGCGCGGTATCTATCACCACGAGATGGAAATGGGACCCTCCCGACAACTCGCGGGCAGGCTGGCTGGCATTTGGGAAGGGGGAAGTGATCAGGAATGTTGGATGTAAGTGTTGTACTCCTACCTTGAGTGGCCAATCAGGTCAACAATCTAGTACTAACCGCAGCGTCTCCAGGGCTTTACCAAGATCATTGGTGTTGGTCTGGGACAAATAGCAAAGGGAAGTTTGGCATCTTCCCTCAGTCTCACATAGGCCCCCAGTCTCTGAAGGAGGGTTCTTTACCACCGACCGTGAAGCGGCCACAACCCAGTGGCCCCATGAGGTTGTTTAGTCGAAGAAGAAAAAGTACTAGTACGGCCTCCTCAATGAGTGGAGATGCTTAAGGTAGTGTGTACATAGAATGGCAACCACATTTACACATCTACGCTTGTAAAGGGAAAAAGCCTCAGGAGACTAATTGCCCAGAAGATAAATCTTCAATTATAGTAGGAACCAGACGTGGGAGAACGTCGTGTCCGAACCCCAATGGCACATGGTCTCCGCGCTGTGTAGATGTGTGGAGTAAGCTAGTTATCGTGGAATGAGTCGCACCTCGACAGGTTCTTCAAGCTTCTGCAGTTGGAGGGAACAACACGTGAACATCCTATCAATCCAATTTCATCAACGTGATGATTATGGTACAGGAAACACTCATGACCAGTGGCCTCCGTGCATTATTTCTCGCAAAACATGTGCGAATCGGCAACTGGAGATTTCAGGTGCAAACTTAGAGACGCAGCGACTCACGAAGTGTTGGAGCTTGATCAGACGCGATTGTTTCCAAGGATCAATCAAGTTCTCTGAATAATGAATGTTGTATCAAAGGCCGACGCGCTGGAACTTCACTGATGAACAATGTGACAGTATAGGCGAAGCCCATTTTTGGGTGCCTCGCCTTCGCATGTAGTCGGGTGACGAAGTAAGTTAATAGCCGCCTGTCCTTATCATAGCCACCAGAAAGCGGCCATTTACTTTGTCACCCAAGCAGCATGGTAAATCAAGGACAGTGAGACCCCTTGCTTGCGTTGCAATTCATCGGACAAAATTCCTATGAGCGGCGTTTATTTAGACCAGTCAGGCCGCCATTCTTACTGGCGGGCGCCTTGTTAGGCTGAGGCAGACTGTCTCATATGTTTCAGACACTGAGGAAAAGGCTTCCTCGGCACGTGGGAAGTGTGGAAAGCTAAATTGTTACAAAATTTAGGGTCCACAGAGAAAAGCAAATTGCGGACGATGATAACAAAGTCGCCGTCTTGAAGTAGATCAAAAGGGTTGTCGGCGTGCCGTCTCCGTTTCGAACTTATGAGAGTCAGCAACCCGTATTCTTTTCTCGTGTCATCACGATCTACAATCGTGTTTTCCGTAGGTGATCTGACGCGATTTGAGCTAGCCGTTGGTCCGCTGCTCAGTGCTCGCGATAACGGAGCAGCGAAGGAAGAACGCCACATCCTAGCATGATGATCCCAGCCGTCAATCCCAATTGGGTTAAACAGCAGACGCCAACCTGCACGTTAAGGCGGCCGATCAGGGGAACGGCAGGGTTATGCCGCATAACGGTCTCGAATTAGGTGCGCCCATTCCGTATCCATAATTACGAGCCCAACTCAATGGTGGAGATTATTCCATTGACTTTTTGGGCACTCGGGCTGAACGGCATGGGTCTGCTCATCTCCGCGCTCAGGTCGCGGCCGGAACAGCGCGAAAACTTGGGGTCGAATCCCAGGAAATCCATCCCATCTTGCAGGCAGATACCAGGTTTCCCATCAAGTTGGTCTTACGGATACTCACATGCAAGATGCGTATTTGAGGCGCCTGTAGATGGAGGGAGTCCAGTAGCAAGGCTTCAACATTAGTCTATAAAAACGTATTTCAAAAATTGTGCGAAGGCGACGCCAGACATAACCCATCCGATTTTTTGTGGTATAATCCTCAATTCCCAGCCCCTCCAAATGCACTTCGCTAGTTTGTCGCTACTCCCTTCATCGTAGCCGGTTGGTATCATTCGGGTTTCTCAAAACAGCTCTAAGGAAAAACAAGATTCGTGCGGGCATCTAAATCTTGCTTAGAAGAGCATGTAGGCGGCGACGGCAACGGAGCCGAAGATGGCAAAGGTGGACTTGATGGCGGAAGCACTGCTGGGAGCAGAGGTTGAAGTACCGGAGGCAGCGGAGCCAGTGGCGGTGCCGGAAGCGGTACCTGAACCAGAGGCGTTAGAGGCAGCGGTTCCGGAGGCCGAGGCAGTGGCAGAGCCGGTGGTCACTGTGGTCACGGTGGTCAGGCCAGAGGAGGTCTGGGTGACGGTGGCAGTGGCCGCGGAGCCGGAGGCCGAGGAAGACGAACCAGTGGCAGAGGCAGTGGCAGCAGAGCCAGAGGCGCTGGCCGACGCAGTAGCAGAGCCGGAGGCAGAGGCGGAAGAGGAGTCTGGTTCATGAACAAGTCAGCGGATGAGTTCATGAACACTGTGAGAGAGAGAAGTGCATGGTTTCACGTACCGTCAGAGCCACTGAAGGTGAACTCGTTGGACTGAGCCAGAATGCCAGAGTTCTGGGCGTCGGTGGAGACGAGGTTGATGCGGTAGTTGCCGCCGGCAGCGACCTTGGCGTCCTTCAGCTCGTACTTGCCGTCGGCAGCCTGGACGGTGGCGATAGTCTCAGAAACTCCGGGGTAGCTGGCCTGGTTGACGATAATGATCTCGAAGCTCTTGGGGTCGCTGGAGACGGTCTCCCAGGTGATCTCGTTGGTCTTGGAGAGGTCCCAGTCGTCACCCTTGGCGGGCTTGGTGACCTTGACTGCCTCGGCGATGGCCAGGAAAGAGGTGATAGCGACGACGGTCTTGGAGAACATGTTGTCGGTTGTGGTTGGAAATTAGATATAAGTTGTTTTTGGTGTTTTGTTGAAGTTTTCTGGTATTAGAATAAGTAGCGTGTCTGAGCGAGTGACAAGAACGAACGTCCAAAATTGATGAATCTGAGAAGTTGACCGAACACGGTAGGGGAGATTGAGCTTCTCCCTCAAGCTTTATAAACAACCCATTCGTAGACAAACCCTGTCGATAGTCCGGACGAGTCAGGCCTGGTGCTCCCACCCCTCCTCCTCCTCCACTCATTAGTGCCACCCCACCGCCCCATCTCGTATGGAAAACCGACTTTCAGAGAATTTTAGATTGCTGTTAAGCATGAACCATCAATCCGTGGTGGGTTGATTTCTTTTCTGCCAGCTGTGACGTAGGCGACTCCCTGCTTCGGGCGTACGCGAAGGAAGAAAATGGCATCCACTGCAACTCGTAAAAAGCAAAGACCGTCGGCCGTCGGCCGGTATTGCCGAGACTACGGTCCATTGCCGCCAATAGAGTTCCGTGGTCCTGTAGTGATAGTCAGAGTCATGTTGTTTAAGAAACTTTCAGCTCTTCAAACAGACAACGCAAAAAGGTCACCAGGAACGGTCAATGGCTTCAAGCTTCCAGCACGCAAGCTTTCCTGTCCCCAGGCCCAATCAGGAAACTTCCATTTATGCCCATCCCCATCACAAAAACCCAGGCGAGATGAGGCACACCCATGGTCGACATTGTTGGGGTTGTGGCTGATAGACTAAATTAAGTAACTCCCCCCTTTAGCTCGGTTGCGCGGTACCTTGCATGGAAGAGCCGCCCCCGTGCAGCACTGATTTCCACCCTAAGGGATCTAGTGTGGTAAACGAAATGGAGTCGTCCCTTCCACTCTGTGCCTCTTTTTCTTCCGGTTTACAAGGCGTGCCAGGTCCGCACGTATCCGTACGCCAGGTTAGGTGTGCCTAGTTGACCGACAGGTTGGTTGGTAACGGGCGCGGAAAGCCGCAGGCCATCGTGCACCTCGTGTACTTTTCCGAGACGGCGATCAGTGGCAACGGGGCCCTGTCATCTTCGTGGACAGGTCACAGCACAGACCTCGAGCCTGTCACTTGTCAATCCAAATTTGACACAACCTGACCAGTTGTCTTTTTGGTGGATACTGCCAAGCTGGTTCAAAAGTTCCGACGGCGGAGTTCCTGACAGCTGCAGCCTGCAGCGGGATCAGTAAGTGTGACTAGCAGCAAGGACTTGGCGTCATATCATCGCAGTTGTACTTCGGGCGAAACTATTGATAGACGACTCTGACCTAGCCGCAGACGGAGCACAGTAGCTCTTCGGGGGAACATCGGGCCATCGTCTCGTATTTGGAAAGCGCTCTTGGTTACCACCGCGTTTTCTTCGCAAAGTGACAACCGTCTTCGCCATCGCGCTTTTCCAAACACACTGCCGCCGCTACCAGTCGCCGGTGAGGTGAGGAGACATGGTCAAGGCGCCTCCAGCACCCGTCGATTTCCCGGCCCGGTAGTACTCGGAAGCAGCCGGATGGAGCTGCCTGTACAAGCCATATGCCTACGATTAAAGCTTGATGTATATCACAATATTTGTTCTAACCAGCATGGAGTCTATTACATTTATGAAGTCGAGGCTCAAAGGGTAAGTAGTGAGCAAAGTGGACGCGCCTACTCACGTCTGCGACGACTCATCAGAGACCGTTGGGTATTCAAGAATGGCAATTGAGAATTACTCGTTCCGCTCAAAAGCTTCCGGGAAGCAAGCCACCAAAAAGAAAACTTGGACTTCTGGTTCTTCCGTGCCGAAATAATTAAAAAGAAATTGACCATACTCACAACGTTTAGTTCAGGCATTCAAATGGACGAGATGACGTCGTAAGAGATGGTACTGTTACTGGATTGTCAAGTTTAGCAAAGATTGCCAGGTTTGAAGCAACGATGGAGTTGCTACTCCGCCTTTTGAATTCAGTAGGTATCATCTTATGTTTAATCATTTCAGAGTGTGGTCGGAAAGCGGCCGATCAATCTATAGCACGAATCACGTACGCTTTTTGGACACACTTTAATCCCGAGGAAGGAGAGAGATCCCCACGCTCATCACATCACTTCATCCTTATCACTCGCATCTATAAGCATTATGTTATCGATTTAACCCAAACTAGGACTTCGTATCAGTCATAAGTGCGAAGATACGGTTAGAATAGTACAGCGCATCACTCGTGTCTCGATCCGGGTCGAACACGATGAGTGGGGGGATCCTCGCTTTGACTCGATGGTTCAACTTGCACCACTCCATCACTGAATCGAACATGCTTTCGAGGAGTGTCGCGCAGGGTTCCCTCATAACCTAGAATGCTTGCTAATGACCTCACCCGAAGAGAACGGCGCGGCCCCATGGGAAGTTCGTCTTGAACGGGAAGAATGGGCCATAAAGCCAGGTAACGTCGTGATCCTTCAGCCTAAAGGACTGATAAGTGGCTGGCTTGTTCAGAGCCAAGAATTGTGACTTACCAAATCTGTCTTTCGGGAAACACTCGCTCTATTTGGTTTCTCAACTGAGCCCAGACCCTCCGACATACACTTTGCAACCGCATACGGTTCAGCCACTGATCCCGCCGACTTATGGACTTGAGCGTAGATAATACGTCTTCCATTGTCCACGCATGAGCAAGATAGTCGACCTGGACGGGCTCAAAGGGTACATTCGCACACATGATGTCATCTTCGGACAGAAACCTGTTCGCTTCGCAACGATCGACCGACATCGTAGGCCTGCAGGGAGATCCGGCGCTGTGTGCCGAGTAGATTTCCTCAAGCTCTTCAACAACCTTGAGATCATCGTTTTGAGTAGCAAACCACAGTGCCTCTTTCTGAGGTCTTGATGTGGTGGCTCGTGTATTGACCCTTGCGGAGCACAATTTGCGCAGTTTTCGCAGACTTCCAAGCCTTGCAACCTCAATAAGCGGTGTCAACTCGACACCCGTTGTCATCTCCAAATCACAGTGCTTGTCGACACGGCAGATATCCACGGTTTTGTCCAGGTCAAAAGCGCATGCCAATCAAATAGGGTGAGTCGTTTTTCGGCTAGCGGAGTAACACCGCTCAAGCTCAAGCTCCACAATGCTGCCCTGGAACATCGCGATGTCACACCACATTTCGTACAGAAAAGAGCCTTGGCGGCATCTCTCTATGAAGCTTCTGAATAAAGAGTTCAAGGGACTTCCGGCCCGGAAATCATCAACCATCTTGAAGTACTCATGCCAAAAATGGTCGATGTATCTTTTGATGGGGCCGTTCGCTGGTAGATAGGCAACACAACGTAAGGTTTTTGAGAAGCTATTTCCAGGTGAAATCAACTTTGACCGCTCTAGTTCCGGTTCTAGCAAGAGGCTGAGACAAGAGAAACTGTGATATGCCAAAGCTGCATGCCCGTTTGGCGGGGTGAAACTGTCGCTGCCGCGACTATGGAGTTGCTAGAAGAATTCGCGGACCGATAGGTGAACAAATCGGACAATACCCTGAGTCATCGATTTCGACGATGCTAGCATAGATATCTATGGTTGGTCTGGTTTGAGAGGGTATCGAGAGACGTCCCAAGTTGAGAATTTCAAGCACTCTTTGCATTTCAGAGATGTGGTTATAAAGTCTTGCGACAAGTCTGGAAATTCCGGTTCTATGACGCTGTGGTTCGGGCGGTGAGCGTGATCCAACGGCCTCTTCTTTCTTGATCTGAAAACAATCGCAATAATATATTATGTAAGAATATTCTTGCTGGTAGCTAATGATTCGTGGTTAAGAGGTCACATCTATTGACAGACCTGGATTCGTTTTCGCTTCCAAGATAGATCAGAAGTCCCGAATCGCGCAAATTTCGTGAGCTCTGTGGCACTGACCCGTCCCTACGGATCGTACGAGAAGATCTTCGACAACATTTCAACCAATTGTGAAGGTTTGATGTGCGAGATGTGCGGAAACGTCTGCAGCATCTCATCACTTTCGTCCAAGTAAGCAACAACATAGCCCCCTTTCACACAAACGGCTGTGGGTTTCCAAAGCATTACCGAGTACGCCACTGGATAAGGTGCTCTTGGGGGCATATCATTATCAAATCGCAGCGAGATGGTGTCAACCTTGGCAGGGTCCTGTGGAGCTCCGTTCGGATCTACGAACAAGCTCGGGGGCTCGTCCAGGATCCCGTGGACCCTCTCTTTCAGAGGCCGGGTCTCCTCTGAGGTCCGAAAACCGGTCACCGATCTCGCTATCTTCAGTTGATATACCATCCTCGTCGAAACGTGTCTCTTTCCACTTCTCAGACAGGTCGCCCATCGTCTTGACGATCTGTCTGAGAACGTCCGCGGAGCAAGGTTTGTCATAAAGGAGTCGAAGAAAAGATAGTCTCCGCAATGTTACGAGGTGAAAGAGCACGGTAATGTAGTAAGGAGGATTTCGTAGCTCACATTCGTTGTCATCGCATAGGACATATCTTTAGTTTCTTCGTACTGGAATCTGCGTGTTGCACAGCATACCATTTCAAATATACGCTAGGAAAAGCTAACGCAGCTGAAGATGATGAATACATATTCTAAATAACGACGAACAGCGCAAAACTTAGCAGACGCCAAAGTACAATGCCAAGAGCGCGACCTGTCGCCGGTGAAGGAACTTCTCAAGTCCCAAATCCTCTACTCCAGCCGTCATGATTCGCCCTTGGAGACAGCCGTCTCTAGGCTTCTTTAAGATATATATACAAATATGCTCTCTTTCCTTTCTAATAAGCCCCCTACTCCCGGTAACAGGGGAAAGTGGAAAGCAAAACCTTCGAATGCCGAATTTCGCTGTTCAATTACAGCTGAGCACTTCGCCAAATCAGAACTTGAGCACCTGGCGAGGGCGATTGGTAACGCCCAAAAGAAACGAAAAACACGAGGCACCACCACCCGCAGAAGACATGTTGCCGTTTGGTGGCCGCGGGTCTAAGAAAGAAGAAGAAATGCCCGCCAGTCCTAGACATAGAATCCGCCGTACGCCCAAGACGGAATAACCCCCCCCCCCCCCCCCCAAAGAAACAAAAACAAAAAGACAACAGTCATTTCTCAGAAGAAGACGCCATCGAGATCATACGACCACGCCGTCCGCGTCTGCGTCCGCGTTTCTGCAGGCGGCTTCCGTCCATAAATGGAATACCCATACCAATACGCATGAATATCCCTATTCTTCGCATCCTTCCTCACTTGCGTGCAAAACGCCGTCACCTGCAGAGCCGACCACCCGAGCACGCGCGTGAAGAGCGCCATGCAGAGCCCTTCGATGCCCGGCAACAGCGAAAGCAACGTCCATTTCCCCACTTCGCGGAGCCGCTCGTCCGCCGGCCACTCGTTCACTGGCATAATCTGCCTCGTCACCACCACGTCCACGAAGCCCGCGGCCTCGAGAATCTCGGGCAGCTCCGAGGCGATGGTGATGGAGCGGCCCGTCTTCTTCGCCGCCTCGACGAGGTATTGTGACCACTGAAACAGCGCCGAGTCCTCCCGCAGCGTCCCGTCGTCGCACTGCAGTGGGTACAGGTTGTCGTGGATCTCAAAGTAGCCGCCGTCCTCGAGCTGGTCAAAGGCCTGCTCGGCGACGCGGCGCCAGTCCAGGAAGCTTCCCGCCATGTTGCGCGCAAAAATGAAGTCGTACAGCTCCGTAAAGAGCCAGTCTTTCTCCAGGTCGTCGACTTCGAACATGCAGTTTTCGGGGACATAGTCCGGTTGGATCGCGCTGAGATCGACGCCCAGTACGAATGAGTCGATGTAGGTCTCGGCGTACTCTATGGCCCAGACGCCCGTGCCGGTGCCAATGTCAAGGACCCGCCGAGCGCCCTCGATCTTTGGACAGAGACAGAGTCTGCCTTCCCATACAACCAACCAAAGGATATGTGCAGTGTCCAGGCGTTCTTGTTCGATTACGTCGTTGGGTACGACGTAGACCCCGTCGCTGAGACGGTGGTACCTACGGCCATTTTCACGGCGGTAATTGACGACGCTGGAGCTTAGAGAGACAGAGCCGTCCATTGCAAGTCCGGCCTAGGTACACACGATGGGTGCTGCCGGCACTCAGAGTTGCGGTGAAGCTTCACTGGTTGTCACACTTGCAAAAAGGAGATTGGAATCGCAATTAATACCGGCGGCCAAAACGAGGATGATTTGGGGAGATTTGAAACCACTCGAACCCCCGCCTCCAACCACCAGTCCATTGTGTCCGTTGGTTCTGTGTTTTGTCTTTCAGAAACCCACCACACGTGAGTGAATTGCAAAGAGTCCGGGGTCGTCGTCCCCCCTAGCCGGAATGGTTGCGCCCAGGTTGACCTTTAGGGGCTTAGCGTCCCCGTTACATCCGGCGGCGGAACAACATCCCCACCGACCAAAAATTCCCCAGTAGACAAGGCCACCGAAAGCCTCACACCACATCACTTTGCCGTACATCATTGAAGCTGTCTCCAGCTCCGCGACCACGACACGCCAAAACACCCGCGATACCTCAATCAACTTTCCGCCGAACTCCCCGACGAGACTGCCGTCTCTGACATCCACCTGGACGTCGAACTCCCCACACAAACCCCCAGTCATGGTCGTCCGCATACGCCTCGCCCGCTTCGGGCGCGTCAACCAGCCCTTCTACAATATCGTCGTCACACAAGCAAGGTACGCCTTCAATCTCAATTCGCTACCCCCCGATCCTCCTCCAACAAAGTCCACAAACTTCCGCATCAGACGGATCCCATGAACCCCCCCCTCGCCGAACAGCGAAGCTTCTCACCAACAGAACCCAAACGCATCACGACAAACCCCGAACCCGAATACAAAAATACCCACAAGCTAACCCTTCACCCAACAGAACCGCCCGCAACAGCAAACCAATCGAAGTAATTGGCACCTACGACCCCGTCCCCCGCCAAGACCCCTACGACGCGACAACCAAGCCGCACAAGGACATCCGCCTCGACTCCCTCCGCGCCCGCTACTGGGTCGGCGTCGGCGCCCAGCCCACAGAGACCGTCTGGCGCTTACTCTCCATGGTCGGCATCCTCGAGCCAAAGTACAGGCCAAACGGCACCCCCAACACGGCGACGGCGGCAAAGTCGCTCAGGACGCCTGCTTCTCCGGCCAAGGCCAAGGCTCCGGCACCGGCGGCATCATCATAAGCAACGGCGGCGATTTGTAGGAAAATTTGACCCGGACGAAGTTCCGTTGGACTGAGGGCGACCCAACCTTCAGTGGCTGGGACAGTGTTGTGTATCAAAAGCATCGAAAGCGCGGCGCGAATTACAGGGGTTGCAGTTGGCTCTTTTCGGCATTAGACTCGTTGCTGCAGGTCGGAAGGAGCTGACGGTGGGAATTGTACCATGAAGACGAAAAGAGACAACAACGGGCAGGCCATGAACAGGTCGGGTCGCGACTTGGGTCTACCACAGGGCAAGGACGAGGAAAAGTGATGTAAAATGGCCAGGGGCGTCGAGCACCATATCACATCACAAGCGTTGTACAATAGGAGGATTGTAAAAGGACCAAAATGTCATTCCCAATTGAAGCTATCTTTAAAGGTCGCCAAAAGGCCGCGGTGACTATAAGCCAATGGCTCGAGTCTGTCGTAGAACTGATTCTAGACCAAAAGTTGATGAAGAAAGAAACGAAAAAGACTAATGCTGGACGTAACCAACGCCCCTGACATGCAGCCACCACGCTGGTAAGGGGTACACGAAGAAAACAAAAGAAATCCCCCAAGAATCAGAAGAGAAGCAAGCCATCCAACTCCGAAAATGCGCGACGCTGCCCGTGGGACTTTTGTGACGTCGCCGTATGTCTATCCCAAGCGGCCGTGTAGTAAATATAACTGCATCATCGCCCCAATGAAACAAATCTTCCTCTAACCTGCATCTTCATGGAGGATAAAAGTAGTCGCAATTAGTGAGATGCGTGGAACACAACGTTCATAAAGAGACAGACCACCATGACACATACGCCGTAGATGGCGAGGGCCAGAGCCATCTTGCGGAGAGCGTCTTGCTCAATGTGTTCGAGGTCCCAACGCCACTTGCGTTTCCACTGGCGAGGATCCGCAACGTGACTAGCGATGCTAACGAGACTAGCGATGCTAGTAGCCATAGGATCCGCATCCTCTTCGTCAACGGGAGCATCGGCGTCGTCGTCCTCCTTGTGAAGACGTTGCTGATGGATGCTATCAGGATCGCTAATCTTGTAGTAGAACAGGCCTGGAAGAATGAAGCTAATGCTAGTTGAGCCGGTGCTTCCAACGTAGGCCAAGACTCTCTCGAGACTGTGAACTGAGAGAGCGGTTACATAGGAAAGAACGAGAATGACCGAGGTCAGGATGGCGAATCGAGTCTCGCCCATGGCGGAGCTAGATCCGTGGTCAGAGCGCACAGAAGCCGACGAGGGCAGCAGCGGACGTCCGCCCGGAGAGTTAGACCGGCCGTTGGCGTTTGAAGCACGGTTGGGTCGCCACTTGAGGATAGCATCGACGGAGGCACGACAGGGGTGGACCTGCAGAGGTACGGAAAAGGTGACGAGCACAACTATAGCAAGCTGGCCGATATACGAAGCGGCAGTCGCAGAATCTGAAAGACGTCAGCCAGGTCCGGGCAAGTTATTCTCCCAGGCTCACTTACACATCATGACAATGTTGCCCTTGACAGCGTTGCCGAAAGTGAGGTACCCAGTGATGGCGACAACAGTGTAAATCGAGGCAGCAGTGCCGATGCTAGTGCCAACAACTCCAATAACGCTGCCAGGAGAGTTGTCCTTAATCTCATTCAAGATGGCAAACATCTGTTCACTGGATGAGCCAAAGTCCCCGAGTACTGACCGAATTCAACTTACGTTTTGGTGGCATGTATAAGCGAAAACAACAACTGGCAACGTGCTGAGAAAAGCGACAGCGCTTTCGGGCTCAACAACTCGAATCTCGCTCATGTCCTTGAGCCGGTCTGTTGAAAAGTGATAGATGACGAGAATGACGAGGTAGCCGATGGAGACCAGAGCAACGATGCTGGTGTACTTGAGCGAGTCGAGCTTCTTCAAAAAGCTGAGAGGGATAATGACCAGCATGAAAGCAGTAATCCAGAAGTTCCTCTCGCCGAGATACGGGTTCTCCGCCACGGCACTCGCGAATAAGCCGATAAACACCTTTGGCATCAAGTCGCCGATGATGATCATGTAGGATACGCCGACACCGAAGCACTTAATCGCAATGGCAGTGTCAAAGATGATGGCGGCGTTCGGGTACGTAATCTTGGAAATGGCGAAGAAGGACGATGTCCCTCGATCGAGGTAGCGTGCGCAGCGAGACTGAAGATACAGGCCAAAGGCAGCCGTGAGTCCAGACCACATAATCATCAACACACCGAGCATACAGCCCATGTGTGACACCACTGATGGCATTGCCAACGTCCCCGCGCCAACGACTGTAGCCACGATTCGTCAGCTCTCCATCTTGCCCCGCACTCTTGTGACATCTCGTGGGAATTTACGACAGCACGTACTTGTATTCAGCAGGTTGATGACGCTACTCAGCATCGAGGCCTGGCCTCCCCCCTCCTTGGTGTTTCTTCGGCGTTGTCTGCAAGTTGTATTCCACACGTCAGCAGAGCTCTCTTCCATCATCTGATTGTATGCGCCTTCTGCGGGGAGGATCGGGAGTTCGGCATACCGTGACATTTCGCCGGAGCTTCCAGACGCAATTGAATTTGCGTTCCCATCAGTAATGCTAGAGTAATTCGTCATAGTATTGCTCGCCCGTTTCGTAATTATCGATCGCCGTCGGTGTCGTCGTCGTCTTGGTCAGTCGGTAGTCGGTTTGTTGGTCGTTGTTCGCTTTCGTCGCCAGAATGCGTCGCTGCGCTCTCTCTCGTTCAAGTGGTTGGTAATAGTAGTCGCAAGCGCAATCGCAAAAGCGGAGGTCTGATAAGAATAACCAAAAAATAAAAATAAAAAGAGTCCGTAAGAAGTTGCCGGATTGGGGAAGTAGAACGAAGTGTCCACAACTGCGACCCAAAGTCACAGAATACAGTCACAAATCGTGAGTTTGAGAGAGATGTGTAGTTGGTTTGTTGATGATTATCGAGCAGAAGCCGAATGCGTAAGAGTAACAAGAGAGGTCAAAAGAAAGCAGCTGGTCGTCGTTGATCAGAAGGGGAAAAGAAATGCGGCGTTTCTCGGCTTCGCGGCGTTTGGGATGCGACTGCGATTTGCGGTTACGGCTTGCGGCTGCAGCACCTGGTCGGTCGTTACTCGTCAGTGGTGTTCGAGTCGGCGCACCCACCCACACACACTCCCAGTCAAGGCGGAGAAGGCGTAGGGAAAAGGCGTGACGTTGCGACGAATGGCCGGCGGAGAGTTTGCGCAGGGCAACTGTGACGTGCTTTTGGAGGAATCTCTCGAAATCAATCGAGGAAAGGTGGTCGCCCCTGCTAGGACAGACCTCGCAGGCTTCGGTTCGGGGTGTAGCGACCGAGTAATTCAAGGTTCTGTTTCTGCGGCGGCTGACGCCTGGCTGAATGGGGCCGCCGGGCTGGGAAGGGCGCGCTGGGACGGACGGTGGACGGGTGGCCAATACCGGCCAGCTCCTTTTGTCTGTCGATCTCTGAGTGCCCTTTTTCTGAAGGCGGCGACGAAACGAGTCACGACGGCACGTCCAAGGTGTCGAAGGTCGTCTCGGTCGCAAAGTCGCAGGACAGAAGTCGCAGGACGGACGGATAGATCACACGACAATGTGCGATGCGATGGCCAGGTCTTTTCTCCTCCCCGGTGCGTGGGTAAGGTGTATACGTGTACAATTGGGAAAAAGACGTAAACCACTTCAGCCCCCCCGGGTACAATGTACACGCTGAACGGCAGAGAGCTTAGAGAGAGGGAGCAACAGGAGGGACGAGGGTTCCCGCTGAATAACCGAGAAGTTTAAAGGTATTAATTATGGACAGGCGGCGGGCAGCTCCAGAAAGTGAGGTGGTATCAGGATGACAGGGCCTGGTCGGGGGACTCGGGGCGGGTAAAATGAGCAGGCACAGGGTGTCGTGAGGTGGTGGTACCTTGCGTCTTGCGTGGTCAATGGTGGATGGATGTTGGAGCAGCAAGTGGAAGTTTGTCAGGGAAGTAAATGACGACTGACGAGAGTGTTTGCTACCGCCGAGCAAGAGCTGTCCAATGTCATTGGTTCTTGTTACACAGCATTACCTCCCAGGTGCTCTTAGGTAAGAAAACCGGAGACCTGCAACTGGAACTTGACGGGGCAAGCCGCAAAGCATCTGGCAGTTTAGCAATTCTTACGTATTGCCCAGACCGCGATGGACCTTCGGTACCCGTACGCAACTTGGCCAGGGCCACGAGGCATTGGCACGTTCCGAAATGTCCGTCAGCGGCCAACGCCGGCCCGCGCAGAACAAGGCAAGGCACCACTGCACCAAGCAGCAGAATGCCAGCAGGTCCTTACCTTAGCGTTCCCCCAGCCCGCTCACCCGCTGACACTTGCCTCACTCTGAGCTTGGCGCAGGGGCCGGCGTAGAGTTGCGACGGGAGTTTGGGGGGCACGAGACCACAGGCAACCCTCACATACCGTTCGATGTCGTTGATTTTGATGTGCCTCAACTTACCTAAGATTTGTAGGACAAAAGTTGCTTTTGCTTCTCCCTTTCATCGTCTTCCCCCGAAGAAAACCAAATATAGTTAGAAGACGAAGATATGTGAAGAATAATGACTTTGTAATTAGAGAGACATCGACGGAAATGAGTCTCAATGCGCCCGAGACCAATTCATTCCATTGGCTGGCTCGATCGGCAATTCTCTTATCTAATCGCATGTCTTACAAGTCTGGTCCGGTGGGTCGGTCACAAGCCACACTTCTCCGGGCAGCTGGCCACACTGACTCTCAACCTCGAGATCTCAAGAGAGCTTCAGCCACTGAACACTTTCTTTACCTTGCAGCCTTACCACGCTAAATCACAACCGTGACGATCAACTCTCGGGGAATTGCTTGCTTGTTTCGACTCACCTCCCAAATACGAGAACTTCCTGACTACCGACGATTACCAACGGCTCTTGCGCTAGACATCTCCCCGCTGGGCGCGCAGAGGAATCCACTTCCTTGACCTGCCCGACAACTCAGTTTCCCCGAACGACCGACGTGAGACGCGACACAACGCGCGATACCCTCCGTAATCATGGACACATCCCTCGATAAGACGACGCTCTCGACGATATCCCTCCTTGAATCGCGTCTACTACGCATCGAGCACCTCCTCTACGGCCCTACGGCCCCCTCACACTCCTCCCAAACAGATCCAGCAGTCGATACCCTAGAAGATCTCGAGCGCCGCTTCAACCATCTCCTCTCCCGCATCCGCGTATACGGCGAACTGATGAAAATTTGTACGTCCACCAATGCACGCTCTGCCAAACTCTGTCTCACGAGCACGACTAACCCAACCATCTGCAGACAACCTCCACCCAACCCTCTTCCAAACCCCACCGCCCTCGGAGCCGCCCATCCACCTCGCCCCAGAAGCAATCCAAGCAACCGTTCTCGCCTCCGCCGCCGCCTTCCCGGCAACAGCCTCGTCCCTGACCTCCGTAAACGACTGCCCCATCCCCGAATCATCGCAGAGCGCAGCCCTCGCCTCCCTCATGCCCAGACTGCGCGGCATTGAAGCGACGCAGATCGCCCAGGAAGCCGAGATGGCCGAGCTGCGCGCCCGGAGCGAGGATGTCCTCCAGGCATGGTACCAGCAAGGCGTCTTAGGCGTCTCCGATTTCGTCGCAGACGTCGAGGGCCGGGTGGAGATGGTTGAGCGCCGGGTCCGGAGAGCCGAACGGGAGAAGGAGGCCGCGGCCGCCCTTTGATACCCCACCCCGGAGGTGTGACACCATATCAATTTCCAACAATGGCCTAAAAGGTAATCAGCATGCCCAGACGTGTGCCGGTGGACGTTCACTCGCACAGGGTCCCGCATATACTTGAAATGCTGCTTATGCCCTGGAACCGCTTGGTACGACCTGCCCACCTACCCAAGACCGAGATCAGGCCATCTGCCGGCTTGCATGAAACGAAAGAGTCACCTTGTCTGAATGCCACCCCGACGGCCACGACAGCAGCCCAGCTGGACCAGCATTAGTCACAATTTTCCTCGCAATACCACTCCATCACGTGAGAATTCGAAAGCCGGGCACAGGTTTATAGTACACGTCCGGCGGAAAGCTTTCTTCGTCCAAAGACCGCAAGACAAACAGATAGGAAGTTCTGTTGACTATGCAGTTTGCAACGGGATGCTCCCGGTCCGACCTGCAGAAGACATCACCTCAGGCATGTGCTCGGATGACCCCGAAAAGCTTGGTCTCGGCCGCCCGAACCGCAACGCAGACGCAGAAAGCTACTCTGGAGAATGCAACATGATTGGGTCAAAGTCCCGATTGCGTAGGCTCAGTGTTTGGGTCGGGGAGAGCAGAGTGCAGACTCACAGAGTGCTGGCCTAGCAGTGGCGGGATCTCCCCTCTCCGCGTTTCAGAAACAGGTTTGTCAGACTTTGTCCCAGGACTGGGGGCCAGACATGGTAAACTTGGTACGTTGAAGAGAGGGCTGAATTAGACTTGGGGGTAACTTCAGCAAACGCTCGGGCGATGCCTTTGTCAGTTGCTGGATCTGCTTCTCCCAAAGTCGTGTAGTTCTGACCAGTGGCAAATGGGCATTTATACGAGAAGACCAACTGTAAAAACTTCATGAATCGTGTCGTGACATTTTTCCTGTGTCCATATCTAACCGACCTTGAAACATATCTCGCTGGAGGGGCCGCTCGAGCGCTGAGGTAACACTGGATGCTAGAATCGGAAGAAGCCTGATCTTCCAGACCAGGAAAGCTTGGCTCCTTGGGTGCTATCGGATGCAGCTTTCAGGGGGCCTCGTCCGTGAACACTGGGCACGGATGACAGACTAAAAGGTGATGGCACCAAGCCCTCTTGCCCCTCTCGATAGTAGGTGAGTTGCCCGTGTGTCAGCACAGCTTCGAGTCCGTCCGAGGTGGCTAAATGGATATCTGAGCTTGACTCCTGAATACTTGTCTATGAGGACTCTTGGCAGATAGCAGGGCAGAAAACAGGACTCAAAAGATCGGGGTCTGGACACGTCGGGAGTCTGTTGTTGAGAATTGACCAATAGTGGAAATGGCAAAGCTTCATACCCCGCGTCAGCCAAACTACCGGGTCACCAGATGCGTTTCCCTGTTTTTTTTCGACTGCTGGAGCTGACGTGTCAAGCCACACACGAGAGAATGAAAGCCACTGAGGCGTCGGCATGTTCAAGGGAAGAACCTTGGAACCAGTCTGGTTGGAAGCGAGACTCGCCTGAAGGTGCGGTTGGCTGTCTTTGCTGAATACCTACCTACCGGTACTCAGGCGTGGTCGTTCAGACTTCATAAGAGACGCAGGGGTTGTCCTCAGGGGTGCTGGCTGGAGGAAGGGGGCTGTGGGAGAAATTGTTAAGCTACACAGTGTGCGACAGATGGTTTAGCCATTGGTGCGGTTGCAACAGACGATTTGCTACCGCGAGCTCTGTCGAGGTTGGTTTTTGTTTTATTTTTTGCTTTTTTTTTTCGTCGTTCAATTGCGAATTTCGAAACCGTCGATCTTGTCTTTGACAATCCGGCCGTTGGACAGCGAAGAATCATGCGTTATCATATTAGTCTTTGATCTGACACTCTTCACGCCGCCCGCTCGCGTGGTTGACATCGAGATATCATCTCGTTCCAGACTTGGCGTAGTGCCAACACGGAAATGGGGGAATTGGCGAATCCCAGTTTGGAAATAGGGCGGATCCCAGGGAATTTGAATCAGGAACAGTCTCGGGACCTTCGGGTGCATGAACACTTCCAAAGCTCGAACGGTGTCCACCATGGGGCCGCGTCGATGAACCACTGATGATCAGAGGTGAAGGAAAAGAGATTTGCTGCACGCACCACATCTTGCCAGTGTGCCCAGTTCATCGAGAGGCCCGGCTCATCTAGACAGCTCCTTTGGCCATGATAGCATCCGTATGCCCGTCCGTTGCCCTTCCGGGAGCACTTGCGTAACTAATATTCGCACGTTTAGTAGAAGCAGTAGACTGAGCCTCTCTCGGACATTCATATCAAGAACTTTAACCCAGCAGTTGTCATGACATAGGCGCAGCATCGAATGCGTCAATGGCAATTGATGTGTTGCGAGGGGAACCAAGATTGCAGCCGGGCCAACAGTGGACGGCTACAAAAAGACCCATCGACCGTCCGGACATTGTGTGAATCCTTGGTTAGCGGTATTTCAAATTCGAAATCGTGGACGATATCGACCCGACTCAAGGCCGATGCTAGACCTCGCAGTTTTTAGTCAGCCGGATCTTTAGGTTGAAATAGAAGGCCGGATGTGTACACCACCTTCGTTCGGCAAGATGCGGTTGCTCAGCCAAAAAGCCTTCCGGCCGTTTGAACGGTAGTTGATCATCAGGATCTTCGCAGTTCCCCCAGAAACGCAAACACATTATAGTAAAAGACGGCTGTTGGGACGAAAGAAGAGAATGCGAGTCAAGAAGATGTCAGTAACGTGCGACAGGCTGTGCGGTTTGCATGGCAGCAACGGCTATCCTAGACCGAAAGCTTGCACGTTTTCTCCATGGTGCAACAAGCGTGTGACTAGAAACCATATCGTAGGGCACTGTCAAAGATTCTAATGCGCCTTCTGGGAGAGATCTGTCATCGATTCGAAGTGGAGAAGGCGCGCTCACGAGGCGACGAAGAAGGCTGGTGTCACTAGACGAAGCCACGTTCTGAGATCTAGACATATCGGGGTTCGGTCGCGACAGTCGGTACTAGGCGCTTGCGAGACAGCTTTGTGGCAGTAGCTTCTGTTTGGTTCCTGTGGTTTCAGAACTCGAAAGACGCCAACGGATGACCGACTATCACGCGAATGGCCGCTGCCGAACAAGGTTTTGGACGGCAGCTTGGTTGGACAGACGCCATGAAGCCTGCAGAGGAGTAGATGTAGGTAGCCTGGCAGCTGTCGGGTTCAGAGACTCGAGAGTCAAGCGCGGGCAAGCAAAAGGTGACAAGCACCTGTGTTCCTACATGTCAAACGGATCTAAGGAGAATGCAGTCGGTTGAGTGATAAGTCTGACCTAGTCGATCACGGCGGCTCTGACCGCGGAACGGTATCATCAGGTTCCATCCGGACAGCTGTCAGGAGCCGTGCTGTCACTGCTGTGAAGGTTGGATCCGTAGCGCGCTGCTGCGCGTGTGCCTCGGAGGCGAGCCGGGCCATCGGTCGGTGGCATCTTGTCCCCGGAGAAGACAAGCGAAAGACATGTGAGGGTCCAAGAGCTGGGCGTCGAGGTGTCTGAGATCGGGAGACTCGGCTCTATGGTATTGGTCGCTGGTAGCAGTACTCCCTACCCAAGTCGCTCCTCTGACCTACCAAATCGAGTGAACGCTCGCTGATCTCTGTCCGCGCTTGCAGTAGAGACTCCGTACATCATTGTACTGGTCGCGATGAAACAACAAGAAGCTGGCGGGTAGTGATGCCGTGGTGTGGTGCCCCTGCGTCAGAGACGACAGACGATTGACACCGTAGTGGCGATGGAGGATATCAAAACACCGGTGGAAGAGACACAGTGGTGACAAAGCCGCGTTAAGCAATTCCCGGTCTGGCTGGCATTTTTGTTCGATGGGTGGTGTACTCTGTGATTTTCGGTTGAAATACCTACCCGTAGCAAGTGCACGAGACCTGACAAGATCTCCGCTCCTCCCGTCTACGAATAGATAGGCTCAGGTAAGGCAAGCAGTGTCAGGGCTGAGCTGGACCAAATTGGAGGGAACTGCTGAGGTGAGGTGCCGCGGTACGTCCCTCGAATCCGAGTAGAGTGGGGCACTGTCAGGGGTAATTGATTTCATTGACCAATTATTTGTCGATTTACACCGGCTCGTCCAATGCTGTTGGTGGGATGGCTTGCAGGAACCCCGAGAGGTCACTGGAAAGTCAAAAAAAAATCTCAAACCCGCTAGCCGCGACTTTCAGACCAGGGGGGGGGGGGGGGGGGGGAGGGGGCGAGACAAAATAGAGAACCCAAGGAGACAGACAGGCTACAATGGAACAGACAGCAGTCGTATGGACAAGCAGGGACCAACGGTTTCTGGGGATGTGATAGAGGAAACCGGGGATTTGGCGGGAGATCCCCCCAAGATGAGCACGGTGGGCAGGTACCGGTCTATCAGACGGCTCTTTTGGGACAAGTACCTCTCCCCGATGTTCGACTGGCCAGGCCACTAGAATGGGCTGAGGTGGACTCGTTCCTTCCGTCAAGCCTGGAAAGGCACGGGGCATGGGATACATACCTATCTTACCTCGCCGCCCCGTACCGAATGGAAGGAACCTAAGCAGTCATCCGCACAGTTTCGACACAAAGCCTCGACACAGTAGGATGCAACAGACAGCAGGAAGCAGACATCCAGGACTGCCTTACTTTCCTTGGACTACTCCGCATTCACATTACCGTACCTACCATTTGTGCAGTTCGGTTGGCTCAGATTCCCTTTCCAGGATGTACCCAAAAGAAAGTGTGCGAGTATGTCTGCGCCTGCATCGTATCGCCTGCAATACAGCGCTGCCCGGTCGATTTCATTGGCAACGGGCAGTTCTCGAACGGGTGCACATTTGCTGCACTGGCCATCAATTACTTGACGAGGGCCTGTAATTGATTTCCGTTGCCCTCCGCGTGCCCTTTGAATAGGCTCAAGCAGTGCAGTGACGAATCGTTTAGAATTAGCGCAGGATGCTGTGACTTCTGTTCTTGACTCCTTCCACGTCTCTCCTCTCAGGCTTCTTCTTCCCTCTCGCAGCAAGAAGTATCCGTAGGTACATGGGTACGAAGTACATACGTTCCCCCTCGTCTCGCTTCCCGCCCTTCACCTGCCGCCTGCCCGCGCAGTGTGCCTGAGTTCCGGGTCTGGGTCCTCCTCCTTCTCCTGCCGCCTGCCTCCACCTCACCTTCTATCCGTACGAAGTTGGTAGGTACCTTTTACCGGGTCCCTGAGGTTGGTCCACGTCCACGTTTTGCGTCTCATTGACTCTGGGTCCACCGTCCAGTTACTCCTCCTCCCACGTCAAGTATTCGCACCAGCAGACCAGGAAGTCGCAGGCACAGCCAGCATAGCCTGAGAACCTGCAGCAACAACCCTTGCATCTTATCTGCGCTTCAGTCAGGTTGTCTGTCAGAGTACCAGTCTCCCACTCTTTCGCCGCAGCCTGCCCTGTCCTCTTTTATTTCCATTCTTCCCACCCCACCGGCCATTCCTCTCATCCCTTTCAACCCTTTTCTGCGACAAAAACGGTTCCCCCCGTTGCTGCCCGCTGTCGACCACCTGATCAAACCAGAGAGTCAAGGAACTGGGAATTGACTGTTCGTTGGGTCAAAGGAACTGGATAATCAACAACACAGCGCGAGAGAGGGTCGTCAGCCGAAGAATAATAACAAATACATTCGCCGCCGCCTCCGCCGCCGCAGTTGCAGAAGCACACACGACACGAGCCGCAGCGCCAGACCAAACGAGTAACGAGCCCATATCTTACGCCGGGGCGCAACGGCACCCGACAGGCACCACAAGAAAAAATAGGGGCGCGGGTTTGCACATCAACACGCGATCCAGGGGTGCCACGAGCAATTCAGCGTAGTCTAGCCCTTCTCTCTCAACTCAAGCCTTTACAAGCCTGAGAAACACAGAGAGAGAGGTGTACAGATACTCTCTGTATCCGTACCAACAACAGGCACACCACCACCTTCATCCGTTGGGACCGAGAACACAAGTGCTAGAGAAAGACGCCAAACAAGGACGACAATCGACGCCACAAGACTCGCGCCTGCGTCTCTTCTCACGGCACCACTGTGAGTTGGGTCTGGCTGGTCTTGGTCTGCTTGGTCCGGCGGCATTTTTCTGCCTCGCTATCCACGCCGCCTACTTCCTCTTCGGGATCTTGCTAGTCGTTGCCCTTCATTTCACGCCGTCAACCGCCAACGACGCCTACCCCTTCTCTCCTCTACCGCCAGCCTTGGCTCAAGCCTGCTGTTCCTGTTCCTACAACTGTCGTCCGTCTCCCGACACAGCCCACCTTCAGTCTCTCCTTCGACTTTCGACTCGACACCGATTTCGTCTTCCACTGTTGTTTTCTCTAATCCTTTACATCCTTTTCTTCCGATTCCTCCTCGCTCCTTCGACTCTGGACCTTCGGTTCTCCCTCTCTTCTCCTGATCGACAGCAATTCATCGCCGTCTTCGATTCGCTTCATCGCTCCTGTCTTTGAATTGCTCACGGATTCCGACTTATCATTCTCTTTTTCTTCTCCCAGAAAAGAGGCTGCCTTGCTGGACAACCCTCTGAAACGATCGACTCGCTTTCGACAAACCGATTCCTGCCCGCCGCATCGTTCATTCGAGCGCCCTCCTTCGCCGCCTACCTTAGCCGCGTCAAATCCAACGCTCAGCTCATCTCAGCTCAGTACAGCGCACACGCTACCTCGCGCACTGAACAGCACACAGCGCACCCGTCACAACAACCTCTTCAGCGCCCTTTTTCTATTTTGGCCGACAGCCCAACCACCAGTCACTCCTTTCCACCCCAGTCCCCCGAGGTCTTGCATTCCAGCCACGACAACCCCCTCGCGGCATTCGAATTACGTACCCACCATTGGATTAGCACCGCTTCGCCCATTTTACCGAACAATCCGTCTGCTTCGATTGTTCGACTGGTCGACGTCTTCTAGTCGCTCGACTCACATTCGCAACCGTGACATTTTTCGAGGCTTTCTCTCGAAATTTGCACCGAGGCAATTGAATATTCGCCCGACGAACCCGCACATCATTCTCTATGCCATCCTACGGCTCTCTGCATTCACCATCATTGCGCAAAATGGAACAATCAAGGGTTCAGTACGGGAGGAAGGGCATTAATCTGGGGAACATCATTGGTGATCCCTTCGCCCTGGCTACAGTCTCCATCTCCATGGTACGTCGACATTCGAGAGCGTCTTACGAATCCCCGGCTCCTCTCGTCCGGTTGCTCTGTCGTCAATGCTTGTACTAACAGCCCCTTTAGCTAGCATGGATAATCGCTTTCATCAGCTCCATCATCGCGACAACACAGGTCACAAATAGCTCCGGCTCCTTCCCGCCATTCGCATGGTGGACCGTCGTCTACATGTTCTTCCTTATCGCAGGAGTTTTCGTCGTTGTGGCTTCCGACACAGCGCAAACTTACCACGTCGCCCTTACGGGATACCTGGGTGCAGCTCTGGCCCTGAACTCATTGACTATTCACTCCCTCATTTACTCATCCAACGGGGCTCGCCAAGCTGCTGGTGCTGGCTTCATTCTCATGGCCATGGTCACCGTATGTTCTCCGCCACTCAATTGAGGGCCATATGCTGACATTGCGACTGCAGATTGTCTGGATCTTCTACTTCGGCTCCGCCCCCTCAGCCAAGCCGCGCGCCTACCTTGATTCCTTTGCGCTCCAAAAGGAGTCCGGAAACCGACAGATGATGTACGGCGGTGGCCGACCCGAAACCTCAACCTCGGTTCAGCCTCCCCAGATGTACACTTCGGCGCAGCTCAATGGCTTCGAGAACCCATCCCCCGTCCAGGGTATTCCTACAACACAAACTCGCAACTCCGGCGTAGCCCCGACGTTCAACGCGGCGCCACCGGCCGCGAAGCCTCCTGGTCTTGACCAAGAAGTGGTGCCCCCCACCGAATACCCCTACCGCGCGAAGGCCATCTATAGCTACGAGGCCAACCCTGACGACGCGAACGAGATCTCCTTCTCAAAGCACGAGATTCTGGAGGTTAGCGACGTGAGTGGAAGGTGGTGGCAGGCACGCAAGGAGACGGGCGAGACGGGTATCGCGCCAAGCAACTACCTGATCCTGTTATAATGAGCTCATGATTTTCATTTCGCCGTTGGAGATGGGAGCAAAAAATGACCATATGGGACATGGAATGGTTTCGCGCTCAAAATGCTTGTTGGAGTACATTAAGGTCTCTTGTCCGGGATAAAACCATCGCCGCCTCTTTTGAGCCACAGGCGGCACACGTATATCCGCCGAAACGGCTTCACTTTTTTCTTCGACCTGTTGTTTCTACTTCTATCCGCCCACCATCGTGTGTAGGCCTTCTCCCTATTACTGCTAGTGTATGTTGCCATTGTCGCTCGAGCAGAGGGATTGTGTGTTTTCTTGTTGTGTCTTCTGGGGCGGTTTTCACGAGCAACGGGTCGGTCATTCGGATAGCTATGGTAGCTCGCAGGTGGGATACCCATGCATGTTGGTGTTCCCCTGCTGTTTTACAAATGGCATTGCATATATTCACACTTCGTCCTGGCATCTTCGAGAGTGGTTTAGATGAGTTCAGCTACGTGTGGACTTTAGAAGCCCAATGTTCCGTGAATTATTTCCATACAGCCACGATTGAAGTCCACATGAATCCAGTCCACCATGGAACTTAACGTGATACGGGCATTTCAGGGTTAAAACGAAGGTTGCCATCGCTGGTGCTGGCTGTATCATCATCGCCCGATAAGTTGCGCATCGATAAAATGATTTCTTCGTTATCCGTCGCAGGGTATCATAATAATCTCCATCCGCGCTCCTCCTCCCCAACCACTCCCAGCCGGTAACCGATCAAGTGACTCACAGCCACGCGTCATGTTCACACCACCGGTCCAGGGTGCCATCTAGCAGTCTCAACCGCAAACACGCTTCTCTCAAGCCTTGTCCAGCCTCTTCCTCAACTCCCTCTCCTTTGTCAGTACCTCCAACTCGAGCCTCTCGACACTATACTCCAACCCCTCCCTCCTCTGCCTCACAGCCCTAGCCCGCAGCGCACTCTCCCCATTCAACCCCTTCTTCTTTCCACCACTTCCACCAAAACCTCCCCTCCCCTTGGCCTTCTTTCCGCCATACCCATCATCCTCCGACGGCGCAGCCAACCGGCCCTGTAAGAGCTCACACCGCGCCTGCAGCGTCTCGATGCGCCGTTCGCGGCGCGCAATCTGCGCGTCGGCGCGGTCGAGCAGTTTTGCGATTTGCGGGCCAATTTCGTCGCGCAGTGAGGCCTCGGCGGCGGCGAGGGTGGGTTGGGGGATGAGTTCGAAGTGGCGGGTGGGACGGAGGACGGAGGCGAGGCGGGGGAGGTCGGAGACGCCCGTGTCGAGGGTGGATACGGAGTTTTGGAGAAAGGTTAGGGAGGTGCGGAGGGAGGTTACACAGTCTGCGTATGTTGCTGCATTCTGCGACATTGTTGTTTGACGTGTGTAGTGGTTGTAGTTGAGGTTTGTTGGTGGGGGGTGGTTTTGTTTACCACCCAGATTTGTCTTGCGGTGTGGTCGGTGATATGGACTGGTCCGATGATGGGGATCCGTACGACTAGGTCAGGGTCGCTGCCTCGCTGTCACGAAGAAGGAAAGTTGCAGAGGGGGTAGTGCGGCGACAGGAGTGTTGTTGGTTGTATCGTCGATGGTCGAATTGGTTGTTTTGGGAGGCTTAACTTGGAGGGGATGGACAAAGTCGGGCTTCGATTGTTTACCTACGGCCCCGCTAACTCAGGAACGGGCGAAAACGTACCGACTGGGGAACTGCGCACGGGCCATTCAGCCCCGGCTCGGTGAAATTCGGTGTCAGGGCACTATTCACAACCTCTTGGCACTTGGATATGGCCAGGTACGAGAGATGAATGGCTTGGAATCCTGGGGTAGAAACGTCAAGGCTTCAGATAGCCTGGTTATAGTCTGCTTTATACACAGAAAGCGGCAATGCATTAAATGGTGATGGGCGTGTGTGATCAAAGCAAAGCGCGACTTCCACGTGGGTATTGGTGAAAATGCAAGGCAGGAGCATAGCGTACTACGCGTGGACAGGTCCTTCCTAAACGCCGGAATTGCACATTTAGGCGCGTTACCATTCGTCCTTGCTAGAAGAATCACATGTCGTACAATATGACTTACACAGGCAAGTATTAGAGTGGCCCAAAAAATCAAGAGAGCAACATCAAAAGAGTTCACCCCCCGGTGGGGGCTACATCTCTAGTGCACATGCCGGGATTCGAACCTTGACCCTGGCGAAGGCTAAGCCAGTTGAATAGGCTCGCCCGTGACCATCCCGCCAAACGGCAGTTTGACCTGACCTCACAGGCCTGTGAGGCGCCTGCTGCCGTTGGTGACAGGAATGGAGTCCAGGGGGGGTATAAGGGAAGGTTCGTGTGAATACGCACTATTTGGTGCATTTCATCTGTCGTTCCGGGGAAGGATCTCTACCTTGATGGCCGAGGCGTCTGTTGATGACGGCATGGGCCTCTGGATCTAGATTTGATGACTCACTTACTAAGGGGGTATCGTAACACGACGCTTAACGAAGGCAAGGCCCATATCTTGATCCTTCTGCTGTCTCGTTTTTCTTTCGTATTGGCAGCTTTTCTCATTGACTTCTGATAATCTTAAATGCCTACTTTAGAGAATAGCTACTTAAGTACCCCTGATCTCTTACAAAATATCTTCATCAGATTAATGACGAATTCGTCTTTGAAGACCTCTATAAACACTCCGCAGCTCATTTTGTAAGAATTGTAGTGTGATATATGATCTCATTATGGGCAGTAGCTTAGACTATTGCAAGTGCTAATCGTTTATTTGCCTCATGAAGAAGTTGTCTAGATCTCTAAAATCGCTATGTGTAGCCAGCTTCTGGTAGGATGTGATCACTAAGCACTATAGAGCTCGCATACAAAGTGCTACTAATGACCGTCAGTCCCTTAACTAGAGAAATACTCAGTAGAACTCGTGCCATAGCGAAAGGTGACGACCTAGATAGCCGTCGAAAGCGAAGATGTATTATGCGAGTGTAGCTTAGCTTTTATGCATTGTACCCTATCAACTCCTAGATGGCGTCGGTTGAAGGAACGTACTTCAATAAAGGGAGTAGGAAATAACCTCATAATCCGACGTTATTTCCTTATATCCGCTTATGAATAATCTCGAAATAGAGTAAAATTAAAGAAAGACTGGAGACAGATGGAGTGACGGATGAAGTGACGCTATCCAGCAGTCAATGGGATAACTTGAGTAAAATTCATATGATTCTCCAAAATCAGGCAAGCTTCTTCGGCGAGACCGAATCCGGCTCCTTCCGACCGATGTGTGCCAAGTAGGCATGCAGTCTCACCAAGTAAGCAGCCTCCTTTCAGCGGCTGACAACGAGTGGTCAGAGGTTTTGGGAACCCAAGAACGGGCCAGCCATTCCTTGAAGCGAACATGCAGTAAGAAGCATCAGTGCCAGCTGGTCTCACCCTCATTAGCCCAGCAAAATGTCGCTCAGATTTCTGCAGCGTCGTGGCGTTGTCTCCTGACTACCTACCATGGTCGAGACTCGAGGACCGAAAGCAATACGAGCCAAGAGGCCTAGTTCGTTGAGTTTGAAGCCCCTCGTGGCCCTTAACGGGTATTGATTAATCATATGAGGATTCCGCTTGCTCCAATGCATGCCTCCACTTGATGCTCGCAAGACCGCTCACTTCGGCCGTGGCTGCGGTTCCAGCCCCTTTAGCAAAATCTGACGAATGACTGCATGATTTCCGCAGCACCCATTTAATCCATGATCTGGTCAGTTACGTCAAGACATCAGCAGAGCCGCGCCAAAAGGTATGGCTATGGAAATTTCTCTTAAATATGACCAGCCGAAACCATGCTTCAACAATCGTAGACAGAACCTTAATGCTCAACTTTGAAGACATAGTACCTCACAGGTCCTTTCGTCGTTACAACGGCCACAGACTTCAGCATCTCTCACAGATTCAAGCAATCAAAACTTGGGCAAGGAACAATCGTTCTCAATAGTACGCTGTTACGCAGGACTGGGCCAAATGTCCCGAGACCACAACCACCCCTCCGTGCACCCTGCAGCAGGCTCAAATGTAGGGACTTCCCCCATCAAAGACTTTTTGACGGCACTTATTCGAGACTCACCATCCTCAGACATCAACATCGGCCACAAATGGCGACAAGCCAGCGGGCTCAGGTTCATCCGCCAATAGCACTGCTACCGTCATCGTAGCCGTTGCCGTGGGTCTCCTGCTATTGACAATAATTGTCTGCATCTCTATTACAGAACACCGCAAGAAGAAGGCTACGGCAGATTTGGGGGCTAGGGAGAGCGAAGACAAAGAGAGGGCGTTGGCAGCAGGTGGTTCGCGGGAGTCGATTGGGAGTTTCGAATCCGAGCTGAAAGAACCCGAACCTACGATGAAGATGTTCGCTCGTGTACGGTGCTAGAGGGCGCTAAAAACAAGGTATTCAATCAAATTGCGGGACATTTATTGCTCTAAGGTATCCCATCAACTGCTAGATTGCGTCACTACATCCGTCTCCAACCTTTCTCTAAATTTACTCTATTTCTCTTATATCCGCCTATGAGTTATCTCGAAATAGATCAGACTTGGAGAAAGATTGGAGCCGGATGTAGTGACGCCATCTAGCAGCTGCTGGGATAAAAAAGCATTTTGTTGGACTTCCAACCAACCTGCACCACCTGGGGTACTTGTCCCAAAGTTCCGTTCAGCGTCGGCAGGACCTAGCTGCTACTAATTTCCGCGGTCATTCATATGAGGTTGTGATGCTTTCGGCGTTCGGCAGTTACCAAGTCCAGACTTTCACAGCAATTGCTTAATGTCAGATCAGGATCGGTCCGTGTTCCTCGAGTCTGGTTGGGGTAATGAGACTGGTAGTAGACTTAACTTCCGGACCCACTCGGATCCAACGGCCGTGCAGCAACTCCAGTACGGGCCGGCCGCACGGACGAAAAGAGCCGTCGGTCTTGCGCTATGGCATTTGTCGTGAGGGCCAGTTCGTGTAAGTGGTTATAAGAAATCTACTTCACCTCCATGATCCTCACATATCGGAGAGATCACAGGCATTCTCGTCACGTTCACTGACCTCACACATAACCAGTTTCCAATAATCCCCAACCTTCTACCCTCTCCAATCGCTCATCACCCCGCAAACATGGAATTTAACCTCAGCGAGCCCAACCGCAAGATCCATGCCGGTGTCATACTGACGAAAGGGTAACTATCCTGAGCTCCTTCCCAAGTCCCAACAGATTTATTGAGATGTTCGCAGAGTTACCGAAATGCTCGATGTTGCACCTTTCGAATTCTTCGCCTGGACCGACAAGGCGTCGCGACAAATGTTGAACCTCCCCCAGGAAATGTGGGAGGACAACCTTGAGTTCGAGCTCCACTGGATCACCGAGGATGGCAAGCCGGCCCAAATGAAGAGCAGGGCTCAGATACAGCCAACCGTAAGTCGCGCGAGACACCTCCTCTTAGTAGAGAATCGTTCCAACACTGATACTTACAATCCAGGACTCCTTTGAGTCTTGCCCGCCCTTGGATATCGCGCTTATGGGTGCCCATAACTCCGGCGACTACAAGACCAGCGAAGCTGAGATCGCCTTCATCCGCAAGGTCTACAAGCAGTGCAGCGCCTTCTTGACCATCTGTGGCGGCATGTTCCCGCTTCTCGAGGCCGGCATTCTGGCAGGTAAGACGGCAACTTGCCCTAGAATGATGGTCGGTATCATGAAGAAGAACGTCCCAGTTGTCGACTGGGTTGAGACTCGCTGGGCGCATGACGGAAAACTGTGGACCTCGAGCTCGTTGTTGAATGGCACCGACATGATGCGTGCTTTTGCTGAGCATACGTGGGGAGGCAAGAGCAAGACTGGGTGGGTCGAGGCGGTTCTCGATCTTGGGGGATATCCTGTGAGAGATGTCGACTTCAAGGATTTCGAAGGGCACAATTACCCTATCGAGCTATATCCCTTCGAGTCGACAGAATGATATTCTGAACCATACGGATTAGATGAATTCGTAGTAAGAATGCCAGTGTAAGAGTTTAGAAAAGCAGAGATCTTTGTCTCAAACTTGACATCCCTGTGGCGACGAGGATAGTACTTCACGGTGCATATGAGATCTGATTGTGTAATTAAGCACTGTATGGACTGTGTGGATCTTTTCGGTGACTGCCGAGTCGGCGGTGGTCCCTGCGGTCCGGTGGTGTGGTTCGTCACTGACCGGTGTGGTAAACTCCGATGCGGAGTGATGTCAGGCCGTCGCACGTCCCTTCCATCTTCATCCACCTTCCGACTTCCCCAGTACATCTCGAATCATCACACCAACGTTCACGTCAATTCTTCAGTACATCATCTCCCTGATCTTCCACACAAATCCTCTTAGGAATATCGAGGACAACATGGCTCTCAGGGTGAGTCACTTGAGGTAGCAGCAGAAGGGGGTTCCCGCTGACACCAACAGACTCTCGGCGCAAAGGCGGCCGCGGCCTTGGACAAGGACCTCATGAGCACTGGTGCCTTCTCCATCGATCAGCTCATGGAGCTTGCCGGGCTATCCGTCTCACAAGCAAGTGAGTTCCTACCCTACAAAGGCCGATGCTTGCTGATGTTTTCTGTTGACACCTTGATGCAGTTTATCGCGTTCACCCTCCATCTCGAGGATTGAACATTCTCGTTGCATGCGGCCCCGGTAATAATGGTTAGCACCCCTGGAAGATCCCGCTCGCGCAACCGCCAAAGCATCTGACCAGGATCCCTGCACAGGTGGCGATGGCCTCGTGGCTGCCCGACACCTCCGTCACTATGGCTACAAGCCAACTATCTACTATCCCAAGCGGAGCAAGAATGATTTGTATCAGGTAAGTGAAGATGCCATTCGCTTTTGTCTATCTCGATCGGTTCGTTCGGCGCAAAGTACATGGGGATGCTCTTGCAATTACATACCATCTATCGGCGACTCCTCTTCTTTGAGCTCTTCGTCACCCGAGCTCATGATGCTTTTGTTCTCCTCCCACGCCACGCTATGCAAATGCACAACTCTATGATTCTTCTCTCGAGGAAAGGAGTAAAGAAACCGGCAGCATCTTTGCGTGTATATGGTGCTGCCATGGAAATTGACCCCTTCGTTCTCCGCGGGGCTTGCCGTCGATCGGTCGAAACTCGAAACCTTGCTGACTGAAGATTCCTCAGCGGTTGGCGCAGCAGTTGGTGGATTTGGATGTTCCGTTTGTCGATGATTTCCACCTGGCGGTGAAGTCTACCGATCATATCGTGGACGCCATCTTCGGTTCGTTCTCTCCCTCTTGTCTGCACTGTATTTCGTGCACGCACCTGACATTTCGACGCCAGGGTTTAGCTTTTCTGGAGAAGTCCGGGAGCCTTTTCCCGCGGTGATCAAGGCGCTCGAAGAAACAAAGTTGCCGGTAACTTCGATTGACGCCCCTTCATCGTGGGATATCGAGAATGGCCCGCCCTCGTCCGGCCCTGGAAGTTCGTTCCAACCTGAAGTCCTCGTCAGCCTGACAGCACCAAAGCCACTCGTGAAGCTTTTCAAGGGACGGCACTTCATCGGCGGAAGGTATGCCCTGAGTCCCTGATACTACCAGGCTTGAGAAATTTGTTGGCTAACCTTGGGAGCAGATTCGTATCGCCGGGTATTGCTGAAAAATACAATTTGGAAATTCCGCAGTACGAAGGCATCGACCAGGTGGTCGAAGTTGATAATAACGGCCAGAAGCTGTAAAATTGTCAGTCGATTAAAATCTACCAAATTTACTCTTGTGTCTCAGGGTACTTACAGTCGGCTCTTGTATTCTCTTTTTCTTTTCCGAAGTTTCTCCCTAAATGACCAAGCAGCCCCCCACGCGGCTATTTGGACAAACAGGACTCGGACATCGCCCGTCGAGCATCTGCATTGGGTGTACTACAACACCAAATGGACACTCCAATAAAGGAGGATGATATGCGTGACAAAAGGCGACATAGACGAGGAAGAGTCTCCGACAGACTGGGCAAACAGATTTGTGCTCAACACACATGAAAGCCGAGTGAAAAGGATGTTGAGCCTCTCGGATAGCGTATGACGAGTGATTCGGAAGAAGTTTGTTTGAAAAAGGGTAACATGAGAGTATTGTCCTGAATTGAAATGACTGACAGAGAGAACAACAGGCGAAGGGACCACGAAGCCAGTTGGACAGCGTGCCTAACCGGTGGCCTTGGTGTGGCTGATATAAACAACAGCTGTGGCTGCCCCGCGACCTTGGATCGGGTCATCCAATGGAGAGCAAAGTTTTGAAGGAATTGCCACACAATGGGTTCCACCGGGACCCCTTGCTGGGCCGGAGCGTTTTCGACGACGACGGACGTTGCGGACGAAGGATATCGAACGCTTCTCTTCTGGTTGGTCAGCGCGGACAGGGTCTTTGAACCGGGGCGCGGGAGAGGCGAGCCAGTACGACTACGCAACGGACTCGACGGGAAGAAGAGTTTAGGTGGTGTAGGATGTACGTTGTACCTAGGGGGGAAGGGCGGGAAGAAGACAACGAGGGGCGAGTGAACTTGTGAAGGGAAAAGTGGAAGGGAAGAAAGGTTTAGATGAGAAGGGCAGGGCAAGTTTGGCGGCGGCGGAATGGAGCGGATAAGGCGACAACAGTGAAGCACAGTTCTAATCATACTGGACAAAATTGATTTGTCTGGTTGGGCATATGATTTGGTGCGTTTCCCTATCCCGTTCTTTTTTTCCACGGTATTCCCCTCTCTTGTTAGAGGTACTCTGTACTCTGTACACTTTGCCTGCCATAAACCTTTTTTTCTCACAGCTGCATCCCCAGGTCAGGCCCCATGTCCGGGTCAGGTAAGGTACGTTGGAGGGTGCAAAGCCACAACTCTGGGCCCTCTTCAATGGGGGGAATGGGTGGGAAGACCTCGAAAGGAAGGGGAGAGCGCGCGGGCAAAAAGTCGAATGGGGGCATCTCCAACTCACGGCATAGAACAAGCTGGGCCCTGCCGGAGCAATTGCTCCATTTACCCCTGTGATAGGCCCGAGCGGCAAGGCAGCGCTTACGGGGCCGCATGGAGCACTGCGTGGTACTACCGAACGGGACCCGCTTATCCTCTGTTTTTTCTAGGAAGGAAGGACTGAGGTGGAAGACTGGAGTGCAGTGCACTTGCCTTAGTGGTCTTGTGCCAGTTGTAACTTGTGGGAGGAGCGAGAGAGTTCCACCTTGAGGGAGAGAGTGGAAGCCACGGTTGGTGGCCGTCCCTCTTTCACTGAGGGAGGTGAGAGGTACAAGTCTAGGATGACATACCTGTACGGATACACTACTCGTACATGGAAGGGAAGGAACACCTCAGAATGAAAGTGCCTGGGTCCCAGAATATTCCGGGACCCCGTCAAGCCTTCCAACCGTGGCAGGATTATTGTGTTCATTCAGGGAAGGTTCAAAGTAAAAAGAAAAAAAGAAAGAAAAAAAAAAACACAAAAGAAGAGACGAAGAAAAGGGCCCAGCATGCACATTTGGGTGAGATGTAAGTAGCAGGTACTTTCCACTGGCTCAGTTGCTCCTGCTTTCATTCCTTCATCCCACCTCATGGACCCAAGGTATTTCTGTACCTGACCCTTCCTTACCTCGCTTTCCATCTGTCCTCTTCTCTCTTTCACACTCCCGTCCCGTCGTCTTCTTGCGTGCCAGCCCTGCGCTTACTTGCTTCATCCATCCGTCTTTGCCCCCTCAGCTGCCGAAAGCTTTCCCCATCGACCAACACCAGGCGGGCCGGTTCATATGCGCTAAACCATTTACCTGTCGGTCTACTCTCTTCGCTCCTCGGATCTCGACAACTGCCATTGTCTGTACTCGGCCTCCGAGTGCCGGTCGTCCCAACATCTAGCATCCGCATCAAGCTCTGGACTCTTCCCTCCGATCGCAACACGACAGTACATGTTACCATTGCTGAGGTTTCCCGGGAAAGATGTGGTGGTTCACTGCCCGTAAACTTCACGTCAGCAAGGGTAGGACAACCATGCGTGTCCGGGCCGCCCCCGTGGCTCTCCGGTTATCTGTCCATCCAAGGCCCCTGCCGCTCTCAAGCCAAACAGCGGTTCGCAAGACGTCATCGACACTACCAGGAATGGGGGTGACCAAAAACGCACCGTTGCCCCATGGATTCTCGTGGCCACGAGGGCAGAAAAAAAATCCCCTTCTACATCAGTCGCGGGACTGATCTTTGGGTTCTCCGAAACCTCGGAACATTACTGTCTGGTTCGCCTCTATCTGACGACAACTTACGATCGGTTGTGTCGGACAACGCGAAAGAGACAATCCTTACCCTTGTCAGGTTCACATGACGAAGCCTGTGTCAGTTGTGCACAACGACACCGTCCTCCACGTCCTGACAACAGACGATTCCACGGAACTTGGCGGTGCATTAGCGACAACAGACCTCAGGGTGCCTGAAGTTTCTGGTGCTTTCGAACAATTTGGACGCGTCCCGCCCTGAGATGAGACCCTGGACGGGAATGCCCTCTGGACCTCCCGTCAGGATGGAGCTAGAAGCTACCGAACGCAGCGATTAACCTTGACTCGGCCCCCGCCAAATTGAGGCTGATGCTTTTTCTACTGCAGATGTGGGAGCTTGGAGCACAGCAGTCACGCAGTCACGCAGTCACGCAGCCACGCAGACGCAATGGTTGGACCAAAGGTGGCCCGTTAGCCTGGCGATCCCTTCGAAAAGACGATTCTCCAGGGATCGCGCCGCTGTCTACGCAGAAGTCCTGCACAGGCCACGCCTTCTGTCACGCGAATCCGCATAACCCGAAAATCATAGTCTCATTGCGCAATTACCTATGCGCAAATCGAGAGTAGAACCAGCTCTTGAATCCAAGACACTTACAGCTAGCTGGCTGGCTTCTCGCCGAGGTGTGCTAGATGAAGGATTTGAGCCTGAGTGCTTGCTTTTCAACTCGACAAAGTCGTATTCGCGAAGGTTTACCCCGCCGTCCGGAGCTGTGGCCCCTGGTCATTAAGCGGGGACGAGGGGCGTTGGCCGACAGCGTGGCGGATGACGGACACTTCCGACCAGATTGGCAGATTCGATTGTCCTACTTAGGCCTTCTCATGCAGGGATCCAGCAAGGGCAATACATCATCATGTTGAATGGTTTGGGTTGTCCTGAAACGGACGACAAATCATCATGTTCTTCCGGCACCGGAGACTCTCCGTCGGTCCCAGGAGAGCGGATACATCGCAGAGGTTCGCGGCAGGCAGATAGGCAGGGAGCTGCATGTCATGTCGTTGCAATGCTGCTCTTGCTTGATGATTTCTAGTGTTCTACAGACTATCAGAACCACTAGCCTACGCCATTTCAACCGTCGGACTTGATTCATCATGCTCTTTAAAGAGTTCCTCCGCCTCTTCGATTTGTCTACACTAGTCATCTTGACATTTGGTACACTAAATGCCACCTGCTACCCTGCCTTCCGGCACTTTGGCATTTCGGAGGTTCGTTGCGGCAATGATTCGGCGGCCACAGTTGGCGCCCAACGAGACTGAGTTTTCTTATCATTCCAGCTCTCCCGAAATTCCTGACTCTGATGCACCCTGAGCATGGCTGTCTGTGGAGACGCCTCTTGAGTCGTGCAAAAGCTTTAAAACATAACGATCCCTTGCCCATTGCTTTTCAGGGTCCGTGACGAGAACCTGCCGCGGCGTCAGCAATTGGTGGTTGACGTCGGCAACCAGGGCCATGCGCAGTCGTCTACGACTTTGCGTCGCCTTTTTGGAAAAATGCTCAATTTGGATCGATGCGACACTGTGTTGCATCTAAATTGTCTTCTTTCCGGACTCTGCGCTGTCAGGTAGCGAGTCTTGGCATACTCTCCACCACCCATTGATGCCAGACGGGGCTCCTGTGGCGGTTCTTGCGCGCGCCATGAACTGTGTCTTGGTCATTTAAAGTCCGGAGTTGACTCCGGTCTGGCAATTTTTGCGCCAGCGCAGATCATGAACTAAGGCCGCGCAAGTCGGCCATGTGGGATGACTAGTGGCAGCATCATTCTGGCCACACAAAACATGGGTAATTTACGCAAGCCCGCGTGCCCGCGTCAAGGATCGACATGTCTAAGAAGAGGAACTGACAGTCGGCGGCGATCGTTCCCTATCTTAGTGGAGGGCCCATTGTCAGCCCGTGGAATCTTAATTCGGCTCTCTTTCGAATCCGTCTGTCACAGTTGCAGCAAAGCCAACCAATTTCCTAATAATGGATATGGAGTTCGATGGTATTCCCATCCTTGCCTGCCGAAGCATCATCGCTTCCAGGTTTGTCTTTCCTTGATTTTCTTAATATCGTGGTGGGACGTCTGTGACAAACTTCGGGTTCCTCGCATTTTCTGTTGCGTTGTGCAGAGAATCTGAACGTTGCTGTTAGACTTCTCGACAAGATTCGCGAAGATTCGAGCTCGTTGGAGATTCGGTGGGGCATTGAGTTTCCTCGTGTCTTACAGTGCGGGCGGGGCTGGTGAAGCGCTCCGAAACGGTAGGACAAATCCGTACCTTAGGTACACATGCACTTACAAAGTCTTCTTTGACTGCGTGGATAGAGAACTCGTGAGTAATTCCCAGTATACCTTGGAGTACACTGTCAACCCATGCTTGTTATATTAGAGGGGGAAGAGGGGGGCACCGAGTGTGTTTCAACGTCAACCAACGATGTTGGGCGTTCATGGGAGAGATTGCCTGTCTTCGTCTGATGTCGGCCAAACCTTGGACATTTCTAGTGGATGCTGGAGCCCTCACGAACCCAGTACTTATATTCAGAAAACTCTTTTTTGATTACTGCGGTGCTTGTGTTGAATGGCTTGCCACCCCTCAGACTTGAAGGCTGAGTTAGTCATGGTGGAGTTTACGAGCCACCTCACCGTGACCAAGCGTGTAATCTTTGAATAACAGCAAGACCCCGGATACATGTCACATATACATCGTTTTGTATATTATACATGTCTTGTATCATCTAAATCTCACTGTACCATGACACCGAGTGGTGATCCCAGCCTCAGCCCACAGAGGCCGAGCCGAGGGCCGGGGCTGAAAAGTAACGATATTACCAACATCACGGAACCACATCGCAGTAATCCCGAGGCCGCGTAAGAAACACGAGTGGCGACCAGATAGTATAGAGTCACTAGCCACGTGTTTGATTTTGTGAGATAAGCTCTAGATCTCTGCTCATCTTCCGCTTCATAACCTGCCAGCGAGTCTTGGCCCTGTTCGATAGACCGTGTTCTAGACCCGAGTAGAATCTTCTGGCCTCAGATGTCATTTGTTTCAATCTCATGCTTAAGCCATTGACGTATCTCTCGCCGCGAAACCTATTTAAAGATCCGGACGTACTCTTCCGGTTGATAGCCTTGTAGGACGCCGTTGACGTGGTCTTGACGGGGCGGAGGGTATCATATGTCCCCATCTTCGTCAGACATAGATCGCAGTGGCCTCGAAGGAGATACGTTGTGATGCGACTCGTTTGCCCCCGATAGCAGACGCGGTATGGTGGAGTAGAGGCGCAGTATTGGCGCCATTTTGACTCAATGGTGTTGCGATCGTGCATTTGATGATGTGGATTGTACACATATTGGAAGTGGCGTGATGGTGAGGACTTATCTCTGAGTCAATCCAATTGGTTTTGATGAGGCGAGCAAGACTCGGAGGGACTTTGTTAGACTGCTGTGTAAGTCGATTTGTGGAGAGAGTAGGCCTTGAAACACAAAGCGGTTGTGTTCAGAAGTTCTTGATGTTGCCACCACGGTGGTGGTGAATCGCAATTGGGCCTATATCGTCTGATGATTCGACCAGCGGGACAGGTACGACGAGTGAATGGCTTCAGGCTTCAGGCTTCACGACAATACAATCGTGTCGAGACGGATGAAGAGGTATTCGTTACCTTCCCAAGATGATCACAGCCAGTGTCTCCTAACTTAGAAATGCGAGTCGCAATAGATTGTGGAGGGGTATCGCTTGATGAGTTGTACAAGCCCGCGGAATCGTCACTTTGATATCTTCCTTGAAATTCTATCGTCAGTCTCAAGGTCGCGTAGATAGCTAGTTAAGATGAGCTCCACGGGTTTGATCTAAATGCAGGGGCCGGACCATACAGCCAAGCGGCATGCCGGTGGCTGCTCCCAATTTGATGCAGCTCTACTGGAAGAAAAAGCCGGTCGGGGAGGAAACCTCGTCGTCGGCTACATAGTAACCTCCCGTTGAAGAATGGCTCGAAATCTATCTACGGTGTCACACTCAGGTGTCAATATAAGCTGGCGCACTATGTATCCAGGTTGCCTGAGAGGACAAAATGTTGTTAACCTGAGAAATCACTGCATGCTCGAGGATATATTCTCTTCAGGCTGGGGATCTTGAAAGCATAGAACTCGATGGGACTGAAAAGCAACCATCGCCACTCTTCTAACGTTTGCGGTTTGCAGGTGCATATCCGTGAAGTATTCTTGCTTAATCGTGTTGTTACGCAGAACTATAGCCAGGAAGAGAGCAGGCTCTTAGACATGGAACTCTGGGCATTGGATTTAAGAATACACTGTAGGGAGTTTGATGCAGCTGTCAATCGAGATATCCCATTCACTGGTAACACCATGGGATCCCTTTGTGAAGAGCTCTTACGAAAGTGAAATGAATCTCCTGCACGCCTGGAACTTCGATGGGAAAAGAGAGCATTTCTTTCATAGGAAAAGTACATTGACAGTCAAACTCCAGGAGGGGCTTGACATTTGCTGATTAATTATCTTCACCGTTGATTCAATTTTGCACCCAGGCGAGGTTTTTAAGGCATTGCAATCCATCGTGCAAATTGTTCGATTGGTCGAGCAACGTCAAGGCAGTGAAAACACATAGAAATGCCGGATCAAACATTTCGAAGCACCCCAGCCCCTAACCAGGCTGGTTTTGCCGGTGTCAGTCTTAGCCTGATCAGCGTTATTTTTGGTTGGATTCTCGTTCAGCTGTCATCACTTTTCCCTTTTCGAAGGAACCTCCGGGAGGAATCCTCCGTCCAGCGTTATATGCGTAGGCTGCCCGAATCCCTAGTACCCAGAAAAGACTCCCCAAAGGCTGACTCTCGTCATCGAAACGGAAGATCAATCAAGAGAGCCTTCGAATGTCGCAATCTTCCAGACGCGTCCTCCCTAGACCCGTGTAAGGCTTGTGCTCCTGTTTCCATATGAAGCGTCGGGACCGCATGCAGACCCGCAAACATGTCTATGCTAGCTTCTGAGATGTTCCTTGGTTTATAAACAGCAAGTTCCTAGCGGGATATGCCCTACTCATATTCCTAACGTGGACTACTGGAGAAGTTATGAAGCGCGATTCAAGATTTGTTGGAACTCACATAAAGCAATCGCTACGTCCATCGTATCAGAGAACATTTGGCCATTAATTTCAAGTCCAGATTCTGTATTGCAGCACATGTGCTATCATCTCTACGTTGATATAAATGCTGTTCTGGAGCATGTGCCTAGCCCAACAAGAGGGGTTTACTGCTGGGTCATGCCTGGAGGGCAGGGACCAGTGTAGTGCTCACACTCAGCGACCCATTCACCCTTGCCTCCGTACTTAGCGTCGCAATCAGCTTGAGTGATGGGGTTGCTCAAGATACACTATTATCACGTCAGTACTTGCATCAAGCTTGCACCGGAACTGGTAAAACATCGAGGCGTCTTACCGCTTGTACGTTGGTCTTCGGGTTCCAACAGCGGGTGTGACCCAAGCCTGGTCCGCAGAACTTCAGAGCAACCTTAATATTAGGCTGCTCTCTGTTGCGACAGTTACACATCCACGCCGAAACAGCATTGGGGGCGCTAAATCATCGCGTCAGTTATTGAGTCGTAATAGTGTAGAGGCGAATGTAGTCTTACAGGAAGGTAAAGGCGAGAACAGCGGCGACCTTCATCTTGAACTAAGACCTTGGGTTTTTGGTAGGTATTGACAATAGAGTATTGAGATACCTTAAGAGACTGAGGTATTGATAGGAATGATGAGATGGATGAATGTTGATGAATACTTGGGCGATTTTCCACGCCTATTATACTTGCTTCAGCATCATGATGACTCCCTCATTTGATTCTTTCCGTTGCCTTTGTTGTAGAGACTTCGCATTCGCATCGACGCCTATTGAGAAGCCGAGGTTGGAACAAAATTGCATTTTCATGGACCGTAATTTCTGTTAGCTGAAAAAGCTAACTACACACCAAAGCATAATCAGCGGGACTTCTATGTATACGAGAACTTTTGTCGCCGTGTCCACTTGGATCTAATATGTTTGGTTTCGAACTAGAACTGGTTTGTTGGCAAGCACAGTTCAATGCGTGGTGTCAGCATGTCTTGACAAAGTTCACATTTGGCAAATGACTGAACCAAAGTGCAGATTACGAAAGGTATGCAGGCTGTGGATGCTGTCTCTCACAAATTGTCTAGTCAGTCCTGGTCGGATAAGTGCGAGTGGTTTGGTTGCTTTAGGCAAGTCAGGAGCGTAACTTTAAAAGGCAATACACACCACGATTGAAAGACCATAATTGATATGGCCGAGTGCGCATCTAGCTTGAAGCTTGAAAAACAATGGGCAAAGTCAGATCATTAAGAAGTCTCGACTGGACGACACGGCAAAGACACCGGCGAGACGCGTGCTGGACGTGTCGGCATTTGAGTCCATATAGTGATGCAGATCAAAGGTACCAACCGAACAGTCATGTGTCTATACCTAACTTTCCGGCCATGGTTGTAATCGAGTTGAGTACTGCAGTTGCCTAGTGCGGGAAGAGTGCCAGAGTGATACTATCTAGCTAAAAGCGATTAAAGTTTACATGGCCTCAGAATACCCGAAAAATGAGGCGAACGTCATGGGCACTTTTGTTTTCGAGAACTTCTGAGTGCTCAGTACAGAATAATAGCAGGCATTAGGTCGGAAGCAATGATCTAAAGGGACTCACCAGGAAGAACCTAAGGAATATCTTTGGCATTACGAAGTCAGACCACTGGACCGGGTATTTAATCTCCAGTAGGTAATTAGCTGGAACTTTCACGGCCGAAGTCAAAGACGGATCCAAATAGATGTATGCCCTGTCAAGTAAACTTAAACAATAGGCGATGCTGGACTAGTGCGAGTAATAGCCAGCACGCAATTACGGTGGCTGCTAAGTCCGCTTTGTGAGATAGAAATCACGGAGCACTCCTTTCAGCTAGCCATGGACAACTCATAGTTTACTGACTCGTGCAACTCCAACCATTGCAATACCCACTAGGCCACAAACATAATGCTTGCAACTTCTGATAGTGCTCCGGACTGATCGAAAGCTTAGCCATTTTACACTTTTGGTGGAAAGCTTCTCAAAGACATCGCCGCAATGATGACTGGAGTCGGAAAGCAATACCCGAATTCAGAAATCGCCAGCGCTGGATGGGGCATTTGCGGAAATGAAGCTATTCTCAGGGACACTGACTGCCAAAGAGGTCTTGGACTGGAAAATATGATAAAAGGTATCATTTAGCCCACCACGAAACATTCATGCAGAACTTCATCACCACACTCACTTTAAAACACTCTTTTATCAACTTCTACTCGCTTCATCTAGCTTAGATCGACAATCTCACCATGCGTTTCGCCGCTGCCACCATCGCTCTTCTGTTGGCCGTTGCCACAGCCACTCCTGTTCCTGATGTGAACGAGGCGAACATCGCCAAGGAGATTGAAAGTAAGCTTTGTCTGCAGCGATTATTGACAGAGATCTAATCAATTGAGCAGGCAAGCCTATCGTTGACCTTGGTCTCCTCCAGGCTCACGAGGCTCGCGATGTCAACGTCGCCGATGGTAATAGATCTTAAGATTTTGGCGCATATCACAAAACGCTGACATTGTAAAGTCGTCGTAGCTAGAGCTGTCGATGAGGTCGAGAACTCGCTGGAGCGCCGTGGTATGCCAGTCAGCTCAAGTCCAGCCAAGAAGAGACCGCTGACACGTCACAGTTTGGCCTCACGACCACCAGAGTGCCATTTTCAAGGCTGGAAACGGCTACTACAAGAGAATCGTAACTGGCCTCATCATCAACGGAGTTAACGTTGCTGTGACCGCATGGTTCAACGACATTCACACCCTCTACTTGCAGTTTGATGCTGCCTTCCCCAATGGTGAGTATTTAACTCATAAATATGACTTCCGGGCAGCTAATACTACCAAGCCCCTAACTTCGTCTCCGCTGGACTTGAGGATGTCTCTACCGGTTTGGAGCGCGCCCCCTGGAGGATCAGCTGGGACGAGATTTACACCCTGGCCATCAAGCCCGGTGAAAGGTTCCAGTTCGACAACTCCTTCGTCATGTGGTGGAAATAAGCGAGCTCCGATTAAACTCCAATGTAGGAACTCGTAGCAACAGTTACGCTCATTGGGGCCAAGGGCACAACTCGTCAGCAGCATGGTGTCTCGGCAATTCTTATCGCCGTGTCTCTCTGAACGGTTGAACAAGGCATCGCGGGATTGATCCCGGTGCTAGTCACTAATACCTGACAAAGGGGGTTTGTAGAGGGGGGAGGAAAAGAACGTTTTGCCAGTCAATCCTTATGTTTCAATCATTCTATCCGGCAATATAATCTTTTCAACTCAAGAGAATCTTGAGCCTGATGTGTTCATAGTGAATGCATGTGCTGCCGATCTTACTTACCTAGCACCCTTCCAAAGCCAAGAGGTATTGAAGGCTGGAGCGCTAACCTTTGACACAATTACAGGGATGTGGACACTAAAATGGGTCGATGATGGGACGGTCCTTAGGGAGTATCAGATGGAAAAATCCCCTGGTCCAGGGATCAAACCTTGTTCTAACCACCTCGAAGTGAACAATGACAACATATCGATCATCCATGGTAATCCAGTTCGCCGAGACTACGAAGTTGGAGAACTTCTGGAAAATCGCATTGTTCTTTATTCGATAACAGGCCATGGTAAGTTGAGAAATACATGGTCTGATGTTTCGCTAATCCGAATCATCAGGGAGAATCTCAAACGCCTCCAGTCACAAACATCGTATGGTCTCGACCCATTCATAAGGAAACGGGAATTCTCGCCAACCCCATAAGAAATCATGAAACGCATGAATCTTGAGTCGGAGGATTATGGCGCCACTGTGAACCAGACTATAACCCTGGGCTCTGGCTTGCCTAGAACTGCAAAAGATATAACGTACGGTGATCTGGGATTTAAAAATTCCATTTGCACCATTTAAGAGCCCGCAGAAAAGAAAGAAGCCTCAGTACTACCGATCAAGTCGACAACTGGTTTGATTGCACAAAGCTAGAAATTTAGGAAATGAGCAACAAAACAGGCTCCAATGGGAGTATGGGCAACTCTAGCAATCCCCGCCCAGGACAGTCTCCATTCCCGCCTTCCAATGCCCTTATCCGACAAACGTCGCCAGGCTCGCAACAGAGCCAACCATATACGAGCTCATATAGCAACAACTTTGATCGGAGCAGCGCCAGATACAGCACAGGCAGAACCGATGAGAGCTCACGATACAGCCAGGAGACTACAGAACCTCCCAAGCTTTCACGCTCCCCTCCAACACGCCGGGAACAAAAGAAGCCCGAGCCAAACAAGAACTGGGAGGATAGCATCTATGGAATGTACGGAGATATAAAGACACCCAGAGAGCCGCCGCTTCCCCCACCGCCGAGGCAGCAGCAACAGCAACAACGCCGCCGATATGAGCAACCAGAAGAAGATGAGGGGAATAACTCTTTTGACGAAGAGGTACCACGGCGACCCCAGCCAAGGGCGGAACCTCAGAGACCACGCAATAGCCGGCAGCGTCAGAATTCGAGACCAGAGCAAAGGCGGCAAAATTCTCGACAAGATCAGCAAAGAAATGAACAAGATGACGACAGGGAGGAAGACGGAACGCGCAGCAGAGTACACGTCAACATTGATATTGGTGGCGATGGAGGCCGCTCCTGGTCATGGACATCCGACTCACGTGGGCCAAATATGGTAAACTTCGATAACACTCCCTTTGTCGGCGGAGGCTTTCCCTTTGGTGGCCGGAACAATAACGGCGGTAGACTTCCTGTCAATATCCCTTTTGGCGGAGGACTTCCGATCAACCTTCCTTTCGGACTGTGATGGCACGATTGGATACCAAATGAAGCGCATGTTTTGACGATCAGACCTAGCCTCGATACAGCTCCTCAGAGGTATTGCTCAACCTCATGTATTATACCCGTATGTACCAACAGTGGCCAGCTTTTACTGTTTTGCGAACAATTTGCCCCAATCACCCAAGGGTTTCATATCGACCTTGCACTCTCGCAACATATCCCAGATAACTGTGATAACGGTATCGAGTATCAAGAGGCTATGCTTGTCCTCCCAGAAAGCCACTCTCTGGGCTGCTCTCAAGTTTGTGCAGAATATGGTCACTGCCTCAGGGCTCTGAGCCGCCACTGCACTCACAAGGCCATCTAGTATCGTTTCTTCGACGCGGCCAAAAGAAGAGTTCACTGAAAGGCCTAGATGTCGTTCTTTTTGGCAATTCACTCCGGCACGCGAATAATTTCGGACGATGGCTTCTTGGACATCATCTGTGTAAGGGGTGACCAAGGCAAGATCCTTGACGCCAAACTCCAGCAAGGCCTTGTTCAAAGCAAGGACGGAAGTCGTGGATGGAATGCCTGTAGCCGCAGTGATATCCGCGCATAGCCTTTCATCAGCTTCGAACCCCAGCCAACCCGATGAAGTACCGCTCCAACCGATCATGTCAACCTCAGCATCGGCCAGAAGTTGCGCGGCCAAGATGAGGTTGTCGGTCTGGAACTGATCAATTCCATCGGTATCGAGGCTGATGTTAAGAACTCGAAAACGAGAAAAGTGAACTGTGACGTCCGGGAGCCCGGAAATAATGGCTTGAGTGAGCGGCTCGAGGCTAGTGTTGGAAGAGGGGGTGATGATTCCCAGTCTAACTTTCCGTGCCATGTCTAAAGGAGTTTTCGATGAAGAGATTTCTTGAATCTACTCGCGAGTAAATTTCATTCTTGTTGATTGATAGTAGTTGATAATTCTGAGTGTCTATAGACGATGAGGAGTATCATCAATCTCCCCCATCTGTGGTTAGCCAAGCAACGCAGTCGATCAACGATCTACCCCGCATCGTATTGACCCATAACTTGTCCGACACTCACGCATGGATCAGCCGGGTGTTGCCTTCCGACCACCCGTTTTGATACCTTACGTTGTACACCGCTGAATCGCGAGACGAGAGGCCAAGTTGAGACCTACATTACTTAGTCGCAACTGTGTCCGAGGAGCTGAGTTGAGACAACGGCCGCTAAGTCAGTTACGGACTCAGCTTGCCTGCATATGAGCAGCCCAGCATTGCAATGTCTGCTATTCGACATGTAAGCCCGTAAGCATGCATCAAGTCCAAAAAGCAAAGATTAAAGTCACAATGCTCTCAGACCGGCAGTCGAGGAGTACGGATTCACAAGCGCCTGTGCATCTTTGAACGGCTAGGAACGGCCCGTCGGCGCGGGAAGAAGCATGGTGCCTCGCAATGTTTGCGATAGTTGCAGATCTCTCACCGACAAACAGTGCCCACGCGCAAGCATCTTCGGAAAACCTACCAATAAGGTTCTTAGGTCTTGTGAAAACATTATCAAAAGAAACGGTGAGGGAGGTCCCGCCTAATGTGGGTTCTGGTGAGACTCAATATCTCCAGATCGCGAGTCAACCGCACTTTTGAAAATCAGAGTCGATGGGCCTCTGCAGCACTGGTGTACTACTTTTGTGTAATATAGAGAGGGGACGAACTGATTCTTGGCATAGACAGAACCTCTGAGTGATTTACTTTCCCAAGACAGGGTAATACCTTGTGTGATGAAATCGCAACATGGTGCATGGTGCATGTTAATACTCACGCCATTGATATTCTTGAGTAGACAATCTCGTCGCCTGCACCGAGTCCTTGCGATACTGGAATCGACCACGCAGTTAAGAAGTGTTAGGATCGTAGCTTGACATCGCTGCCAGCCAAGATGACAGAACCACTAGACTAGCCACATGCAAGCCCATAACACCACATGTGACGTGAAAACGGGACTTGGCATGCTATGCGACTAAGGTATACCAGGTAAACCTCATCAACCAGACTATACCTTCTGGGGTACCCATGCCTCACTTGGTAGAAGTCATGCTCCAGCTTATGTATATTCATGAAGTACTTGACAAGTTTGCACACACCCTGGCAGGCGGGAGGCATGTCCAGCAGGCAGGCGAGTGTAACTGAGGTTACGCGTGGTATTAGTGTTACATCCGTCGGGATGAACGCCTAGATTCGCAACTATCATATAGTCTTGTCGTATGATGGAACTTGGCAGTCTGTGATCTCTGGAAGAGAGCATAATCATCACCACGAGGACGCGAGACGGCAGATCAGCTATGCGTAAGTAGTCCATTCAATAGCAGGATGTCATCCGTAAGGAGGACTTGATAAATATGACTCAAATGCTACTAGCCTTCCGTCTTCCCGTATGTGCTCTTTGTGGAAGTTTTCTAAACGCACAGCACTCTTGGATAATCGTTGAGCAACAAGAGTGTCTTAAACTCGTTGAGAAAATCAGACCATTCATGCTGGGTCTTTACCCTCTCATGGACTGACCTAGCCAGTGCTGGTCCTGTTAAGGCTACCTCCTCAGTGATGCCGGTCATGACAGGGAAGCTACCTCATAGGGGGACAAGACCGCTTCACACTCGGCTCTTGTCATTATAAATAGGGATCATCTTTGTCCTCCACCGCATTCAATCTGCCTCTCTTTCAACGTGTGACACCATCATCACAATTCGAAACAATACGCATCAACAGGCAGCTATTAGGCAGCTATCATGAGAGTCTCTCCGATCAAGATCCAGGGCTATGAGACGATCCGCTTGGAAGAAGCCGACGTTCTCGTCGTTGGCTCGGGTCCGATCGGCGCGGTGTTTTCTCGCACGCTAGTCGAGAAGGGGCGAAAGGTTCTCATGATAGATGTCGGGAATCAGTAGGTCTCTATGGAACAAATTACTCCTTGGATCAAACAATCACATTTCTCACACTCATCACAGAGAAACCAAGCGAATTGGAGACCACAAAAAGAACAGTGTGGCGGTCCAGCGAGACATCAGTCTCTTCACTAAGTACGTGCCACTCTAGTGCTATTTAGGCGGAGATTTTGCTGACTTCATGTTCGTTCAGCACTGTCAAAGTGAAGACTCCTTCTGGGCTTGAGGTGCTTGGCCCATGGCGCTAAAGTTTCATCTAGGGAGAACTGAGTCTTCTATCCGTTCCAACCAACGTAGCCGATCCATACGTCGAGCCGATCTCTTGGGGCAGTTCGTAGGTTTCTCCTTCTACATCCCACTGCTAAATCATTCTTAGCTAAATTTCATTCCCAAGGACTCCCTTCATCAAGAATGGGCAGAATCCAAACCAGAAGGCCGTGGACAATCTCCCCGCCGCGGCAGCTACGCGCCTCGTCGGCGGAATGGGTGGCCACTGGACTTGCTGTACGCCTCGTGAACATAAGGACATCGAGCGATCCGATCTCTTCTCCGATGACAAATGGGACGATCTTTACAATCGAGCTGAAAAGCTCTTCTGGACCGACAGGACGCTCTTTGACAAGTCCATCCGCGGAGGTCTCGTCAAGTCTGTCTTGACGGCAGCCTACGAAAAGGAGGGACGAAAGGTCCTGAGCATGCCTCTCTCTGGTAGGAGGAGTGCTAAGAACAAGGAATTCGTCGAATGGGGGTGCACTGCTACGATCCTCGGCGACAAGCTCTCCGATCCTAGCAAGGAGCACGACAAATTCGAGTTGCGCGCCAACTCTCAGTGCGTCAGACTGATCGTGAACCAGGCCTCTGGTCAAGTTGAAGCAGCTGAAGTAGAGAACCTTCTTGGGGCCGAGAAATATCTCATCCGAGCCAAGAAGTACATCATCTGTGCAGGAGCCGTCTTGACCCCGGGTATTCTGTGGAACTCGGGGGGTCTTAAGGACACCCTTCCCGCTCTGGTGAGATTTTTCCCTTCGTGGCCGCGTACGCGGTACTAACAATCAAATTCAATAGGGCCGTTACTTGACGGAGCAGCCCATGGCCTTCTGCCAGGTTGTGCTGAAGAAGACTCACGTGCTAGATATTGCCAGTGATTCACGCGGACTTGGCTGGGAGACTGCAGTCAACGAGCACAAGTCTAAGTTTCCCAACGACCCACTTCCCATCCCCTTCAACGACCCCGATCCTCAAGTCTACTTCCCACTGACCGATAGTTACCGATGGCACACTCAGATCCATCGCGATGCATTTGGGTACGGAGAAGTCCCATCATCCATCGATCAGCGCCTCGTGGTTGATCTTCGCTGGTTCGGATATACCGAGCCTAGCAAGGACAATTACGTTGACTTTTCGACGGATGTCAAAGACCAGTTCGGGATGCCACAGGTAAGCTTGAGTGCACCTCCTTTACTTCGAGACTTCACAATTGTCTTAGAGACTGATCAACTGCATTGTACAGCCAACGTTCCACTATACGATCAACGACAGTGATGCCAAGCGCTGCTCTGAAATGATTACTGAGTAAGCCATCAAGCCTTACCCCTATCCATTACTCTTTACTGATAAATCCAACCCTCCAGCATGGTCGATGTTGCCAGGAACCTCGGCGGCTTCCTACCCGGCGCCGAGCCCAAGTACCTCGCACCCGGATCCGCCCTTCACATCTGCGGCACCTACCGAGCTGGCGATGAGAAGGAGAGCCTGGAGGAATCAAAGAAAGAAAGCGTGGTGGATCGTTTCGGCAGAGTCTGGGGCCAGAAGAACCTGGTCCTCGGCGGCTGCGGTATCATTCCTACGCAGAATGCCTGCAACCCGACGCTGACGGCAGCCGCCTTTGCGCTTGCTGCTGCTGATCAGATGATCAAGGACTTGGACGACCAGAATGACGAGTAGTGATCTGGAATAGTACATGCTGACAGTATGGGTGTGGAAAATTTAGCAGCTGGGGAACGCTCATTAGTCTAAACACGTTGCTATGGCTCTATCTTTTTACACGTAGGGGCACCGAATCAAAACCGCTCATTTGCCTCTCAGCCTCTCATCATGAAACTTCAAGTCAAATGCATGTTGTACGCGACCATCTAGAACTGCATTGTATTCTATAATGCTCAATGCGAAGTTTGCGTAGCTGCAAACAACTTCTTGAACTCAGACTCAGTGGCTAGTAAGGTATTGGGAGTGTCCCATTCTACAGCTTCTCCCTGCTTCAAGAGAAGTACTCGGTCATACTTCTCTATGAATCTCAGACGGTGTATAACAGATACGACGGTTTGGTCTGAGAACTCTTCTTCAATGATTCGCTGCATCTTGTCCTCGGTGTCTTGGTCCACGCTGAGCCCGTGTTAGTTTACTAACGGTATTGGGCTGTTGAGGCAAACTCCATACCTGCTTGTAGCTTCATCCAAGATCAAAATCTGACTCTTTTCGATCAGCGCACGCGTCAACGCCAGTAATTGTCTTTCCCCTGCCGAGAAGCCATCGGCGTCTAGCTCGCTATCCAGACCACCTGCCATACCGATCTTCCCAAGAAGCCCAACCCTGTCGAGCGCTGCTTTGATAGTCTCGCTGCTTTCGCGGGAGTGTGGATCGAGATTGAAACGAACGCTACCAGGGATGAATAATGGCTCCTGGGGTATGACGTTGATCCGTGAGCGTACTTCTGATCTCTCCAGATCTTCGAGATCGATGCCGTCGACGAGGATCTTCCCGTCGGTGACTTCAATCATCTGAAGTAGCGAGAGAACAAAGGATGTCTTGCCACTCCCTGACGGCCCACAGAGTGCAATCTTTTGACCGGATGATATTGAAAGTGTCAAGTTCTTGAGCGTTGCGTCACCGTCTCTTGTGTACCTCGCAGTGACGTTGTCAAAGTTGATGCGTCCCTGCAATGGCCACCTTTCAGGAGGGATACCAGAGCTTCCTAAACCGCGCTCTTCAGAAGGCGTTGTCTGAGAAAACTCTCTTATTCTGGCCACAGCACCGATAGACGTCTCCAGAGCAGTCCAATTCTTGATCGTGGTCGCAAGAGAGTTGTTGAAACCGAGGACCAGGACCATTGATACACCAATCGCGCCAGGGGAAAATTTGTCAGTGATGGATGTCGCCATGGCCACAATGATCAGTGCTAAGGCGCCGACGACGAGGTCCAGAATTAGGGCGAGCCATTGTTGAATACAAGCTAGCATGTAGTGGGGCTTCTGTGAGATATTGAGGAGCTTCGTCGCCTGCTCCTCAAAGTTCCCATGCCATCTGTAAGCACGGATGGTTGCAACGCCCTTCAGTGTTTCAAGAAAGTGGGTGTAGATCGGGGCTTTGGCTTCGATATCGAGGAGACGGACTTGACGAGAGGTGCGGAGATAGTATCGCTGAACGAAGAAGAGCACTCCTACTAAGAGAGGTACTGACGTCGCTAGATATTTGCCCATGACACAAAGTATGATGAGCTTGACAATGCAAGCGCAAGCATCTTTTGCAGTTAGCGCAACTCACCCGCAGAAAGATTAGCGTTGAGAAGAAAGAACTCACTCGAGGCGAAGTTGATAGCATTCGATGGAAGAGTAACATCCACTAGGTTGAGATCCTGGCTAAATCTAGATCACGAGTTGATCAATCTTGTACCGGACTATTAAGACACTACCGAAAAGCACACCTACCTGTTGGTGATGGAGCCAGTATCGGTTGACTGAAAGAAGCTCAGTGGTGCTCTGAGCGAGGATTAGTATGCGTGGCAATGGAATGCGGGAGGTTGCCCCGTGCTACCTCAAGCTTGTGTGCAGTAGATCACCATGTAAACTCATGGCTGTCGCACTTATGATCCGTATGAAGAGCAGCCTGGTGTCGTCAGCGGCATTGAACTTCGACATTGAGAGCTGGTGTAAATCTTACCAGCATTCCACAGAAAGTCCAAGACATGCCATTGCGAATAAGAGAGCATACACCCCAAGATACATGCCGAGGTTATCATTTGGGCGTTTTTCGTTGGCTTCCACCCACCACTGAAACCAGATATCTAGGCAGTAGGTCAGTGTGAGATGGAGAATGCATATGGATCTTTATGAGCTTACTTGTAAAACCACTGCAGAATGCCTCGGTGAAGGTGGCAAAGACGAATGAGCCAACTACTATCCAGCCAGCACGCTCGAAGTAGTATTTGTAAACGGACCATGAGCCGTTCTGACGCAGCCTATCTTCCTGGGCATCCAGGGTCCTTTGGATTTGTGTGGATTTCACAGAATTCTCAGCTTGCTCCCACTCCTCACCACGTGAAGGATTATTGTCATCTTCCAATTTCGATTTCGTAATCAAGTCAGATGAGCTAGCAAGGACCTGTTCATACGAACCCTGGCTCAGGACTTGACCCTCAGTGAGAACGATCAGTTCATCTGCATGTCGTAGAAGTGAACCTTTGCGCGATTGGTTAGAAATTTCCGAGCTAGAGTCATCTTCGCTATGAGAGCGAGCTTACGGGTGTGAGTCGCAAGAATGACGGAGATCTCATTCCGGCGAATGTGGCCCTCTTTGCTGAAGAGACGACTCGAGATTTGGCTGACACTTTTGGAATCGAGGCCGCTGAAGACGTCATCTAATACCATAACTCGGTGTCTAGAGTAGACGGCACGAGCGAGGGCCTGGTGCAAATGTTAGTTTTAGAAGTCGCCGCACTTTTTCCTATCGAGAAAAGGGGTTCCCAACTCACCACACGCTGCCGTTGCCCTCCACTCAAGCCGACCCCGTTACTACCAATTTTGTACAGCTCTCTCTCCTTCAGGCATGTTCTTGACATCGTCAGTCAAGGAGCAGAGCCACAAAACTTGATCGAACCATTTCGGATCATGCTCTAAGCCGCCAGTGATGTTTCGTCTCAAAGTGTCGTTCATCATCCACGGAGCTTGCGCACAATACGCGGTTCCGTGAGTCATACACTCTCGAGTCCCAATATTGAGTGATGTTTCTCCGAGAATACTCTCCATAAGGCACGACTTTCCGCACCCAACAGGGCCGACTATCATAGTGATTCCTCGTTTGATTGTCAAGGAAAGGTCCTTAAAGACTATGTCGGAATCAGGTGACCAGGAGATCTTTGCGTTGCAGAATGAGGCAATTGTTCGATCAGATGTTTCGGAAGTTGAATGATCTGCCAGCTCGATGCTTGCTCTGTTCAGAGTGGTGACTGATGAGCGCGACGGAGGTATTGGTTGTTCGGGCAGTGATGATCTCTTGAGGCAGAACATTTCGATGCGCTTGAAGCAAGCTACCCCTTGTACAATGTTAGGCACGAATTGGCAGAACATTAGGAGTGGTTCCGTCAAAAGACCGATGAGAGACAGTGCAGTAAAGGCGTTCGTCGTCGTCAGTGTTTGATCTTTGGTGATGACTGCGATGATACTGTAGATGACAAATGTCGCGAACGGAGCAAACTCGACGGGAAGGTTTGCTGGGGAAATTTAGCCATGAAGGAAAACAGGAACAATTGGAAACTTACAAACGAGAATCTGAGAGAGGATCAGTTTGCGAAATTTCTCCGAGGTCTTCAATTCGACACGTCGCAGCTCGGTGATAGTGGTTGACAACACGCCCGAGAGACCCAGCATCTTGATCGCCTTCATATCTCCCAGCATGGAGGCCGTGACGGCGACTCTCTTTTGCAAACGTTCAATCCAGGCCGTCTGTGCCCTTCCAATGGTTTTGGAGACGGGGATAACGCCAAAAGCGCATACTTGGGAAATCTTCATCAGCGTCTTGGACCGATGCAAAGCAGGCCTTGGGTAACCTACCGATAGAAATGACGACTGGTACTACAGATGCAGAGGCAATCTGGCGTTGCAGGAGGAATATGGCAATGCTAACCTCAAGAATCGCCGCCCAAATCTGATGAAGGTTGTTGAACGTAAGTACGATGCGTTCGATATCTGTGCCCATCAAAGTAACCGCAGCGCTGTCTTTCAAGTCGTCCGCTCTGAGAGTGAGGGTCTGCTTGAAGATCATAGACATTAGTCCTGCTCGGAGCATCGTAGTGAAGCGAAATTGATGGCGAGAAAACGCTGCTCGCGAGACTGCCAGGCCGAGGTACGTAAGCACGTATGCTCCCACGAGTGCTTGCCCGTATCTCTCAGACTGTGGCGTTTTGGGTGTCTGCATGTAGCTCACTGTGGCCGTGATGAGGAAGGGCTGGCAAAATGTAAAAGCAGTGAGGAAGAGGCGCGTTATGACGCCGGCGACTAGAGTTCCGCGGTAGGCGTAAAAGCTGGAGCGAATCAATGCATGGTACTTCTCCCCTTTTCGCTTCAACCACGCTGCTTCGAGGCTTGCTCCTGCTCTGTCTCCAGTCAAGTCTTTATCGACTTCTGGCATATCTCGGATGTGAATGACCCGCGAGTACCCAAGACGAAAGAAGGGCATGAGCCATGTGAAGAAGCTGCGGCCCCAAAAGCCAGTCTCTTCTTCTTTCGTGAGTGATTGGTACGTTATCTGCAAGAATCGTTTCTTGCCGATGGACTCTAGAGGAACGACTAGAATCGTGACAGCGACGATAGCAGTCCAAAGGCCCTTGAGCGCTCCGGAGCCTGTGATAAGCCATAGCGTCCTCAGGCGCGGTAGAGATAGTATGGCAGATGCTGAGAAATAGAGTATGAGCAAGTCGGAGGGACGAGTGGAGCGTTGATCTTCCAGGAATGAGTGGAAAGCTGCGGCCAAAACGGCGATGAAGTTGAGGATTCCCGCAGCCAGTGAGACCGATGTGCGGAGAGCTGGCGACTTGGCATCGATAATGACAAAGCTAAGGTGAAGCACGGTCAAGACACTCAAAAGAGTCTACGTTTTCAGTCACTGTCAGTGAGATCTTGATGAGATAAGTATTCGAGGTTGGGTAATTCACCAATTTCCACAAGGCAAGCTTGTAAGTCGCTACTTTCACCGGCGTCCGCGCAATGGAGAATATGCGCAAAGGAATGAGTAGGAGAAACACTACTGAGGGAATCATAAGAAAGATGGCATCTTCAAAAAGAAGAGTGAAGTCAAAGTTGCGGCAGTTGTAGTTGATGCGAGGGCCGAATTGGTTATCGCTGCCCAAAAGACAACTGTTGTTAGTTGCCATGATGAAGGAACTTTTTAGAATACATCAAAGTCAATCCCATTGCCATTCCAGAACAGTCAAGGTGACTGAGGATAAGCAAAGTATTTCACGCCTCAGGAGGGACTTTCGACTTGTGACACCTTGTGCGCCATGGCGAGCAAACGTCTTACATCGGATCCTTCCCTTCCTAGGTGATTGCCGCACTATGCTCAGTGAGGCAGGTCAATTCGGTTCAGATAGCCGCTCATTGGACACCATCGAATTGGTATTGACCCGAATATGCAAAGCTGACCTGTGTCATTGCATCCCGTCCCGGGGGACGCGGGTCCAACTTAGGAGTGCAAAAAAACGCCAGCTTAGGAAAGGACATGCCTGGTGGCGGGAATAAGAGAAAAGAAATTGGGTCAAACAATGGGGAATTGAAGGACTGGGGGGTGCCGATGTCGTGATTGATGGGCCCCTCTTCTCTCCGTCCCTCGGTTCTCCACTCGGAGGACCAAAATCCGGAACGTCCACCAAGCCCTCAGGAAAGGTAGGTACTTTCCCCGGAGCATCCACCACAGCTCCGAACCCCTTCCGGCCCGGGGCTGACGCACGCAGACATGCGCGTTCCTGACCTTATCAGCGACGACAACGCAATCTCGCAACGCACACGCCAACGTCACAGTACTTCGTCAACAGTGACAGCTGCACCTCCAGTTTCACAAGCATCCCAGCATGCAGTCGCTGCCCCTTCCCCTTCTTCATCAGGTTCCAGGTCACCAGCGCAGGAGGATCAATCATCTATATGGGGTCCACCTAATAAGAAACGGCGTTTAACAACATCAGCAACCCATCTCACCCGGAGGAAACGCGCTGCAACAGCATGCCAGTTCTGCCGTCTTCGCAAGACGAAATGCGACAACGTCCGTCCTGTGTGTGGATTCTGTCGACATCACCAGGCGACCTGCGTCTACGGCGACCAAGAGGAAGACGACGGAGACAGAGTGTCTCATGCTGCCAAGTTCCAAGATGAAGGTATTACGAGCTCAGTCATCTTGGAAAGACTGGATGAAATCAAGCATTTGCTGCAGAGACCAAGGACCCCTTTGAGGGAGCAACGGGCGTCGGTGGTAGTAGCTGCGGCATCTCACGCGGAAATCCCTCAGAGAGATGGACTTGGAATTCATCGGAATGGCAACGGCAGAGAGCTCCATGGATACTTAATGGACGATCATGACCAGCACCGTGGAGAAACTTCCCGCACGCTGTACTCGGCTCTTCGTTGCGAGTCCATGCTCCGGTGGCCCATATTCGGAGGCATCATATCAGAAGAGGATTCACGAATAGAATCCTTCATTCTCGAATTCGGTACCGATGTGACCGACGATGGCCTGAATCACCCCAATGACTCCTCCATGATCAACGGGTCAGGCATCCAAGAAGATGCATTTGTCCCCCTTTGCCGAAAGTTTCTCACTCATGTCCACCCCCGAAATCCAATACTCGAGGGCAACGAACTGATAGCCTATGCGAAACAGGCAACTGAACACGGCATCAAATGGGATGCTCGCTCATGTCTCGTAGTAAGAGTCCTCCATCAGCCACTCCATCCCCCCCCCCCAAAGCCCATCAATTAACCTCAACAAACAGCTCCTCGCCTGTGCCCTCGCAAGTCTGACGACCCCTTGGATTCCTCCGCAAGAAACCACATCCAACACCGAAACCGATGTGGCAGATATTGCCCTCCCACCAATACTAGAACCACAAGACTGCGGCACCGCAGAAGCGTACTACCTCGCAGCATCCAAACGCATCGGACTCTTAGGCCCCTCGATCCTGGACATCCAATGCCTCTTCCTGGCCTCCATGTACGAAAAGTGCCGCCTCCGGCCGATGCGAGCCTGCTTCTACATCCAGCAGGCCTCGACGCGCTTGCAGACTCACTTGCTCCGAAGAGGACGCCGGCCATGGAAAGAGGCTAGCGGACGGGAGGAACCGACGCAGCCTCTTCAGCAGCGCGTGTTTTGGTCTTGCTTCAAGGCGGAGAAGTGAGTCGTCTCAATCTTTTTTGCACTACCATACCTTGGGTCCGATTTCACTGACTAAAGTAGCGAGATCCTCCCGACTCTGGGTCTCCAACCAAGCGGTCTCGAGGACTTCACCTACCCAGACTCCTTCCCGGCGCCTCCCTCTGCGCTCTCCACGACGAGGACCATCACCACCACCACCAGCGTCAACGAGACATCCGCCAGCTCGTCAGAGTATACCTGGTCCCCGACCCCAGACCCTCACCAGCGCCTGGAAGAAGAACGCAGCTGGCTCTACTACCTCGCCGAGATCTCCCTCCGACGAACGATCAAAAACACAATGTCCGTGCTGTACCGCAAGGGTGAGGCGTACTGGCTGAGGAACGAGGGGTTATTAGTCCGACAATATGATGAGTTTGAAAAGGAGATTTCGCAATTGTGAGTTGCTTCTGCCCCCCTATCCATACTACCCGTACTTGTTCTTTTCCCCAGCCTGAATCCCCCAGCCTTGGCGGACTTGAAGCAGCGCGAATAAATCTCCGAGAAAATCAGCACCCCTAAAGTCACACGCACCACTCACCCAGTCAAACGTTAAACTTACACGTCTCCCATACACTCCCATCTCCCACCCCTAATCCAATTCACCGAACACCACTACCCGGACAACGAGCTCGCCTTTTACCTCCAAGGTCGCTTTCAAGGATGGCGCGAATCGACCCTCCGCCCGCTTCTCTACTGCGCCCTCCACGGAGCCCGTGGCCGGAGCCAGGGTCGAGAGGATCAGCCTCTACCGACTCATGTTCAGACTGAAGAATATCCGACGAATCCGCGCGTAATCCACCTCGCTCAAAAGGCCGTCGACACCTGCGCCGCCATGATCGTCAAAACGGCGCACCACCACCGCCACGGCGGAAGCTGGTTCGTTGCCCGCCGCGCATTCTCTTGCGCCGTAATGGTCCTCGCGGCCGTCGTCGGGGCGGAGAATCATCCTGTTGAACCGCCCTCGAATTGGGCTTCTCTCGTACGGCTTGCGTTGAGAGTTCTCGGGCGATGGGGCAAAGAGGCGCGTGACCTCGAGCAGATGCGGGAGACGCTCCAGCGGCTCTTTCACAGGGTGCAGCAGAAGGCGGCTTCGTCAGTCTCCATGTGAGAGATGTGGTTGTAGTAGCCTTTGCGGCAGGCTTACCAAGTCGGTTCGATTCCTTTCGGCGTCAAGTACTGTACTTATTTAGTCCACAGCATTCACTCCTTAGCTCGCCTTCCTCTGGTAACGTCCTTGAGGTTCTTTTTAATAATCTCGTATATCTCTAAGTCCGCGAAGCCTGCAATTGTCTTGTCTGAGTTGCAGTAGCTATTCCGCAGTGGGTGTGTATGTAACTCAGTCACCTGTAGTTACGTTCGCAGTCCGCTTTTAAGCACCATTGAAAAGTAGTGGTAATAGTGCCAGGAGCACCGTGATAAGTGTATTAGTTCCTGATAGCCGAGTGAGACCCTCCTATTATCCCATTAACTGCTAGATGGCGTCTCTACATCCGTCTCCAGTCTTTCTCTGATTTTGCTCTATTTCGTGATTATTCAGAGGCGGATATAAGGGAAATAGGTTCGGATTATTAGATGATTCGCTATTAAAGTACGTCCCTATGTATCGACACTATCTAGTAGTTAATGTGATACGATCCTTACGTTGAAAACTAGACCCGCAGTAGTGGTTCGGTCATGGGCCTGTTCTATGTAGCAAATTACGAAAACTCACAGCTTCCTTCCACCCGGTATCGAGCACATAAAGAAGATCTTTGACGAGGTAAAACATCGGCCTTAGATTCTCTATCCCGCCTTATATAAGGTAACCGGCGCCATATATTCCTAGCGGAACGAGTTACCGATCCAAGTCGTGAAGCCTCTCCTCGAACTTCTTCCAAGTAAACGAACAGTGCATACGAAGATGATGCTTCCCGATCGTACTTGTTGCTTCTCGGCACCCCAAGAATAAGGCAAACTTTCCCCTGCGTTCGACCGGTCTCCTCGTCTGTGTAAAGAAATCGCGAACGAATACTCGCCCAGGCCTAAAAGGTGCCTCTCACTTGTTAGGTAGCATCGCAAGCACGATTCAGCAATACGATGTAACTACGGCCCTGAGAGGGTGACACTTGCCAAAACAAACTTGCTATACCAAACCCATCATCTCCATCCACTTACATAAGGCACTACCTCACATAGCCTCTAGAGATTCAGTAATACATCACAGTCATGAAGATCCTGCCTGCATCGCTCTCACAAGGTTCATTCCAAATAGAGTATTTGCAAGCCTCGGGAAAAGCGTGCTTAACGGGGTAGCTTGCAATTTGGGAGCCCCGTCCCTGCAAAATGTAGCCAAGTGATCTGATGCCCCGCTCAACTTGCCCCAATCTGGACAAGACCTCGATTTGCCGAAGTCTCAGTCCGACGTAGTGCCACAAGTGGTACCGGAAAAGGTACCCAGCAAGGTGCATGATTCAAGCACATGTCATCTTGTTGTGCTGTGTTGTGTTTTCGTTGCTCCCGTGATTGTTGTCTTCCGCAGAAAACCTAGCCTGCGACGTAAACGTTCACTGGGAGAGATGAGGCAAGACATAAAGTATTTCATGTTCAACTTTCTAGTTGTATTAACAGTTATGTTTGAGCGGTAGTGTAAACTAGTCACAACCGTGACGACTAAGTTATCCCCCACGCGCCATGCATTCCACATCAACATTTCGCATTACAAGTTGTTAAGATGTGTCCAAATCGGACCCAGCTTCAGAGATGCCTCCAGGTTATTCACCCGGTAAGACGGGTAGTAGACTAGGGGTATAGATAAAATTGAAAATGGACATTAAGATAGACGCGCACTTAGACGTTGGAAGTGCGACGCTCAATGTTGTCGACGTGGACCTTGTCGAGGACGCCATTGCGGGCGACCTGGGAGGCGAAGGTCTCATGGGGCTTCCACTTGGCAGAAGTGCGGGGAGTAGTCTCCTCCATCATCTTATCAACCTGCTCCAGGGACAGACCCTTGGTCTCGGGGACCAGGAAGTAGGTGTAGACAAGGGCGCAGGTGCAGAGACCACCCCAGACGAAGAAGACGGAAGACTTGAGGTTGCCACGCTTCTCACCAACCATGTAGGGGGTGATCACGGCAATGATGGTGTTCCAGAGCCAGTTGGAGGCAGTGGACAGAGCAACACCGCGGGAGCGGATAGGCAGAGGGAAGACCTCACCGATGAGAATCCAGGCACCGGGTCCCCAGGTGGAGGCGAACCAGAAGATAAAGATGGCGATGAAGGCGATCTGGGCGTTGACGGCGGGAATGTTGTCGGCAATGCTCTTGGTAGCATCGGCGGGGTCGGGGTGGGTGTGGTTGAAACCGACAGTGACACCGATGATGGCAACGAGGAACTGGCAGATGGTCATACCAGCAGCACCCCAAAGAAGGATGGTGCGGCGGCCGAAGCGCTCGACAGTCCAGAAAGACAAGGGGGTGGAGCAGACGTTGACGAGCGTGAAGACGAGGGAGATCAAGAAGGTGTTGCTGATGGCACCGGTAGACTGGAGGAAGGGAGTCGAGTAGTAGAAGATGAAGTTGACACCAGTCCACTGCTGCATCATCTGGAGGGAAGTACCGAGGATGGTCTTGCGCAAGTTGGAGTTGGCCTTGAAGACGGATCCGCTGAAGCAGTTGGCCCATGAGCCGAACCAAGTGGCAGAGGGAATGAGCTGGCGCTCGTACTCCTCGTTGGCGACGATCTCAGCAAGCTCGACCTGGATGTACTCTGAGTTCTCGGGCTGGCCACGAAGCTTGGAAAGGGAGGCGGCAGCATCGGCGAGTCTGCCCTTCTTGACGAAGTATCTGGGAGAGTCGGGGAACAGCATCAGACCACCTCCAAGAATCAGAGCCCAGGGGAACTGGATGGAGATGGGAATGCGGTAGGCGCCAGTGTCGGTGCGGTCCTTGGTGCCGTAGACGACGCAGGCAGCGAGCAGGAGACCGATAGTGATGCAGAATTGGTAACCGGCGACGAGAGCACCGCGAACCTTCTTGGGAGACTATTGATATGGTGTTAGTGCATTGTGCTGGGTATTCGCAAGGAAGCAGGTATACTCACAATCTCAGACATGTACAAAATGACAACAGCGGACTCGAAACCCACACCGATACCGGCAATGAGACGGCCGGTAACGATGGGAGCAAGAGGAGAAGAGCCGACACCAGTGATCATCTGGATTACGACACCGATCATGTAGATGAAGCAGCCGAGAATAACAGTCCACTTGCGTCCCATCCAGTCGGCAACGTCACCAGCAATCAGAGCACCGAAGAAAGTACCGCAGGAGAGAATAGAGACGATGAGGGAGGTGTCAGATTCGCCAATGGCGGTGGCACCGTCGCCCTCGACGGCCTCGATGAAGTTGATGGAACCCAGGACACCGTTAATGTAACCGGAGTCGTATCCGAAGAAGATACCTCCGAAGGAGGCAAAGGCGCAGATCAGGTAGGCCTTCCATGTGACGGGAGCCTCGATCTGGTCGACATTGTCGGTGACGGCGAGGCCCTGGACGGGCTCGCGCGTAACGCCGGTTTCTTTCTCCATTGTGGAGGGTGTTGCTGATGTTGTTCGCCTCGGGAGCTTGGCGATGATTCGAGCTGATTGTGTGGGAAAGGGGAGGACGAGAGGAAGCTTGTCGGGAGAGTTGTTGGCGAGGAAGCTCGTGAGGAAGGAAGAGTGGCAAGGCAGAAAGTGAGGGCGAGACGAGGACCTTTTATCAGTCTTGGTGTCACGTCCAGGAAGGTGCAAAGGTAATGCTACATAGCTGCGTCCGTGTCAGTCCGTATGTCTGGCGTGGGTGTGTGTGTGTGTGGTAGTACCGACTGATGGACTGGGGACTGAGAACTGGGGGGGATTTGGAGACCAGGGGAGGGGTGTGTGACACCAAAAATTCGAGTCTGGAATGGGAACGAGAATGGGACGACAGGCCAGGCCGATGCAAATGGGTCAGTCAGACTCAGACAGAGCAGAACAGCCTGCCGTGTTGTCGATGAAGGCCTACTCCGTAATACGCTATGCCTATGGCCGAAGCAGCAGCCAGATGGTGAGGAGGAGTGTTGTGTGTGAGTGTGTGTGGTGCTTCATCTCCCCATTCCGAGGGACTGCAGGTCACAGTTCATCGAGGACGAGCTCCCATTGGGTTAGCCCCGTTGGTTAGCCGTCCCCATATTGGAGCTCCTGCTAGCTCATGCTTAATAGGGCCGATAACTCTTGGGCAGGCGTGGAGGCCGAGGGGAAGGGGGAGGGTGTAAACTTGTGAAGAAGGTACGAGGGGGGGTGGGAAGGGGACTCCCGACGAGTTGGGAAGGGGCCGCGGGGCGGGCAGGCCACGGGGAAGGAGGGAAGGAAGGACGACAAGGGTGGCAGTCAAACAGTCATGGGAAATGGAAGAGAGAGACTGGGCGGTATCCGGACGGATACAACGAATAGTGACTTGAAAGGAACTGCACCCTGTCTGTATTAGCGCGCGATGTGGGAGGTACCTCCCGTCTCACACCATGGTCTTTGGGTAGTAGGAAGGTACTTTTATTTATTCCTTCCATTTCTTGGTTCTTCACTTACCTGACGATACCTCAAGGTGCCATTGTGGTCGTACCTGCTCTCCGTCTACGAAGATGGATATGTAAAGCTCAATGAGCACTTCAGGTTGAATGTGGCCTGTCTGTTTGGTTATTCAATTGCTGCCGAAGTGTACACGAACGTTTGGGGAAACGGCGAGGCGAGGACATTCCCAATAACATTGACTTTGGGGACTCCCGTCGGCTGGGGCACCTGCTACGGGAGCCGACGAGTTACCTGCCTTAAAGGTAAGCTAGACGGGCGGGAAGGAACCAGCGATTCCCTAATAAAAGGGAATGCAGCTGTACTCAATGCCTGCGCAACACATACAAAAGGTACATGGACAGAAAAGAATTGGAAGTCGAGGAGAGCAGCGTCCACTTGGTAAGAAATCAATGACTCCTTGTGGACCAAACCATCAGATCATCAATTCCAGGCAGATCTGGACTGAACACGGCCTCGCTAGTCATCACCGCAACGGAGGGGGGAAAGAGTAGTTTAGCGGCCGATGCCCACTACCTTTGGTGGACAGATTGACTCGTCAGTGGCGCGCGATGGCCGGCAGTCCACTACAAGCGCTAAACATTTGGAAAACTTGGAGGGGAAGACAAATCAAAGGGGAAAAAAAAAACCAACGTTACCACACGCGATTATTGGAATTGGAAGTGAAAATTAGCCACTGGGGAACAATAACTGGGGGAGACCACACTGGCCCGGGGACTCCAGTCTTCAGCTGTCTGGCCCCCCGGGGACCCCCCTTTCGTGCCCAACATGGAGAGCGCAGCCACCAGGTCACGGGGGTTCTTTGCCTAGCACCAAGGCCCCCCAAAAATGCCCCAAGCAGAAAAGTCCAAGAGAAAAAAAAAGCTGGGGAAATGGATTTCGCCGTTGTCTCGCCGTCGCGTGGCGTTTTGCGGGGCGGGGCCCTGGAGACTTGGTCACCCTTTTTTTTACTGATGAATCGACGCTAAGCTCGATCCAGACCCTTGACCGCTCCCGGCTCTGCTGTTCGCCCATGTTCTGGCAGTTCTTGCGCTGCGCCGGACAAGAGCGTGGGCACGGGACACGACACGGTTTTTTTCCCCTTCGTGTCCAACTGCTGCTATTTTCACCCGATGTTCTTCCATCCAGGCTCGTGTTGGGACAGGATGAAGGGAATAGATAGAAAAAAGCACTGGGGCTCTGCTGATCTTGGTCTGGTCTCGACCCTTCGGCTCGGGTTCTCGGGTCTGACAAAGAATCTGTCAACTGGAGATCAAGCAAACGGACCAGATGAACGGTTGGCCTCGGCTGCTGTTTGTGAGTGCTGCTGAATTTCTTACAAGCTGACAGCTAGAGATTCCGAGTCGCGACTCGGCGCGTCTGTCTCTGGTGGCAATCTCATGAGTGCAAGATGTCTAATTGAATACATTGAATACACCCTGTACACCGAAAACGATGCGCTGGAATCCCAAAAGTCTAAACGCGGAAAGTGTCACGTAGTCGGACCGGTCGTGTCGAGGTCATTTGACGATCCTGACGAGAGTAGTTCGATATGCTTTCATCGCTTGCATCGTAACAAGCGCCGAATAGACGAATTGCCCGCCCGCAACCCTGGCTTGTATGTAGCGAGTCTAGGGAGTCTGGAGATGCGTGACACTTTTCTCCCATGGCCGGCGCAGGAGTGCGGCGGGGGAGGGGGCCAGCTGTGCGCCAAGCCTGAACGTGCCGAGCTTGGCCCCGAGCTCATGCAGCGATAATCTGCATACCAAGACGCGCTGCTCCAGACTCCAGAGTTTGCTTGCCAGACGGGAGACCAGAGGACGCCCAAGAATGTCATCGACACGGCACTAATCTTTTACGCCGCAGGGAGGGGAACGCGGAAGGGAAGGAAAGGGCGATGGCGGACATGGGCCAGGCATGCAGCAGTGCTAGCAGACAACGGCAGACTTGATGAAATGCGCCCGTTTCTGGCCAAGCGCCCGGTGGCCGTGCCGCCGTGGTCCAGTGATGATATGCCTTCTCCTTACCTAGCGATCCTGGCCAAGTCATCGTCACCGTTGACATGGTTTTGGTGTGTGTTTGGCTCTATGCGGTTACCTGCTTACGTTTGATGACCTCCTGAATCTCACGATCGCTTCATGCAATTTCAGAATTTTCACCAACAAACAGGCGAACAGAAAGAGACTGTCAGAGTTTTCTCCCCTAAAACTCCCGATTATCTTCAGTCGGGCTACTTTCACCCGCGTTTGGTGGGGTCCCCGAGGGGTATTCTTTATCCGACATGAACTTGTCCCGTGGGAATAAGGCCCAGTGGATCTGTCACAGCCATGGTCCAGCGATTAGCAGTAAGGAATTTCCATAATTCCATAATTCCATTGAAAAAAGGTGCCCCGTGGAGAAGCAAACTGGAGACTTTTGGCAGAGGGACTTGGGGAAAGCGCCATAGAAGCGCCGAAGAGGCAGGCAACAAGCGTGCAGCGCCGTCCCGGGGACAGGTCCAGTCGGCCTGGTTCTAGTCAGCCGGTCATTGGTTCTTGCCAGTTGGTGCCAGTCCACAGTCTTCAGGATACGTACTGCCAAGTACCGAAGTATCTTCCCCGGCCACTTTTGTGTGGCGCTCATTGGCTCCGCCGCCTCCCTTCTTTCCCACATCTCCCCAGGCTTTTTTTTTTTTTTTTTTTTACAAGTCTTGGTCTGATGAGCCACCGGTTCCTCCCTCCGATTCGCCCAGATGTCAAATCCCAAAACATGACACACCCAGAGACCCCGGTCCCTGTTGCCCCGTCATCCTTCCGAGAAGGAAGAAAGTCTTCGTAAGGAATTGGCAATGTCTTGCCTTGACTTGCTCGCAGCCTTCCACGTCGGCGCGTCTCTCAGTCAGGCAATTGGATAGATGGATCACTAACTCGCTCGCGCAGGCGGCCTGTGTCCGACTTTAGGCCCATCTTCCATCCGTGCCTCTGCAACAGCCCCCATGGTGATGGCGATGCTTTGCGACACGATGCGATGAGATTGGATGGTGAATTTGCGGCTGGACTCAGACATCACGATAGCTGCCTCTACGAAGTACGTAGTACTGTCAGCAACCGAGACACGAGGCGCCCGTGTGGCTTTTCTTCCCTTGTCGCTCCCTGCTCAAACATCTCCACTGCCGTCGTTCAACGGACCATCTGGTTCAGCGCCATGTCTCTTCAGCCGCCGGCATCCGCGAGGTCATTGTTCGTGATGAGATGGGCACATGTCGACGCTGTACGGAGTACGTACAGACAAGTACCTATGGATTTCGATCCTCATGGCGACCCTAGGTACTCCAAGCCGCAACGTTGGAGCCCCAAGGACTCTCACGCATGCTCTCCTGCAGCCCTCCAACACGTCTCTCCCTATCCGTGGATACCAGAGGCTGCAACGCCTTACGGGTACGCTGGAGCTCCTCTACCTAGGTCCACGTTTTGAAGCTCGCTTGACTGTTCTTGGCTCGACTAAGCCATCTTCAGGCGTCAGCACCTACAGTCGAACTCGCTTAGACGGCTATGTTGAAGCTATTCGGGCCATTCAACCTCGCCAAAACTTACAATCACAGTAGCTCTGCTAGCCGCTGCATCTCGCTATCCGGACTGCATGTGATGGATGCAACCCCGTTCAATTCATCCCATCTTCATCCCGCACTTTCACGCTCTCCCCCAACTTCTCCCCATTCCATCCAACTTTTTTTTCCCTCCCCCAAGTTTCCCCCATCATCTATCCTCCAATCCCCCGGCCCCGGCCCCAAATGGGACAATGCTCGGTGGTACTCGATGCGCTAACTGCCTTCAGGTCCCTCTATTCGGAGCCTACTATGGTAGACACTTCGTCTTGGTGTTCAGTTTGGCCGAGTTCCTGTCCGTTGTGGATCGCCTCACATGCACTTTCAGACGCCGTGCGTCTCTGTTTCTCTCCGCCTGGAGATATCGGGGTCTCCAAGCAACCCCATATCTCCAGCTTTACGAAGCCGGTACCCAATCACGACGTTGCTTCCGCCAGATCGCGCGCCTGCTCGTCTGATTCCGCGGGTGCTTTCGGGGCTCCGCGCTCATCGTCCAACTCACAAGCCGTACGAAACAGCCGTACGAAGACACCGCCTATAGGTAGTCGAAAGAGTCACGTCGTACCACCACCCCACCCGAGTCAGCGTGTGTTACTGTTAACAGGGCCCAAAGTCCGAATGACCAACAAGTTTTCCCTCCAGGCACTCCAGATTTGGGCTCCCTCCCCCCCGGGGCCTGTCGCCAGTGGGTGCCTTCCGAGCCATCCCTGGTCGGCCTCCGTACCCAGGTGCTTACTTTTACCTGTCACGGCCGTGATATCGGCCCGTCTTTGATGACGGCCCCATTCAACCATGCCCGAAATCACGACAGCGGCCTGTTAACACTGGCGCATCGCCTTGCCTTGCCTGCTTCAGTGCTTCAATCGCCTCGGCTTTCGGCCGAGTTTGGGCTTGGTCTCGATTCTTTTTCCCCAGCCCACCGCCCTCGTGCTTCTCTCCAGAGCTCCTCTTTGTTCTTCCCCATGGGAAACTGGTAAAACGACCGCGTTTTCGCCGGCCGCCTGATCTCTGACGCACCGTTCGTCTCGAAACTTGAACTACAGATACGAACAAGCTTACAAACCGCCAGACCGGTACGAATAGACCGACAGATTGTCACCGCACCGCAAACTCTGTCACTCCACGGGGTCTCCGGACGCGGGCACGGTGTCGGTCTCCGCTCGGAAGGATTTTTCTCTCCAGCAAACCACGAACTTCCAGAGTCTCTCTCCACTGCGGAGAACGTATCATTAAACACCCTTGCTACCCCTTGTGGATACTCCCAAGGAATAAAATCACCTCCAAGATTTCTGCTGAAGACTCGCTGACACAGCCTGGGCCGGGAACTCACACGATGTTCATCAGGTGGTCTTGACTCAGACCTGAAGTTCGTCCGCTGTTTGGCTCGCATGGGGCTGCCATGAACACAAGAAAAGCACAGGCTACGGTACGCTGCACGTCCATCCCAGCAACCAGGCCATCCCCAGCCCATCCCGAGTTCTCGGGACACGTGAGTCGCAAGGCTCTTGTGTGGCGACGTCGACCCGCGTCTTTGGTGTTGGCTGATGATTATGGCGTCGTGCACGCACGATCGTTGTCTCTTCCCCCATTCCAAATGCCCGTCCTCTTGGCTGCCAAAGCTAACGATCGATAGGTAGTGTAAATGGATCCGAACCACCGGATTCTAGCGTGGTAGTCAGGTGCAGCCGTGGCCAGGTCCGAGCTCGACCCCTGTCCGGCACCGCCGCCAACGAGCCTCGGAACTTGTAGTCGTCACTGACCTGTCACCAACCCGAGGACTAACGGGAGCTGTTGACTAACACCTTCGCCATGGACTGATCTCGACCGGCGGCCGGCTCCGTTGGCCTTCCGCAATGCCGCACCGCTACGTTACCCTCCATCCGAGTGCCGCTACGGTACTCTACATTTGCCTCCCGCCAATCCCACCCACCTTCCAGCTTACCGTCTCTCTGCTCGCGGGGTTGAGGTTCTCTTTGTCGTGATGACTGGTTCGATCATTGAGACAATGCTGATCTGGGGTAGCCGCCATCAGAGCGCCGCAACGCGCCAAGTCGAGGTGCTCAATTGCAGAAGAACCGAGCTATTGAAGGATCAAGCCAATCGAAACACCCCATGGCTTGTCACCTGCCAGCTAGAAGCGCACAGGTCGAAGGATCAGCCACCCGATTCTTCTGCTACCATCCAATGGCCGTGCTTCGATTCTTAGAGCCGCAGAAAGACTTGGACTGCCAAAGCCTTCCTTGTTCTTGATTAGGACTCCTCAGGTTTCACAGGCGACAGGCGGGCAAAACAAGTGTTTGGACTCGTGTTTCTATCCTTCTTACACAGCCTCGCCAGCATAAGCATTCTCCATTCTTGACAAAGAATTAAGTCACGCGCGAGTGTGCGCCGACTCCCAAGACCCAAACGAGGGTTTGACACTACATAAGCACCCTTTGTCTAGCCGTCGGGCTATCAACACGCTTCTGGCGTGGTCGTTTCTCGATTGCGGGGTTGGTGTCTGTTAGTGTCCGGTGCAGATTCTTTCCCGCCACTCCTCCGAGAGCTAGAAGAACGTAACTAGTTTTGTTTGTAAATCAATTCTCAATCCGTGTTTAGGATAGTCCAGTTTTCCAATCTACTCGTTGCAGGCCTGTGAAGATCAGAGGAGTTGCCAATTGAACTAACTTACACGATTCCATAATTTGGCTGCGTTCTCTATGATCTCGTGACACCTTTGTAAGAGCCTACCGTAACCGCTCTCAGTAACACAGCAGCTCATTGACGATGCCAATGGCAACCACGGCTTTTCTAAATCGGCTTGGCCGCAGCCATCTGTTCGGGTGGCGCTTTTGGTCTAACTGCTTTACCTTTGCCTTGTTTGCCTAACACTCCTGGTTCGGGACTCCGGCCCCCGTTTTGCTGCCGGCAGTCGTCGGTTAAAAGTGGCGAATGATGCAAGGGCTTGGAGGGCAAATTGACATCGTTGAAGATATCAGAACGACAGCAACTCCAAAGCAGCAGTCATGTTTCAGCTTTAGCAGTACTTGAGTTGTCATTTCATAACTTTGGTTCCAGCTCGTTGATTGCTCAATACTTATCATGGCTTTTTGGCTTGGTGATTGTTGATTCATGTACATTGATCCGTGGTGATTTGATATGACCTCAGATCAAGCTCAAAGCATGTTGTTTTTAACACCTCTTGATCTTTGGCAAGTGGCTTCGACGTCCATTACCAATCCTGCATATTCCTTCGAGTCTTGAGACACGTGCCGCAAGCTCGGCAGTGGGTACTTTCTGCGGTGGCTATCCGCACCGATCGGTTTTATGAGAAAGATCTAGCTCGAAGGCTATATGCTTGACCTTATATCAGAGCTTCTCTGCGGAGGGCTGGGGCCTTGGCTCTCACTTGCGGAGAATACCTAGTTTCGACCAGAACAGCTACCCAGACAGAGTTAAACAGAGAACAGCCTAAAGAGTTTCCAAACAGTCATGTAAGTGCGAGCCTCTGACTTGTAGCTTGGTCGCAGTCAAGTATCAGGGAACGTGTAGCCCTTGACAGTTTTAACTTAATCGTATCAGGACATCATTCTCCCCTCAGCTTGGTCGACATCACATTAAAATAATGAAAACCACTGGATGTTCTCCTACCGGTAAGGAAAGAGCAAATTGTCTCTATTCGGCCGTTGAGGATAGTCAACTCGACATGGTCCTAAACACGATTAGCCAGCCCGAAGCTGGCTGAAGAGTATCTCTGTGTAATTAGTGATGCATGTATAGTCTGGCAAACAGCGAATCAAGATCCAAACTTTGAACTGTCCCAAAACTTTTCTCTGGGATGCTGTCCCAGAACCCAGCTAGGCAACCAGATGTCTTGCAAAGCGGCGATAGGTACATGTATCCTCGGACTTTGGTCGAGTGCAAGACCCTTGACTTAAATGCACCTTATCTTCCACGTCGGGCAATCCGGATGGGGCGAACCTCAGTTCGTAATTCGCTGCCTCACATCAGGCTGTGTCCAATCTGGTGATTTGCACCACCGAATGTGGCTGGGTCATGCAGGCTGGGCGACAGGGCAGAATCTACCCCTCTTCTTACTTCCAACGACGAGATGTCTGCCTCTCTCCCGCGACTTCACCACGTCAGTCCCTCTCTCCATCCCCCTCATTCTCCGCCATCCTCGCTATTTCACCCAACTGTCCCGAATGTTAGCTAGACGTATCAGAGTACTAAGCTATCGAAACCTCAGTACTCTTCTACCTCGGAGTACTCCGGGTGCATCATTATCAACATGTCAGGCCTCGAGGCTCTCGGCCTGGCATGCAACATCTTCCAAGTCATCAGTTTCGGCCGCGAGACAGCCAGTCTAGTCAAGCGCGTGTACCGAGATGGCTCCGTCGACGACGCCCTTGAGGAAAATGCCAAGGACCTTGTCCAGCTTGCAACGCACGTCCAAAATCTGGAAGTTCCGAAGAAACCGACCAAGCAAGAACACCAGTTGCTCGAGATCGCAAAGAAGTGTCAGGCTGTTGCGCGAGACTTGACGGAAGAGATTGCTTTCGTTGTCGGTCACAAGAAGAAGGGGAGCCTTGCTGCCACTATCAAAGTGGCTACCAAGGCCAACTGGCGAAAGCGACGACTTGATACCATGGAGAGGAAGCTGAATGATGCCGAGAGACTGATGCAGAGCGGCCTCCTTGCGCGAATTTGGTAAGTTCAGGGAGCCTAACTTTCCCATGAGTCACATTCCAAGCTAACAAACCTTGCTTCTTCACAGTCAAAAGGCCGACGCCATGCAACTTGACCTGAAGTCAATCGACATCAACCTGCAACATTTCCTGCAGCAATATCAACAAGGTCACAGAGACACATCTGACCTGATTTCCACAGAGATGTTCAGGACACGCAATCACGTCACCCATGAGTCACAGAAGGCCACTGCCCAGATTCAGTCAATGGTAGATCAGCAGTCTGCACAACTTGACCATACCATCCGTAGTTCGAATCAGCAAGTCACAAATAAGATGGAAGCTGTGACTCTCGACATACATCGAGAGGATAAACGTCAACGCTTCCTTGCCAGCTTCAAATTCCCAGGGATGAATGAGCGTCGAAATCAAGTCAGCGAGGCGTGTAAAGGAACCTTTCAGTGGGTTTTTGCAGACGACATGGGAAGGCTGGAAGATCCAGACAACGAATCAGAGTGGACAGACACAGAAAGCGAAAGCTCCGATGGAAGCGGTGACTCTCAAGATAATTCCTCGGTTTGGACAGATGATTCGGAAGACCAGGACAGCGCTCCATCTCAAGATGGCGGCATACGCTGGGACTCTTTCATCGACTGGCTGAAATCTGGAAGCTCTATCTTTTGGTGCAGTGGGAAACCTGGCTCGGGAAAGTCTACACTGATGAGATACATCATATCCGACCCGCGGACTAGAAACGCACTGGAGGTATGGAGCCCCGGCGCGCTTCTAGTTTCACACCTCTTCTGGCGCCCAGGAAGCCTAATGCAACAAAGTATCAGGGGCATGTTCTGTTCGATAATACACCAGCTTCTGGCAAATGATTCGTCTGTTCTTGACAGAGCTATATCTGCTTGTTCATCGGCTGGCCAGAAGGACTCGGATACAGACTGGTCTACCAAGCAACTTCAGAGTCTATGCTTCAGCACAATCGAACAGTACAGTCGACCAATTTGCCTATTTCTAGATGGTCTAGATGAAGTGAGCCCCGATGATGGTGTCGTACGGCTCATAAAGACCATACATGAGTTGGGCACCGTCCCAAACGTCAAAGTTTGCGTTTCAAGTCGACCTGAGTATCTCATCGAGAAGCATCTGGGTCACGGCCGCTATCCATTCATCCGCTTGCAAGACCTCACGCATCAGGATTTACGAATATACGCCGAGAGCCACATCAACTTCCCCCCTAAGATGCGGAAATACTGGGGAGGTCTAGAGGACCCGATGGAAGCCCTTGTCCACAAGGCTGAAGGCGTTTTTCTCTGGCTCTGTCTGGCCATCAAGAGTTTGAACCAAGGTCTGGACCATAAAAACAACTCAGATGATTTAGAGCAAAGAATACGGAGCTTGCCTGCCGGCCTTAGCAACTTGTATAAAGACATGTGGACCAGGTTGAATGACGATCAGTTACTTTATCGTCAGAAAGCTGCTCTTTATCTCCGCCTAGTAATCGCCAAACAAGAAAGCGGAATTATGGGATACCCCTTCTGGGGTCCCAATGTGTTTTCGATGATGCTGATAGCGACTTCGATGGCAGACCGTGTTCTCGAACAGGATGGTCACATGTTCGACCCCAGTATCCTTATCACAGCATGTCACAGAACTCAACGTGAGGTGCTCATTCGATGCGCCGGGCTATTAGAACTGTCAGAATCCAGTGCGAGGCTTGACAAGGCAACCCCGTGGGATTCCGACCAATACGACACTGTAATGCCTCATATCACAGACGAAAGAGCTTTCCAGTTCATACACCGTAGCGCATATGATTTCCTCTCAGATACGTCTGAGGGACAAGAGATCTTGAGTCACTGCAAGCTCTCAGACCTGGAGCTCCAGCGTCAGATTTTATGTGCTTGGGTTACAACCTGTCAGTTGGCACTGATTCTAAACACTACTGGTCTCCACTTTTCCGACTACTATAGCCGGAATGAGCTTCATCGAATCTTCGCATCCATCGAAGCCATCGTTGTTCCTAGACTGGGCCAGCCAGACTATCAAAGACAACACTGGATGCAGCTCATGAAGGCCTGCGAGCGGCTTTGTAGATCAGGCCGGCTATTACATGTTGGCGGCCATCCGATCAACATTTGTGGCCACGTTTCACAGACGAGATTTTACATGTTGGTTGCACGGTATCATTTGATGGACATTTTCTTCTACGATACAGAATATCTCAACCTTCGACCCGAAACTCTCTCTGAATTGCTTGTTGAGACTTGCAGCTGTTCGATTTTACTCTCGTTTCATGATGCTTATGCCCCAAGTCAGCAGCGACTGATTGCTAAGCTTCTCCAGTGTGGAGCAGACCCAAACGGGAAATTTGTAAGAAGCGAGCTGAGGTTTCCACGTATGAGTGAGACACCACTTTCTCTGTATATCCGGCAGGAGGGCTGGCTGAGATTCAGAAGTCGCGAAACTTGGCTTTCTTACCTTCGTACTTTGGATCGCTTCGCAGATCACAATGCAAATTTCCAGCAAGACGTCTTCCTCAGATTAATCGTCAGCAGTGAACTTGGGCACATTTTTTGTTCAGTTGATATATCACCCCATTCGGTTTTTAATGGGTGGACCATTTCCTTTATTCTGCCGGCATCTGTTCTAGTCGCTTCCGCAGTCGCAGCCTATCGCAATCTAGGTTTGAGCTTAGCCCAGGAGTCCGAACACATTTTGAGTCTTTTGGGCAGCAACTATGGGACTCACAGCAAGCCCGAGGCTTCTGTTGTTGGTTTGGAAAGATATCCCCGCCTCGCGAGCCCCGAGTTCTGTGGAAAGCTCAGTCCTGAGGATTCGGATTACTTGTGTGAGTCCCTTATCAAGTGGTTACTCTTGGGCTTCCCGGTAAGGGAGTTCGGCAAAGGGTTAAACACGTTTGAAGCTAAAGGCCTCGACAAGGGACTTGGCGATATATTTGATAGGAGCGAATCGACTGGGAAGACGGCCCAAGATCATTTCATAGACCAAGGTCTTATAGAAGCGGAGGTTTACGTCGACGATGATGGATTGCGGTATTCCCGCGACGCTGCAAAGAAAATGGCACCCGAATGGATCGGCGCGTGGCTTGGCCTGTACTAGTGAGGAAACCACTAAGAGGCTTTCTTGACTTTTTACAACCGTTTGTCCAAAGCGATTGTCTCCAAAAGTATTGTAATACAGTATTGAGTAGCCCTACATTACCTTTTCAAAGGTGACGGTATTGCCTGTGTTTCACGTGAACACTGTAGAGGGGCTTCCAAACTCCATCTGCCGGGCTGTCGAGTTCTCGCCAAGTTCTCTTGGGGTAGGGACCATCAGCAGACTACGAAATCACGAATAAGGATGATTCGAGCTTTACGGCCTTGATTGTTTCTTCTTCTGGGCCTGAGAGCCTGAGTAAAATTGTACCACCCCGGGCAAAATGTGAACCCTTCATTCATAACATTGATGGCAGGCTATCGCTGACTATAGAGAGTGAATTGCCTACCCATCAACCGTTTGAATATGATGGGAAATACTCAAGGGTAGATTTAGGGAGCACAGTGACGTAGAACGATGGAGGTGTGGGTGCGACTCGGCCATAAGTTTTAGGATGTTGAAAGCCGCGTTTACAGGGTAACCGAAACTCAATTATAAAACTGTGGTCTGCCGGAGCCGCCGAGCACCAGAAATACTCACCCGAGATTAAAACGAAACTCTATTAAGCCTTTGAAGAAATCATCCAGCCAATGTCGCTCCCCCTATTTCACATTGTGGACGCCTACCAGCTGGCTCCACGACCCAATCTGCAGGACGTTTTAGTGTTGTTCAAGGGTTGTACGGCGTGCCTTGCCGCTCACGACAAAGGAAGAATATAAGTACAAGAAACAGAAGGTGATTTAGTCTCCCAATGGAATTGTGATGCCTTGAATGTAGAGAGCATCAATTGAGCTGTCTACCGCGTGAAATCAGGGGGTTTCAACGGCCACTCTTTGGCATTTACTCTCGACAGTAGATACAAGCCATCATGCATTCCCAGATATTCTCAAGCGTGGCATTTTTCTTATTAGCTGCCCTCGCAAACGCCCAGTACGAGGACCCAGAGCACCCATACGTCCCCCCAACCTCAACCGACCGCCGCTCGCCATGCCCAGCGCTCAACATCCTCGCCAACCACGGGTTCATCAACCGCGACGGCGCCTTCATCTCAAGTGAGAGCGCCACGGTAGCTCAGATGCAAGCCTTCAACTTCTCCCGCGCCGTGTCAGCCGGTCCCGTCCCCGCGGCGCTGAAGTACGCCACCACCGGTGTGAACGGAACTTTCCACCTCGACGACCTGGCGCAGAAGCCACTGGATCACGATGGGAGCTTGAGTCGCGGAGACCTCGCACTGGGTGATAACTTGCGGTTCAACAGGACTATTTGGGACTCTTTCGTGGCTAGGTTGCCTGACGAACTCGTTACATGGAAGCAAGCTGCTGAGGCTGGTGCCGCGAGACTCGAGGATGCGAGGAAGGAGAATCCCGAGTTCGTTCTTGACGCCGCCGGGGTTGCAGCTACGGTTGAGCAGATGAGTGGTCTACTCGTTGCACTTGGAGGGAGTGTCGAGGATGGAAAGGCCAGGAGAGATTGGATCAACGCGAGTTTCGTGGAGGAGAGATTGCCGTGGGCGCTTGGGTGGAAGACAAGTGAGACGGTGCTTGAAGGGGCGGCATTTGGGCCGATGGCCAAGGCTTTGAGGGAGTATGCACCAGGTGGTGTTTGATGGCAGACACCTCGGTAGGAAGATGCTAGATGTGCATGTCAGCGAATTCCAGGACATGTTCGCCAGAGGCTGATCTTCTGACTTCAATGAATCTAACTGGCCTCAGCGTCCGCAACTTGGGGATAGTGGATGGTATCGTGGGCCTCGGAATTCAACTTAGAATCAAATCGCATCTCCGAGTGAGCGCTCGCGTCATCTGCTAAAGCAAATACATGGAATTGAGTGCTACTGGTGAGTTGCTACGTGAATGTCTAGTCATGGCCAATAATGTTCTTGGGAACATAAGGCTCCTCTAGGTACTTGGCTTCCTCATCCGTCAGAGTCTTGCCACGCAGCTCGCATGCCTCATCAATCCTCTTGGCAGAGTTGAAGCCGGTGATAGGAACCCCGCCCTTGTACCGGATCCAAGCGAGCGCGACGTGGCTCATGCTCCATCCCTTCTTCTCCGCGATCTCCTCGACCCTGCGAATGATGTTCTCATCCGCCTCGCTGAGATCAGGGTTCATCGGACCCTTGCCCTGAGATCGGATGCTGGTGTTTTCGGCCTTGACAGACCGCGCCAACTTTCCGCCGTAGAGGGGTGACCAGGGAAGGAGACCCACACCCGTCTCCTTGCAGAAGCGGTTCATCTCGCGCTCTTCCTCGCGGTAGACGAGGTTGTAGAAGTTCTGCATGCTGACAAACTTGGTCCAGCCGTTCTTCTCGGCGACAAACTGCATGCGCGCGAACTGGGTGGCCCACATGGAGCTCGCGCCGATGTAGTGGATCTTGCCGGCTTGCACGAGGTCATGGAGGGCCTTCATGGTTTCCTCGATGGGTGTCGTGGGGTCGAAGCGGTGGATCTGGAAAAGATCGATATAGGTCGTTCCCAAGCGGGCGAGGGCGTCATCCACAGCCTTGAAAATGGCCTTGCGAGAGAGGCCGCCTTGGTTGACGTAGTCCTTGCTCTGGCGCACTTCGTTAGGGAACATGGTCGTGTGGAGGTTCGTCTCCTCACCCACGTAGATGAAGCACTTGGTCATGAGAACGATCTTCTCGCGGGGAATGTTGAATTTCTTGATGGCCTTGCCAATGACTTCCTCGCTGACGCCGTTGGAGTACATATTTGCGGTATCCCAGGTGTTGATGCCGCGGTCGTAGGCGGCCTTGAGGATCTCGAGCGATGCCTCCTCGTCTAGCACCCACGGCGCCCATTCGCTGGATCCGAGGGACATGCCGCCCAGGACTGGAACGGAAACGCGGAGACCAGAGGTTCCCAGGTTTACATATTCGACCTTGGTGGCGTCGAGGCTCTTCTGAAGAGAAGCGGGAACGGGGAAACCAGACATTGTAAATAGTATTTGCTTTGAAGAGAGCTGAGTGTTGTGATATGATCGATTCTACTGCTGCTGTCAAGATTGGAGATGTTGCTCTGAGCGCGAATTGATGAGACAATAATACACGATCTTCGGCCTACTGTGCATGTTTATATAGCAAACATTTTGAATTTTTCGTGACGTCGAGTGACTATCTTGCCTTGAACAGCGACGTGGATTCATCAGCATGGACCTAGAGTACTGAGGAGATAGTCGTAAAATCCGCATCATGAAGCCTTCCACCTCGAGAATCACCAGGCTTCAGCTGGATCACCGTAGTCATGAAAGGATGAAACACTGTTAAGACCGTGTATGTCCATTGCTGATTTTGAGATGCAGGATGTTGGTATGTAAGACGATGGTGGCTGCTTGGCTTAAGAACCGGTGCATCAACGGAGGTTCTGCGCCCGTTGCACCGTAATCATGCCAAACAGAGCAGCGGGCAATTGACGGACTCTTTTCTTGTCCGTTCCTTGGAGAGCGTCGCTGCGTTTGGGACTTTGGTTCTTAAGATGGAGCAGCTGTTGGCGCCTTTAGGGCTCAGCTCCGCAAAATTCGGGGTTTGGTGCTTAAACCCGGGGCAGAAATGGCCGAGACGGCAACGAACAAAGCTTACAGCGGCCGACGACCGCCTGGTTACGGCGCGGGCACTAAAATGCGACAAAACAACATCGTTGAGAGCTTTTACACGTCATTGCCTGCGGACGTATGGCTTGAAGTGTTCGTTCTCGTGACAGTTGTATGAGGTCAATTGAACAGCATACACGCGACGGTTAATTACGAGTGTTGGCAGCCAAGTTGTTGTGTGAAAACGCAGGGACCCAGCCTGCGCCGCTCATTTTCATGTTTGCACTGTCACCTCCACCGTGAGGTCGTAGCTATGAGAATATCCAAGCTCCTCTACCATGTGCAACTCTTAATCACCATATGAGCAACGTGATGTTCGTACTTGCGAAGAGTGATTGTTGTTGATGACTGTGACCTTTGGTATGAGGACACGCCTATGACCTAAGAGAGATGCTTACGCCATTCCTAGGACTCGTTTGTCGTTGGTTTTGAGTGAGAAGTTGCGTAAGCCGTTCAACTAAGCCTGGTTAAGTCGACATCATTGCGACTTGTAACAGGGTTCCCTAGCAATTTCGGTCATTATATACGAAATGCTCCCGTCTTTTGTGGCATCCAAAGCAGTAACTATTCCCAATGTTAATAGTAGCCTGAGCCGGGTATGGACAGGTACGAGAAGTCTGAAGGTGCCGTGGTCACCTGGCGATTCGCTGGATAAGGTAGCGGGCTAACTCCGCCGACGACAGGTGTACCGAGCTATCATTCAAATCGCACCCAATGACCTCCAAACAAGCTCACCACCTACTTGGGTAAGAGACCCTTCAACTGAATAAGAAGGCCAATCAGTAGAATGGGCTTCTAGCTCCGCAGCGCTCCGCAGCACTCCGCAAAGCAACCAAAGGCACGGGTTTGCAGACACAACTATGTGTACCTCGTAAGGTAAGTAGGTAGTGTACGGAGTACTATTCCAAGACACGGCATGGAGTTAAGGTTGCTCGCGCCCGGCACGCGGGCCCAATTAACGTCCCGACGTACCTACGGATAGCACTTGGTAAGTTAGACCCCTCCCTCCCGGCGATCTGGGACTGGTCCGCGCGGTCTCCGCTCCCCCTTGCTAACTCCGTCATAGACTTGGGATGAAGTCGCAAGCGGCTACGGTATATAATGGTTTCGTCCAAACGTGGTTTTCAACGTCATGTCATTAGCAAACCCCTCTCATCATCACAATTGAATCCAGTAGCTTCACTATTATCTACATCTCAATCAACACTATCCACTGTACACCATACTCGCATCTCACACAATGGGCTTCTTCGTTTACAGTCAGCTCTTCAAGTCCCTGCCGTATCCCACCGGCTCATATGCTGGCAAGACCATCATCGTTACCGGCAGCAATGTGGGTCTCGGCAAAGAAGCCGCCCGGCACTACGCCCGTCTGGGGGCCAGCAAGTTGATCATCGCCGTCCGAAGTCTCGACAAGGGCCGGGCCGCCAAGCAGGACATCGAGGCGACCACGGGCTGCGGCAAGGATGTCATTGAGGTCTGGCAGCTCGACATGTCCAGCTACGCCAATGTCCAAAAGTTTGCGGAGCGTGTCAAGTCCGAGCTGGAGCGCGTCGACATCTTCATCGCCAACGCCGGTGTGGCACACGGCAAGTTCCAGGAGATGGAAGGAGAGGAAGGCACCATCACCGTCAACGTCGTCTCCACATTCTTGCTCACTGCCCTCGTCTTGCCCAAGCTCAAGGAGACCGCTTCCAAGTTCAGCACGAGACCTACATTCACAATCACCGCCTCCGAGGTGCACGCCTGGACCAACTTTGACGAGCGCACCGCCCCCGACGGCGAGATTTACAACACCATTTCCGAAAACGCAAAGGCCTCAGCCGATGCCGTGAGCAAGCTGTACCCCCTCTCAAAGCTGCTCGAGGTTCTCGGCGTCAGGACCATCGCAGAGATGCACCCGGCCTCGGAGTATCCCGTCACCGTCAACTGCGTTAACCCGGGTCTCTGCCACTCAGAGCTGGGACGCGACGCCGGTGGATGGACCCTGTGGCTCTTGAAGCTTCTCTTGGCGCGCACGACCGAGTACGGCAGCAGGACGCTGGTTCATGCCGGGTCCTCGGGTGCCGATACGCACGGCAAGTACATGTCTGACTGCGGTATCGAGGAGCCGTCGCCGTTTGTGAGGAGTAAGGAGGGCAAGGAGGCGCAAGACCGTGCCTGGAATGAGTTGGTTAAGAAGCTGGAGGCGATCAAGCCTGGTGTTACGGGCAAGATCTGATTTTCGGTGATGATGTTCGGTTTCAATGAGTTCATGTTTCTTTAGCTGTTTGTCGGCCTAGTATCTAGAGGATTCCCCAACGTAGTAATGCTACGAATCGTTAATCACATCACCTTCATGGTGAACCATTACCAACATCATCGTCGGCATTCCATGCCTGGCGTACCTTGCACTATTTTGGTAGAGTCTATGAATAGGGTAGTCGAAAGGGAACATGAGGAGGCCTTATAATCACTACGAATACCATCAATCGCGTGATAAAGGTGGCCAGACGAGATCACTCTAACTCACAAAATATTCTTCCTCTATTCTCACTTCTTATTCGACCTCTGAATTGTTCTCTGGGCAGAACTCACATCACCTCATCACATTGATCGTCTAACGTGGTCAAGGCAGGGCCATAGATCTAACGTGATTGACATTCTGAAATTCCAAGGAGAGGATGCTAAGAGAATTCAAAACGCGCGTCTTTGATTTGACGTGCCCTGACGCCTAGGCTTCAATTCCTGCACTAAGAAGGGGTTAAGTCGTGCTTAATTCCGACCAAGTAAGCCACTAAGGGAACGTCGCTGGAAGCCTGGCTGAGTTGAGCATCGGAGCAATGGCGGACAAGTCGAAACTTCCGAGTCGTTGGTAGTTTGCCAGAGTGATCCCATGGTACAGTTTAGCGGGCTTGCTACATACAGCACAAGTGCATTCATAATCAGCTTCTATATGCCATCTCCCAGCCTTGGAATTGGACTAGAATGCTGCATTCCAGGATCGACTGCTTGCCGGATTAGGCAATCAATCGAGGGTGTATGGAGATTATGGTTGGTCGTTCTTAATTCCGTGCCTCGCTTACTCAACCGCAGCATATTGTGGAATCAACCCAAGTATGGAAAGCGAATGGAGGCAATCCAAAAAGTCACGGTGGTTCGATCGTATTCTGTATTTAAGATTCGTGTATGAGCAGCTTGTATGTGAATCCTTGAATGTATTCAACACTCGATCTCAGTCCACGACAACGTATTATACCTGCATCTCTCTCATATAACCCCTTCGCAACCTTTCTAGCTATCAATGACTTCTCAAACCCCCCAAAAGCGCATCTTCCTAACCGGAGCCAGCGGCTACGTAGGCTCAGTTATAACAGAACTCGCACTCAAAGACTGCTACCAAATCCATGGCCTCTCCCGCAACGAAGCCAGCGACTCAAAGCTCCGCAACCTCGGGGCCGTACCCGTACGAGGCGACCTCACATCCCTCGACATCCTCCGCCACGAAAGTGAAGCAGCAAACATCGTGATCCACCTAGCCACAGCCTATGTATTCGGCGGCGAGCCCTACGAGACCTTCAGGCCCACAGACACCGCGGCCGTCGATGCCATCGCCGATGCTCTGGCCGGCACTGACAAGCCTCTCGTCGTCACATCCGGGACACTCTGCGTCGCGGCGGATCCTACAGGCGCAGAGACCACCGAGGCATCGCCCGCGGATCCGGAACCCATCAACACCCGTATCCTGACTGAGATTCACTCGCTGGATCTCGCGAAGAGAGGGATCCGAGTCATGTCGGTCAGGCTGGCGCCGTACGTTTACGGCCGAGGCGGCAGCGGTATCGCGCAGTTCATGGGTATCGCGGCTCAGACAGGCGCGGTGACAATCGTCGATGGTGGGAAGAACCGGACTACTAATGTGCACGTCGACGATGCCGCGCGACTCTTCCTTCTAGCCGCGGAGAAGGGACGAGCAGGGGAGATTTACAACGCTAGTTCAGCGACCGACGTGACCTCGCTCCAGGTTTCCGAGGCCATCGCTGCAGCTGTGCAGGTTTCGCTAAAGGATATCAGTCTAGAGGTTGCAAAGAAGCAGCTGGGGGATACGATTTCCTTCTTCCTGTCCGTTGAGAATAGGGCTTCTGGTGCAAAGGCCAAGGAGGAGCTTGGCTGGATCCCTCGTGGTCTGGGCATTTTGGAAGACATCAGCAAGGGTTCGTATGTGGAAGTTGCCAAGTCTCTCAGGAAGTAAGTCAGCTTGGCAATCAAGAGGAAGAGGGAAGGAAAGTTGTCTTGTACCTCGTGAGGGGGAATCTTGGAGTGAGAGTCTAGGGAGGGGGTGTGAGAAGCGGCACGGATGAGGGGAACCATATCTATCCCCCAAATGCCAAGGAAAGATGCAAGCCACCCAAGACAATATGATGGCCAAAAATCTCTTATTGCATCTCTTGGGGGTTGGAGCTGACTAGCGACTTACTTGGCGTTTGCTCAGGCTAAAAGAGCTTAAATTGACGTTGTTTTCTGTTGGAGAACCTAACCGCCTAGGCCTCGCTTGATCTCTCAACCCAAAAGTGCTATGGTCCAGTTCTCAAACAACTCATGGCCCTGGGGTCATTGCTGTCTTTCTCATATTCTCATGTATATGACATACATCCGTGACGATGTGAGATCAATGGTTTGAAAAGCTCGCCATTGCCGTTACAAAGGGAAAACCTTTCTATAGACACGGGTAAGTCTCTGAAACAGACTGCATTTAATCATACTTAAAGATGCCTAAAGAGCAGGTTATTGAGAACCGAGAATAGTAGGATAGTAGCTCCTATATCAACGTTCGCATTCCCATCACCATTGAAAGGT